TTCTATTCGGTTTCTATACATTAATCCTTAATTCCTTAATTAATTAGGGGAAATACGGGAACACATTGATAAATCCCGGCGAGCTTTAATAAGATCTTCCATTAAGATAGGAGAAGATGAAACATTTGCCGAAGCTGTTAGTTTTGGTGTAATTATTTTAAAATTATTATTAATAACACCTCAAATATGTAGGTACATTCAATGTAGGTATTTTATATTTTGTTACTTTTCTGCTCGTTTGTCGCTACTTAAATAAGTATTATTATTGAAACAAAAGTTTCTGTACGTGTTTTTCCGCACGAATCTTTTACAAAAATAGATATCAAATTTGTCGAAACTCTCTTTTAAATCCGCAAACATCGGTATTTTTGATATTTTTACGGAATCTTCCGGCGGTTCTTCCGGTGGAATAGTCATGTATGCGACATGACTAACTTTATTTTTATTCACGGTTGTTATATTGGGGACATAAAATATACATTTACGGTACATGCATGTAAATATTATCGGTAATATACAAATTTATGGATTCATTCTACTTAACATCACCTATCTATACGTATATAATTTATAGATTGTCTACAAACTGAAATTTGTCAATTTCATTCATAAATTCACTTTATTTATGCCTTCTTCTTTGTATTAAACGAGTATCTTAAATGTCGATGAAAGTAAATATTAACTCGGCTAATTCCGGAACAAACCGCTAGAATAAGATTGATGGCATGGTATAGTTGTATCAATCTGCTATGTCAATTGGTTGATTAATTATTCAATTGAACGCACTCAGGTTGTCAACACTTCCTTCACAGGACGCGCCCGCATTAGGGAGAAATCAAAAACCGTTTATTCGAATGATAAATGGCGAGATGTAAATTCATAATAACGAAAACAGAACCTGAATAAAATAAAATTCTCCGTATAACATAATTTTTTATGTGCCGGTTCTAGAACGATCACATCTAGATATCGATCCATTAGCGAATTAATCCTATCGATTCTTCGTACACTTACTTCTTTTGTAATCCTTTTCCCTTGTAATTCCTTTATGGTAGGTCATTCTGTTTAATGGCTTTCCTTTCAATACGTGTGTCATCACAGGAGAATAAAATTTGGATTTTATTAGCTACGCGTGGTAATTTACTTTCGATCGAAAAGCGTGCTCTTCCTGATTTGGAGAAATCAAATAGATTATTGAATTAGAAGTAAGTTGTTCAGAAATTTTTAACATTAAAACAAGTATTAGGAAAACAAGGCAGTTAATCAAAAATTTTTCTCTCTGCTGTTATACGCAAATTTTTCTCTCTACTTTTATGCATAAAATTTTCTCTCTACTTTTATACACAACATTTTCTCTCTACTTTTGTACACAACATTTTTCTCTCTACTTTTATGTACAAAATTTTCTCTCTACTATCTTGAACATTATCTCTCTCCTGTTATGCACAAGTTTATCTCAACATTTTAATTAAGTCAAAATTAAAGCATTTTTTAAAAAGGGCTTTGTACCGCCATCCAACTAAACAGGTAGATGATATAATAGAGTGCGACCCCCTTTCAAATTTCAAAATACGCACTGAAATTGTGGCGAAAATCTAGCCCTAAGTGTTGAATTACGTCTCAAAATAACAACAGTTGCTAAAGAAAGTGAAGGAAACACTAATAAATAAGGAACAAGACAGTTTATAGAACTAACTACCCTCCAAGCAAACAACCCTACCCAAGCGAAACCCTATATGTTATAGAGCTCCTCGATATATGATACTGGATGCTGTAAATGATACCTGTTGTATAGGTACATACATACATATTATTCCCGAACTATTCCAAATAATTCAATGGAATGCCAGCATTAATAAAGCCCATTAAAATGATGCAAAACATGATTGTTCATGCAGAATGTAACAAAATAGTGGGTCATAAATTATACTACATATTCTGGGGTCAAAATTAAGTCCATTTGGACCCTCTTTACCTATATATTTGGGTACATATTATTATTACAGGAGCATGGTATCAAAAAAATTATCCAAATCGAACCACCCATATCAAGTTATTAGGAGGGTCATATACATTTAATCACTCCTTATTTCTTGTGTAGGTACTCTGTAATTTTGGATTCAACGTACTTATTTTTGACCCCAGAATATGTGGTATAAATTTATGTCCCACCCTTTTGTTACACCCTGTAATATCCACATGCATTAGTTGAGAGCGGCCTCTTCATTAAGCGAGATCCCTTCGTTAGAAATGTGCCCTGCGGGTTTCCGAAACGTGGACATAATTTCAAAAGTGAAACGTCGCAAAAGAATATTATTGAATGGCGCTTGCTGCGGGCGTAATTCGCCCGTTTGCGTCCGCGAACTTTCGCAAACACTCTAAGGGGAAGATATTTTCAAAGAATCTATTACGTATACGTTGTTTGAATGGATCTCATTTGGACGGAGTGTACATAAACCGCAGGAGGGTTTCGGATTAAAATTCAACAAGTCAGTGTCTGTTGAACGTGGATTTTGAGGAGCGTGGAGGATTTTTCTTGGGTATGATGTCTAGTAGAAATACACACGATACTAATGTGAGATGTATACTGTGTCCCGGGTAAGTACGAACTGCATGGTGATATATGGAACTGCAAGAAAGGGGTTCGAATTATAAAAAAAATGTACGGGTTTCAATTCCCGTCTTGCTTGCAATCGATACGTGTGTTTTTCCTAACAATGCAATTCCGAGCTCGGATCCATTCTATTGAATAGTTGGGTATTTTCGCCCGTCTGCCAAAAGTTCAAATAATGAAATCAATGGCGTCGAACTGGAAACGTTAAGGTGAGTTTGACAGCGGTCTTAAATCTTTCGGATCACGCTCCAGTGGCTTCTGAAATCAATAATCTAACAAAACTCTAAACTGCTCCGAAGTTAAATTGGTATGTGCGAACTCTGTGTAATTAATGAAATTTAAAAAAAAATGTAGTGAATAGTTGTTCTGTAGCTAAATGTGAATTAGTTATGGTCAGTACGCAATCTAGTGTTATTTCATGCTCTAGTAGCTAAGCAAATATGCAAAGATCCCGAATCAGTCAATTCCCAGATCCCAAAACCTGGGGATATATAAACAACCCAGGTAGCTAATTTAATTAAACGAACCAGTGTTCCGAATAATTTAACTAATTCTACCGAAGGAACTTTTATTTCTTTCGCAAAATTTAGAGAATTTACGGAATAAAGAAAATGCGAAACACACGGCCCGGTGACTAAGTGCTTCAATTGAAAATGAATAAATTGCTTTCTAACATCTCACGTTTATTCTCCTTTGTTAGAAGAAAACCGTCGAGGGTAATTTTCTGGGCTCCTGCATTTTAAAACGCAAAAAACGCGTACTTTAACTTCGTAATTTCCGACGCTACAAATATTTTATGTTAAACGCTGTAAATTTTACTTCTATCGTTTCCGGAACGTTTTCTCCTACATGGCAATACGTATAATATTGATAATTAATTCTATTTTTTTAATACACTCTCCGACGGTAAGAATAAAATTGTAATGAGAGCATGAAAAAAGATAACGTAAATAAATAAACAATTCTCAGGAGTAACGTAGGCAGTAGGTGGGTAATATACAAGTAGCACGTAAAAGAGGAGTATAATAAAAATCTAGAATTTAAAGGAGGCAGAAGAGGCAATACGCCGGAGAATTACGGCGAGGCCAAAGTGGAAAGTAACATCCTCATTTGACTGTGTGTTTCTGGAGCGTGGAGGGTTTTCTTTCAAAGATAACTGTCGAGCAACAGGATGAGAGAAGGATGCCTGGATCATTAACTTTTAAAAGGACCGGACTCGACGTTATTTATCTACCTTAATATTACCTAAGTTCATGTAGGGGTTTTTCATATTCTAACAAGTTTTATTTGAATATTGTATGTTTCAAAAACTTTTAACCCATTTTAACTATTATCATTGCAGTTTGCTTTAATTGCTGTAAATGACATAAAGTCATTTGATAAAAATTAGTTTTTCCTCAGACTTCTGAAGTGTTTTCTTTGCTCTTTACTCATCTTAGCTAGCACTGTAATAGGTACTTTCTGCAATATTTAAGAGATGTTCAAAACTATAGCATTTACACGTTCGCACGTAGCACAAACATATGGTATACAAAAAGAAGCAATTTGACTACACAAACAAGTATGTGCTTGTGAGCCGGAACAAGTTTCGACCCTTTCACGAGCCCGTTAGCTCGACGTCCCGGTGTCGTGATCTACTTTATGCTAATAGAAAAACTTTCGTCGCCTAGGCGCTGATGAAATTCCGAAATTCGCTTAGCGATTACACAAAGTGAAAAACTAGCTTGCACAGACTTGCGTAAATCTCGCAAATGAAATTTCTTTCGCAAAGCGACCGACCAGAGGCTGAAAGAAAAATATTGTGTTTACCTATTAAGAGAAGACATAATACACTGACAATTTTTGAACTCTGGTAAAATGCACATGAAATAAAATATGTTAGCTTCGGTAGGATAGATATTACACAAATTTTAACGAAATCGGATTTTCGCCGAACTCGGGGATTTGTTTGGTTAAGTTTTCCCATTACCCCACCTCGTACATACATATTACCACAAGCGTATCGATCACGAGGGTCCAACAATTTTGAGCCAAATACTACTCCAATATTTATTTTGGGAATATCTGGTCAAAGCCAAAACCACATACAAACGGCCCAGTTTCATTTATTTCATTAAGTCCGTCTCGCTCGGATCCAAATAAAATAGGCAAATGGAAATTGGAACAGGCTCTTGATGCCCGACGTAATTAATTACACTTCGGGTAATATTCATAAAGTGAATTTCAATTGCTATTTTATTATCTTATCAGGTTAGTGTCGCAGTTTTTTCGTATATTGTGATAAAACAAAAATATTACAGGTATGTGTGTGCATCTAGTTGATAAGTTTTATACAACCTCATTAGTTGAATTTTTGCATGGATTGGAATTACTTTAAAATAAATTCCTATTCAAAAAATCTCAGACAATCTGTAGGGTGTCTATTGGGTTTTGGATAATCACAGGTCCCTATATCCGGATTAAATTCAGTTCCCGGTCCGCATGTTTTTATGTAACAACCACTTGTGCCGCATTCATAATATTTTCTATAATTAAAAAAATTATATAGGATGATTATTATCTTATTTTAAAGTCTTTACCTGCAATCACGTTTGTATTTTTCAGCTCCCTCAATCGTATTGACGAATGCTGCAACTATAATTGAATTATTCAAAAGTTCGTTTAATAAGTCTTAATTTGCTACTAATAATATCGCAATTATTCACCCAGATATTTAAAACAGTTTTAGCTTGTTTTAACCCATAATTTAAATTTGTAAATTATGTAAAATTTTAATACCAAATGGTATAACAAATTAAATGCGTTCTTCTTAAGTAAAAATATAGAATTGAATTTCATTTCCAAATAAATAAACATTTGAATAATAAAAATTGCTATATCATCAGCAATACAATGAACTTACTTAAAACAAAAAAAACGAAAAAATATTGTAGAAAATTCATTTTATCATTCATATACCTACTTAACCAATTTCTGCAAATAAATTGTTTATCTCCACAAATATATAGTCGAATTATCGTGACGTAGGTACATATGTTAATAATAACTCGTCGAATCGTTTTTCTTAGAATTGCTTTAGGAAAATCTCATAATTGGTTTTCAAATGCAATTCCAATTTTAAAAACCGATGAAGATCGATAGCAGAAAACTTTATTGCGTACTTAATTTTAATTGATATTTTTCAATTTGCACGAGTTGCATAAGCAATGATTCCTGTGAACTATAAAACCAAAACTATTTTGTTAATTTCAATATTTGCTATTTTGTAGGAACAAAAATTAGTATTTACAATCATTCCAAATACCCTGCAATAAACCCTGCAATCTACTCCTGATAATTTAACTAATGCAGGGCGATGTTAAAAAATATTTGAACGAGATATCCTACGTTTCAAATTTTATTCAAATTAAACTAAACAACATGGAATTGGTATGTACATCTCCAAATATTAGCAAACATGAAGCCTGATGCGGGAGTTTGAGCTTATCGCATTTGAATAAAACACGCCTGATTTAGAAAATACTTAACGGTAGAATTTAAATACTGTGGCAAATTTATTTATATTAACTCCAGCATTTCTAAGATATAGCGAATTAAATTATTGTTAAAATATTTATTGTAAGTCACTTGTTTTGTAAAATATCTATGTAAATATTTTACGGCTAACTGAATTAAAATCTAATATAATTTTTCTGAATAAATTCCATCATTAATTTCAGGAAAATTGTGTAACCTATATAAATACTCTCTGTAATATTAGGATAATATTCCGAGTTTATTAGTCGTTTTACGAACGAAAACTGCCACCGCGTGAAAATGAATATTAAGGTAACATTAAAACGCGAAAAAAAGGGAACATTAATTACAGCTTCAGGTAGCTGTAGCAAGCTCATCGTGCATTGAAAAATGTATTCGAGACTCGTAAGGATTAATTAACTTTATATCTCGGGACCGCGTTTTTTGCACGCTTTGAAGTATTTCCACGTTTTCGTTTGCACTCCAGGTGGTCTCTAAACGGATTCATTCATCACTTATTTCCCTAACAATTTGTCGTTAACTAAATTAACACAGATTAAAATTTTACAGAGCTAATTCATACAATTTTCCTATTTACCAATTATGATATTAACATGATAGTGTCCGGTTTTTATGCAAACCGAGTACTATACCTGTTTTCGTTCAAATGTTAATTTCCATAAATCCATTCAAGATAAACCAGTGTGTACAATAAAGTGCTACGAAGATGTCGCATTTTGAAGATAAAAAGCAATTCGAAGATCTTTTGGACTTCACAAAAAACTTGGTCCGTAGTACCAGATCTCAATTGAGCAAATCTCAAGTGGAATTGGTAGCGGACGATCTGATAGACAGAGCTGTGAGGGAATTGTATCCACTAAAAAAACGACAAAGTGTGGACCAGGCTTGTTCGAGTGCTACGTTAAACTCCGGTAACACCCGCGATAAAAATGGCTCGACAGAAGGGTACAAAATGAGGCAACACAAGTGCAAAACCTGCGGAAAACCACCTCCTGTCCTCTACCAGCCTATGAATGTTACCGTCAGTGAGGAGTACATTCCTAATGAAAAAAGAAGAAGGCGAACTTGCCCGTCTCCAAGCCAAAACGATTCCGGTAAGAGCACGTCGGAATTAAATGTTTTCGAGAAATTGTATGCCTTGAGGAAAACCCATAACGTCGCGAACGATAAGGGAAAAAAGAAGATGTCTGCCGCTCCGAAACTCGCCTGTACCGATTCGAAGGACCAGAAAAATTTAGATAATTCGATAAAGCATTGCTTCGGAAGCATTCAAAAGGCTCTTGACAATTTGAAACTAAGTTCTGATGTAGGTTCTAGTGCTACATTGGGTTATAATCCAAATGTAAATTATTATTCTACTTCTAGTTTAAGTTCCTAATTTTCTATTCATTTTATTGTTCATCTATTCATTTCTATGTTTATTTAGGTACTTCATATGATGAGAAAGTATTAATTTCATGATAAACATAATAATATAATAATTGTATGTTAAGTTGGTATTTAGTGTATATTTTGTTTTGATTAATAGATGTAATGTGGTAGTTTGTATGAAAAGTAATGTAGTTTGTTCATAATATCCATGTAATTTTGTACGAATAATAATAAAGCATTTAACAAAATTGATTGAATATTTATTGATAGTTAATATTCTAGTTTCGTTTAAAATGATGTATGGGTAAAAATTGGCTTAAAATTGGGATTTTTGTTCAATTAAAATAAATACTTAATATCATTGATTGGTAGTAGCAATTTATTTAAATTATTGGATTAGTAAATTAAGATCAAGTATGCAATAAAAAGAATAGTTTCGAATAAGGTAGCAAATGAAGAAAGCGAAATAAAGAAAAATTTACGACATTGTTTTTGGGTCAAGCTGCATTTCTACTTCGTAATTCGAGAATATAGGGAGTTTTTAATGCGAAAATACTTTTTTAGCTTTTGTGTTCGAACTCCTAAATGTTCGGTTACATATTTTCCGAATACTTTTTACGAACTCCGCGATTTTTGCGAAATATCCTCCAAAGTTGGAAACGCGCCCGACTTGCAACTTTGCCAATATAAGCCTTTTCCACTTTTGCTATTTGAATACTTCATCAAAGTTTTTATGTAAACTTTAGGTAACGGTTTTTTACAAACCTACTAGAACCTTGTATATTGGCAATTACCACATATAATATATTTTTAAGGGACGCAATTTTATGAGGTATCCAATTTAAGATATTCATCTGTAGAAAATCAACCTGTAGTAAAACCTTTTCTAAAAAGCATTACTGTATAAATTTCAAAGTTTATATAATCTCATATCCGGAAACCTTTAGGTTGTTATAAAGAAAATATATATTCAGTGGATTTTCTTTCTAATCTGGGTTAATAGTTAACATGTTCGCGAAGTATTCTCCACCGCAATACGGCTTCCTGCTACTGTTATATTTAGGAGAAAGGTATTTTAAGTAGGTACATTACTCGGGGCCCCAGCGTAAAATAACTCTTGCTTTAAAGTAGCTTATTACTCTCAGAAGACTGTTTACGCCGGGCTCAATTTTCTAATTAAATATCAAACGCAATTTGAGTAAGCTAAAACAACTCGTTGAAAAAATAATACCTACGTTTTTTACAACTGGGCCTTCTTAATATCTAACAAATTAATATTTAAAAGTTTTGAGATTAAAAATTCATTTTCTTATTCGTGGCGTATATCTGGATAATTTTTCTTTTTGTCTTTGGTTACATGTAATTCTTCCCATATTCCAATTTCTAATATAATTTCAAACATTCAGGATATACGAAGAAAACGTAAAATAGAGATGATTTTATAAGTTTCTGATTTTTTAAAATTATGAATAGGTATTTGAACAGAATAATGCTTCTTATTAATGGTTCTCTTTTATCCTTTGTTAAGCGACTAGAATATTCTTAATGGCTATAAATTAAACGGAAATTTTTAACAAAGATACAAGTCTGACGCTTGGGACATCCGTAATTAGAAGATAATTTCAAATTTATAATTGGGAAACTTTAAATTTTTGTGCAATCTCGTTAATTAGGTTAATTATTAAGTAGTCTGAAGAGGTTCTTAATTTTTTTTTATAATTTTCGATTTTATAATGGCTGCATTGCTAAAATTTACCAGCTTTTTACCTAGGATTGCATGGACGATATTCGAGTTGACAGAGTACATAAATTCTGAGACGTAGGTAATATAAATGATGCTTTTATAAATGACACAAAGATACATGAGTTGGTTGGTAATCATTCTTAGTTGAATATTCTATTATTCTGTATTCAACTCTTGTCGTCGTTTGTTACCTTCTACGTTATAAAATTGATATTAATATCTCTTGCAAATAAACTACAGGTATAAATAATTAGTTATTGTTGAAACTCGAAGCAAATACACTTTAATAACTTTTATCTGTACTAAATGCATCTGTAGAATGTCCAAAAGTGTACATAGAATGATGCATGTTCATATGGTAAATAGAATGAATTTGCAATGAGCTTTGCTCGCTTTTATTCCGCCTTGAAAAATAACGCTTATCTGCTCTTTTTTAGGAATAATCTCTTCATATGTTATCCGAAAAGCGAGTCTCAATCACTTTTTCCCTCCGATATGGTCAAAACTAATGTAATATTAATTTTCTTCGGCCTAGCCTTTCCTTCAGTCCGAAGCATATAGACCAGTATACATAGAAATTCTCTCAGTTCTACTTACGTCGAAACGTATTATGTTAGAGTATAAAAAGGGGCGAGCATCCATCATATCCGCGTGACAGTTTGGATATTTCTCCTTAACGAAAATGGAAATGCACGAATTTCCTGCTATTACTCTTCCTGATATACCTACAATATATTAAATTTTTATCGGGTGTGCATTGTGTTGAATATTATTATAAAATATTCAAATCTAATTTTTTGCCACTTACCAAATTTACTTTTTATACTTTAGGTGTACCGTGTGACCATTTATCAAGCAAACTGGCAAACATTTATAAATTTTGTTTGATAATATCTAAACCTAAATAATTAATTCTATAACTATCTTGTGTATATTTATTTCAAACCGAACTTCCGAATATTAAATAAGCAATCAAGAGCAGAGTAGTGTGAACTACAAAGCTTCAACTTCTACTGATGGTTCGGTTAAAGTTTTCGTTCCTGGAGGCATATGCAGGTTTACCTAAATGTACCAGTATAGAAACTTATAATGTTCTCATTGTATATGTAGAAAATGGCGTCTCAGAAAGTTTCATAGGTAATACACACATTTAGTACTTGCAGTAAATAAAATAAACAAAAGTTTTATTATAACATTTCATACAATGTTTCCATCGTTATTTGATATTGATTTGGTGTTTACAAAATATTTGTGGTTTATATTTGTTATATTCAATTATCAAACATTGAGTCCATTTGTTGCATCTTAAAGGTTGCAACTAGGTATTCCTCTATCACTTTAAGAAGATAGAAATTTCAAACATCAAATTATGGTCCACGAAGAACGCCGCAAAGTGTCACTTTAAATTTAAAATCGCTTTTGGTAGACCGTTTGTAACAGAATTAAATTCTATAGCCGACACAATAGCAATACCGAGCTTTCGCTCAACATTTATGCAAAAAACATTGCGCAAAAACAACAAATACTAGAAAACTCGTGTTTGTACAGAAATAAAACATATTTTTGTTCTTTCTGGAAGCAACGAATTAAACGAAAATCGTTTTTGTTTCGCAACTGCAATGAAAGCTTGAAAGCATTCGGAACAAAAAAAAGTGTCCATGATTATTTTAGCTTTTCCGAAGCTGGTGTAAGTAAACATTGAAGAAAAAAAACGGAATATTAATTCAGTTAATGAAATGCAAACAAAAAACGACAAGTCGAGGAGTAATTGTAAGCAGACTTAAGTACCTGCAAATAGTAAAAGGATTTGTATAGTGAAATTCAGATTCATTGTTTTGGCCCTTTTTTTAAAACCTTTACATACTATATATTTTCTTCTTGTCTAAGGTATGTACATATGTATGTATGTATGTCTCTTACAATAATTTATCTGTATAAAACCTCTTTAACTATCCAACAAAGACAATTATTATTTTAAGAAATTCAATTGTCTACAGAAGAGAGTCAAATATCAATTTGAATGTTATTTTTCAACCTAACAAAGTATAATAATAATAAAATATACATCCTTCTAATTCTTGTTGCTGCATTACAATATACCTACATACCTGGATATTTTTTAAACTATCATAATTTCTCAAATAATCTTATCAGTGGCTTTGGTTGATGATTACCCTGTATAATTAATTTTTAGTACATTGATTTGTTTATGTAATAAAATTCGTTATCTTAGGGTCAATTTATGATATTGATTGCTTAATTGACCAAAAATCATATTAATCAATTTGTATATTTGTTGTTAAGTAAACACAATTAGATTTTAAGGTTTATTCAAATAACAAAAAACAAATAACAACGTATCAAAAAGATGGCATAAAACTACATTTTCCCAAATTTAACAAACGAAATACCTATTGTAGAAAATGTATTTTTTAAACCTGAGAAATTAGTGGAAATTATGAAGTTGTCGAAAAAATTCGTCAGTCAACTGGAATCAGTCTTTCACCATTTTTTGTGGCCGCCCGAATGTAAAACGTGCTTGTAAACGGGCACGTGCACTGGATAGGGCTTCTCTACGTACTCGACGTGGTGCTTCTCGATTTCGATTTTCACCGGCTTCTCCACATAAACCGGCACCAATTTTTGAACTTCAATAGGAACTCTCTTCTCGATCTCCTGAGGTACTAACTTGTAAATAGGAACATGAATAGGATGCGGTACAGGCACGTGAACGGCGTAGGGTTGGGGTACTGGCACCTTAATAATTTGAGGAGTTGGTACTCCAACAGCATGCGGGACGGGTACTCCGACCTTTTTTACTACTTCAACCGGAACGTGCTGGGTTTTTTCGATAGTGTGAGTAGGAATGTGTTCGTTTTGGATTTCTACTTTGGGTTGGAAATCCTGATGTCCCTGCTGTTCGGCATCGTGCGAGCCTAGGTTGATTCCATGAGCTATTAGGTTGCCCAAATTTCCAAAGTCTTCTGCGGACGAATGGCTTTGTTCTGCACTGTGACCACCAGAATAACCATGCCAACCTTAAAAACACATTGAAATAAATATACAGTACGCAAAGGAAGGTAAAACACGTACTGTCTCCTCCTGTTTCCTGATGAGATCCTAACGCTTGTTCATGTATTTGAGCTTCGTGCTGATTTATGTCATTACTGCCATAGTAAGATTCGTGCTGGTGGTGGTCGAAACTTTCCTGGTTTTGCTGATCGTAATTACCGGATTCCGGGTGTTGCGCCTGGAAATGTTGTTGAAGCTGCTGTTGAAATTGATGTTGTTGAAGTTGATGTTGTTCGATCTGCCCTTGGTGCATCTGTTCGTTTAACTGGCTTTGTAGGGGAATTTGATCCTTATTGACCACGCCGGCTTGTCCATTTTTCGTAGCCAAGGCCAATACAAAACAAAGTATCTGCAAACATAACTTATTAAATATTTTCTTATTATAAAAGTTAGAGAAAATCAAAATTCAATTAAATTAAATCTTATTCACAAATTTTAAAATTTTGGTAGGTTCATCACAAAAAAATCTATTCCAGTGCATATTATAAAATATATAAAAAAACGTTTCGGTCATTTGAAAGTAGTCGTATAAAAAACGGTTACGTTCTATTATAATCGTATCAAATCGTTACATTTATTTTCACTTTCTTCTTTTACTTAAAAAAACCCATTTCACTTACTATGACTGATTTCATCGTGAAAATAACCGAAGATTTCGAAGACTGATGTTAGAATCGCCGTTCCCGTGGTTCTTATACCTTTTCTCGGGCGTGACTTACAATTCTAATAGTGAAAGGCTTTCTACAATGACCGGTCACTTTTGAACTTCCATATTCTCAAATAATTATAGAGATGAATAGCACGTATGGATTCTTCCTTAACCAACGGGGATTTTGAAATGAGGGTAATTTTCGGAAAATAATAACAAATAGCACATATTCGATTTAAAAATTATATCTAACAGCTATCGAAAATAATTTTAATGGTTTAACATTTTCATAAAAAATGTAAGGAAATTTCGGAAACAATAAAAGTATGAATGGAAAATTTTTAAATTGGCGAACTTCGATGTGGAGCAAGCACAAAACGCTTTAGATTCCTAATAACTTGCCTTTTTCCTCTCGATTCGTTATGTGATAAGCGTGCAATCCGAGGAAGGTAAGGTTTCTTTTTCATTAGAGAATCATCGGTGCGGAAATAAGGTATAATATCGTGTCTCTTTTGGGAACACTTCCATGTCGCTCGGCGTTCAAGTGTCGGAAGGAACTCATTAAATTTTTAAAATGAAATCCAATTTTTTATAGGTATCTGTATCGTCCGTTAACCTGTTCAATATTAGTTTACTGTTGGAAAATAAACTGTGTATTTGGTTCTTTCTATTTTGCTATTAATAGATGCATTATCAAATGTTTTCATATTTGTCATGATAACCTAAAACACCATTTCTTGTCTTATTGTTAGTCGAATTAATTTTCGTTAATTTATTGTTCAGAATAAGCCTTCTGTTAGAGGTAAGAAATTAGTTTTTTTATCCACTAATCATTCTCTTAAAAAATACTAACTACATAATTTAATAAAAGCTTACAAACAGTACCTATAATTACCTAAAAAGCCGCTAGATCGTATTATTCTGATTATCTAGATCTGTTCTAATTTATTTTTTTGCGAATTAAATTATTAATGAACGGTTATTAGCGATATTATCTTTTGAGGCTATTATTATTAGCGCGCGTCTAAATTTGCTGTGAATCTACTTCCTTTCATTATTCATATAGGCGTATCAAAAATCCAATTATTATGCCTCCTACGTTCACTTTCCAAATTATGAATTTCATTTTATCTACACTCATTTTTGAACCTGTCTCGTGCAGGATGTCCCGAAATTGAGTAAAAACACAGAATATATGTATTATGCTCTTTAACAAATATTCCCTAGGATGGATTCTAGAAAACAACAATTCACTTATACTTAAATACAAAAAGATCGAATCAAACGTGTTATTCCAGGTCAAGTGATGGTCTATTAACGATTCTCTTGTATCCCTGCTATAACAGGATCTTACACAATTATTACTCGAGCGGAGAGTTGAATAGTTCACCCATTATCTTGTTAGCTTAATATTTCGAGTTTGAAGATACTCACTGGCGATTTAATCGGAAACATAACCAGACTTTGATATTGTTAATTGCAGCACAACTTTGTCGATAAAATTAATTGCACTTAATGGAACAAGTATAGTACAAGTAACAAATAACTGCTTATTCCCTACAAAATCAGTAGAGTGTATTTATTTTTGTCATTGAATCTAATAGTTCAATGCTAAATTCTGTTGCTTTGTAGAATTCCTGGTAAGTAATAATCTATTTAATAATGTCTAAGTATATATCCTTAGTAATTTTGTAAAGTACGTTCTATGTATCATATTGCAATTTATTATTACTTAACTTTCGATAGTTTGTGATAGTTTTGGTAACATAAAAGAACATAATTAAAGTACCTAAAGATTTTAATTTCCGGATATTTTGTAACATAAGCGAGAACGATAAATTAATTTAAAACAAATTAAACAAATTAAAAAGAAATATAATAAGTGTAAGTGGAATATAATATATGTAGTTAATATAGTTATAAAAATAGAGTTAAACATTACCTAAACATTATAGAAAATGATAATTAACAGGTAGGTAATTCAAGACTTTAACATACAATAATCAATACCATTTTTTTAAATATATGTATAGGTACTAGATTATATTTGTATATGCACCTCGATCATTACCAAAAAGAATACACTTCAATTGTCTAGGTAGTAATAACCGTACTTACATAGGTACTTACATGTTTGTTTTATTATAATTACAATGTAGGCAATAATTAATATATACACAGGAAAATAATTAATTATGTATTGATAAAAATTACATACACATACATACTATGTTACTTCGTATAGTTTTATTTCTTTCTTGGTAAGCGTTAGAAAATAATCGTGTAAACATATCAAAATAGTAAGTAAACAAAACATTTCCTATTAACTCCCAACATTCAGAATCATATTTTATCATGTTACACTTTCTTTTGTGTGTGTTCTTTTCCTTAAACAATCATCTTCTTAGTTCATTAATCAGATGAGGCTAAACAATCGTTTACGTTCATTTTTTTGTACGTAGAAGAAAGAAAATGGTGTTATTGGAGAGGAGAGATAATTTGTCTTTCTCGTGTTGTTTGAAGTAAATCGTTCACGAATTTGTTTCGGTCTGGTAACTCTAATTATTTATTTCGAACTTAAAGGAACTTATTAGGTACCTATACAATGAAATTGTTTCATATTCCATCAAGTTTAATTCGTATTTAATCTGTTATTATTCGCGTTGTTTATTTACGTTAATCCTTCACGCAGTTCCGTGATTAAAAAATATCGAAAAAATCCTCTTCCTAGCAATCGTATTTTACCGAATCGTTTAAATTTCACATTTTAATCCCATTCATAAAAAAATAATTTATTCAATTATCCCGGTTATTACGACGTGCTTTATTTGTGCGTTATGTCACGTTTTATAAATGGTATGGATGTATTTAATTTAGGATTAATATAAATAACAATCTGAGCATTCGATTATTCGCATCATTGTGTAATATGATGCTAAGTTCTTTATTTCTCGAAGCGATCGCTTTCTTGTGATACTCATGAATTATTCAAACGGAAGAATTAGGCAATATCTAATAGAATAGAGGAATTAATATTAGATCTCTGATTCAAGCTGTCTCATCCACTCTACTAGAGTTTAAGTTTCGTAAAGAGTATTTGCCGTTAATTCAACTTTGTTTGATGGTTTGAAATTTAATTAGAACCGAAAAGAAGTATGTCGGGGAAATGATAAAATTAAAATACAGGATTTTTTATCTATCGATCTACTAGAACGATTTAAATATCAGCATAATACTTAACTATCAGAAAGTTGGTGAAACTAGTATAAATTCTGTACATTCCCTAGCAGTAATAATTTGCTAACAAAAATTCAATACCGAATGTTTCGTTCAATTTTTTATTGCCAATTCATTATGCAATGTGTCGGTAGCTGCTGCTATATCTACGGCACTTTTAATTTCACACTTTCTGCTAATGTTAATGCCCGCGATTTTTATCTGTTCGGTTTTTTGCTTTATAGTTGAAAAAATTGAACGGTATATTAATTAAACGATTATTATAAAGCAAATTCATGGAATGCAACTTAGCGTTACAAATTAAATAGCTCCTCTTTGGTAGGAATTACCTTCCGAATTACCGATAAAAAGTCGCAATGCGAATTCATCTAGCGTTTAATTTACTTTTTTCAGATAAAATACCAGGTAGGTAATACCGCGAACCGGATATTTTCCAAAAGGGATAAATAAAACTAATATTGCATTCGGAAATGCTGATTTATCATCGATTGAATAATATGCATAGCGGCAGTGATATTAATTTATTAGCATAAGAAATCGATTGCGCGGAATGAATAGCGCTCGAAAATGAATTAATAAGGAATCTTTAAGTTTCTCCGAATCTTCGCGATACAACGAGCCATTCTTAAGATCCGGACAATGCGAAAAAAGTCGTGATTAATGGGTTTCGTTTTCGAGAAGGGCACAGGACAAAAAGGAGGAAGAAGGAGGGGTCCAAATACCTCAATTACTTAACGTTCCTTATAAATTGTTTGCTATTTTGTTATTTTCTTTTTGTTGCTCTTTCCAATACGTTCTGAATTATAAATTATTTAAAGCCAAAAAATTTAGATTAAAAAATTCAAGTCGTTTTTAAGTAGGGCAAGTTTAGGTGGGTCTTTTGTTAGACTTCTTTTTACGCAATATAACTTTTTATTTCTTACCGTTCTTAACGAGCGTTATTACATAGCTATTTATGTAGGCCTTGATACAATTTGTATACCTACATTAAACGTTTGTAAAAAAATCAACGTTTATGTAAAAAATTAAATTAAAAGGGGCCCTTATTCAAATAAATAAGCTGTTTTCTAAGGGTTCGCGGAAAGATCGACGTTTGCATTTCAAGTCGATTAGATCAAATGAACCAAAATAAAAGGACGCACCGAAAGAAACGAGCCAATTTCACGTTTATTTGCCTTTCTCTTTAAATAATAAAATACTCCATTTTTACAGCTCACAAAAAATTACATAGCCGAATTTTTTCATTCAATAATCGATAATAATCAACAATTCAAAATATCTGCTAATTGGCCAATCAAGGCTTGAGCCGACTGTGGTTTTTAAATTTTAATTCCTGTTTTATCTATACGAACTTGTATTACACTGTGCAAACAAATGCCCACCAATAATTAACACTTTCATTAAACAATGTTTTGACAAACGAGCAATTTCGCATGAAAAAATAATGCCTGATTGGCCGTTAAGCCCAGTTTAACAAATATTGCTTTCATACAAATTCTATGCGAATGCCCCGGGCTAAGTATTGATGAAAGGATTAAAAAAGAAACGATTCAAGCTCTGAGGAGCTTATTGTTAATTATACTTGCGAATAAAGTCGTTGTCTCTGTGCAATCGTATTGAAGATTGTTTGTTCACTGTTTTTCCCTAACAAAGGAATATCTATTCCATAGACATTCCATCAGTAATAACTCGAAATTATGTACAAATACTTTTGATTCTAATATAATTTACGATAGCAAAGCGAAGCAGAAATGTAAGTACCTTATATACTACATATTATCTGTTAGAATCCGTGTTACTTTTTCTTCGCGAGATTGTACCTTTAGGCTACGTTTGATTCTCTATAAATGAGGAAATGGGTATGGGTGAGTTTTTGCAATTAAATTATAATATCTGTTTTTCCGTATTATATGACCAATTGAGAGCTAATAAAGAACGATTGCACAAAAAATAATTAGCTAGATGTTGATATAATATAAATTTCTATTAAATAGTGAGTTATTAATGCAATCAATCTGCAACTTAAGCCGGACGTACTACTTAATTCTGTGTTGTAATTAATATGTATGTACAGACTGAAGACATCAGGAAGTTTATTTTTTATTTTATTTATGTGTATTAAGTTTGTGTATTTAAAGAATGGAATCTGGGTGCATTATGAATAAGAAGTTCATAAATACATTTTTATCTCCCTCTCGTCTTCAAGATCTAAAATCTCGAACAGTTTTTAAAGCCTTATAGCTTATTATTATTATTTCATCCATCCTTCTATCCGAAGAAAGGAATACTACAAATAGAGAGTATTTGTAGAGGGCTAGATTTAAAGGAAAATAAGTTTATTTGTATATATGCATAATATGGTATATTAAAGGTGGGATAAGATTAAGTTTTTATACATTTAAAAAATTTTATAGTGTATATTTGGTAAAACTTTGTAAATAGACATGTTCTGTTTACCGGATAAATATTCCAATTTTGAAATGCTTATTAATCTCGCTTCAATCTATTTGGTTTTACAAAATCTGAGCTTGAGCGAATATTTGAATATGTAGCCTAACCTAATATTTTGATTCTGTTTGAAATTATATTGGCCCGGGGCAGTTTCGATGCGACCTCTACATAAAACCGAATACCATCCGAACTGACCTTCGAGGAAATCAATTGAAAAAGGTGAAAATTCGTCTATCCGGGTTGACACGTTCGGGCGTAAAGTTTCACGTTATCCGACCGATTTCGTTCCGAAAACTTCAATAAATCTCCCGACAATGTAAAAATGAAGCAGCACGAATGGCATATCTTTTCTTATTCTCTCAAGGAAAAATGGAACGAGTCTCTCAGTTTTCTATTGAATCGTCTCGAGCGTTTTCGTCGCTTTCCGTGCACTTTATATGCATGGAAATGCATAAGAGACCAGCAGAAGCTTCGAAAAGACAGACGAAAATTTGGAACGCAAGATATATAATAAAAAGGAAAATTGCTGTCGATGAAGAAATATTTTTCTCTACGTTACAAAAATTCCTCTCTAAAAATAACGTATGTGCAATGCGATTGAATATCCAGTGAATATAAATGATGAAGAGTTTTTTTTGAAAGTTTGGAAAGTATTTAAGGTTAGTTTTATATCTAATACGATGTGCTAAAGTCGTTACATTCTTGAAAGATCGACGACACAAAAGGGAAAATTCTTTCCATCCGCTTGCTTCAAGTTTAATCTAAAAATCAGTAAAGTTGAAATTTAAAAAATTGCGGTTGAATCGCAAATAAAACCGTCCGAATCAAATATAATTCCGACAGGTCTTCCTGTAATCCGACCGGGTAATATAAAGTGGCGTCGAAAATCGCGGTCGTGAGGAAAACGCTGGAAAATGTTCCGTGTCATGGAAATTTCACCGGCCGAATTTGTTGTTTCCGAGCGATTTGTGAGTATATACTTTCGCAAATTGGACCGCTTATTGTTGGTAATTTTTTATCGGCCAAGTTTGTAGTTTATTTTACTTTTATTTTATACGGTTGCGTAACGAATCAACGTTGAAAAATGCGATCCGTGAGACCGACCAATTTTTTTTATTTTTTTTATTTTTTATTGTTGCTGTTACTCTTTCTTGTTTCCATTATTGTTGAAACACCCTGTACAAACTCAAATAAAAATCAATTATGCTTAATCTTGATTGACATTTTTTTCCTCTTCAGATAACAACAAATTTTCGAGTACCTACTTGTTGGAATTGTTAGTTCTCCTAAACCTGTAAAATATGTTGGTGTCGTTTATAATTTTCGTTTTACTACCATTTTGTTATATCTGTTACAAAAAATATGAAGCTTCACAATTCATGAAGAATATACCATGTGCACCTGGACGAAATTTTTTATTTGGCAACTTATTGAGTATAAAGTGGGGGAAAAAATACTCTGGTAAGGATCTTAATTTATTAATTCAACAATTTACCTAAACATGCCAGTTAAGTCTAATAAACTCTCTTATAATTTACACAGATCTTCTAGACATCCACAATAAATTATTGGAAAAACTTGGTCCAATATTCAAAGTGTATGTATTAGCCTACGGCGAATCCCTAGTTGTTGCTGATCCAAAATTTGTGGAATATATCTTAAGCTCACAAAAACTCATTGACAAATCGACTTATCACGCATTCCTTGACAGCTGGATAGGCACTGGTTTAGTAACGGGAGGTGGTAAGTTATATACACAAATAATGTATACTGTTTTTTACTACTTCAGATACAAAATTTTGTGATGAAAATGTATTTGCAGGTGCTAAATGGAGAAGACACAGACGCCTGATAGCTCCATCTTTCCATTTTTCAATATTGAGAGACTTCATTGATGTTTTCGAAAGCGTTGGTGACGTGTTTATTAAAAAATTGAATAAAGAAGTGGGTAAAAAAAGCGTAAATATTTCTCCATTGGTGTCCCTTTGTACCTTGGATATTATATGCGGTAAATAATTGCTTTTTTTAAACTTTTGTCAACTTAAGAAAAAAATATTTAGTTATTTTCTTTTTTTTTATTTATTTTTTTAGAAGCTACGATGGGTGTAAAATTAAACGCCCAAACAGAAGTCTCATCCGATTACATTAATGCTGTAAAAACTATGTGCAAAATTTTCATTTCCAGATTATTTTTCCCCATTCCAAAATATTTATATTGGCTGACACCTAATTATTACGCGGAAAGGAAAGCCGTAAAAATTCTTCACAATTATTCGGACACGGTCGTTCGCAACAAAATCAAAGAAAACTCAGTGGTAACCGCTGAAAATTACGACGGAAACGACGTCGATGAAAAGAAAAAATTGGCATTTTTGGACCATTTGTTAAACATTAACGCTAAGGGAGAGGTTTTAACGACAGCGGAGCTCAGAGAGGAAATTGATACTGTTATGTTCGCGGTTGGAACGTTCGCGCCATGACGAGTTTTCCTATGAAATGATTTTTACTTCATTTTAGGGTCACGATACGGTCTCCGCAACGATTAGCTTTGCGTTATATTGTTTGGCCCAGCACCCGGAAATTCAGGTAATACAGGAAAATGGAAGTTAACTATGAAGTTAACTAATATTCTGTACGTAGGAAAAAGTTGTCGAAGAGCAGAAAGCGATATTTTCCGATTTCAAACATGGAAAAGTAACGTTAGAAAATATAAATGAAATGAACTATTTGGAATTGGTTATTAAAGAGTGTTTAAGGCTTTATCCGCCAGTGCCTTTTCTTGGAAGGTTATTTTCCGAAGAAGTAGAATGGGGTAATTAAATAGATAATTAAAAATACCATCTCCCAAAATAAGAGCAAGCATTTTTTGTGCTCTAGTAGTGCACTAGTAGTTTTTTTAATAATTTTTTTTTTCGTTGTTAGAAGGAAATGTTTTTCCACAAGGATTAAACGTGATGATTTCTATATACGCGATCCACAGAAATGAAGAAGTTTTTCCCGATGCAGAAAAGTTTTACCCGGAACGCTTCGTCGAATCGAGTAAAATCAATTCCTATAATTACTTACCTTTTAGTATTGGTCCTAGGAACTGCATAGGTACGTAAAATAAAGAAAAAAAATGCATTTCAAATCGAACCGGGTATGTTTTAGGTCAAAAATTCGCAATGTTGGAACTGAAGACCATTCTATCGAAAGTAATAAGAAATTTTAGAATATTTCCGTCAGAACCTAATGAAAAATTGAAGTTAATTCCTAACGTTGTCCTGGAATCTGGAAATGGTATTTGTATTCGCTTGGAGAAAAGATAATCATGAACGAAAAGATAGACATGTTATTTATGTATCTGATATTTTTATTAAATAGTAGAAATAGACTTTATGAACTCTTGTTTTATTTTTAGCAAAAGAATGGTAAATTAAAGATGAATTAAGATAAATTTAATATGTATATTTGACATAAGAGATATATGATAATGTAATAATTTTAGAACAGAAATATACCTACTCGTAATTCTTTCCACTTTTAAATTATAAAAAAGTTAATGGAAGAATGTTATCGATTTGCTCCAATTATAAACAAATCGAGGAAGTATCTTTAATTTCGAGCATTTATGTGCAAAATGGCATGGTATGTGACACTCGTAAACGAAAGGCCTTTAAATTTTCCGATTGGAAGTTTCCAGTCGACAATTTTCCGGACTTGTTACAGGCAACACAGTCGCATCGACTTGTTCTTATTTCTTTTCCAACTGATGCATATAAAACTTTTAACAAGCTCCCAAGTTTTTTTGCCAGTTTTAAATTGAAAGATTGTACCTACTCGTTACAATGTATTGAATGAGTATTAATTGCTAATTAAATGTAACAATGGAACTGGTTTAACTACAAATGTAGGATTTAAATTATGCTATAAAATATCTTTATGAAACTCTTACGTTTGTTTCTGAAAAGGTAAAATAGAAATACAAATATATAGAGTTACAATTTAAAAACTCTTTAGAATTGATGAGGGATGAGTACATATATTTCGATATTGATATTCCGATTATACATATATGATATGATTTGGTAGTACATTTTTAAACTATCCAATTTCAAAACTTCACTCCGTAGCTGTATCGTTTGAAAGACATAAACGAGAAAGCAACAAAACGTAAGTACCTGTAATTAAAAATTAACTGATATAAATACGTAGGAATGTTCTGCACAATTGCCTCCAAAGCAGAATTTATTAATCGATATAAAGTAGCATTGTTCGAGCAAAACATTGTCTGTTAAGTAACTCTAAACTTCCAGAGTGAACGTTTTACTGCCTTCTTTAGCCGGAGTAAAAGCCCCAACGTTTACACGAAAGCGTTCGCTTACAACAGAGAACGATATCAATGAAAATGTTGAATCCCTATTCAAAGATGTAATTCAATAGCAAACATGCTTTTACAATATTACCTATAGTACAATATTGCCTATTAACGTAGTGAGCATTGTATAAGGTTATTTATATGCACAGCCGGCATAACGTTGTAATGTTGTAATCGTAATTGAACACAAACATTCACATGGGTATTTCCGATTTTTCTTTTCATATTTTCTTTAGGACAAATTACCATCGATCCGTCTTCTTTCCATGCAACCGGTCACGTAAAATTACGAAAATAAGAAACGGTTTAATAAAGGAAAACACGTTCGAAATTACGATTCGACTATTTTTCCTCCGCAGTAATTTCGCAAGGCGCTCCGGAGTTTTCATTTCTCAACGAATCGGACAGATTTTTCCTAGTTCATTCTCGTTCTTAAGCATTACGTCTGTTCGAGGTCGGAGACAATTTCGGCGGAATATTCCCCGAGGGATGATTATCTAGTTATGAAAAACTACGTACGTTATGTAGATCGCATGCGATGGGGAAAATGATAAGTTGGATATTTGCATATTTAGGAAATATATCGGTATTTCAAGGCGTTTAGGGATGCCCGTATTAATAGCTCAAAGAATTTCTGCTATGTAGTCTACATTTCGATTCGCAAACGAATAATAGAAAAAAAATCGTGTCGTCATTTTTGCAAGATCGCCGTGAATGCGCATAAATGAACTCCTGCGTAGACTCATTTTACTCTTTTCTTTTTAGCGGTAAACGTGACACTTTGAAAACGAAGGTAATTCTTAAATAAGGCCTCTAGTTTAATGGGAGATATCTTGTCTACGTTTTATGATAGTTATAAAATTTCTTCACGAAATAACAAGAACTAGAAGCATTTCTTTACAAAAAATAATCTTTCAAATCGATTAACAAAAATTAACAGTAATACAGGGTGTCGCAAAAAGTTGGGACTTTGATTAACTACAGACTTCTTCTGAGACACTCAACAAGTATCTACAAACAAATATTCTACATAGCATGGTTTCCCTATCGATTCTCTCCCATTATTGTTTTAAGAACACCGTAAACTTATAACGCTCTGGAACAGCATCATTGCGTAACGTAGCTGTTTAGCTATATTAGAACGTAATCTAATATTGAGGTGATTATTGTTGCAGGACGGCGTCTCTTTAGAAGGAGGAATTGTGACGGTAAGCGACAATGGCAACACGACGAACAGCACGTTATCGTTCACCCCAACTGCGGCAGACAACGGACTGATTCTCACCTGCAAAGCGTCGAATCAACGAATTCCATTTAGGTGAGTTCCTTTATGTAAATCGAGGGAGTTCTCTCAGATATAGGATAGATAATTGAGTTAAGACCGACTTGGATATTAACGGTAACGCTGTTGAAAGCGATTTTTTTTAATTTACCTGCTTAATTAATACCAATATCTTACACCAATTCCCCAGGAATCAATTAATATTAATAAATATAGGTATGCGGAATTTGTCAAATATTCGAGAATAATTGAACTCTTGCAGAGGTGTATTTCCTACTCAAGCGAGTCGAATTTCCATTTTCCCCTTTAGCGTTTGTTAATTCAACTCTAATTATATGTATTCATGGAAAAGTTAAACTTCGGGCCGTACCGAATAATCTTGTAAATATTTGGTCAGGCGAAATTTGTGTCAATTTAAAATTTCCTGTATTCAAAGAGATAGGAAACGCGCCCCGGATTTACGACGTTAAAAGCCTAACTGATCCAATTTGTTCGTTAGTTAGTCGAACTAAAATGCTTATTCTTGTCGAGAAGTTAGATTTCAAAGGGATTATTAAAAGGGGTTTAAGAAATAACTGGAATAAAATTGTATCTAATTTGAATTTAGCTTCTTAGATTTTTAACTAAAAGTTTTAACTAAAAGTTTCTGCCGATATGGGGCATTACATTAAGAAAGAAAACCAAATATTTGGTTATTGTTTCAGCGAACTCCAACGCACATGGATGCTGGAAGTCCTTTACCCCCCTAGAGTATCCTTAAATTTGGGACACGGGCTTAATGGGAACAATATCAAAGAGGGTTCCGATGTTTACTTTGAATGTCACTTGGAAGCCAATCCTAAGGTAAGATAGAAACTGTAGTTAAAATTGCAAAAAACGATCGTAATAATTCTATTTTCCCAAAAGTTGTTTAATGATAATTAAGTATTCTTCCAGTTCCAATAATTACTTCGATACTTCTAAATCCAAGATGAGATATTAAAAGTATAAATATTGAAAATAGAATAATGAAAGGTTTTCCGTGGAAAATCTGCGTAATTCATAACAATTAAACTTTTAATTAAGAAAGATGAGGGAGAATTTGAAACCTCTTGGTTTTCGGGCTAATTCAATTTGTTCTCTTCGAAGGAAACCTTATCCCTCGTTTCGGGGAACCAAACGACTGAAATTTAATTGTCAGCTGACCCGTGAGATATTATTTATTACCGAATTTAACAAACCCCGCTGATAAAACCAGCCAATCGACCCCGATCCAATTGAAAGCTCATGATTATTGCGTAGGTGTGTCTCAATACAAAAATTTTGCCTCTTTCAATTTCTCCAGCTACGTTTTCTCCAAAGAAATTTAAATATTTTCCACGAAAGTGCGAAAGTTTGTAAATCAACTAAATTAACATCAAAGCTACACATGAAACGCCACTTCAAAATTAATTATCTTCCAGCACATCTAAGTAGAGTCTTTTCAAAAATAAAAGAGGTGAAAACAAACGGGGATTCCACAAAGGAAACATCTAACATTTCATCGTATCGCTGTAATCGATACGTTTCAATTTCAGCTAGCGATCGCTTTCATCAACTCGAGTGCGAGTCTCTATTATTTATATTGCAAAGGTCGCGTTGGTCACTCTGACATGACAATAGGGTTTTTCGCCACCATCTTATTGCGTTACTTTTTCAGCGCTTCCGAGATATTTTAGGGTAAATTTAGAAACATCTCGATAGTTTCCACTCTAGTTCTGGACTTCCATATATTTTACTGACTTATCGGAGTGCATTTTCATCTTCTTTAGAACTCGAAATATCGACCTAATTGAACAGGGTGTCTGAACATTATTATTAATTTTAGAATTAATCAATTTCTCTATAATAAGTAATGGACTTGGTCGCAGTAATCTCCCTGTATTTTGCCACATATTTACGGTATCGATTACCTAAAAATTTACAACCCGCTTATAGTTTATCCTCTGTGTTTGAAAATCTGAAACATTCGGCACTCATGTCATTTTGAACATAAATTGTTAAACCCTTTTAACGAAATAAATGAGAGCTTAATAAATTTTTCCAATTTTATTGATGCCTCTCAAATAATTCAAATGAAAGAGCAGCTTTGTAAAGTACGTACAAAAATGTACTATCCAATAGTATTATTATTCATATATGAATAAAAATGATGTTTCAAAGAGAAAACCTGTGTACGAATAAATAAATAAAATCAACACATTTTTTTGCAACTTCAATATTCTATATAATATAAACCGTTACTCTTATATTACGTATAGAATAATCTATTAGTTTTGCACATTCGTTAATGCCGTGCTGCTTTATAGTTCGATATAAAATATTAATGTATGATAGAATAAATTTTATTGTCAAATTTAATTTTCTACATAAATATGGCATTTCGATTTTTATTATTTAAGTTATTTGGTAGGTACTAAAATATTTTAGTTTTATAACTCTCCTCTATTGCGCTGATAACAATTATTTAAAGTTCACAGATTTCTCTCTCGCCTAAAACAACCGGATCTACACACGTCCTCGATTTAAAGCGATTTACATAACGTTTAGAAAAGCTTTCAGGTCCGAAATTGCTTTAACGTAGTTGCGTCGAATGGATTCTCTCCATTTTTTATTTGTTTGTTTATTTAGTACTCGGTCTCATTTACATTTAATCTTTTTTCGAATTAAGTAAAACCTAAAGCGTATTGTAAACTTTAATACTGATTTACTGATTAAATACTTTTAGGTTTTGGATAAGTTTCTGTTTACAGAGAATAGCGGGAGATTTTATATTACGAACTCCGCATTATACTGCTATATATTATTTCATTAATACTAACAAAGTTTTCAAATTTTCTTTGACCTAATGGTTACTTTGACCTGTTTTTGGGACCTTTGGGCTAAACGAGCTTGCATGTTGGGGATAAACATGCCGGAAAGGATTTTCTTGGGAAATCTGAAATCTCAATTATCCGGACACAAAGAGAAAATAACAAGAAAACGAGAATATTACTGGTATGTAATAAAAATAAGGAGGAAATTACGTTGATGATCAAAGACTTGTTGCAGAATATTCTTCCTTAAACTTTCGATTTTATCCACAGCAACATTTAACCCAATTACTTTAGATTATGAAATATTCTTATTGAAAATTAACAAGATAATTAATCATGTTGAGCCCGGAAGTAATGAAGAATTAACAATTAAAAAATTACACTACCTGGTTTACCGTGAATTTACAAGCTAGCTAACCCGATTATTTCCGGGATAATATCCGGAGAATCGTAACAATTGTATTGATTTGCCAAGTGGGAATTTCTACCTTCGTGTATTGCTTGGAAATTAGTACTAGACCATGGAAATTGGCTTCGATAATTGAGTGTATATTGAATTCAATTAGAAATGATGTATACCAGCGAATAGCATGTGCCATTTCGAACCGTACTTATTACCTACATACCCACCTAATATTGGGGATAATGAATGAAACGCTTCAAACTTGAGCTACAGTTATTATCAAATCGTTGGAGATCATACAAAATATTCATTAAGCAACTATGACTTTCATATCACAATGGAGTAGTAACGATTAAAATTTTAGATGTGATCATTTTAGATGTGACCATTCATCTGAAAATTTTCAAAAATATTTTTTGTAATAGTTGGTTTGTTGCAGGTTCACAGAGTCTGGTGGCTCAGAGATGGAGAAAAATTGTTAACTAACAATTCCGCTGGTGTTATTGTTAGTAACCAAACATTAATTTTACAAGTAAGTTACTTTTTCAGGTAAATCATTTTTATTAGAACAGTGTATTAATATACCTACACTATTTGAAACACGAAGAAAACAAAACAAAATTTATTTTCCTGTATAACTATGTATGTTGGTTTGTATGAATTTTGCGGACAACTATTTAATTCCCTGCCAGTCTACACGTTCAAATTTTGTTGCTAATATTATTCGAAAACTTCCCGCTTTGTTCTACTTTTAATTCGGAGGAAGCCGAATAATTTTACTGAATTACAACAAAAATTCAACTTCCACGTTTACCTACTTCCATAATGCGCTTTTAAAACTTGCGGAAACCCGTGAAAACGTCCCGCAATAAACCAAAACACCTCGTCGGAATTACTGCGCTACGGCTGCATCGAATGCAATTTTGAAGGCTAGAAAAATAACGGCGAGAGACCGACGAAGTTATCTCATTTTCGCCGAGGAAAATATTTGTCCAAGAAAGTGTTTGCTGGGGTGGTATTCCTTCGTTATCGACTTAAATAAGTTTCATGGAAAACACACACTATTTAAATCTGCTTATAATTCCAGGATTTAATGTTGATTGAATTTTTAATGAAATAAAAATAATAGGATACAATGTTAATGTTACAAGGAACTTATAGGTGTAATGAAAGGTACGAGAAATTGAGCTATAATAATAACTCGAGTAACAAGCAAGTGGTAAGTGACAACATTTCACATTAGGATCTAATGAAATAATTTAATTCTAAGCCCATTTCGTAATGCGCACCTATATTACGCTTCTCTCTACCCTCCTTGTTTTCATCGCCAAATTTATATTGTTAATATTCTCGAAGAAGATGATTGCTGCTCGTCGTTGACATGAAAATTGCTTTCGTCTAAGAAAAATTTGATTATTATACGAATATCATGTTTTTTAAAGGAAAACTAAACAAATTGTTCGCGAATAATCATTTCGATATGCCCTAGAGATAAGGCGCGTTTTCTCTGAAAATTGAAAACCAATCGAACTCCAACGGAAAATAAAACATCATTGAGCATATTTTCCAGAGGGATTGAACTTACAGGAAATTACTTTAGGTATCTGTAACAGGTGCATTAGGTAAACAATATTTCACTACTATCAATATCTACTTTTGTACAAATTGATCCATCTTTAAGGAAACAATATTAAAAATGTCACTCAGAAATAAGCGCTGCAATAATTGTTACGAAGAACTTGCTTTATTTTACTAAAAAAGAGCTTATGTTTCTTCCTCTATAGAGCACAAATTGCTTATACAGCTTCTAATCGATAAACTTAAATTTCATATTCAAAATGTAGACAAAAAAAGGATCAGGCTTTTTAATATTCAAATGGACAATTTCCTAAACGAATTCCTACAAAGAGAATTCAAATCGCTGAAAGTACAACTTAAATTGACTGCCGTTTGCCAGAAAAATTTAGATGACTCGGAAGCAAAATGAAAACTTCAAGTACCTACTGAATTGGTTAAATTTAATTAGAAGTTAGAAAAAGTTACGGCTCCTTTTGCGGATACATCTCCAATACCTGCCTCATCGAGCGATTTTATTGGCATTTCAACATTAAAAAAACTGCGACGTTTTTATTGAGCTACTAAAGTATATATTGGAGTTTTCGAAGAATTGGCGCACTGGTTGAGCGATTATTTATTATATTTTTATTCTCTAACAATTTTGATTATGTTGCGGTGCAGTAATTTTATAAAATAGGTAAACCGATATGTATGTATGCTGGATATGTGTTGATGCATGTAAACACAGAGCCCCTAATGAATAATTACAAATTGATGTAATTACTACAGGGAAATAGTAGTTAGGGAATTGGCTAAATTCGATAGGCAAACATTGCATACAATTAGATAAATGCCAATATCATGGTATTCTTCAAACTGATTTACTGATTTCGCAAATTTAATTAATTTCTCTTTTATCTCTGTAGTTGTAAACTCTGCAAATTTAGTTGTAGATTAATTACATGAAGTTTTCATAAAAACGATATGTTTTACACAAAACAAGTGGTCGAAAGAAACCCACACCAAAGCAATTTTATTTCGAATCTATTAAAATAATCGTTTCAATCCCTTTACAGCGCGTAAATAGACACACCTCGGGCCGGTACTGTTGCGAGGCTACCAACAAGGAAGGTACCACCAAGAGCCCAGTCTTTCATCTCCGGGTCAAGTTCGAACCTGTTTGCGGAGACGTAGCCAGAAAAGTTTTGGGAGCTGCCAAAGACGAACCACTGACAGTGGATTGCAAAGTATGTACACCTAGTTATTTTAACCACCTATAGAATAGATCCTCTCTAGTTTTCCGATGTTTGTGAGTCCATTGTTTTTGCTAAAGCTCACAGATTTTTACCAACTTTTGCAGCTCTAATACCCTCTTGAAATGAGTATTGAATGAGAAGTGGGTATTTATGTAGATACATCTTTCTCTTGTAGGTTTTATATTTGCACATTGTTAATGCTGAATAGTGACGCCCACTTGAATACAACTTCATTATTAACCACTAATGATAGATGTTGATGAATGAAATTGTTGCAGCGAACCTTTAATTCAGGTTATTGCTTCGTTTATTGCCTCATAGAATTTATATCACACTTGCGGCTAGGCCGTGCGATTTTATCGCTACTCCGGGGAACTTTTGTTGGTATTTGTAGATTTATTTTTAACTGGAGAATTCGTACGAAGCGCAGTGGTTTTCCGAAGCTCGTGAATTGAATGAGAGTAGCGTAGGTGGCGGCGTTAATTTTCACGCTTACATTGAGGAATTTCCCGCGCATATTCCGCCCGAATCCCATTATATTCCTATAAAACTCCTAAACCGGAATCCAAACTCGCTCAAGTTTTCGTTGGTAATGCAAGGGAAGTTTTCGATAGTAACCCGCACATCGTCGAAGTAAAACCACTTTATTAATTGAATCCAATCTACGACGAAACACGACCGCAATCCGGTTTCGGATAGTTTCGGGTCAGCAGTTAAAATTCCATCTAATTTCCATCGAAACTACAATCCCGACGACTCGAATGAGTTTTCCAACGTTATTCCCGACCTTTTATCGGGACGATTCGACGCTCGAGGGCGGAGCGGCTCTTGCCAAAACCGTCGTTAAGATATATGCACCCGTGAACTCTTCGGTTTATCTATAAAATACCACGTACAATTTGACCGACCTTTAACTTTGATACATGTTCAGGGTTTATGCGCTTTTTTCCATCGTGTATTGTAGTTGCACTGATGGTGTATTTATTTATCCGCCAGGAAAAGGTCATTTTTTACAGGGTTGATTTATAGCAAAGTTTTCTACCAGGAATCAGGAATTGTTGCAATGAGGTTTTCTGAAATATAAAGAGGGATTTTTTTAATTTGATTAATTATATTTGGAGTATCGATTTTCGCGAAATTTAAGTCGTAATTTTAATTTCCCGAAAAAATACCGATGATTTATTGCGCCAGAGGAACGTGTCAATGCTAATGGGAGTTTCTCCGATTTCTTCGAACAGGATCTGAGCCGTTATTGATTTAGCCGATGTTCGAAGAGAGTTCCTGTACTTTTCCGGTAACTTTTCCACAAAATAAAATCTCCGGAACGGTCGCAGAGAAAATACGGGATTTGTTTCCAGCGAACGAATGTATCGCGATAAAATAGTCAAGAACCATTGGTTGAATTTTATTCGCAATATTTAACGTAGGTATTAAATAATCGATGTAGTAGGTACTGGATGTAGATATGAATATTTCGGACAAAAAACGAGTCAGTAATTTAAAATGATTTTTGCGATATTTACTTTATGTATATATATTTTTGTATTTGCATTTCGAATAATTAATTACGGAAGCCCGGAAAATGCGCAATTGGTAATGTAAAAACAGCTGTATAGAGAGAGGATGAATATGAATTACCTCTGCGTATTTGCAAAACTCTAGCGAACTGTTTCAAAAGTACGAACTGTTTTGTACTTCAGCGTTACAGTCGCGGAAATCCTACGTACGGTAAACGAAAATAAAAAATTTGTTATGAACTGCAAGTGACCATTACAGGCCGGATTACATTTTGATGAATGGCATCCTGAGTACAATAGGGACACCGACAAATGCTCTTCCGTACGAAAATGCTGCAGCGAAGAGTCGACCTACATTTTCCAGTGATAAAACTTTTTTTCCCTAACGTAAAACATCCGTAAATGAATGCAATTCGATGCATAACGTTAAAGTCTACAAACAATGAATACACGCATTCCCAACGAGCAACATAATGCACATTTTTTTGCAAATTGCAATCGTATTTCCATCGCTTGGTTAACAAACTAAACGTTTTTCCCCTAGACCAAAACTCACGTTTAGATGCTATGGACAGTAATACCGAATTCAGTGCAATTTATCAAGCGTTCTGTAACGATCTGCACCTGGCGTATAAGGCAAACATTTCGGTTACAGTCGGATAATATCCAACTGTTACCGTTTACCGCAAACTAACTGTTAAGAGTGTATATTATGTATCAACGAAAATGTCAGGCACGTCAGCCTCAATAATATATTGTTAAGTGCAAACCGACGGCTGCATATCCTATTAGATGCGTCTCTATCTCATCACAGAGCATTACCGATAAACAAACAAATGGTTAGTGCTTGTCGCGATGGTTGAAATGTAATTTAGTAAGATCGAATGAAAGATTCTTGCGAAGCGATTGTAAACATCGAACCGTGCCAACAAAACCTTATAAATCAGTTGATGGGACGTTGAGTTTTATGTCTATTTTGGATGATTTTTTGGGATTGTATTACAATTTTTTTCTAATCTTTTATTTGCAATTTCCTTTTACTTCTGTAACTTCCTTGTGTGTACTGTGCAACGGTATATTTTTGAAAGATACGACCTAATTTATGTAGTACAAGCTTCCTAGTTATTTTTATTTAATTCCTCAGGTGAAGACAATATCGTTGCCTCTATCGAAAGTAGAGGAGCTAAATAGTTTGCTTCCCACATCTCCCACCGATCCATCTATTGTAAAAGGCACGATAAAACATATTCCTAAATCTCGTCTAAACCTGCTCCTCGTTGCTGAGATGTGTGTACCTATTTCCGAATCGAGGCCCGTTATTTACGGTCTCATTTATTCCCGGGGAAAACTCGATATCCTTACGCTCTATTTGATTAAATCATAACAAATCGTCCGAAAGCCGGACGGTGTCACGAAATACGCGAAACGATGAGGATAGCAAAGCATCAATATCACTTAGGAGCCTCATCCCCCGTCAGTTTTTGTTAAGTCTTCAGTAGTTTACAAATTGATATCGTAAATTTCGCTTGTGAGGCCACCGCATCCTTTCGAAAATGTTTTCGTTATTGTCTCCATGTGACTGTCTGTCGTGTAACAATTTGTTTTTGTAGCTTGCAAAGAGAATTGTTCGCTTTACGCGGTTTGCCTATAACAAATCATGTATATACTTGATGGTACAAAAGATAAATGAAATTACGTTGTAATGTAGCAACATCTACCGAGTACGCAACGTTGCTATTTAAAAAGAACATGTTGTAAACGTTTATTATTAATTTTGAGCTAATTAATTATACTTCTTGAGTATTTAAACGCTTCAATGAATTTATTCACAATAGCAACTTGATATAATAAGCATTATATAAGCGGGTTAAAAGACTAAAATAACTAGGTTGTATAATAATAGCGTTGTATTATATTAAAAATAAAGACCTGTTCTATTATTCGTAAGAGCTTTTTCCTACAATTTAGGTATGATAATTAATTTTTCAAGTGAACGCCGAAATCAATATTTCTTTCTCCTTTCTGCAGCAAATGATCGAAATTCAAATAACTGTGCTCTATTTTATTTTTTATTTTATTTAGTCTGCTCCACCGAAGCATTGTGATTATAATGAATACGATAGGTATAGTTGCCGCATTATAAAATTCCAAATGCATTTCTGAAATATAAAAAGAGCATTACGGGGGGGTATATTTGAGATCCAATCTTTAGTAAGATGGAGTAAAAGTTTGCTGCGAAATCGCAGAAGTTTGAGTTATGAATTATGATGGATTATTTTAAAAAGTTTTACAGTTTCTATATAATAAAAGTGGCAGAATGGATGAAAGGGTTGTTTATGTCTTCGATAATATTACAATTGAAGAGCGTCGTAAAAAGTTCAGAGACTCTTGACCGTAAGTACTCCAGTTCTATGAAGAAGTAAATAGTCGCTTATTTTTAGTAAATACTAGAAAGATCGATGAAATATTGCATTATTTTATGTGTTATGAAAATGTTTTGAAGTTTCAAAAAGGAAATTCATATACGTTATAAATAAAGTACTCTGTATCACTGTTCGAAGTTTAATTATCATATTTTAGGTCAAGGGCTCTCAATTTAAAACTTTCATAGCCTTTGTGTAAAGAGATGCCAAGCAGCACAAAGAAATAATATTGTTGTTCTACTCAAGAACCTATAATACAAAGGAATAAGAAGCTCACTATATAATACATACTTATTCGAAATTTTCATAATATTCATTATTTTAATGAAATAATAGGTCATTTGTAGAAACTTTCGAGTCCTTATACAGAAGAAAGATTGTAAACACTTCAAGGAGACACGACTAGAATTCGAAACTCATTATTTTTGCTTTTGCCCTCGTTCTATTCATTTTAATACTCCTAATTGCAGCATTACAGTTGATAAAATTTGCAGTATATCTGCTTGCAGGAATGCATTTTACCTTTTGATTGATATAATATGAAGATTTTATCTTCAATTTTGTAAAATATTGCTGAATTTAAAATATAATTCTCGATGATTTATAAAAATTCAGGTAGGTTAATTATGATGCAATGATTATTTCTGCAATATATTTAAAAGCCGCGATAACCAAACGCATTAAAATCAGCAGCGCGTCTCTCCCTGAGGGACATAAATCATCATTAAGCGATATTAGCCCCGTCGAAGTTAATCCGAAATCCCCGAAGCAATATCTGGGCATCGCCTATTTTTTTTAAGTTCGCTTTTTCGACGTTCTTGTTGTTGCAGGTCGACGCGGAACCGGCGGCGACGGTGTTCCGTTGGAGTTTCAACAGCACCCCGGGGGTTTTCAGGGAGCTGACGGACTTTAAGAACGAAGCGGGGGGCACCAGCGTACTGACTTACGTGCCGAAGGTGGCGGCGGATTACGGCACTCTGCAGGTCAGTTATAGAAGAACTTTACGACGTAAAAAGGGTTCAGGGTGTTGTGAAAATTTCAAGGCAAATACGCAGTTGTTTCCTCATTTTTACAAGTTTTTTAAGGGATTGATTAAAAGTAGGCATTTATTAAATTGTGGGAAGTGCTTTCAATGTTTCATTCAGCATATGAAGCTACCATGCAACATTGTCACATTGTACCATGCAAATCTCAGATTATTTATGGCGAGTTTCAAATATTATAATAAATAAAAAACTACTTTAACCCTACTTCCTTAATAAACAGATTCTATTGTGAAACTTGCGTATCTGTTGATACTAACTCTTGTGGAAATATTCGCCGCTTACAATATTTCAATATATTCCCGATGAAATTCCCGTTCGCGAACTCAGGAATTCACCTAGAAAATAAAGGAAACAAACGAGAACAAACGTCTCGTACTGGGAAACACAATTCAAATCAAATTATTTTCTTTATGGGTCAACCGAATTCAAGTTTTTCGGAAAATGTTTGTTATATGCACTAAATTTAATCCGGAATGCGAACCCCATACAAACAGCGAGATCTTATTGGAAAATACCAAATATGTAAACAAATTCTCCCGAGAGAATTTTGTTGTTTTCGAGAACTCAATTTTTATATTAATTCTGTCTATATTCAAGGCCTTCTTGGGAATACCTCATCCCTTGATAATAAAAATTGATAAATACTGTGTGGGTATTAGCACATATAGAGGTCCTTAATGCATATTTTTGTGTATGAAATAAATTGCACCCAAATGAATCGAAACTAATATGAATTATTAGCGGAAATAGGTATTTTAAATTTTTTCTTCTATGTAAATAATAGAAACACAAACAAGTCGATAATCTGGAGGTTTTAGTAACATTTACACAAGCATCATACGAGTAGTTGATTAAAAGATTAATCGATTTTACCAATTCAAACTAACTAATCCGTTCGATTCGAACACATCGAGGACTGAGCGTCGCGGCGCGTCGCTTCATTACGTTCGAATTGCGTTATTCGTCTATTCGTCGCGACCCCCTTCGGGAAAATTACCGTTTGTTCTTCGACCTCAATTCCTATCGAGAAAACGAACCGTCTCCCAAGTTCGCCGCCATAAGTTTTCGGGGCTGTTTTGCAGATTCCAATTTTTAAGTTTTAACACCCATTTACCGCAGACGTGCTCCGACTAGCGGAGCGGATTTTAAAGGGAAAAGGCATTCATTATTGTCTGGCTCACCGCCCCTGTACCTACCCCAGCGCGATCTTTTCCCCGGCACGATATAAAGTTCCCGTAGTTCGAAAGAAGGTATTAAATCGTTGCGTTTTTTTAGAATATAAACTACTAAATTGTTTTCAGGTTTCCTTTAAAAAAACCTAGTTTAATACAAACTGTATATTTTTAATATTGTTCAAGATATTTACAATAATTTCTTGTATCCTGTAAGTTTGAGACTAAGCAAAATTAACTTAAGAATAACAAATAACACATGATAAATGAGAAGAATGAAAAAAATGCAGGAAGACCGTAGGAAATTAATGTATTCAATTGAAAAAAAGACATATTGAATAAATTTTGTAGAACATAAATAGAATATTTGGAGGATATGTTAAGTGTTCATAATCAAAACATGGACATTAATCTGGTATTGAACATTGCAGTGCTGGGGCCAGAACGACATCGGAACGCAAATGTCGCCTTGCATTTTTCATGTGACTCCTGCGAGTCGTCCTGATCCGCCGCATTCCTGCGTCGTGGGAAACGTCAGTCACCATTCAGTGTCTGTATCCTGCAAAAAAGGTTTTGATGGAGGTAAAGTGTATTGTTCATGAGCGTATTTTGTTTTAATTAATTTGGTACCTAGTTGTAATATTTTAGAGCTCTGCATACAAAACGTCATTTGTTAATCGTTTTTTGCTCGGAATAAAGTCTATATGATCTAATAATAATTATGGCATAGGTATAATTAACAAACTGAACAATTGCGTGACATTTTGTGTGTTAAATATTTATATTTCAATTTTAACCCGAATTTGTAATCGATAATTTACTATTCGATGAATTGAAATGTGAATTGTAAAGCTCTCTAAATTAGCAATTATTATTAGGCAATAAATTTTAAGCGATATTTCAGTGTAGGAACGCATTGTAGCGCAACTCTCCCCCTACACACATTCGATATTCAATCTTTCAAAATTCCCTTATATTTACACTAGACGTCACAACATGAATAATTCAATAACCTTGGCAATTCAATTAATCAGATTAAAATTTTGTTGATTTTACCTAAGGCATCCTGTCCAATGTAGTGCCTGTTAAAGCGGAAGATCGTGTTGTATGTACGTCCATTCATTTTTGCATCTCGCTCAAATGACGTTACTACGCGAGTTTAATGATATTAGAGGCGCAGCCAGTCGGTGTTAGTTTGTGCAAACGCATACTTTGCCAGAGGGAATTGTGACATAACACAATGCTGTTAAACTGAACGTAAACGATCAAGATTGAACTCAAATAACACGTATTAAGAAGAGTATTTTTTTTTCGATTGAATCTCCACGAATATTAACGTACAAGCAACCCATTTTTTTCCTACAATGATTGTCCACAAATAATTAATTAAGCACAAATCATAAAAAGAACATATCGTCGGAATCCGCTTGCTATATTTCGCCTTGCCAAATATTACTTCAAGCTGAAATATCTCGGTCGCGAAGGCATTGTGGCCGGAGACACAGTAATTGCCTGAATTGGAAATGAACTCCTCAAAATATTGAGCTCCGGCTTTGGCGCGGGATTAGGGGCGAGTTCGCTGCATTTAATCAACGATTCAAGATGGTGTAAATGCATTCATTTACTGTTCACTTCTCTATTTAAAAGGAATTACCGGGGCCCTTTCGGCGGGAAACTTCAGATTTCGGTTCGGAGTTTGCGGATCAACGCACGCTCGATTAATTACCTGCGCCAGTTCAATTGCTTATTAGATGGCTGTTCGGCATCCCGAATTAAACTGCAGTCGATTGGTGTTCTGTTAATATGCATGCATTAATGCATTAATCTTAATATGTCTATATTAGTTGACTATCTGTTTCAGGCCTAAGGCAAAAGTTTGTTCTTACTTTGCTCTCGGGTGATGTAATTATCGCCAATCTTTCCTCTCAATTGGCTTCGGACTTCAACATATCAAACTTGGAAGCCACACACGATTACTTAGCAACCATATATGCAGTAAATGCCAAAGGGCCTTCAAAACAGAGCGTCCCTTTAGCGATTAGAACACTACCTGCTCCAAGTAAGTCCAAAATCAGGCAAACATTTAACATTTAAAATATACATATCTTCAGGTAGATATTTTATTATATTAGAGTATTTTTAAAATAATCCTATAACATTGTAAGTATTTATAGGATTTAGGTATTTAGGTCCAGACTGACTTTCAATTAGCACAGTTGCCCTTCCAACTAATTTCAAAGTATAAAACCAAGTCGGTATATAGTAGATTTGTCATCATTTCTAAATATATACGCATATAGTTTATAAAGTTTGTACAGATTTAATTAAGCAGAATAACATGTATTTTACATCTTAAAGTTATTCGAGCGGCTTAACTGAGGCGTATAAAGCTCGGATTCGGAATTGTGAATTGTTGAATTGTCTCAATTATTACGCTTCTCATGATGTAAATGACAGAGATTTAGTCAGTCAAATTCACCGTGAAATGAAGAGAATCCAACTTTAACTGCGGCAAGATAAGAATAAATACTTCAATTCCTCCGCGATAGTTGGAAGTCGGCAATTATTCAAACTTAATGTAACTATGATGGCATAAATAAAACTTTAATTTTAATGGTTAAAGTGCATAAGTACTTATTCGTTGGCTGTTTTAGGTTTAAAGGAACAACGACGTTCAACAGGACCTACAGATGGTGCCCTTAAAGCTTCCACTGGTCCTTTAATGTATATATTATTAGCGGCTGGATCGACTTTAATAATTGCAGCCGCTGTTGGTGTAATAATATTTGCTGTTAGAAAATTTAAGGTAAGCTCGATTACTTGTAGAAATATTATCTCGTCTTTTAACTCTTATTTCCGTCAATTTTCTATTTTTAAATCATGTTGGAAATTTATTCAAAGTCATTGAACCAAAAAAATCGTTAACTAGAGAAAATAAATACCAATTACTGTCGTTTTCAATTTTTTTGGCAAGTACCTTATCATTATCCGGCTATTTGTCGCCTCGGTTTTATTGGAATAATCAAATCACACTTATACATACCTGCAACAGACGTTGAGTGGTGATTTAAAAAATTAATTCCTCGGGTAACGACAGGTAGGTGGATGGAAATGGAATCGTCCTGGCTGTATACATTACAGCTGAAACAGACATTGATTGGTTATTAAAAATATTTCAGGGCCATCTAGAGGTATGTAGGAGGAATTCGCTAAAAATTGAAATATTCATTAACCGAATATTGATCAAATCGAGCTCACGTAGTCAACGAGACCTTAGTTATGTAACTATTTTCGGCGTAGAAACAGAATTAAGTGATTATAACTTAATTAAATTTGTAACTATCGAGCTCATGCATCGAGCGAGACCTTTGTTAAGTGTCCATTGCGAAGATATACCAGTAGGGCTACGGAAACGCAGCGTTAAGCGGTAGAGCCCCTTGCTAGCTTTAACGAGTAATAATATTAAAAGCGAATAACACACACATGCGTCGCGACGCCTGAATCCAAACAGTCCTCTCCGCAATAAAACGATGCGAGGAAACGTAATGGCGGAGAACCGAGCGATAGATATAAAATATTCAAATTATAAATGAAAAATCCGGCTAAATGGGTGTGATGGCAATCGAAATGACCATTGGAAGAGATCATTTCATCGATGTTACTCGTGGAAAAATCGCACCGGAACGCGATAGGTTCGTCTCGTCTCGCAAACGATAATTGAATCGTTAGAGGAAAACAATCTCGGAAAATTCGTGCGACGAAAAAACCGTTTCCATCGACGAGAGTATAATAATTTGAAAAAGGTTCTACGAGTAATTTTTACAGAAGTGAAGATGCTCGTTAACTAAACTGAGGTTTTCTGAAAATAACTTTGAAAATTGTCTTATATTAAAGTCTAAAAAAACAGAAATTAATATTAAGAGTTTGTTTCCAATTTTTTTTGTGTTCACTAATCATTACTTGCGATTATATCTGTCTGTACCTTATCCAATGTAGCTTGCAGTTGGAATATTTTAGTAGTTGGATTAGAGAGGGGATTTCAGAGGTAAATTTTAGAGAAGGTATAGGGTAGGCAATTGACACCAATTGGAAATCCATTGGAAATTTGTACAGTCCGATCATTTCTTGGGTAGTGAGAGACTCCGTCTTTCTTTAACATCGTTCATCTCTCTTGCCCTTTTGCGCATCTGATGCGATTTTCAACAGCCAAGCTACATTCGGTGAGGTATACTTCTCTAAATTTTTACAATAAAAAAATAATTAAACTTCCACCGCACGTTACGTTAATGTAGGTACAAATACTTTGCACTATTAGTAACACAAATACTAATAGGCAAATTCCAACGACCTGTTGGTAATAGTTTTCTAAGGGCGGGTAATTAGCAATGTATTGCACAATGGAGGCGTTGCAGAGAGTTCTTGCCGCGCTAATTGACTGCCGCCGGTGATTCCAGAATTTTGACGCGAAATCCTGGACTCCTCTAACCCGTCGAATCACTCGCGGCCGACTTCATTCGGGAAAATCGATAACATTTACGCAAGGCGGCGAATGCGAAGGAGCCGTATTGTTTGCGTCCTTGAATGGGGCAAACGGTTAAGTGTCTCGCTGGGTATTATCAACTTTTATGAGCTGCTCCGGCACCGACCCTCATCCCTTTGACGACGGAAAAAATATTTTTCATCCGCCGTTATTAGAAATTTACGTTCCATTGCGATTGTACGTTTGTAGTTAATTAGTTCTATCGAATGTACTATGCGGAATTGGTTAATTAAAATTATAATGTACTTTGTAGGTGGATAGTCCGGTTCGGCACCCCCGCGTAAGGAGTCCGAAAATCGAGGAAAGTCCTTTGACTGCCCACGTTCAGCCCCTCTATACTGATTCTGCATCAGACGAGAACAATCCGGATTTAATTCCCGAAGCTCCAAATAGCGGTGAGTTGGTAGTTATACCAGTTGCATACTCCGGTCACTGGAATAATAGATACATACTAGTGAGTGCTGCTTAAATTATTCAACTACACCATTGTGTTCAACTAATAATACAATATAAGCACATTTCTGTTAAATAATTTAACCAGCAATGTTTGATGTATGGTTATGTTTTACTGTTTTTTTTATTTTTTTAATAGTGTTGTAAGTGGATCAAATACAAATTCATAAAAAAATTGATATCGAGATACACTCAACTCTCGTATGCCGATGCACAGCCATTAATTTAGTAATTAAATTTCGAGGACCAGGATGACAAGATGTCCTCTTAATGTCGACGATTTCTGCTAGATTTAATGGTTCGTAACCACTCGAAGTCTGTAAAATCTCTCCAGAATACTCATGTTAAACGTTACCGTTCCGGCCGATTTCCATTAATTGAATAATATCCCGGTTGATTGCCTTAATTAAGTGTCGCGACGCAGACGATCATTAAACATCGAATCGATAAAGCAACAATAAATATCGCTTAATGTCCCACATGATTTTAACGTGTTTTTTTTTTGCTTTTTCAACGTTGCCAGAGGTCTTCTGAAGAGCCTTGATTAATTTTTCTTTTATCTTCATTTAGGGACTTTTTGTATGAAAAGCCCGTATTATATTTTTTGTTATAGTGCGACATACCTGTATACAAGTCTTTTGAAATTCATTTACTTCTCGAGCACGATTTTTTTTAATTTGAAAATTTTCGATCAACTTGGAAATTCCATTAAAGTCGGTAAATAATTATCCTTTTGTACATACGAAGGCAAAAGAAAGACCCTTTCCGATTTATTTTCATGGCGGGCGTTCTTTAATCCGAAGCTCGTCGTCGTCGCTCGTTCGGTCTGGTATGAAAAAGTTTTGGATTTTAATTTGAGCCAGGCCCTCGAGGCTCCATATCATCCGAGGACCGGTCGCATCCGCGATCCCTCGGGGGCCCGAATGAAACTTTTCACATATTGAGTGATAGCTGAAAACTTCGGGAAAATTCGTTTGCGGTCACGGTTTTCTCTCTGCAGCTCTGCGCTTAATTCGACGCCAAATAGAGTTGATTAGTTGTCTCCCTGAATTAATTGTTTGCGGCCCTTTAACGAAAAAAACCCGTCTCGCCTACGCGTCGAATGCCTACGTTAAAAACGATTATTCGAGATCGTTTAATTCGCCGCAATTTCCATCGATTTACCCTTTTTATCGCTTTATCGAGCTCCGTGGAATTTTCCTAAATTAAAAATTTTAAAATGGCGTTGCTGTGAAACTTATTAAAATTGGAATATTCATAAAATGTTCATATTGGCTTCGATCTAATGGGCTGAATTATTAGAAATTATTAGAGGAAATTCGAAAATATGAAGGCTGAGTCTCCAACAACGGGACGGAGTTTTGTAGGCAAACGGTAAGAGATTTTTATGGTTGCTATAATTTAAAATAATAATAATTTAAAATAACAAAATAAAATTGCATGCATATAATTTTTAATGACCATTTGCCAACAATACTCCGTCCCCTTGAGCGTGACACACCTTGTATAACGGTTTTGGAGAAAAATTTAGTCATCTCGAAAAAGGACCCTTAAATAACAAAATTATATACTTTTTATCTTTGTACGTATACGTATCTACGAGGAGAGTAAGAAGAGTAGAAATTTCAAGAGATAATTGCGTTATATCCACAAACAAAAATTTATATTAAATACGTCTCTCACACGTATTTCGACACTGACAGATAGGTCTTAAAGATATCTAATTGTTTCAATTAGTCGGCGAAGGCGAGGAATTTTTCGTTGTCTAATTGCTCCGTTCGGCGTATACAAAGACAGAAGCAGAGCTGGTAAGTGAATTTTCTTTTGTGCCCAAAAAGGCCGATAATAAAGCGGATAGGTACGGTTTCGTCGCAGTTATTTAATTTAAAATCTGAATATAAAACGGCCGTTCCTCGCCTAATTTTATTAGGAGCGATGCGCAACTTTATTTCTTTGAAGTGGGTGCTGGGTAGGTGATTACCTAAATATACTTATCAACATCTACCAAGAAAATATCCAATAAAATATCCAATAATAATAAATAAATTGCAACAAAACATTCGAAACGTCTACTACTTTAATTACCTAATCAATCCATGAAGTAAGTGAACTTAAACGAAAGTAGAACATTTTGCAGACTTCAACCACAGTTTTATTATTATTTTTTTGCCGATTATACATGATTTATTCAATGAAATTTCTTATTGCAGAAGCCCTGCTGACCACGTCGGTGACCCCGTATACGATAACGCCTCGCCCATCGAGCAAACGCAACTGTGCCACGCAAATGCCAATCAAACCCTACCACGTCACCTGGGCCCCCATCCTGCAGTCGCGTAATTGCTCCACGCAAACGCCCCCGCCGCACAAGGAGAGTTCCGTCTAGTCCGCGGATGCGCCCCCGGGATCTCCTTGCGGTCCCAGGGGTAAGTCGCGCGGCTCCTTGAACCGGCGAGGCGCTCGCGAGCCCCCGTCAGGATGCTGGGGCCCCGGGTGCGTTTTCGTCGTCGACGGCCCCTCTAGCCGGACATGCGACCGGCCCTGTCTCCCCAATCAAGAGTCTCGGCACCGGGACCAATACCACCTGTGATATTTGTGAATATCTCTCATATTTTTAAGTATTATCAAATGAACTCGACGTTTTAAGCTGTTATTTATTTCATTGTCAATAAAATATCATTACATGTGTATTAATTTATTTTTTATTACTTACATAAGCATTTCGATCACGCTTGCTTCAAGTAATCCCTATCCTTTTTTCTCCAAAAAAAACCACGATTTTATGAAACTAATTTCCTAACTGAATAGCTCCATAAGTAAACGTACACAATTTATCTAACTAAAAAGAAGTTGACATACTTCAAAAATCATACTTGTCAATAATGTCAGTCGTTCTGTCATAGTCAGTTGGCCGAATAAAAACAATACAATAAAAAGTATTTAATTTTTATCTGTATTATGGGTATTACAAACGAAACTAAGCTTCCAACTGAAGAGGAATTGACCGTACAAGAAGTGAATTTGTCGGGGCCGGCTCTTAAGGCGGCTGCCTTTCACGTAGGAAAAGTTTGCGAATGGGAAAATAATGTTAGGTTAAATATTACCTAATCGATGTCGGAGAATAATTTCAATCTTTTCTTAGGAATTCGTACTGTGCCGAGAGGAGACGAAAGATCCTAGGCAATGTATAAACGAAGGTAAAGCCGTGACGTCTTGTGCTTTGAAATTTTTTCAACAAGTTAAGAAAACTTGCGCCTCGGAGTTTATGCAATATGTAACTTGTTTGGATAAGTCCAGTCCCGATCAGCAGTTTACACCGTACGTATTTTACTTGTAATGTGAATCACTCACACATTTTCTTATTTCATCTAAATCTCGTGTAGAATACAGGTTTCAAGTTCGATAGATTTTTGAAGATATATTGACGTATTTGCTTACAGGTGTAGAAAAACTCAAGCCGTTTTCGACAAATGTGTTCTCGATAACTTGGGTTATGAAAGGGCGCCATTTGACTACTTTCCTCGAGTTCATGTTCATAAAACTGAGAGACCGAAACCGGAACCAGAGAAACCAACCGTTTATCCAGAAGCTGTGCCTGGTCTTCCGGAAGATGCTCCAAAGCCCCCTGCCAAATACGGAGGAAGATACATTTTCCAATGGTAAATGGGGGTATTACTGAAAAATGTAGTTTCTGCATCATTTAGTTTCGTTTGTAAATAAATGTTCTTTTACCTTGTCATTACTTATTATGAATTAAATATTATTAAAATGTTAAAATCTAAATGTTTTTATTTTTCGAATTAATGACGAAAATTATTCCGATTAAAAAAAACAAATTAGATTTAATTTTAGGCAAATTGTTTATTTACAACATTCCAGTCTTATAGTTTAGTAAATATACAGTAATTAAAAATGTACATGGACTCAAAAGAATCAAACTCAAATTTACAACAAATATTATAACGACACACAATACAATATCTACTTGATATTCTACTATGTTAGTAAGTATATGATGTACACAAAAATACTATATTACAATAATTAATAACCAAGAATACTATAATATATTCGTAAACACATTATAATATGCATAAAATGGCCAATACTCGATCGTTTTTAATAAATAATAGCGATAAATACTGGTCAATTTATACTGTAGAATTTTATATTATTTCCTTATACAATTCTCCTTCTGATCTTGTTGACTAACAATAAATATTTTTGGCAGTGATATATGATACGTGGAAACTTCATATAATTCATTTCACCACAGATTAAAATGGTGAATTCATTCCTAATTTTGTACCAAAGTCTAGTCGAGCTCTTTTCAGAAACCGCTCTTTAACCCTTAAAAAAATCATTAAATTTAAAAAACCCTTTAAATAAATTAACTTACATGATCTCTTGTTTCTTTGTCCACTCGTTAACGATGAAAACAATGAGGGGAGATAAAGCCGCGAAAATAATAACCCACAAAGGTATGTCAAATTCTTTGTTACTTCCTTCAGTGTCCACGATTTTATAGTACATGCCTAACGTGTAGGTCGATTGTAATACGATCCTAAAATTCACGAAACATCTCATTAAACATTTCCATTTAAAACCCCAATGGATCTACTTACAATATAAAGATGGCAAACAACCAGTACGAATTTTTATGCGGCGATTTTTGATAAACCAGATGATCACGGTGCACAAATCCAATAGAAATCACGACTAGACAAATAATTGCATCATTAAAAAGTTTTTGAATAATAAAAAATACTCACCGAAATGTAGTAAAATGATAAAGCTTATTATCAAACGAGCCACCAAAAGAGTCCACTCGTTTTCATCCCAACCGCCCATCGATACCGATTCGGTCAATATAACAGGATTGTAAAAGAAAGCGCAAGTACAATTAGGAAGAACCGCACATATTTGGCCGCAATGATCGGTTAATATACCAATATAGCATACCAATACAACGAAAAACATCACCATAAATTTGGAACCATAACACCACAGTATAAAAATAGCAGCCTAATAAAAATATCGTGTATGTAATAACAAAAATACGTCGGTAAAATGCATACATACATGCCAATTCGTTAAATTTTGATTTTTTCCTTGTGGTTTTTTCATCACGTCTGGATCAATCGGCCTTGCCATCAATGATATACTAATCAACGGAACAACTAAACAAGAAAACCACAAAACTTGTCCTGTAGTCAGCAGACCCGGCAGCATAAGTACCGCGGAAATTACTTGCAACAAGCTTAACGCTATGCAGCAGCACAACCAGAATTGCCCAGAGTTCCAAATTGAAGTTATAAAATTCCTGGATTCCAATATTAACCTGTAAATAGGAAGCTGGGAATCCCTCTTAAACGACAATGAGCAAGGTATGGAGTTCAATTGCACTGATAAATCAATCGGACCCAATCCGTTAGCATGTTGTTTAAAAGGTTTCAGCTTTTGGCACACTTGAGGATATAGAGGTTCCACTGAAATACTGCAAAAAAGAAATTAATAATACAACGTATTGTATTAATGTTATGGTAAAGTAGCGCTTACCTTGCGTCAGCTTGCATAAAAACGCCGGCATTTTCGCAATTCTCCGCCGATCCCAAAATGCAGACGACTTCGTTGTAATCCTGCATAATTTGCAGCATCTCCCTGGTAACGTCGGGATTGCAATCGGTAAAAAGCGAAACTAAAAGAGGAACGTTGTCGATTAATTCGATATGGGGTCTAATTTTGTCGATTCCCCTGGGCAACTTAGCCTGAAATCAAACGATTATTTCGTTCGAGAAATCCGCTTAAAGTAAGCGCACTTACTCTATTACTCATATCGAAATTGATCGGGGCGCTGTGCTCGGTGCTCTCTGTGAGATTGCTCAAAGATTGCCATTCGTGAGCGTTGCAGTCGGGTTGTAACGGAGAACTCTCGTTGCTCATTTCGTCGATGTTTTCGTCCATTTGCTCGCATAGCTTTCGTTCGATGTTGAATTTTTCGACTTCTTTTCCGAATTTCACCGTTGAAAATTCCGTGTTTATTGCACCGGGGGCTGAGAAGCTCATCGTCCTGGACGACTCCAGGTTACTGTCATAATAAAAGTTTTATTAGTAATGAGAAATAGGTGTATTTCAATACCTATTTTACTGGTAAAACTACCACTTTTTCGTACCAAATTTACAATTTCATTAGTGGTTTAAGCGCATAAAAAGAAAAATTGTGTAAACCTGTTAAAACCTGATAAGTAAAATAGTGCTACTTAATAAAAAGCAGATAATTGTAGAATTGTAACAGCGACAGATTACCCATGCAAACATGCAAATCTCTGGGAAGAATAGTTTTAACAAATAATACAACAATAAATTAAGTATAAGTGTACACAAAACATAAAATTGTGTTCCATAACTGCATATTTTTCATTAATCCCTTTGATTCCTTTCGATAATTACAGTTACCAATGCATATAAACAATAAAAAAATCATACTAAACATCTACAGCATCTACAAAATAACGAAACTGAAGCTAGATTATCTATAGAGAAAAATACCTATCAGTAAAGAAGGTCATATCATCGACACGGGGTGAGTTTGGAATTTTCCTCACTCCTTGTACATTACATCTCTGCCTTTGCTGAGGTGGGCTAGAATTACTATCAGCTTGTCCTGAATTTTCACCTCTGTCGAAACCCATCGAAACATTGAACACATTTAAACATATAAATGAATAATACGAATTCGATCATTTGGTTAACGTAAATGTCCAAATTTCCGAACATCGCAGAAATTTAAATTTACATTTACAAACATGCCACAATGAACAACATTTTGCGATTCGCAAAATATGTTTTTTTAAATATTCGGGTTAAGTTTAATAAACAGTTCCATGCTCGTGAAAACTGACAGTTAAAAGCATTAGAATGACAATCAAACACACTGATACCGGTCGAATAATGTAGAAAAAGTGCGACTGTAGCGATTTTTTACCTGTTTCTTTCGCTTAATAAAGAAATGTGGCAATTCCATCCGCTCTCCAGGCCCATTTTTTCGCTGAAAACTCTCGAACGAAGTTCATTTTCTTTACTGAAATGAACGAACCGGATGCACGCCCTTTCAAGTTGCTCTATTAATTGCACCTAAATTACAAAATACAATCAATTTAGGAAACTTGTACTAATAAATGCACATTTACCATATCTATTAAAGCTTGATATTGCATCGTTATCATGCCTATGAATATCTGGTTGCACTGCATTTGAAAACAACTATCCGCATCAGTTACACCACCTGCAGGGCATTCGTTATAAAGTAGGGAATCTGCAATTGAACAAAAACGTTATATCATTAATCCAATTAATAATTCCAATATTTCTCGTCAATTTACCGGCGCTGTAAAAATGGTTCGTTTTTATTTTAGCATCTAAAACACCTTTAACCTCCCAATGCACAGGCGTTGGACTTCTCTGGTTTAAATACAAATGCCTGGAATCACTAGGAAATTCTAGATACACTTCGCTTAACTTCGAATTTATGTTCTTTGAAAGTGGCCTGAATAAACAATGATAATATTAAAATATTATATAGAATATTCCTAAAATAATTCTACCTGTAAGCAAAAGCAGTACAGTACGCGGTCAAGCTGCTTCTCTGATAGAAATCTTGTATTCTTTTTCTATCGGTATTAGACAACGGAATTAAATCGCGACCGTCCCAATAGTCCACGCACGAATCTAAAATAATATCAGCGGTTCCTTCGGAAAGCAGCTGCATGTTGCCAGTGGATAGCTCTTTAACGATAACGGCAAACATGTGAGGAAAGGGAAATTTTAATTTAGTAGATAGTTGTAACGAACGCGCGTACTTATTATCCCTCCTCACCATTTCAGGTTGCTGAAACAGTTAATGTACAATTAAAGTACCTAATAAGTTGGTAATAATTACCAAATGTCTAAATGATGACAGTTGCTCTTCGAGGGTAAAAATCTTCTGGGCCTCGTCTACAAAACCGATTTCTTTGGCTAATTCGCACAGGCATCTCCTATTAGTAACAGGCACTAAATTTTCATTATAAATCGCTTCGCAGGTTATATGTGAACAAAATGTGGTATAATGATCCTTCAAATAACACCAACGTTAACGATAGTTATTGAATTAAAAAGAATTAACTCACTTTGGTATCAATATTGCAGGTATTCAACAAGATTGACAAACCGAGAGGTTTGAGATTGGACATATATTTACTCCATTCTTGGTCGTCGAAATGTAATTTAAAAGGGTCGTTATTGTGATGTGTGAGATCGAGTACTTCGATCACGGCGCTTTTGGGACTGTCTGGTTGATAATTAGGCAGCATGGAGTCAATATCGTTTGATAAATCATTGACGTTATCTAAGCTGCAAATTGAAAATATATTGAGTTAATCGTGGGATTGAAAAATTATATAAAATTAACTTACCTTGATGAATGAGAAGTACTGTTTTGATTATGAAGGAAAAATATCTTCTCTGCAGTGGGATTAGGCCAAGATAAAATCCCTTTTTTGTCAATACATCCTAAAGCCTGCAAGTTACAAAATTACTCGATTTAATTTAAATTGTTTATTGTTTCTTTGACTTACAGTAACTGATCCTAGAACATGCAAAATGTTAGTAGACCTGGTAAGTATTTTCGGTTTTCCTTTTAAAATCTTTAAAAAATTTCGAAGAATTTCGTTCCTGCTAATTTCTAGTTTACTTTCAAGAACGGGGGCTGCTTCAACGTCTCCTTCGATATCTTTAACAGTCTTATCACATTTTGTAGTGGCATCAAATATCGTTGTTATCCTAAAATAAATATATTGTACATATTGTACAGCAATTTGTATATTTAGAAAGCAAATTATTTACCTGGCGGCGCCAAAGTAATTCGAAAAATTCCAAAATATCGGAAATATCATAGGAAGCAAAGGTAGAATAACATTGCATGGCACAATGAATAAAGTATTTGAAACTAAATATCTTCCGAAATACTTATGGAAGTAAAAGTACCTAAACAAATTGATAACTAACACTAAAACAAAAGTGAATGGTAAAATCATCTGTTCCACAATTTTTATCGTTACTAAATGCCTTTGTTGATTGAGCTGCGATACCGGCCTGTCTAAGGCTTGTTCTAGAAATATCTTCAAGTTGTTCAAATAAGGTGTTTCTAATAGCCGGAATTTCTTTGGTTCTAACGGTTTTTTATATTTCGGAACGCTGAAAAGTTCATTGGCATTTTGCAGCGTCGGAGCATATATTTCTTTAGCATGTAACAAGGGGACTTCGCTGTTTTTATCCAATGCTTCACAATAACCTGGGCAAATTTGACCTGGAACAATCAAATGGTACATCTATAAAATAGTTATATTTGCAGTATAAATTACCTGGTTTAACGACAATAACATCACCTTGGACTAATAATGCCCAAGGTAAGTTAACTATTTTTCCATCTCTGTAAGTCCACTGTACTGTTATGCAAGGTGAAAATGGGGTGTATTTATCAGCGTAGTTTTCAAGAGACCAGTTCAAATTTTTCTTTTGCTTTCTCAAATTCTCTAAGACAGATTTGACTCGATTTGGTATTTCTTGCTGCCTAAATTTATTATCGTATATTTCCAAAACGACGTTCACAGTCATTAATACTACAATCGGTATTGCTTCGTATCCTGCCAAATTATCACCTTCAAGAACGTATCCTATTATTAGAGAAATCACTGTCCAGAGAGCAAATACAATCGAAACTAAATTAACTGTTGTACGTTTACTTTTATAACTCAATGCGTCTTTTAACCAGAACTTTGAATTCCTGTAAAAATAGAGGAATGATAATTATGAGCTTTTTAGATAAATTTGCAAATGTCTGGATAAATAAATTCATACCTGCATCTTTGTGATGCTTGGTATTGATGGAGAACTGCAGATATTTCATCGCAAAGTTTATCAACAGCGTCTTCAGTTTTTAAACCTATGTCATAATTTGGATTTTCCATTATATTTATTTTATTTCTACAAACTACATTTTTTACCAATAAAATAATCAAATTTGATAACTTAACCTAAAAGGTACTTCGAATGTCAACGTCAAATTCTTCTTTATTAGGTCATTATTGGCCCTTCACAAATGGAGTATTTGATTCACTTTGCAAGTTCAATTTGCAATCTTTTTTTACTTTACATCAATTATATTGATACTGGAAAAATTATATTTATTATCTAAATTGAAGATTTAATCCCACACAATCCCATATCTCCGAACCATATAATCAAAACTGTTTGTCATAAGAGACATTTATTATCATAAAACATATTATTAAAAATCTTATTAGCATTACAATTCTTTTTCTAGATATCTTAATATTCTCTAATGTACTTTCAGCTTGTTGTTAATATATCGAGCAACAAAAAATTTCTTAGAGTAAACAGATAGAACATCAATACATAAATATTTCACAGCTGTCTTCTACCAAGATAATAAGGATAATGATATAAGGGGGTACAGAAAATTTATCACAAATTATAAACTTCTCTAATCGAAACTGATCAATTCAGCAGTTTGTGCTTCCCCATTAGATTTGATCTGAGGACTAGCAGGAGGCGCTCCAGGTTGTTGAAACTGAGGCATTCCCTAATCAAACAAAATGTTAACAAACAAAATTACCTAAATATAAAATAATACCTGTCCCTGCATCGACAACCCCTGGCCTTGAGGGATATTTCCCGGTAAAGGCATCATACCCTGCTGTTGCACGCCCTGAGGAGGTAACATAACCCCTTGGTTAGGAGGCATGTTGCCTTGATGTTGTGAGATCCCCTGTTGTTGGGGCGGTAAATTGGGCTGGCCTTGGGGCGGCATCCCTTGTTGAGGCAATCCAACGTTAGGCGGCAACCCCTGTTGGTTGCCCGGCATATTTGGTAAACCTACTCCCATCATATGTGGAGCTGAGACTCCTACGAACTGAGGATTGTTATTTGTGTGCGAAGGACCTACCGGCATGCCTTGTGGAAAGTTTACAGGAGGTCCTGAAATCCGCAAATAAAACTCATTAAACTCAAATTAAACTCAAAGCGCCAGATCTTAATATAATTTTTAGTTTATATTTACTATAACTTACCATGTGTAGGGGGACCTCCAGTTACACCTACTTGGTTTGGAGCATTTTGAGAGGACATCATGTGCTGTGGAAACGGATAGGGATTGTAATTGCCCATAGGAGGTGCTACGTTAGGAGGGAAAGGTTGCCCGTGCACAGGAGAGTTGATGAATCCATATTGGGGCATCATATACTGCTGTTTCTGCTGCTCCTGTCTCATCTGCATTTCCCTCTCCTGCTCTTGAATCCTTTGCAACGCCAATTGCCTTTGGTACTGGAGGTATTCCTGAAACGAAATTTATATGTTTCTGGAATATCTAAGGCAATATTTTTTAAATAAATACCTGTTTCTTCTTCCTCATAACCTCCAACTTGTGCGCCATTTGCATTTGCCTCAACCTCTCCTGTTCTTCGGCTTCCCTTCTCAATTTCTCATTGTGTTCGTCGCGAAGAGCATCCAATGCCGCTCTGGCATCCTTCACTTGGGTCATTTTATCCTGCAAACACTCGTAATGGATGCGGCTGTCATCGTGCTCTTGAATGTAATGAAGCAGCCGCGAATGCATAGCTGTTATATTCATGAACAGAGTTTGTACACTCGTATCATTCGCAATAGATCTAAGAAAAACAAAATTATATCAAATATATTTAACAGGCTAAAGAGTCGGCTAATATTAATTAGTAGAGCACTTACCTCCCTCTGCTGGAGTTACTTTTCATCCTGTTGATGAATATCTCTACGTGGCCCTTTAATGTCTTCATGAAATCTTCTAGATCGTTATCGCCCAAGCCGTTTTCTTTGTTTTTGTATTTAGGTTCGATATTTTGACTGGGAGCGGTGGCGGGAGCCGATGGGCTCGTAGGACGATCGTTTTGATCGTTGGTTTTCCCAGAGAGAGATGCCCAGTAAGATCTGTTCAAATATCTGGCCAATTCCGTGTTAGATTCGACTTGGGGTTGAGGCGGAGACTGGGGTCTTTCGACATGCATAGGATCGGCTGCAGATGAGATAATTACACCTTTATTGTATATAAATATGAAAATGAATTATTGAAGTCACCTTTTACGGAATATATAGCAGAAGTCGATCGATTTTTTTCCTTCTCTTTAGCCTCCGCTTCGGACTGGCTCAAGGCTAATGCCAATTGCAATTCTTCTTCTTCCCTTAGTTCTTCCTCGCTTTTTTTGGGAGGATCCTAAAACGCCAATTAGTAATGAACCTAAAACGCATAATTTATTTTATTACTTGTTTCTGTTGAGCCAAAGAGCTCTTCAAATACTCCTCGGGCAAATCGGTTTCGCTCGAACCCCGGGACTTCGATGCCGATGAAGGTTTCATAATTTCATCGTAACAAGCATCGCAAACTCTAACCTACAATGAAATAGCAATTAAGCAAATAAAATTCGTCCAAATTGATTCGTTCTGTTTTACCTCTTTTTCTATTCCGTATTTGGGTAAAGTGGAGGTCTTGGAGGTACACAGCCCGCAAAACACCTGACCGCAAGCTCTGCAGTGGTGCTTTCTCTGTAGCATACCAAATTGCACCCTGCACCTGTGACACACGTCCCCATCGGCCCATTCGGGAGCTGTATCGGACGAAAACATCGCGTCCGATTCTCTAAGCACCGGGAATTTGCGACCTTCCAATTTCATGGTATTCATGAGGTCCTATTAAACGAATTATACTAATCAGATTAATGTAAATCAATATTTTAGCTTACTAGACTTGTTTTATATTAGAAGGTGCATTATAAATTGAATGTAGATGTAGACTGTTTAAGTATAAAAAAATAGCTTACTTGAAAACAAATATGAATAAATTAAGATAATATTTATTTTAGCATATAATCATCACTTATCTGAACTTATTTGAGTTCAGTTAAAGTAAATAATTTAAGCAAAATTATAGTGTATTTACCTTAAGAGCGCCATGCTTGGGATTTTTTCTGAATGCGAAATTCCACGTTTGAATTAGTTCCAGAAGTTTATTGCGTACGTTTTCGTGTGGGGTGGTTTTGGATAAATCGTGGAGGAAATCGCAGAAGGCTTTAGTAGTTAGTTCTTCATGAAATACAGTGCCTTAAAGAATAGTTTTGGATAATGGGGTTTCGAACGTAAAGGGTTTTATCTTACCGCAATTTTTTACCATACTCTCCAAAACCAACAGCGCGTATAATGCTGTATGGGGATTTTCGGAGCTGAGTTTCTTTTTCAAAGAGTTCAAAGCGAATTTTGGTCTGAAAATAGGTAGTACACATTAAAATGTTAGAACGCTATATTGTGTCAAAGATGGTCGTTGACTTGTTAAAAAATCAATTTTCTCTGATACTATCATATTAAAATAATGCAATTTGTTATATTTGTGTGAATAAGGAGCTTACTGTATATCATCTTGTCTAATTAAATCGCACATTTGCAGCGTTGAAGCCAAATCCTGCTCCATTAACAAATGGCTAGTGGCTTTTTCTGAAAATATTTATCATTAGATTGAAATTTACTGAAAATTCATCTACTCACCAAGCAGGGTTTCAAAATTTCTATTGCGAAACATTCTGAATGAATAGTTTAAACTAAATAATAATTTTTTTTAATAACAATGAACCAGGGTGAATCACTTTTCACTTGTTTAATGTTTAACAGATGATTTTGACGTTGATTTGACATATTCGTTTTAGAAAATAACAGATTCGGTCTTTTACTCTGTATGAATACGGTTTTTAAATTGATCTTGAACGTATGTGTTATTTAGCCGCATGGTTACTCCCAACTCCCAACAAGATAAACTTTTCTCTATTAAAATATCCTTCCTCAATATTTGAAAAATTGAGAAATACGAAGAGTCTACATCCCAATTTATGTAAATTGCTTATTAAAAATATATCAAAATATAATGTATTAAAAATATTATCAAAAAACATACTTGTGGAAACATGTTTAAGTTAAAAGATAAAATTTTTGTAGGCATATTATTTTATTTAATATTCAGAATTTCCTATTAAATGAATCAAGTACTTAATTTTCAAGTGATTCGTCATGTGCTAAACGTTGTTTTTATCCCAGGAGATAAGATTATATTTATACGGTACAAACAGCGGTATTGATAAGTGATAGCATTAAATAAAGCAATATATCGCGATATATTTAATCATCAGCTATTTTATTACTGTTCAGTGGTTCTTTCTATTGTGTGTGAAAATATTTTTTTCTACATTTAAAGCTAATCTTTTCAATGGAGGTACCAATTTGTGAAATATGTAAACGGAACTTGTTGTATCCACCTCATCAACGTTCTATTTGCCCTTATCATCCCCATTTGTTTCCACCCTCTGCTCCCGCGGCTCCACCCCCGTACTACCCTCCGGCCGGTGGTAATTATTATCCACCACCACCAGCGGGAACATCCTACCCAGGGTACTATCCGCCACCGCCACCAGAAGCGCCTTACTCAGGTACCTAAAACATAAGCAACCATCTGCTATTTGAATACTGTTTTACATTATTTATTGATTTTCCAGCACATTCCTGGGTAGATTCATCAATAGGAAGAGGAATACCATCCACAGCTGTTAGAGCCGGAACAGACATTGATGGACACGCTATCTACATTGGGAAAGCATATCACGAAGGAGATACGCTACCAGCCAAAATAGTGCCCGGAAGAAACGCCTGTTATATAGCTTACAACGGTAAAGAACACCTGAAAACTTCGTACCAAGTAAGTACATATTTAATTCCTTTCCTCTTCACATTTTCTCTGTATTAACTATTTAAAGGTTTTGTGCAACCTTCGCCCAGAATGGACTTCCGATTCGAATGGAAGAGTGCCGTCCAATGCTGTTGTAGGCGGAAGGACTAAACAAGGAGAAACATTGTACATTGGAAGGGTTTTTCACCAGGGCTCTTTAACGATAGGCAAAGTAATAAAAACTGCCAATTTTCTCCAACCCTTTAAGTTAATATTTATACATTTTTTTTAGATTCATCCGAGCCATGGTACTTGTTACATTTCTTTCGGAGGAGCAGAAATTAGCTACAAAAATTACGAGGTGTTAATATCTGATAGAAGAGGCAAATGTTTTTAAAAAAGCTTACACTTTAAAATGAATGCAGTATACACTTGATATGTTAAAAAATATTCTTTACATAAAGTAGTAACAGATAAAATAAATATTCACCAAAATTAGAGTTTGTTAATCTTACATAAACCAAATTATAACGAAACATCATTTGAAGATCTGTCCTGTCTGCTCTCATCTTTGGAAGTATTGCAAGTCATATCGGCGTCTTCTTCGTCTTCCTCTTCGGCTTCCATTTCAAATAGCTTTACTTTCCGTTTATTCTCTGATAAAACGATGCTCACTCTTCTTGCGCCGGATACAGCGAAGCGCGAAGCGGACATTTCCACATTTTTAATCAATTTCGGTGATATCAAAGAACCATCGGAGTTGGGCAGAGTTTGTCGATTTATTTTGGAATGTATGTCGATTTCTACGAGATTATCCAAAGCGGATGGCAGAGAAAATTGAAGCAAAACTGCTAGTTTGTACGGAGAATTTTCTTGTAAAAGCACAGACAGGATGTTATTCGAATAGAATGCGATGTCTAGTATATCGTACACTTGAGAATTATCCTCTGTAGACTGAGTGAAATGGAATTTTCCATAACGCGCCAAGCATTTATCGTCAGTTACGTGAACTTGTAGCAAATAAATATTCGTGGAAGGTTCTATGAAACTAAACAACATCATTTCTTTGGTTACATTGATGCTCGACATTTTCAGAGGTTCTGCGTTAAAATCGAAAAAGTCGAATACGTAAGATGCCTTGAATTCCGATTGCAATTTCATTTTGGGGGTGTCAAATATGTCCGATATATTAACAGCTAGCTCTTTAAATTGCTGTATCAAAGAGGTACTTTTATAATGCTGCAAGATGTGCGCGTGATTGCGGAGGCATTCGTTTTTACTCAAAAAATTCTGCCACTCATTTCCATCTAAATCAGAAGTTATTTTAAGAGGAGCGTCCGCTAAGTATTGACCTACACGCTCCATTACGAAGCCGTTTGTAGTCTGACCTTCTTTGCCTTTATTACCTAAACAAACATCATTAAATTAGTAATTGAAAGCATAAGTATACAGTAGTTATGAATAGTATTCGTCACATTATTTTTGTAACTTGTAACTTACCTATCTGGTCAAAGTTTTGCAGAAATTCTGTAATATAAGTCAAGTCTTGCTCGGCCGTTTTATGAATTTCGCTGGAGACAGCTTCATCTGTTAAGTATAATATAACTCCGTATAACCATCGAAAGAAGGCTTTGTAATTAATTACAGAGTGATTAATAACTTGTTGCATTTCTCCGGCTTTTATCAAAAAGGCTCCAGTCGATTGAATAGCGTTATTTATCTGATCTTCGTTTATTCCCGTTATCTGAAACGAACGTAATTAATAGATAATTGATTTTAATTAAACTCTATTTACGCCATATCGATGTTCGAATCGTGCCATTCCTCTTAATTCTGCAAGGTGATAGCTCAAATTTTGACCAAACTTTGTTATGTTGTTTAATAGTAATTTTTGTATGTTAGAATAACTCATTTCGATAGTTTGACCAAACTTTTCTAAACCTTTCTTAGTTAAATCAGTCATTAAAAATTCTTCCAGTTCCGGTGCACAAATACCAAACATTAAAAAATCTAAAAAATCAGCGGTTATACCTCCTTCGGGCACCTTTTTGGCATATTTGGAAAGTTTATGATCGAATTCCAGTAAAAAACTTTCCCACGTTTCTGTTATGTTAGTTATAGTATTCGTTAAGTACTTCACTAGATCCACTAATTTAACGTACTTAATCGCTATACAAAACAGTTCCTGTACATGCGTTTTGAATATTTGCGCGTTTATTACGACTATTTTAATATTGTTCTGAGCATCTTTAACTGTTACGAATATTTTACTCAAATCTTCGCTGATATGAATGTCTTCAATTGAACAAGCAGATCCTAAATAATCATTAATGTTCAATATGGAGCAAGTGAAACAACCAAAAACTCTAATGTGAAGATAACCATCTTTTGTGCCAACAAGTAATAAGTTTAATTCAGTTTGTTCTTGCAAGAAGTTAGTTTCTTTGGTATCTCCTGGAGTCGAGGAATCCGAGGAACCATTCATTGGTGGATCTTTTAAATACAACTTTGTTAAGTCCTGTAAAATATAAATTAAAATTAATAGAAATGTTAGCTTATACATTAGCTCACTATGTATTTCATGTAATCTTTTGGTTGTTCTTCTTTTAAATTCAAACTGTCGTTCGATTTCAATTCGACTTTTTCTTGTACCCATTTTAAGCATGTTATTTCTGTTCGGGCATCTTTAACATTCAATGTTTTCTTGTTTTCCACGCTAATTAGTAGAACTTCACCTGAGAATCGAATACATTGAGTATGTACGAAGAATTTAATTGACTTTTATTACCTGAATTATAACCAACAGCTAATACTTTTCCATCGGGTCTCCAAGCTATTGCGTTCACTTGTAAATTATCTTTAGGAGGACTCAAATTCCAAGCTCTGGTCCAGGATAATCTGTGTAATGCTACCTCTCCTACAATAAAACAATATGAAATATAAAATATTCCTTTTAAACAGTTCATTAACATTACCTTTTACATTTGAAAGTGCCACTAAGTCCATTCGATCGCTCCAGATCATAAAATTAATTTCGTTCGGTACATTTTTGTCTTCTAATTGCTTGATTACATGAAATGCAGACATTGCGATCAACTATTACTTCGAAAATCGAAAATAAAAAAACAACAAACCGGCAAATGGTCAAATTTAACTAAATCAAATTAAGTTAGGTTATATTTATATTACGGTTCTTCTTTCTATTCTTAACAAATAAAACTTTTGGCCTTTTCTAATACAGTAAAACAACTAATGAAACCAAAAAAGGAGTACAATTTTACAACTGTCAAATCAAGGTCACAGATTAAACGTCATAATTCATAATACATAACATAACCTTGAATGTGATAAAAGTAAAAATTTAATCAAATGCAAATGCAAATGCTAATGATTATTAAATATTACGTTAAAGTCACATTCATCTTCCATTACTATTACGATTACAGTTAATGATAAGCGAAATTTTAAGATATCATTCTTTGAGGATGCTTATTTTAAGTTGTTTTATTTAATATCTGTGATATTGTCATAAAAGTTAGTTTTTTATAAGCATATTTATTTTATTTAATTCGTTAAAATGTGGTCAAATAAGGTTACATACTGTTTATTTTCAGGTAAGGGAACATGTATATCGTCGAAGGTGAGATTTAGTACTTATAAATTGTGTTTTTTGAAGTTTCAACGAAAGGGAACTGGCTTTCAAGAAATTTTAGTTTACACAAATTGTCAGAAAGCCATTCTATACTCCAAAAATTATGTCGCGACTTCGCAGAAAAGGAACTTATGCCTATAGCTTCTCAGTTGGATAGAGAACATAAATTCCCTGAAAAACAGGTATAGCTTTTTATACATTCGAGCCTACTTCGAAGACTTACAATATTTGTATCCTTTTAGATTAATAAAATGGGAGAATTAGGTCTTTTATCGATCAATGTATCCAAAAAATACGGGGGTGCAGGACTTGATACTTTGTCGCTAGCACTAGCCGTTGAGGAAATTTCTAAAGGTTGCGCAGGTACTGGAGCTATTGTATCAATTCATAATTGCTTGTACGGTAGCTTAATGGATAGCCTAGGCAATCACGAGCAGAAAGAGAAATTCCTAAGACCTCTGATCAACAACAGTCACCTAGGTTGTTTTGCTCTCAGTGAACCAGGTTTGTAAATTTATCATTAAAAAGATATATTTAGGATGATCTAATGATTAATTGTTTATTTCAGATGCCGGAAGTGATGTTGTAAATATGTCATGCACTGCCACAAGAGATGGCACTAATTTTATATTAAACGGTAGAAAATCCTGGGTAACCAGTGCATCTCAAGGAAAAGTAGCAGTAATATTTGCCACAATAGACAAAAATCTAAAGCACAAAGGTTCACTATCTCAATCAACTAGTTTCCAAATGTTTACAAACTATATTACAGGTATAACGGCGTTCATAGTTCCTCTATCCCTACCCGGAGTTACCATCGGCAAAGAGGAAGATAAATTGGGCATAAGAGCATCATCAACCTGCGACGTTATTCTCGAAGACGTTCAGATACCCCAAGAAAACGTTTTGGGGCAAATAGGAGATGGTTTCAAAATAGCCATGAGCCAATTGGACAAAGCTCGCATCGGCATAGCCGCCCAAGCCGTCGGAATCGCCCAAGCCGCCTTAGATTTAGCCGTCGGATACTCCTTGAAAAGGACAACGTCTGGGAAACCCATTTGCCAATTGGACGCTGTTAAGGTATAAGAAAACAAATCTTTGGACAGCTGGATTAAACCTCTTACAACGCCTTTTATTGTTCTGTACAGATGAGATTAGCAGACATGTCTCTGCGGCTGGAATCCGCGAGGCTGTTAGTGTGGCGCGCGGCGATTTGTTGCGATGAACAGCAAAGGACTACAAAAGAATCTTCGATGGCCAAGCTGTTTGCCAGCGAAACTGCCACGTTTGTCACACACAGCGCCATACAAATTTTGGGAGGAATGGGATACGTTTCGGACATGTCGGCGGAAAGGCACTACAGAGACGCGAGAATCACCGAGATATACGGGGGAGTGAGCGACGTTCACAGAATTATTATCGGGGAACAGCTTGTGAAGAATTACAAATAAGAAGTAATGTTTGAGGAATTGTATGGAGTGTACAATATCTTGTTTTCCAAAGTTATCCAGTTGATGTTGTTTTACATCTAATAGAAAACAAATACTTGTACATTTTAATTTATTATTGATGAATAAAACGAAGTTTCTATCATGATTAAACTTTTTTTATACACCGTTTAACTTTCTGATTAGATAAGGTTTGTTTCAAGCGTAATGTTATAATTATTTTGTCACATCTTTTATAGAGCACTATAAATTATTGCACTTATTGCGATTATTGCACTTTTATTTATTATATGGATTCCTGTATAAACTTACGAGAAATAAATATTTGGATTATTGTATTAAGGCATATAAAATTCGAGCTGTTGCTAAAGTGCTATAAATACACTACATAAAGCGCACTGAATAAAATAGCGTTGGTAGAATATTTTATTTCAATTATTTACAGAATTTTGATTCATGGTTTCCTTCTTTCAATCTAATAGAGTCATTCGCATTCTCGAAGAAACGTTATTAGCAGTCTTGGTAATTTTTGCACGTACTTATGTAGATTGGGGAGTAGTCATCAGACGAGGAAAAAATAAAATAAAAACCCCATTCTCTTTTATAATACTAGCACGATTAAATTCAATATGTTTAAGATTAAAATAAAGTAGTTTTAGAAGTACATTTCCACAAAATATTAACCCAACAATTCAAAATCTATCAATTTAAATACCATTTTCAATCGACTTGATTACCCCAATTCCACAATAAAAAAAACCCACTAAAAATTTGAAATATCCACTCTCGATTCACGTGCAATGCAACTACAAAGACTCCCAACGACATTCTTCGAGTGGCATTAATCATTGGTCAAATAAAAAAGATACACGAACGGACTTTTGAAGTTTTAGTCTGACGGGACACAATTTATAAGCGGCATGATGGGGACCTTTACAATTACAACATATAGGACTACACTTGGGGCGATTGCAGTTTTGGACTAGGTGTTGCTCGCCGCATCTGACGCAGCGCACGTTCTGCTTGCACGTGTTCGCCGTATGCCAGAATCCCTGACACCTGGAAGATTTGAAGAAACTTGCAAATCAAATAAAATTAGTCTGACTAGTCTGACTAGTATATCTAGATAAATCTCTAGACGTCTCTATACAGGGTGTTAATTAATTGAGTGCCGATACTTCAGGATGTGAATATTTGAATGATTTTATGAAGAAAAGTTTATATCAATATATGTCCTAAATCCTTCTTAAAATCATCCAAATATTCACATCCTGAAGTATCGGTACTCAATTTATACACCCTGTACATAGGTAGGAGTAGATAGTTTAAAGAGCTCTCATCTTGTCCATCGATCGCTTTTAAAAGCAACTATTGAAAAATGTAGCGAGAGTCTTTGAATGAAGTGCAGTTTTAGAAATTCGAGTAGTCTTACTTGTAGCATTGAATGATATCGTCGCTGTTGTAATGAATCTCGTCGTTGATTCCCGTATCTTCCGATGCTAAAAACATGACCGAGTTGTAGAAATTGATGCCCTCCTCTTTGAGGCGCTGATAGTTCGGGAAGTCGGTTGTTTCGATGAAAAGCGTAGATTTTTCTCTCGATATGCGACCGTGCTTGATGCCCTGGTTTTTCAGACAGTTTTCTATCTCTTCGACTCGAACGCACCACGGGATCTGTTTGAAGCTGACTATTTTCAAATAGTTCCCCGAAAATAACGGTACCGCCTAAATGACATCAAAAATTGAAAGATATAGTTGATGAATTTTTCGGTTTACTCGCCTGTACTGGTTTCTGGAAGATTTTGGCTAGGTCCATTCGGAGTAATTTCTGTATGTAAATGTCGTTTTGCAAATTGATGATCAATCCGTATTCGGTTTCGATGGTGCTATCGAAGTTCAAATTCGGTACTGCCTTCTTTAAAGTTTCTATAGAGAGTCGCGTCGGAGAGTTCTGTTCGCAAGACGTTATGTACAGCGTAACTAATCCGGTGGAGTTTCTGGCAAACTTGTAGTTGTTTTTCTTATACTGCGATTTTTTGTCATTAGCATCAGTAATCTAATTTTTACATGTTCGATAATTCGATATCATTTCCTTCGATCATTTCGAACTTACGTCGACGAAATTGGAATTCCATAGGCGGTTCTTCGTCGAATATTTATCCTTCGCCGCAACCTCCTCCTCTTCGTCGCCCAAATGGTTGGATTCCTCGGTGCTGTTGTAGCCCTCCGTGTTGCGGAGGTCCTCCAAGCTGTTGCACTCCTCCATACTGTTGGATTCGTCCGCGTTGTTGAATTCCTCCATGTTGTTAAATCCGTTGTTGTTGATGTACCTGTTAATTTTGTCGCATCCCCCGCCCCCGGTGTTGCTGAAGTCTTCTCTAATAAAATTTTTCCATATTAAAATTCTGTTAGATTTACCTACTTATACGCAGAAATACGAATAGCCTGTTTCCGGTGACAAGGGTGAATTATTTCGTATTATTCAAAGAAAAAAGTTAATTGCTACACCTCAAAAATATTCCACTTAAGGACGCACGTGTTGTTTTATAAAGACTTTGGGTAGAGAGAAGCAGAGAAAGTAAGCTTCATTTTTGTAAGAAGATGTTTTAAAACATCCTGTATAACGAGAAGTTTGAATGAAAATGAGATGTTTGTTTTAGTATGTAAGGTGCAATGTGCAATTAATGTTCATAAAAACCAAAGTGAAATTTTTAATTTCGTTTTTAGTTGTAATCGTTTGGTTTTATTTGATATTTTATTTGGTCAAGGAGATCTGCTTTCATAAGAGTTAATGCATTTAATTGAATACATCGTTCGTATATTATGCAATCGGTTTACTATCCAATGAATTTGTAGGTACCTATAACCATTGCATCTAATCTAAAAGCACCTTTGTGAAATTATACGAGGTGATGAATTATAGGCATTTTAATTAACCTATATGGACTTTACAATTCTGTAATAAACCTCGATTTCATTTAACTATTACTACTACTATTGAGTATAAAGGATTTCAAACTATAACTATTAAAGAGTGTTCAATAGATCGGTGATTAGAATATTTATTAAAACCGGTATCTCTAAATCGAAGAAAGTAGTTCCTCCAGTTTACAAACAAATATAAGTGCTTCTTAGTAACGTACGGAGAATAAGCGAACGCGCTAATTAAATCGTGCAATCGAGCCGATAAACGTTTCACCTCTCCGAACGGCACAATAGGAACATGCACCTGTAAGATAAGATATTGAAAAACTTTTCTTTGACTGACCTAGAAAATCCGGCGTGGCTCATGACTGTGTGGATTTCCGTTCAGTTTGTCGGCGACTCCGTTTCTGCTAGGAATACGAATGTGCATTCGAAATGAAACTGTCGCGATAAAAAAATAATGACATTACTATTTGGTCCGGAATAATTTAATCAAAATAATGCGAACGAAACTGACGTAGCGGTGGCGTTTTCGGAAAAATGACATTTCGAAAGGGGTGCGATGCGGCTATGTTCGCGCTATTGTTCGTCCTGTGTGTTATCGGAACCAGCGGGAAACCCTCGTTTCCTTTCAGTTTTTCCGCTATTTCGTCGTTCGGCCAGCAGCAGACGGACCCGCCGGTACTGCTCAAGAGCTATTCCGGCCGAAGGGTCGACAAGAACTCCTTGAGGATGGTCTATTTCCACGATCAAACTGTAGCCGTCGTCGAGTTGGGGCCGAATAAATTGCTGTTGAATTGCGAATTTATCGAAATTATGTATGTATTTTACTTAACAGAAATTTAGTTTACAAGAAAGAAATTTTTATGTAAACTTCTTTAAATTCTGCCAGTTGAAATGAAAGTTGCTCTCCTCTTTCTAAGAAATCTATATAAATCATTAGTACCTACTTATCGTTTATTGGATTAATGAGATACATTCTAATTTGCTTTACTACTTCCATTGCTGGTTTAAGGATTTAATTAATACCTATCTAAGAACCTTGGTTGTGTTTCTTATTTTTGACTATTTTTTCACCTTGTTATTATGTTAATATAAAAAAAGATTAGCAAATACAATACTAATTAATTTAATTAATAATTAACCCTTTGTTTAAAGTAGATACACATCTGTAGTTTCGCTAGTAGAACGTGAATTATTTCTATTATTCGAAATTGAAAAATTACGTAAATATTACTTTTTTATAACAATGCACAATTCTGCTGTACAGGTGTTATATGCCAACCTTCTTTATCATCCTCATTAGGAACAAAATAGATAAACAAAAACATTAGTAGTCATTTGTATTATTTATTGTTTAGATACTTAAGTATTCTTCCCACTTAACAGATATCTCAAGTGACTTCAAATTATATTTATTTGCATGCAAACAACAGTTCCTATTTTTAATTAGGTATGTACCTAGTAAAAAATTGGAAAGAAATTATGTTGTAACGATGCGAAATGATGAATTTTTATTATATTGAAAATAAAAATAAAATATTCTTATCTAATTTTTAAGATCTTTTAAACATTCTTATTTGCATTAAAAATCCTAATGTTGATTTTGTATTAAAAGCCTATTAAAAAAAAGCCTTTGTTCAATGTACTTTGGTAGATTTGCATTTACATTAAACGAGAGATAAGTAAACAAAGGCGAAAAAATAATCCCATATAGCAGGATTTAAAAATAAAAAAATATCAATTAACTTTTAAACATTGCAAAATGCAATTGTTAAAAAAATTACTACCGTATTATTAATTTAAATTGAATTTAATGATCAAGTTTATGAACCGTTTCAATTATCCGTAAAATTATTAGGAATGACAATGGCAGGCACGACACAGCTGAAAATATTTCGTAAATTGCTCATAATCTCCCTCGTTACTTCGTCGTTAAAAACGCCTAAAATTTTGAAATTACAGAAAAATTTCGAATTCCCTTTACATATATTTCATGTTTCATTGCAGTGAACAAAATCAGGTATTCGAAGTACTAGGAGAATTAAAAGCGAAGGCTCGCCCGGTGGCCATCACATTCATGGAAATGATAACTCTAATGAATCAATGTAAACAATTGGAGGACAGGAGAGAAAAGATGAAAAGCGAACAATCAAAGAATAATACAATGACAACGAACGAAGGGCGGAAATTGTCCAATCCCTTTACTCTTTTTAGCGGGATCGTCCCAGGTAAAATCGAGCTCATAAAATTGCATACAAAACTGTATTTTTGAAACTTTGTAGGTACCAAATGGTGCGGAACGGGGGACATAGCTAAAGACTATTACGATTTGGGCGAGGACAAAATGGTTGACGTTTGCTGTCGAGCGCACGATTTGTGCCCGGTCAAAATAAGGGCTTACACGAAAAAGTACAGTTTGATGAACAACTCCTTATACACTAAGTCGCATTGTAAATGCGACGACGACTTGTTCAATTGCCTGAGGTTAGCTAATTACTCAAAGACAGCCCAAATAATGGGCAACATATACTTTAATTTAGTCCAAGTGCCTTGCTTGGAAGATGGAAAAGAGGGACGGCAATTCCGAAAAGCCAGAACTAATTTCTGATTTTTCTTTATTTATGCTTGACTTGGTCGATATTGGTATTTTTGATCAATTTTGTTAGGTGTGGATGATTTTAAATAAATAATGTTATGTTTTACGAACGAGTTTTAAACAAATACCACTCCTATACTTATGAATGAGTACTAAAATTCATAGTTTCTCAATAATTACGTGTTGATAAGCTAATAGGTGTTTAAAAAACAATTTGTGGTGCCATACCTGGTTTAGTACGCGGTCTACCCAAATTTATTTTATAGAAAGTATTTATTACAAAGTATAACAGCAAAATTTTGTAAATTGACCCTTCATTAGCAAAAGTACAATTTTTGCTGGTATTGTATTATTTATAGAACAGCATGTGGGTAATTCAATTTATCGAGAATTGGGTAGTACCAGCATTTATTTAAAGGCATAATTATGCCTATTTTCATTAACAAAGGAAAAGAATTTACTTGTATTATATTGTGTATGGGATAGCAGGTAAGTAGTTCAATAAAATTTATCGAGAATTATGGAAGTATCTGAAACATACAGCGAGTTTTTTTTCGATGTTTAGTAAAAGGATCTGGGAAACTATTGTTCACAACCAGTTTCAGTCTTGCAAAATTTGACACCTGTCAAAGTATTTAAATAGACTTGGGCAAGGAAATATGTAGGTAGACCCCTTACTAGACCTAGACCGGCACCCAATTTGTTTCAGCAGGTCTAGAATGCAAAGTTCTTAGAGAAAAAAAATGTTAATAAAAACCAAACTGTAGCCGTCGTCGAGTTGGGGCCGAATAAATTGCTGTTGAATTGCGAATTTATCGAAATTATGTATGTATTTTACTTAACAGAAATTTAGTTTACAAGAAAGAAATTTTTATGTAAACTTCTTTAAATTCTGCCAGTTGAAATGAAAGTTGCTCTCCTCTTTCTAAGAAATCTATATAAATCATTAGTACCTACTTATCGTTTATTGGATTAATGAGATACATTCTAATTTGCTTTACTACTTCCATTGCTGGTTTAAGGATTTAATTAATACCTATCTAAGAACCTTGGTTGTGTTTCTTATTTTTGAGTTTTTTTTCGATGTTTAGTAAAAGGATCTGGGAAACTATTGTTCACAACCAGTTTCAGTCTTGCAAAATTTGACACCTGTCAAAGTATTTAAATAGACTTGGGCAAGGAAATATGTAGGTAGACCCCTTACTAGACCTAGACCGGCACCCAATTTGTTTCAGCAGGTCTAGAATGCAAAGTTCTTAGAGAAAAAAAATGTTAATAAAAACCAAACTGTATTAAAAATAATCTAAGAATAAATATAAGAACAGAAGGTACTATTCCATTATGCCCCCGCAATATAATATCCTAAATAGCATGTAGATGCAATTAGACGATTATCATACGAGGATATACTGGAATTGTACTAAACATTATACCTATAGATATATTAATTATTCAACTTGATCATTTCCTTTTTTGGATTTTTTATTCTTGTTTTTCGATTTCTTATTGAACTTCTTTGCCATGTTATTGACTAACGTAGAGTATCCTTGCGCCATCTCGACGTCCGTAACGTCCTTTTCTTTTTTCTTCTCCTCCTGTTCGACTAGTTTAGCAAATTCGTTGGCCATAATTTTTTCTATATCCGCGTTCATTCCGCCGAATGAGAGCCTACCGTCTATCAAATTTTTGCAATTAGTTATGCTCGTCGATACGAAAACTAAATTCCCACTGCGTCTCATTTCTTCAGTAATCTCATTCGAGTACATAGCATTCCCTTCTTTGTCTTCCAGCGCCTTCTCGACCTTCTCTTTGGTTTTCTTCATGAATTTCATTTCTAGGATCGTTTTGGAAAGTTGCACTTCTTGATTTTGGCTAGTCATTTTAACGTTTCTTGATTTTATTTGGATCCTCGTTTTCAAAATCAAAATAACTTTTAAATACAATATTGTAACCTAAAAATATCTTCTTTTTGATACTAGTTTTAGGTTTCTTCTCTTAATCTGGTTGCCTGTTGCTTGAGGTATTCAGCCAGTTCTAATAATAATAAAATTTTCAATTTGATAAATCTTTATTAACTAAATTACTTTATTTGTATAATTTCTGCCGGTATTGATTCTAATAATTACATAATTACCTCATATTTTAATCATGACTGTTACTATTCTAGCAAAGTCGAAGACCACAAATAAAATGTTCTGTAGTTCGTATTTGACAACTCTGTCATTGAAAATGTCATTCTTGTATTTTTACCGTGCCCCAATTTTTAGATTTTCGTTTGATTCTGTTTGATTCAGCGCAAGTCGTTGGCAGAACGAACCGTGAAGGCTAGTTTTATCAAAACATGGAGAGTGCTCCAGGCGGTGCGTACGGTGGAGGAAAAGCCGGTGGATCTTTCGATCCCATTTCTTTTCTACAGAGGCCTCCTGTAATACTCCGACTTTTGTGTTGGGTAAGCGAATTTCCTTTGTCGCGGAATCATTTTTCGGGGTATAGACGTAGCTTTTCAGGGTAATTCAAGCCTAAATCGATAAACATGGGGGTTCTTGGTGGGAGGTTTAGATGGTATTGATTATTCGAATTTGAAATGGGTCATACAAAAATAATAAAATTGCAGCTCTTATTATTCAACCAATCCTCCAATATCAATTTATCATTGTGTTTTTAAATAGATATTAATTATATTTTGTTGTTTTATTTCCTATTTCCGTTTCTGTCGGCTTTTGTACGAATCCAGTTACTAATTAATTTATATAAATTGAAATCAATGTTAATGCAATTTGTTGTTTATTTTACCTGACTATAATTGACTGCAACGTTCAATTTATTAATCCTAAAGGTTTTATGTGCGTTAGTATTTGGTAATCAATAGATGTCTCATTAAATTCCTAATAAATTAGAGCTGCCTTATGACCTGGGAATTGTCATGTCACAACAATAACTTCAGTTATCTTTATTCATGGATGGACATTAGTTTAATGTTTTTTATGGTTTATCAACATTAATCAGGACGTTAAATATTATAGTGTATATTGTTTTCTGAATTTTATCACTACCGTATTATTTTTTTTTATATTTATCAATGCGTTTATAAACTATTTTAAGTAGACGTTAACCGCAATAAAATCAGCCTGATTAGTGTACACCGGAAGATTCGATGTCACCACAAATAAATCTATTCCAATTTGACTTACTTTTTTAGCTAAAACCCAATGTCTTCGATGATGTGATATTTCTTGGCATATTCAAAATTATTACAAAATAAATTGAATAAGACAATCAGTTTCCGTTTAACATTTCCTCTATTCTTTTCTAGATAAAACTAGATAAACGACTTAACCTAGGTTTACCTGTATAAACTGCGATATAATCATGAAACATGGGTAGGGAAGGTTTTTTGGGTTTCTGGGTTTCTTGGGTATCTGTTATGCCACGAGGAACTCACCCCACCCTACCCGCATTTCGCCCTTTACCCAGGTAAACCTAGGTTTAGTCGTTGTTCTAACTTTACCCTTAATATCACAGCTCTTTATACATTATATTAAAATCAATTGATTAAGATAATTTCACCTTAAGAGGACACATAACATGTACTAATTTCAACACTTTCTTTCAGTTATTCTCCGTTATAATATTTGGATGTATTTCTTCACAAGGATGGGCGTTGAACGCGAAAAATAAACACGTTTGTCTGTACAATGGCGACGCTAATGCGTGCAATTACGGCGTTGGTATAAGCGTCATAGCTTTCTTGGCTAGCATGGGTTTCCTCGTTGGGGAGTATCTCTTCGAGCAAATGTCCTCAGTCAAGACGAGGAAGCATTTCGTATTGGTCGATTTGGGTTTCTCAGGTTTGTGATTAATTGAGACATTTTATATCGAGTTCCAAGTTTTCTTAATAATTTATTGATGCTTGTGAGTGGAATTAGATAAACTTTGATTACTGAATTGGTTTAATCCACACAAGTTTGTATTGCGAATTGTTATACCTATATCAATTTGTTTTTTAGCTTTTTGGTCTTTTCTCAATTTCGTCGGTTTCTGGTATTTGGCTAGCCAATGGGGAAAATCAGCGAGACCACCAAATGGCGTAGGCGTCAATAACGTTCAGGCTGCCATCGCATTCTCTTTCTTCGCCATATTTTCATGGGTAACGAATTAATCTTTCTAATCTAAAGTAATAAATAAATAGTCGCCTCTACAATAATATTTCATACATTATTTTCCATTTTTGAGAAATTAATTTGAATTAGAACGTCGCAATTCGAGTGACTGCAAAAAATATTTTCATTGTGCTGAATTTATAAAAAACACACAAATATTATTGCGCCTATGAGCGTGGGCTTAATAACACCTGGATAATTAAAATCATTTATTACTTTAACATATGGGTCAATGATGATTAATATTAAGTAACAAAATGAGTTTTGTACAATTGGCGAATTCAACAGTATTTTATTGTTAACAAGGCCTCGTTTCGGACGAAAAGTGTTAAAAAAATTCATTCAACACCAGAGAAATTATTTTGCAAAATAAACATTAAATCCCCAAACATTGGGAATCTTGCATTTATGAATACTACGAGGGATGTTTCCAAAGTTCTCGAGTGTACTTACATGGTGAATTTATGCATATTTTTAGGCTGGTTCGGCATATTTCGCATACAATCGCTTCAAGCAAGGAGCAGGCGCAGCGTTCGCTACGAACTACGAAAATGAATCTGGCATGCCATCGTCGTACCCATCTTATCCAGGCGGACCGGACTCCGATCAACCTTACCAGGAGCCTCCGTTCTCGGCAGGACCCGGTCAAAGAGGTAAGTAAAAATGACACTAGTCAAGTGCATGGCAACTTTTTTTTAATGTTGATAACTTTTGATTTTGACAATGCGATATGTTTTAGGTGCTACCGATTTTCAGGCTCCTGCTTACTAAAAGACGGAAAATGTGTATTTTTCTAAATAATTGTTGATTATAAATAGAAGAATAACGAGGTCATTTTACCTGCTGGAAGGTAACTGTCATTAATGTACTTAGGAATATATCAACAATAGATTGCGCAAGTACTATTTTTGTCCCAAATATTGAATGAACTCTTAGATGTACCGTTTATATTATTAAGATCACTGAGAAGGCAAAAATTTCAACCTATTTAGACATTATTTATATTCTCTTTTTATTCGAATAATTTCCTATCGTTTGTACAAGAAAGCGTTAAAGTGGCAATCCACATGGTGGTATAAAGGCAAGGCCTTTTATCTTCTCAATATTCTCATTTAAATTGAATATATATTCAAATGCACTATGTTTGACACTAAAGATTGCATAACATTTAAATTTTATTTTATATTATGTAAAAAGGAATTTGTATGAAGATGAAAGATCGATGCCAAGTGTTGTAATTAATTCTGTTCCAACTGCCATCGAAAGAATTTAGCAAGCTTTCTTATACGCGAAGTTATTTTTAATAAAGCTTTATCTCGAAAAGCCTCGATTGAAATAATGTTTAATATATTAAGAGAAATTACAGAACTAGTCAGTTAAATTTTTTTCCGTTGAAAATAATAGAACTACATTTAGCTGATAATTGTGATTTGCTGGGAGGCTAATTTTTACGTTCACACAACATTTACGAAGCCATTGAAATGTGTTATATATAAATATATATAAATGTTAAATAATTATTTTAGTAAACAATTCAATGTACAGTTGATATTTAAATGTATAAATGTCGTGATGAAAAGCTTTTTGTAGGACGTCTACATTTTCTAATTGTTCAATGTAAAATCGATATTGTACGCCGTAAAATATTGAATCTTCTCTATTAAGCTTTTTTCCGAAGATTGGATTTATCAATACTTGTAAAGATGAATTCAACGCCGACATCCATGCATAGTAGTGTAAACTTGTTTGTAGAACCGTCTCCGAAAGTAATAAAACATTATTTGCGGTCATTAGATGTGATTGAGCTCAGTAAGACTGTAAATAATATCTCCTTATGCAAAATACGAGTATCTTGATAACAGTAAGAGGTACAAAATCGTTTAAATGCAAATATTTTTTTAGTAAGCGCCTTGCTATTTCATTTTCATGTCATCTGTAGTTAAGAGATGCGAGTTTGTTTTAAATTTAACGATTAATGAGGTCTACAATTAGATGAGATGATGATTTGTTTTCTCTTCGATGATAATCAAATTTATATAATTTTCAAGGTGTAATTACGTTATGGATACAATGTTTGTACCATGTACATACATCCCTCACCAACTTCTAGTTGTAGAAAATCAAAAATATATATATCCTATCTCGAATAATATAGAATCTTGTTTTCCCATTTATCGATTTTAGAGAGTAAGTTGTATCAGACAGTATTCTTTAGAAACTTCAAAGTACACATTTTCGGATTAGGGTTTAACGGGTAAGCAAAAATAAATAATTATTCATTCACCATCTGAAGGCTCCGGTATAAACATGACAATAAAATAAATCTTTGCGATGTTAAGTCTACTGTGACATATCTTGGAAATTTATACCAGAATCGAATATTCGCAATCGAAGGGATGCACAAAAATGTTTGATTTGGAACTGGGAATATCATTCTAATTTCGTTGCTGCTTGAAAGTGTATAGAAAAAAGTTCGTAGATATTACATAATATTGTCCTTTGAGGAAGAGATAGTGTTTAGCGGTTCTTAGCAATAAATATGTGGATATTTACGGATAGTTCTTTATTTTAGTTTTTTCGAAAAGCCTTGATTAGTATCTTAACGGTTCGTTAAATTTTTCTGAATATTGATCAGAAACGACCCCTGATTTAAGCTTGTAAATGTTAATGGATTGTTAACCATGTTTTATTCCACAATTAATCATGAAAGGAGTATGCCTTCTCCTTTGATGGTAAAATGGTTTAAAAAATGGAATAATGAAGTTGTAACACGCTTTTCCCATTCATTTTCTGTGTCATTTCAATAAATAATCAATTTTTTTATAAAATTGACTCGTCGGATTGAAGTAGTTTTGAATTCCACAAAAACCAAACTGGCTTTTCAATGTTTATAACCTACTCATGTTTACTCATGCTTTTCGTGTTTGGATTCAGAACGAGATTGTTAATCTAACGCCCTAAATTTGAAGTTGACGAATATAAAACAAACAATTTGATGAACTGTACTGCCTAGATCGTATAGGTATTTATAGTTTTGTACTTTGATTTTCTTACGAGAAATGTGATTTTAGTTTTTAAAATATTTGTAAAAAATATTTCTCATGTACAATTTACGTTATTAAATGTTATTATTTAATGAGCGTTTTTATTTCATATCTCAATTAATATTAATCTCGATTGCCCACAAGGTAATCATAGATGCTGAAACTTCACTACCCGTTTGTAGTCTAGGAACGGTGAAAAAAATACTTTGATACCTTCTGACACCGATTCAACATGTAAAAAAAATATTAGATACTTATTTATTTCCAAAATCTCAACACAGTTACGTTTTTATCAACAACAAATCACTTTGGCTTGCGTTTTGGTCAAGTAAATGTAAGGAAACGAAACCCATTCGCAGCGATCATTGTTTTGGATAAAGAAGTTTAAGGGCTGATCGATCATGGATCGGTGATTTTGATTAGTACCTATTATCCTGCCGATACACTTGTTTCCTTTTTCATCAGTGTACGATACTTCGCAGTTCTTTAAACAGCTCAAATTACCTAGAAATGGGAAATTTCAATGTATCTGCTCGGGTAAATGGAAGCTAAGTTGGATTGTAAACTAACCAGCTAATTTACGAACTAGCTAAAAGCGCAGTTATTATGTAGAAATTAGCTTTTTCTAAGAGAATAGCACTCGGGTAGAAACCCTCAGGAAGGGTAAAAGGGTAGAACCTGTACCCGGGGTACATAAATTATTTCCACCTGTCAAAAACCAGTGTACCTATCGTAGATGATAGGGCAGCTTGTGTTAAAAAAAGCTAATCCGTTCATAAAAACCGCGCATTTGGTTTGTATTTTTAGTTTACAAACTAAGTTTCCATATTAGCTGTAACATAATCAATGATTGTATGTCGATTCTACCAATAATGCCGTTTGCTGGAACTTCGTTTTCCCCTTGGATATGAAAGAAATAAACCGTGTAACCACCATTGATGATCAATGCAGGGCGAATGATGATGCATGGATAGTAAGACCCGTTGTGCATGGCTAAAATGAAACTGGAATCCACTCTTCTAAAATGTTGGGTGTGAAATGATTATTTAATTTTAAGAATACGTGATTAAAAATAATACTTAATATACGAAGGCAGTTGGCATTCCACGTCGTAATCGCGAAGATCAACAGAACTTTGTTCGGCCCCCATTTTTCACATTTTTTTTTCGAGGTTTATAATTTTTTTACTTAGAAAACACCAAATTTTGATAATCGACTAAATTTCGAGAACAATTTATTACATTACGTCAAAATTCAAACAGTATAGAATTTTACTTCTTTGTATTTGAGTTTTTTGTACAATATCCCAGAGAAAATAATCATTATTTTTATTATTTATGCTTTATGCAAGTTCACACCTTTTACTCAAATTTCTATAGTTTAATAAAATTTAATCATTATTATAATTAATAAATTAAAGGTGGCATTTAATTAATCTTACTAATCCCTTAATGTCAATTAAGAATGCCCTTAATAACAATGCTGCCTTGGATTTATCCGCCTGAAAGCGCCCATGTCATCAACTGTCAAATTGAAATTTCGTTAGTATTTATTTTAATTTATCGGAAAAATTTTCTTGTGGAACATTTTAACATGAATTAGTAATTATTCGGCGGAGCAAAAGAAATATGGGAAGTCGACAAAGTATCAACAAACGCGAAAACGGCGATTCGATTTCAAATGGTTCCAATGAATTTCACATCCCCCGGGATATTTCGTAAGTCCCCCGGGATATACATTTATTACTTCTACATCGTTTTGATTATCTATACATTTTTATTCTTTATACTTTTATCAAAGAGCGCATTTTTTGTATGATCGATTGGGCGAGTTGAACCTCCGGGTGCAATATTTTTAATATAAAAAATTACTGTCAATGGTGTCAAGTTTCTTTACAGGGTTTTTTTTACGGTAGTTCTTCTTTAGAACTTTTAGGAGTTCCTGAAGAGGTACGAATATGAAAATTTAGGGGTAATAAGACATAGTCAAAGTTTTGAGTTTGTCTGAAATATTTTCAACCATACATGATTTTCGGTTATATTATAAATAGATGTCAACTTCGTTATTTCAAATGGAAAGTGCCATTTTTGACTTAATTTTTGGATTCTACGGCCCTTTTTAACTAGACTTTGATAATATTAGGTACCACATGCCAAAAATGCACTATTTTTAAGTTATTTAATTTTTTTTGATTCTTTTGAAAAAAAAAAATTAACGGTCGAATGTATTTTTTTGAATCTCTGTTAATAATGCATCTACAAGTTGGAAATTTGGTATCGATAATGTCAAGAAACAGTACTAAATGAAACTAAACTGGATTTTCATGTCCATTTACAGGGCGTTTAAAATTGTCTGACTAACTTGGCTACATTAAAGTGATAATAACTTTATATCAAATGGATCACCTCGTATTTTTCAAGCTCTTTACCAATAAAACCCAGTTTAGTTTTATTTAATACTGTGTCTGGACAGTATCGATACCAAATTTCAAACCTGCCGTGTCTTATTAACAAAGATATCATAGAAAATATATTGGACTGTTTTTCTAAAAAAAATAGAGAAAAAATTAAATAACTTACAAATGGTGCATTTTTGGCACATAATGTTATTATCAAAGCCTAGTTCAAAAGGGCTAAAGAATCTAAAAATAAATTTAAAAATGGCACTTTCCATTTAAAATAATTAAGTTGACATCTATTTCCAGTATAAGTGTAAGTTACTTATGATTGAAAATAGTTTAGAAAAGTCTCTTTGACTCTACCTTATTTTTAAATTTTCAGATTCGTAACTATTCAGTACGCCAAAAATCCTATATAGAAAGTAATTACTAGTAAGGCAATTACGATCAATCGGTCAAAATCGAACATTTTGAGCCCACAAATTTGTAGAGCCAAATCAGCTCATCTAGCAGCTAAATAAAGAAATATGTTGGCGTTTTCAGCCGGGTAATTTCCAAATTCGTCTTCGCCTTCTTCGACGGTTATTTCTACCCGTGCATGGTCATGCGAGCGATGTCGGACGGCTACATGGTGTACTTCTTCTACCTGAAGGAGGAGCGGCGGATACCGGGCCACATAGTCATTGGCAACCTGTGGTATTTGATCAACAGCGAGGTGTCGTTTACCGATCACAATGGTAACATCGCGACCGGAAGGGTGGTCGGGACCGATTTCAAATCGACTGACATCGATCACGAGCAGCCGATGAACTTCTACATCTACAGCAACGACGTTTGTAAGACTGTTTCGTTTCCGTACATATTTTTGTCTCCGCAGCAGGCGAGATTATTAGTTGGATAATGTTGCTGGTTTCTGACCAAAAAAATCGTCAAATTGTGGTGTTTGAAGCGAAAAGCGAAAATTGTGTTTTTTTTTATTATTAAATTTGCCGAACGGTTGTTTGGGTTTCTGCATATGTGAGGCGTTGAAAGTAGTTTTTAATTAACGAAAATGTAGATCATTTAAACATCGATTAGCTGCTGGTAGTATATCCAAGCTTTTTTTAAGAGTAAACTTACAGAAAGAATTATTTGAGCATTTTGACATTGTTGACTGGTGAGCATTTTAATTTGTCGACGTCGAAGGAAACACGAAGATCCATAAAATAAATATACAGGGTACTCTTAAAAATGTGCGCAAAATTGTTGAGCATTGAGCATAAAATTTCTTGAAAATACCACATTTCGACATTGTTTCAAAAAAAATTATAGACGTTTAGTAGAGTTGAGAAGTTACCAATAGAAGTAAAATGAGAAGTAAAATTGCAATTAAAAAATTAATAAACAATCGTTTATTTTCATACACACTCAAAGCGAATTAAATTAATAGGGATATTTTCTGTTCTCTAAAATAATCCATAAATCCAGTAATACCTACAATTATGTATTCAAGTATATATCAAGTATTATCTATTCAAGTAATAGAAAAAAAATGGTAAAATCAATTCACGATTTTTCTGAAATTACTTACAAAAACGAAAAAAATAGAACAACAAACATTGTTATATAATCGTAAATATGAAGGGCACTAGTTCAGATTTTTTTTTTCTTTTTTGATAAAGTAATCCATTTTCATAATTGAATAATTTGCAGACGAATCTTGTCGAGAATACATTTTTCTCTATTTATTGAATGAATAAAACATGTTTAAAAATTGGTTATGGAAACGTAAATTCCGTACAATCTCACTTATATGACCGGTAGTCAATCCAGCGAATTATTTTCAACTTCCCACACATTACAGAAATCTAGCATTTGTAAAAATAGAAGCAACCCTTATTTATAAAAAACGGCATTCAGGTTATTGTATACTTAAAAATATACCTCTTTTAAACCTTCGAAATTGTTTTTATATTTAATAAAAAGAAAAACAACAAGTGATTACCTATTATTTAATAGAATGATATATCCCCCGAAACTTGCGTGTGCAGAATTGAATTGAGAAGCTTTTTGGGAGATCACTCAATTTTTAAGCTCCCTTCCTTCAAGGTGAATGAAGCATTAATCGGCACCTCTTTTAATGACGAATTATACGTAGGAAACATTTAACTCGAATGAAACGAAATTACGTTTTCCGCTTATTGTGTTGTGTAGCGTTATTATTTCGACCTTTAAATTCAAATCGTTTGCGGTGCCATTTGTAATTTTCAACGCACTTCTCCTTGTTTATAAACATAAAATTGCATTTCACGAAATAGTAAATACCACGACAAATTTCATTTATTTCCTTAAGAGGATTCTCTTCTGTTGAGTGTGTCGAATTCTATTAGATATGCTTAATATTTCGGTTTTGATTTTAATTTTTTTAACAATTTTAAATGGTTATTTCCTTGTGATACGATAAATATATATTTTTGGTCAATTTGCCACATGCCAAATTAGAAGCCTTCCCTAATTGAAGTGTTTATACACCAATTACTTAGCTTGTTCATTTAGGTACAATTACAATTAGCTCGTATTTGAAGGAAACTCGCGAATTTTTAAATTGAGCCAATTTTATATCTACTAATCGTTAGTTCAAATAAATTTGACCAAAAAAACATTTATCTATGATATTAAATACATCAAATTATGAACATAAATATTTTTCTCGCATCATGTATCAGGTGGTGACATTCTGAAGAATGAAGTAATAATGAAATCAATTATACAATTTTTACGCAGGTTTTGTTAAAATGAGGTAACAGATGTATTTTATTTTTCATTTCTACCCAAATAACTTTAATGTAGATTTTAGATACGAAGGAATACACGTTAGGAAAAAACAAAATAAGGAGAAATAAACCAATAAATGAAGTGTTAATAAAAAATACTTAAAAAATTATTTTGGGTCATAAAATTTTTTGGTACTTGAAGAACATTGTGCAGTAAATGCAGTAAATTGCCTCAAATATTAGCTGTCCATCACAATTTTTACATAATCAAATAAAATTGTGCAAATTATACAATTTTCTTTCGCCCAAGAATTGGATAAACGGACTTAAAATTGTTATCATTTACTAAGAATCCTGAAACGTACCTACTGTTACAACCACATGTAGGAATTGGTGAGTATCAAAAGCGCCTAATACTTGTACTCAATTTAATCGGTTAACACTTTGCAGTGTGAACTTTCACTCACCCGCCTCTGTTAACAACCGAAATTACCATCTCGAATCAAGTGGATAATGAAGAATGCAAAAATATTAGAGACCTAAACTCGAAGTGGTTGTATCTTGTGCGTTCCGCGCTCGGTAGGTACTCTGCAGGTCTTCGCATATTCCTCCTGCTGCTCGTGTGATACGCTCCACACTTCATCTAACGCACCGCAGGATTTAGATTTAGGCCGTTTTAACGCATCGTGGAAGCGTTTTTACAAACAAGTTTTTAGAGGTGTTTAAGCGGTACAAATGAGGAAGCTGTTCGGTGAGTTAATAGAAGTGACACGAAAAGATTTTGTGATGGTTTTATGACGGGTTAGTTTATGCAGTAATATTTAATGATATCGATTTTAGTAATAATTTTAATTAACGATAATCTTTTTATCTCAAGCTTAATAAAGATCTTGGAATCTCTGCAATTAAAAAGTTGTTCAAAATTAATCCTATAAGTAAACTTTTACTTCATAAATCTCTATAAAATTTAGGTATCGATCTAATTAATTTTTCATGGCGGTAATGATAATAAATATAAGTTTGATATTTGTAGTCGAGTTCTTAAGATCGCGGTATTTTTTCATGCAATTGACCATTTTACACGACGTCTCGTTTATTAAAATATATCGGCTTAGGAAATGTAGGTTAAAGACATAAGTCAGTAGAAATAATTGTTACACGAAAAGTCGAATTTAAACTGCTTAACACTTTGATTAATCATCATTTAATCATTCCTTTTTCAGGTGTAAATCATGTAAGTTGATAAATTAACTTACATGCATAAACCTACTTTAATTATATTGTTTATTGGTATCTTTTCTGCTATAAAACGTTCTCCTAAAGATTGGGGAGCTTACACTGCTATATGAAAGTGTATGAATTACATGTGATTAAAAATAGTAGATAACTCCACATATATCTACAAACATCTTTTTTTTCTCATTCACGTTTTTCCTTTTTTTTCAGAAAACTAAAGAGACCAAAATGTCATCATCATCACCAGAAAAATTATTTTACCAACCAGGCATTGTGGACGACTTGGAAGAATTAAAAATCCTTTACAATTCGCGAAATTACAATTTAGTTAGTGAAAATAAAATACCAACTTTACCTCCTCTACGTATTGGACAAAATCTATTGTCTATACCGAGTGCTCCAAACCTTCGCAGGATCCATACATTGGGAAGCCTATCCAAACTATCCACAGCGCCCAGTTTGGGAAAAATATCCACAACGAATACTTCATTGATTTATACGTCTGTGCCACTACGACATGATAGTTCTCGGTAAGATAACCTTTCCTTAGCTTTAAGTGGAATTCCGCAATTATCTGGCTAATTTTATTACAATGTGACACTCGAAAAAGTACTAATTTTTTGCATTATCGCCGACTTTCAATTACAATTGATAAGGGGAAATATATGTCATCTCTGTACAAACACTTTATAATTATTAATCTGTACAAATATTTTTAGTAATTAAAGCACCTTCACATACAGAGATGTGAGATGTGTCACAAACAAGTAAGTAAAATCAGTTTATTTTGGAAATTTGGAATTTTGGAAGATTTTTTTAGGAAGTAAATTCATAATTATTATTATTTGCTTTGCCTACAAATATTCCTGTTTTAACAAGTACAGCCCTGTAGAAAATGTTTACAGTTATACTTAAGTGATATCTACAGGAAATCTTCATAATTTATGATTTATTACATTTAATTAGTATATTTACATTGTCATAGCAGTCTAATTTATTTTCGAATAAATAAATTGGATTTTTTTGATAGATTATTCTAATCTGCTCAGCCTAAATAAATTTAAACACGGAATCCCCCTGAATAAGTTTATCAAGGCAGCATTTTAACCTTTGCCTATTAAGAAATGTTTGTACATCCTAATAAAAATTTCTAGTTTTTTTTTATTTAACAGGATGATTCATTGGAAAACGGGCGGAAAGATTTTAACCCTTTATAGGGGTCACCCAGGGGATCACAAAAAACCCATATAGTATGGATCTTACGCTCTTTATAACCGAGTTACAGGGTGTTTTTCGAATTTGGCCCATTTCTTTCAGGGCATATAACCTTCAGAAGAATCATCCCTGTAAAAAATAATCTTAAATGTGATTTGGCTTTACGATTGGGAAGAGCATATTGTGTAATTACAAATTAAAATCTAATTAAATCAATATCATAAAATTTCATAGGTAGACATAAAATAAACTTGATTAGTTAGACATAACGATAAAATTCGATACAAAACCAAAATTCCACTTTTACGTCAAAATATTATCTGATTTTTCCAAGTACTTAATCATAAACGAGTTACTTATTTTTTCCTTAAATTTTGCTAATGCGGGTGTGTTTATTAAATCCGTCTAATCCTTAATTAAATGTATCCAAAAATGTGCAACTGTGAATATGTAGGTACTACACAAAATCTGGAATAATAAATATTCCACCTGCGATAAATATGTCTCGTAGATGTCATGATAACAAAATATCGTCATCGCGAAACCTAACATCATGAAAACAAATTTTATTTTACATTTCACATTCAGTTGCTAATTTTTGTTATAAACAATCATTATATATTAATAATTTGACAAAGACTTGGATTTATCAGTCGCTTGTAAGGTTTTATTAGGTGCTAACTAATTAGACCTATCGTTGAAACAGTGAAAACTCTGAAAATGAACGGAAACGGTGAAACAAAATTTTTGCTGAAAACTCCGCCCTCGCCATTGAAACTCATGAAAAATGGTGATATTTCGCCGATTCCTCCTCTTACCCCTAATTGTAAAACAGCAACCCCTACGTCTCCGACTAATATTAGCAGGTATGGTTAATTTTTTTAATTTTAATTGAGATAGAGTGCACATTTTACATCAAAGACTCGAAAGACTAGATAAAACTAATGAATGAAATTTGTATATCTACTATTTGGGATAAGCAAGTTTTGTAGGACCTTAACATGCCCACATTATTAATACGCACAATGTAATGAAATAATTCAAAGCGAGATTTTCGCAACTCGATCTTTCATGTGGAAAGCAATTTATTTTGTTTAACCGGCTTAATTAAAACGAGAGTTTTCCGTGTATCTTTGTGGACTTGTTCGTGGTTTGTGTTAGTGCAGAACATTGTAGTAAAGAGATAATGATAACAAAAATCGAAGTATATTTTACTAAAAAATTTAACAAGTAAGAACCTGTGTGATATAAGAATATTTTAAACAGATCGCTCAATAGTTAAAAATAATTATAGAGGTTGTTTTTCAATCTTAAACTTTGAGTAAACTAGAATTTGTAGTGAATAAACTTTCCAAATAATAATCATTTATAATGTAAAAAATATATATTTTTTTAAGCACACTACGCGTAATGGTCTTGTCAGTGGCATGAAATTATATCAAATTACCAATTTACACCGAATCCTTTAAGTGATGTTTGGTTAACCGTGATTGTTTGCATAGAATTTAAAGCGAACCAATTTCGTTTTAAATTGTTATAGCGTATACAGTATGAGTTTCATAATCATGGTAACTTTAACTTATTACCTAAGATACCAAATAGAATTAACTAAAACTAAACTTGTAAACAAATAAAAAAAACAATTTTTGAAGAACCCCGTATAATAAAGGTTTAATCGGCCATAAGCACGTTAATTAATGTCATTATTAGAAAATATTTGTACAGTATGTGAGGCATCGTAAAATAATTTCCGTTTAATGTTAAATACAATTAAGATAATCCTAAAAATTGTGCTAATGCTCTTGGTTGAAACTCCTATAGGTGAATAATCTGTTGAAATTCGGACGTATTAAAATTTATTCGAAATGCCTGTTTCTGGTGGATTTATGTGGATTTCAAAAAAGGTTAAAGACCTAAAGAGGTAAATTTTTGTTTAAATTTTCAAATTATCGTAAAAATATCGTTTAAAAGACATTTCTTTTGCAAAATTACAAGTTCAAATTCAATAAAAATATTAAAATAATATTGGAGTAAATCGTAAACTTCGTGGATTGTAGAGCATTGTATGAAATAAGCAAATATATTTTTTTAATTTAAACGACTGTAGAGCGAACATTTTCGAAGGTGGAGCTACATAAGGCGTTTGAAACAATGAGTTTGCATAAATATACCTGTCTAAATAAGTATTGCTTGTTTTAAAATTAAATAGATTTAAATTGCCAGGTGTATCAATATTAAAATGGATAGAATAAGATTTATTCGCTTTGAATTGGTGTTCTGTCAATAAATATTTATTTTATTTTACGTAAAATTGTGAACGTAAAATAAGGTGGAAGGACCTTGAGTATAACCAGTAATATCGAGATTTTATCACCCGCTTATTTTTTGAAAATCAATTTTAATATCTAATTTTCTACTTATATTAACAATAAGTAGAAATTGTTTCCTAACCAGTGATTAGATTTAGTTTTATATTTGAATAGATCCACTATTTCATCATTTATTTATCGTACCCCAGCAGAAGAGTTTATTGTGATATAATGTTTCCAAAGGTAATACCAAAACCTCAACAGTTCCAAAACATCAAAACCAATAAAGGAAGATCTTCTACAGCTGAGTTTTCTAGCTGTTTTCTCTAATATATTCCTTCGAAATTGGAAAGACTATAACAAAGGGGGTTTTTATAACAACAATTTTAAGTTAGTGCCTACTGTTTTCAGACGCTCGTTTCGACCAAATGCCCTAAGAAAAATGCGAAAACGCGCAGTATTCAAAAACGGAGACTGCAACATCCTTCAATCTCGAATATCGAAACGAAGACTCAGATACCTCCAAGACATCTTCACGACGTTGGTCGACTCCCAATGGAGATGGACACTGACCATTTTCGCCATTGGGTTCTTGGGCTCGTGGCTCCTATTCGCTCTCATTTGGTGGCTGATCGTCTTCACACACGGAGACCTCGAAGAAGACCACATGCCGCCCTTACAAGCCGACGCCAATTGGTCTCCATGCGTTCTTAACATCTACGGCTTCACCTCGTGCTTCCTCTTCTCTATAGAAACGCAACACACTATCGGTGAGTTTTGTTAACGTGGAATTCGAATTCGCTGATTGAAACCTTATCATAATCCCAGGTTATGGTGTACGTACGACCACCGAGGAATGCCCCGAAGCCATATTCGTCATGTGCCTGCAAAGTATAGCAGGCATGATAATTCAAGCGTTTATGGTGGGCATTGTATTCGCCAAGATGACCCGGCCGAAATTGAGGACTCAAACGCTCCAATTCTCCAAACACGCGGTCATTTGCCAGCGCGACGGCCACCTGTGCTTGATGTTCAGAGTGGGCGACATGCGGAAGAGCCACATCATTGGGGCGAGCATTCGGGCGCAACTGATTCGGGCCAAAACGACCAAGGAAGGAGAAGTGCTGACGAATTTCCAAACGGAGTTGAACGTCAACGCGGACGGTTGCGATGGGAATCTCTTCTTCATCTGGCCGATGACCATCGTTCACAAGATCGACGAGGAATCGCCTTTGTACTACCTCACTGCCAGCGATATACTGCTGGAGAAATTCGAAATAGTGGTGATTTTGGAAGGGACCATCGAGAGCACCGGGCAAACGACGCAAGCTAGGTCCAGTTATTTGGCGAGCGAAGTGTTATGGGGTCACAGGTTCGAGCCTGTGGTGTGCTACAACAAGGACAGGCAGGGGTACGAGGTGAACTATTCGAAATTCGATAATACCATGGCTATTGATACGCCTCTGTGTTCGGGAGCTGATTTGGCGGAGTTTTACAAAATACAACATTCTCCTGGTGAGTGAATTTATTTCGAAAATGTCATTCCATTCGCATCAGGCTTTCTATTTATAGATTCTGTAAATGTAGTACATAAACTAACGACTCATTTTTTTGTCATCATTCGTTATTAACAAGTTCAATTCAATTCATGCTTGGGTTTTATAATTCGCTTATCTTTTACAAGATCTCGTTAATTAAGTTATTGCTTGTCCTATTTTGTTTGTAGTTTTTGTACATATACTGAAGGTTAATAATTAATCTGACAACAAATATTTTAGGATTCGCTATTTTCGACATCAATGTGAATATATCCGCAATAATTCTAATTTTAAATATAAGTACTTTTAATTTTGTTATTAAACTTATTCTTACATGCCTTTTTAGATATTCTTTTACTAGCTATTTTATTTACTAGGCCTACATAATATTTCTTACATTTTTCCTAATAAATCTTTTCTTCTTTAGTTTAATTCTTCAAATAAAAAAAAATAAATTTTTGATAATCCAACATTTTTTACAGATACTGACACTACTCAGCCTATAAATGATTTGTCCCCTTAATTAGCATAAATTTTAAATAATTTAAGACTGTGATTTGTATTTCGAATAGGTGCTTGTAAGTTACAAGTTCCATAGCATTGGTAAGATTGTGTTCTGTGTCGTTTAAAGAAAGTGTTTTGTTGTCTGTATTTAAAACAAATAAAATATGATTGAGTGGGCTTTTGTTTTATTTGTTGTTAGTTGGAAATTTTCTGTAATGTCAGAAAGAGTATTTATTTTTTAAATTAATTCACAAATGTATCGATTTCCGTGAAATGAGAACTGTTTTGTAATTGTATACGCTTTGGAAATGGTATATTTTTTATAAATAAAGTAAGAGGCTTTTAAATTATTCAATGCTATTCAATTATAATTATAATTATTTGTTCAGTGCATTGAGAACTTTTGCATGTTGGATAATTTTTTATAGAATGGAATTGGCGGTATTCGGCCAGTAACTTGTCCCGAAACAACAGTTTCACGTTACAAAGCGCTCCTGTTTCCCGAGCGCCGTCGCAGGAATTTCTTGTTTACAAGGAATCGAGCAAGAAAAACCCAATTAATTCGCAACAATCAAAAAAAGAACACGAAATTTTGACCGAAGGACCGACGATACGAGAAGTAAAAAAGAAAATCAGCACCGCCGGCAGAATGCACTATGACGTCCTCGAAGAGAAAGACGAGGAGGAGCATTTAATTTAATAAGACTTTATTATAAGTATTGAAATATTTTTTATAAAAATAAAAAAAACTCTTAAAAAAACGGTGTTTGCTTCCGAATAAAATTATTAATATTGTAATAATTGCAGCATAGGATAGGGATGGTGACCATAAAATTTATTACTGTAAACATTAAAATTTAAACATCCTCACAACATCATAGACGAGTCATTTTGAAAACATTACTGTTGAATCATTTATAGGTAGAATATTACACCAAAATGGCGAGCGCAATCACGAGAATTAAAGCACACGTTAGAGATTTTAGAAGGTACGCATCTAATATTATAAGAAATAATATCCTAGTATTATAATTTAAATTACAGAAAAGCTTACGGACCAAACATCTGGAGCGGTAATCAAAAGCAAAGAGCAATTTTAAAAGACGGCCAATACAACATCCTAAAACCGAAATTCCCCAGGAGATATCTCCGCTATGTAAAAGACTCCTTTACTAGCCTAGTAGACTCCGAATGGAAATGGACAGTGCAAGCTATGGTGCTGGGATTTACAGGAATGTGGCTGCTATTCGCTCTCTTATGGTGGTTGATCGCGTTCGTGCACAAAGACCTGCACGATGAACACATGCCCGCTAAACAAGCAGAAAACGGTATAATGCGACATTTATATCGTTCATATTTTAACGAATTTTATTTAGGTTGGACGCCTTGTGTTCTAAACATCTACGGCTTCCATTCCTGCTTCTTGTATTCCTTGGAGACGCAAAGCACGATCGGATACGGTTCCAGGGCCGTCACCGAGGAGTGCCCAGAGGCTATATTCCTGCTATGCGCGCAAATCATCATCGGGATGATAATAGATTCGTTCACAGTCGGCGTATTTCTCGCGAAATTGATGAGACCAAAACTGACGGCTTATACCATCCAATTTTCCAGGAATGCAGTCGTTTGCTTGCAGGATGGTGTGTTTTGCCTCATGATGAGAGTCGGGGATTTGCGAAAAAATAAACTAATAGGTGAGACTGTGATGAAGTTATCGAGTGAATTAACGTTGAATGTATTCGTTTCTCAGGCGTGAGCATTAAAGCTTTCTTCATTGATAGCGCCACGACCAAAGAAGGCGAAAAATTGGACCCGTACGAAACGGAATTGCGGGTTCAATGCGACGATGCCGGTGGTGAGCCCATTTTCCTATGGCCTGTAACGGTGATGCACAAAATCAACGAAGATTCTCCGTTGTACCGATATTCTTCAAGCGATATATTGAATAAGAAATTCGAGATTGTCCTCATGCTGGACGGCACTATCGAGAGCACGGGGCAAGGCACCAACGCCATAACCAGTTATTTGTCCAACGAGATTCTGTGGGGCCAAAAATTCGAGAAAATGATCGGTTATAACAAAAAACTGGAATCGTTCGAGGTTGATTTCAAATGCTTTGATAGTGTAAAGACGGCCTATACGCCCTCATGTTCACCTGCAGAGTTCGATGAATGCAAAAAAGGTTACAAATGTTATACAGGTTAAACGGTTGTACAAAGCTTCTTTTATTTTAGATTTTTATGAAAAGTTCGGTCACAATGAAGACGATCAAGAGAAAAAAGAAATAATAACGGACAATAGGAAAGCTCCTTCAAGATCTGAAACACCTCCATTTCCAGATATTTGGGTTTAAAGTAAATTTTATTTTTATTTGATATTTATGGATTAAAGTGTAGTTATTATATTTATAGATAAAATTTATAATTGAAAATATTAGGTTTATGTAGATTTAAGTACATATTAGTCTTTTATGATCATCATTGATTATTTATTGATCATCGCCCCATAACTACTATTTCCTGATAGGTACTTCCTCAAAGGTAGAAGAATTATACTCGTAGGTTATTGTTAGTTAGTCGATAGACTAACAGAAAATAGAAGTGTGCCGCGTAAGTCGATTGTTTCCTTCATAGAAACTGTCAAGTACAGCGAAGTTTCCATCAAAAGTCGATGTATTCGCACAGCAAAATGCAACTCTGGTACCCAAAACAAACCCCGGATAGCGACGTTTCAGACAATCGAGGGAAAAGGCCGGGCGCCCGCGACAGCCTGGAGTCCTTCACCAGCGAGGACAACGAGCCGGTCGATGAGGTTTATCAATCGGGGGACGCCCAGAGCACCACGACTACGAACACCAGCAGAACGTCGAGTCCCAGCAACTCATCGGCGGACGCGAAAAAGCCCGGCGACAGCGGAACTATTAGTGATTTCATAGACTCGAATTATTGGAGAGAGGAAAAAGTTTGTTGCGGCTTGATATTCCGCGGGATTCACGACGAGATATTGGTGGACATGAGGTTCATGAAGGCCTGCTCAAGTAGATTAAGGAGAATGGAAATAAGCAAAAGAAGGGATAAAGACGTTATAAATATATAAGAATTTGTATTGTTATTGTATAGTTCAAATTTGTTTTAATTTTTTTAGATTAATATACTTATTCATAAAAATGCTACGAGTATTCTATAGAGTAGATAATTCATTGGTTGTTTCATATTCTTAGCTAATTAAAATGATAAATTTTGATACTTACATACTAACAAACTACACTTTTTCAACTTTAAGTTGGGACTGAAGAATATCAAAATAACTTTTTCATGTTTTCGGTTGCAGTTTTGGCATCTCCATTGTCGCGTTTCCATAAGGCCTTTCCCGGTGGGGCGCGAGTTCTGGGCCACCCTGTATATCACAATTTGAAATGGCAAAAAACTAGACAACTTTTGACAACATATTTAATTGGTAAAAAACGGTTTACAAAATAGTATGGCACTACATGTTTATAATTTACAGTATTTGCTTAACTAGAAATTAAAAAATTAAGTACTTTACGAAAATAAATAAATAATACTCGGAAAGACGACGTTTGGAAATCAAAATAAATATGTGTTGAAGGGAACAAATGCTTACAATTTTCTAGTTTTTCTACTAACTGCAATAAAAATGAATTCGTCGCACGATGATTTATAATTGCACAAGTGTTTATGTAAAAATTAAATACGTATTGTGTGTAAATAAATGCATCAATGAAAATAATATTTTAATATCCAGAACTGAAATTATTAGCCACTTTAATAAAATTATCTATTTCTATTTTTTAACATTAGAAATTAAAAAAATCATTGGTTTCAGTAAATATGGAACCACCATATATTCTAAATTGCCTGGCAATTTCAATGTTAATATCAAATTTTATTGTATCATTTAAATAAACAGCTTTTTTGAAAATTATAAAATGCAATTATCGATGAATAAAATAAATAAACAACTTAACTAATGATCCTTTTTGAATGTCCAAAAACTTCAGATAACATTAAAATTGCAATTTTCGGATTAATACAAACTAAATATTTTCCAGTATAGTCAGTGATATATAAAAATAAATCCTTTATAAAATTGAAATAATACAAAAAACGGGTACACATCGTGCAACAATATCATTATTTAAAAATTGTTTAGGTAACAATCAACAGCAAGTTACAAACACGTGAAAAATTTTCGGTAAATCTTCACTATGTTGTACCCTGCTTCCATCAATTTTGACAGAAAATTGAAAGATATTTTATTCCTGAAATTATACTAATCGAACGTAAGTGTAATTGCCTAAAAATAAACCAGAAATTTAAACTTAATATAATCAACCCTTTCATTTGAAACGGGACAATAACCAGCAACAATTACCGATTCATTTTTACGACCATATTATTAAAGTTAAAAAAACACTTAAGCGTAATAATGCTGTATCAAAAAGAGACAAAATGTTCAGAATAAATTCCTATTTACCAAACTAAATTCTTCTGTATGCAAATTTCGACAGGACGATTTAAAATCTACAACGGTAAAATTCTAAATTTCTTCAAACATTCCATCTCTCAAAATAAAAAATAAAACCACCAATACACAGGATCCCGGATTGTTTTCGGCCGGTGATAGGAACAAACCGTCCCTATTATCTAACCCTAAACAGGCGGTATGATATTCGAATGGTTCTTCAACGTCCCGTTCTTCAACGGCACCGTCTCATCGAAAAGCTGTTCCTCCGGAGCCGTGACCGTCACTGGTATCGGACTGATCGGAATTTTCATTTCTATGTGCCCGTCGTCGATGGAAAGCGAGTCCATGCTGGACAACGTATCACTGGAGTGCGAACGAACCGACGGGAACAAACCGTTTATGCGACACTGGCCTGGAATAAAGAGGGATGTTCATTGAAAAGTCAGATTTCGATGGCTTTTCGAAGCTTTGATGATAGCAATTAAACATAGTTCTTTCACGGTGTGCATTTTGAAGTGGGACGTTACCATTGATTTGTTAATTCCTGTTACACTATTAGGAATAAATAATAATCTAGGGTATTGGAGTTTTTTTTACTAATTTCCTAACTTTCCGCTACTAATTATATTACGCTTCTACCATACTTTTGCTAGATTTCTTTATATTTTTCACTGTACTGTATGCTACTGATACTACTTAGCAATATTTATTTGTTATGCGGGTATTGTACGCTACTAATTTTACAAAGTATACAAAGCCGATTGTTATTACATTTAAAATAAAAAGTAGATCTTACCCGTCGTCAAAAATTTAGGTTTTTCTTCTGAAATAGAAAATATAATTTTAGAAAAACACTGCTACATATTTATCTTCTAACTCCTACGTAGGAAACAAAGCATTTCTGGTTTAATTTGTTATATTTTATTATTTCTTCTAGGTATTGCTTAGTATTGAAAATAAATTGTACTTAAATATAGCGGGTATTTTGTTAAAAACTAAAAACCAAAAACGAAAAGGGAAGCAAAGAAAAGTAAAGCAAGGAACGAAGAATAATGTGAAAAATGGCTACTCATCATCATTGCAAATGACTCAAGTAAATTTACCTATTCCTTCGTGATTGTACAGAGCCCTTCTTTCGTCCAGTTCCCTGGCGCTGCACAAAGGAGTGTCCACTTCCACGGTGTTGTTAAAGAGTGCATAATCCACCTCGTACTCCCCGGAATCCTTCTTGAAGGTGATAAGAGACTGAAATCTGTGGCCCCACAAAATTTCAGACGGAAGATAGCTGGATCTAGCTTGAGTCGTCATTCCTGTCGATTCGATTACCCCTTCTAAAAACAACCAGGCGCGTGAAATTATGCCGATAACAGTTCTTGTTGTTAGTCTTTTTTTATTGGGTTTCAAAGAGCAATCGATAACAAATTGCAAATAAAATGTTTGCAAACAAATAAAATGTTTGCGTGAATATTAAACAATTTTTTAATTTTAACCGTTGTTGTTTTGTCACGTTCTCTGATAAAGTGACAATATTTTACGATTCTTACACAATCGCATATAATTGCTAGAAATGGTTCTAGAAAATTTAGCAATAATGCTGAAAACGGGCGATTGTTTGGAGTTAATAAAAATAAACTCGGTAAATTACCTAATATAACTACAATTTCGAATCTTTCCCTGAGCAGATTGTTCGCCGACATATTGTAAAACGGCGAATTGCAGTCGATTTTGTGAACTATAGTCGTAGGCCATATAAAAAATATCTTGTCCTCTTCCCCATCGCCACCAACCTGAAACACAAAAACAATTTATTTATAGACATTTTTTCAGAATGTTAAATACAAAAACAAACACTTATTTCAAGCAATTAAAAACTCAAATATCACTCTATTTACTTCTAAACACGTAGCATAAAAGCTCATTGTAACAAAATCACAAAGCACTCCAAATTCTACCCACACCTCAATAAAAAATATAAATAAGTGTGTTTGATTACTTACTTTTTCACTTACCTTCAACTCCGTCTGGAAGAAGGGTAAGTTTTCTCCTTCTCTGGTAACTTTGTGCTTAATCAGTTGCGCCCTGACGTGCGCCTCTATGATATGGCTCTTTCTCATATCGCCCACTCGGAACATGAGACAGGGCACCCCGTCTCGATGGTTGATGACGGCGTGCCTCGAAAACATCAACGTTTGCGTCCTCTTCTTGGGCCTGGAGAGCTTCGCGAACACCACGCCGACCTAAAATCAAGTTAGATATATTCGATTTCAAACAAATTATAACTAAAAATTGCTCATGTCCAAAGGAGATGAGGCAATTAAATTACTGAAGAATACACACTCTTTGTCGGATAAGGATGAGCAGCATGGGGAAACGTGTAGGAAATATATGAGAAATGAAGAATACTGTGGGATGATGATGATGATACCATGGAGAAGCATTTAGGAAAATATAATAGAAATAGCTGTGGTTAAATGGGGAGAAATTTCTCCAATTAGGAGGAGATTAAACTGGTGCAAAAGTTGACTATATTTAATCCTTATCTGTTGAATGAAAGCTCAAAATTAGTTACCATAAATGCCTGAATCATGACGCCGGTAATACTTTGAATGCACATAACGAAAATGGCTTCAGGGCATTCCTCCGTGGTGGTTCTACCTCCGTAGCCGATGGTATGTTGAGTTTCAATACTGAAAAGGAAGCATGACGTGAAGCCGCGCACATTCGTAATGCAAGGCACCCAAGGTTCGGTTCCATTCTGAAACATAAAAAACAGGATGATGTAGCGATTGTACTGCCCAAATCCAAGCAACTAATTCGCATATTTCACTCGCAAATCGTTCACTAGCTGTTGATTGATAGCTCGAAGTGTGTTTATTTAAATTGTAAACTAGTTTACCCAACCGATGAGTAGCTTACGAGCAATGCGCTCGATACAAAAAAATAACTTTTGCAAACAAACGAGATAAACAAATGTGCTTACAACATGCTCCTCGAGGAGATCACCGTGGGTAAATACGATGAGCCACCAGACTACGGCGAAGGACAGCCAGGAGAGGAGGAAGTTCAGGGCGAATACTAGAAGTGTCCAACGCCATTGGGCGTCCACCAGCGTCGTGAAGATGTCTTGGAGGTACTTTCGACGTCTCTTGGCTACGTTGCCTTGCACCACGTTACAATCGCCGTGCTTGAAGACCACTCGTTTCCTAATCCTTCTAGCGTTGAATCGAGATTGCCTGAATCTACAATCATCAATAGACAAACGTTGTAAGATCCAGAAACAAAATTCTTAATGGGGAATGTATGTAGATACTTATTAAGTAAATCGAAAACTAATAATTGTAGAAAGGGATTTGCATCGGTTTGAAACGACTCTGATTGTACCTATATGATATTTAGTAGGTTAAGTTTCACTTTAAGTATACAGTATAAGATAAACGAATGGTCTATCATCATCTCCCACACTGAAAAAATTTTGGTACATAATATCAATGAACACCATGTTTTCAACTTGTTTTCATTAGCTCAATAAAATAATACATTAATCCAATAAATTTTCATTCATTAGTTAATGAATTCATTTATTAACTCAATGTTTCTTGTAACATTAATTATTAATGTAAAATTTCATTAACTCAATAACAATTTTTATTAATTCAATGAAATTTAATCATTAATATAATAACCTAGTACATTAAAAGCGAATATTTCAGTTAATGTATTCGATACATTAAATCAAAGTAACTTGTACATTAATATAACGAATTGTTCATTCTTTTAATGAAATTTAATTATTGAACCAAAAACATTAATACATTAGTTCGATAAACCACATTCGTCATTTTTTATGTTGCCCGTACATTGATTCAACAAATTGAGTACATAAATCCTATGTTCGAGTTCATTGAGCCAATGAACGCATATACATCATTAGTTCGATAAAACACATTCGGCATTTTTAATGTTGCCCGTACATTGATTCAACAAATTTAATACATAAATTCTATGTTCGAGTTCATTGAGACAATGAATGCATATACATTGGTTCGATAAACCACATTCGTAATTTTTTATGTAGCCCGTACATTGATTCAACAAACTGGATACGTAAATTCTTGTCTCGAGTTCATTGAGTTAATGAACGCTTTTCATTAAGTCAATGAATATCAGTTTGGATTTTGGCAATACACACTAGAGTGCAAATCTATGCCGTTCTATTCTATTAGAAAAAAAGAAATAGATAGAGACGCTTTCGAAAATCGCGATGACCGTTAATTACCCCTCTTTCTCTCCTGTTATTTCGTGTTGAAGCGTTGAACTGGAAGTGTTCTGTTTAGTTAATTTCGTTTTCGTTTTGTATTATAAGAAGGAAGAAAATTCAAGCGCTGTTGTTTTAAGAGGTAAGCATTTTTTTAATTCGGTACACTATAGGTTAATACTTATACATTTTATTTCTAGGATTTAATTTTAAACACAAACGTAAAGCCTAAGGGAGATATAAGTGCAACAACTTCAAGATTCATACAAAATGTGTGTAAGTTTTTATGGTTTTTACTACAACTCATTAAATTATTGGATATATTACATTTTTAGGCCCCAAAGACATTTGTGAAACGTGCATAAGACTTCTGAAGTTTGAAAATTTATCATCGGAAGAGTTCGACGTATGCAGCATGTATTGGAACTTCGCTTGAGTGACATAAAAAACGCACAAAAATTCAGATGATAAAATGAACTTATTACAAACGACCATCTGGATATAGCTTGGTGAGTACCTTCAATAGTATACCTACCTATACACCGTGCTTCATTCGCGATTGCAACATGAGCATTTCTTTGAGTTGAACAAAGAAATATTAGTAAAATAACAGTTGTCAGAGTGAAAAGTTGCAATGACATAATATCATACTGTTTCTTTTTCCTTTACAAGTGTCTAATTGAAGTTATCTTTGTTGCACCCATAGCCTATGTTGCAATCTATATACTTACTGGATATGTAGATAGGAATTTACAGTCTACTATATTAACCCATAATTTTTTTTAGATCGATATGGATTTCGCCCCAGCGTATGATGCAAAGAATTTTATGGAATAATTCGAAAATAATTCTTCGAAGATTGACCAGTTTCTTCTAGCAATAATACAAAAAATGTAAATTCGTTAATTTAATAAATCAAATTCATTAATTCAATGTACTGCGTTCATTAATTCAAAAGCTAAAATTCCTTAATTCAATAAAAGAAATTCATTAAACCAAGATCTAAGTTTCATTGATTCTATGAAAGCATTTCATTGATTCTATGAAAGCATTTCATTGAATCAATGTACTACATTTATTAGAAAAAATCTAAAATTTGTTGAATCAGTGTACACCGTTCATTAAACCAATGTAAAATATTACATTGAATTAATGTACTTCTTTATTGGGTCAGCAACTTTAATTCATCGAAACAATGATTTTCATTTCATCATATCAACGAATTATACATCACTTAATGTACCTCTTCATCGCTTAATGAACAAACGTTCATTGATTTAATGAAATCGTTTATTGGACGACTTTTAATGTAAAAATTTCTTGGATTAATGTATTTTTTCATTATCTGCACGTACTTTTTTGGTTCAGTGCATAATTTTATTCCTTCGCGTATTAACGGTAGGTGTAAAAAATTACTGTTTTTAATACTATCTTGATTTCACTTCCAATATAATGATGATTTATGTAAGTGTGCAGTTAAAATTATAAAGAGCATATTCATTAAAAATAAAATTATTGGCAATGTCGGAGCAATTAATGTTTTACGGTTTCGAATAAGCATGTACAAAATGGAAACGTGTATTTTAAAACTATAAATCAAGTAATTTTCATTGATTTTCCATCCATAAATTTCGGTCATTATTTAGTGCTTATGCAAAACACACTTAATAATATTTTGATTTTTAAACTAGTGCGTGTAATTGTAAACATTAAATACGTAAATGGAGTAATAAGAAAACGTTAATGATAAGTATTACGGATTTATGAATAAGCAAAAAAACTGTAAAAACAAACTAAAATTACTTGTATTTTATATTATCGCTAATCATGAAAGAAAAATTTTGAAAAAAATTGAAAACATTAAATACAAATTTCTACTACCTTTTAAACGTCTCAAAATAATCAGTGTTGCAATAAGCGGTATCATCAAAGCGCTTGAGCGCTTCAAACGACAAAACCGACATTTTTTTAGTTCTTCTGTACTTTTGTGATTGAAGTAAACACAATAATAAGTCTATGATGCGACTAAATAGAAACCTACATCGTTATATTCACGTCCTTACTGATAACAATATAGAAAAACTACAAATTTAGAAGACCGATCGTGTTTATTACGTCTTGTAATATTATAAATAATTACATATTATATTCTTTGAGATAAGTAAACGATGAAAAATAAAATGTTAACGTGTATTTCGACAAATGATGCAATTTAAAGAACACGTTTTTAAAATGATCGGAAATTTACATATTTTGTATAAGTAGATTATTTTATTTACAGATCCTCGAGGAACTAATTGATGATTTGTTAATCTAATTGTACATTTTCGGAATGCCACATATAAATAGTCTCTGTTACCATTAATTTAATATTGCATGTTTTCACTACACGCATCAAAAATAATAAAAATTTCTCTAACTGTTATTGAAAAGCCAGTAACAGCTGGCCATTGTCAAACTCAAGTTTCTTTTAATACGCTTCTGAAATTGGCATGGGAATGACCAACAAAAACTTTTACTTCAATATTTTAAGTACTAAAACATTCAAGCATATTTGCCAACTGGACTCGCTTCAGCCTTTTATAAAAGCACCTGGATGATTGCCTTACAATGATACCAAAATAAATGTCTCAAAAGTACATTGTTCGCCGCCATTTTCCCTTCTAAAAGTGCCCAAGGAAATTGTATATCACACAAAAGTAATATGTAGACACCTTTTAATTATCGAATTGCTTAAATAACGAAAGAAAATGGATACCTTGACCATGTGTGGGCCCATGCTTCCTCTCCGGATGTCGTCGCCTTGAACGCCAGCATCGACACCTGTGATAGGCACTTCCTTAAGCCGGCCATGCTTACCATAGTAGAGCCGGAGGTGGTCGCCGTCGGCGTCGTCATAAGGCTACCACCATCTAGTAATACCGAACACACACCACTAGGTTTATTATGCCCGTTTTGCTGGAGATTATCACGAAAATCGTGTGCGATTTTCTACTAGTTCATCGCACGAGGTCCCGCAATCGCGGATCAACGGGCACAGCAATGAAATTAACATTGTTTCTCGGTTCTATACGTACATTTATCGAGACTGTTAATAAATTGATAAAAGTGCGTCATGCTATTTTTGTTAATTTATCTGGGCTTACAAGCGGATTTGCGAATAATTGAAAATGTTTAAGGGACAAGCATTGGCTGAGTTTTTCTATTTAGCAGCACTAGTATCAAAGGAAAATTAGTAGAAAAAATTACAATAGTAGACGAAAAACATCTTACTGAGTTAATAATTTTGAAATTAAATATGAAATAAATTACTAAAAAGATACTAACACTGTAAAGTAAAATTTTTCCATTAAATTATCTGAACCTTTGCAATTTCGTTTCAAAGAGTTTAAGTTGGGCAATACAAAGATGATTTTATAAATTTATAAATAAAATGATAGATATAGTATGGTTCTAAAAATAAAGATGCATTGACTATTTTCTGCGAGATAATTCATTCCAACGGTCGCAAGTTAATGATAATTCAAGTGTTACAAAACTTAAAAAGTTCCGTTTCTAAATTATTATTAATAGCCAACTATAATTTAAAAATAGCCGTTTTTCGATCAATTTTAATTGAATTTATTTAGACTTGTATTCATGGCGGTCATACTAAGTATTGTACGACATAAAGTGTAGTATGTTCTCAATTTATGCGCTTGTTTTATTGTTATGCCTGAACAGTATTAATAATTTTTTGTACCTTGTACGTGATAATGATGAAAACAAAGCTTATTGCGATAAACAGGAGCAAACTTTTTATTTTTGTTACGGATTATTTTTGTTACGGATCAATGTTTTCGATAAGTAGTGTTAACGATCTCTACAGTTTCTTTCTCCTGACAAATTCGTTATCGTCACGTAAATTCTTAACGTAATGCAGAAGTACTGACCAAAATATACCTAATATGGTGGTAATTATTTGCTCTGTTGTTATTACACTTGTTTGTACTAATTTAATAATAATAATAATACCACCTGCTATTGTGATAAAGTAGTGGAGCTTACGATTATTTTTCGTGTTTGTACATAAAATTAGTGAGTTTATCTTAAATAAATAGACGGCAAAATTTTATCATAGTCAAATATTTTTAACTATACTGAATACTAAATGGTGTGGCACCGTCATAATTTAGCACAAAATTATACCTAACATTTGTATATTTATAATTCCGATTATTGTATCAAAAATGGCCACGTTTCAAACAAAAAACCATCAATATTAGTTATTTTTTAACCTTTGCTAAAGCAAATATACAGACATTCAAAATATTGCAATACAATGACCTATACTAACGCGAATTCGTTAGAAATTTGATTTCATTTATAAATCGTGAAATATTTTTTAGGTATTTTCAATAAAGGAAAACTCGAATCTAATATAAGGTTTTTATCGCATACGATAATGAAATATTTAAAATGTTAATGAACTTACTCTAATTTGATAACCTAATTCCTTGTCTACATTCTTCTTCTCATTCAATATCATAATGTATCGCCTAAAAATTTATTTAGTTGATTTTGTATAAGGCTACAAAAGACTCAATACGATTGCTAATTAATTTCACTAGCGTTCATGTCGCCGATAAGTAACTAACTAAATTAAAAAAAAAACGATATTTTATCGTTAAGCTAAGTAAAAGTAATTTTTATTTTTATTGTTTCGCATTTTGTTATCCATAAAATATGCCTGAGTTAGGTTACCAAGAAACCTACTTCGAAATTCTTCAATTTTGTAAACTGGCATACAGTTAACATCAACTACTACGTCAATTGAACTTCTGTGGAGACATGAAAGTTAGTCAAAACTAAAAGTATTTAAGCTCTTATCAATTTAATAGCATATTACTTGGTAATATTTTTTTATCTGGAATACCGAAATTCCATGTATTAAGGACATTTTTACATTTTTCAAATTCTTTCTCAAAAAAGCGATTTATACAACAAAGTTTCTAAAAATTACGCAATAATTAATAGGTATAATTTAATAATAATATCAATAAATATAGGAAAAGAATTGGTTAAATATAAGATCTATGGCTACTAATAGGTTAGTTGTTGATGTGCCAAAATATACATAAGAGTCACGACATTAGTAGTATTGTGAAATCAAAATTGCGAAGTATTCGAATTTATTTAAAAAATGTCGCCAATGATGAAAATAGTTTGTGATACCAAACACTATACACGTGCTGCTAGTCGGATATTATTATACGTGGGTATTTTCGAAAATGAAATGCAAAATCGATTTATTCGCAAAGAATTTTATGTCGAAATTTTAATTGGAAGTTTAAAAACCCAGATAAAAGCAGAAATATCAACTTATCAACTTAAAAATATCCCGTAAAGATGCATGATAACCAATCGTGTGACTTCTGATATTAAATTCAATAATTTTGAATTAAATAAACTTGTGTAATAAAAGAGTGTGTTTATAAAACGCCAAAAAACATAAAGGAAATTAAAAATGAATGTTCGAATTGGATATTTTCATAAAATGTCTCAGTACAATCACTTACCTATGAGAATTTTTAGCAATACTGAATACTGATTAATAGAAAATAAAGTTTATGTGCTTCAGTTCCTATATTAATTCAAACTGGTGCTTTACCTGTTTCCTCTACATACTTACATACATAGTGGATTGCATACGTAGAAATAATTAAAATGTCTACATAATTAACAGCAAAAGTATAAATGTATAAATGTTGATAAAAAGTAAGTACTTATTCAAGGGTAGGCAAATTTCCAAAGGTATTTCTGAATAGTTAGTTATATTAGTTATATTTTAACACACTGATTTAGTTAAATTGTAATTATTATACCTGCGGTATACTATTAAACTACTATTATAAAGAAAACGAAGAAACTAATGTATTAACAGTGTAAAAGTATGAAATACATAGCAGAAACTCTGATCACTATACTCTTATATTTGCACCGGCATTCAAGCATTTACCCTACCATAAGAATTTGAAAAATTATATGCGTCATTCAGTCTAATAATTCAACTAATTTCTATACGTATACACACGCATTTATTACAACAATTTAGCCGGTACTCCGACAAAACATTCGGAATTTTATTCATTTTAATGGCTTTCTAAACCCACCTGGCGTTTAAAAAAACACCCAGTAGCCTCTTTTTGGGATATTTCACAATGCATACGAAACGAAATAGTCGCACAGAAGAACCCACTTTCTTCAATCGAACTTCATTCGCAACGTACTCCGCAAAGTCGCGAATTCGAACTCTTATTTAACTGTTTATTTTGAAAAAAAAGTCGCATACGCGCAACACATCAACGCGACGCGAATTCCTGGCCGTCGCTCGAAATTCTATTTTAATTTCAATAAAACGGAATAGGTAGAGAAAGCGTCGAATATCGACTGTAAACATTTTGAGGGGATATTTTTTAAATTGCAGGTAGGTATCATAAAAAAACTTTATCACTTTAGAACAATCGTTGGTGCACAATCAAAATTATTCCAAGATTATTTTTTAATATGTAATTGTTTGGGATATTTGTTGAGAATTCATACCTACCTTTATAACGAAAACAACATAGATACATACATATTTTAATAGAATCTCCCTATCCAATTTTATATCAATTGAGAAACTGGGCATTGATAAATCAATCCTTAATCTAATTTTATTTGGAATCAGACTTTTCATTTGGATAAAATTACAATAAATCCATCGAATTGTAGAATATAATTATTTATTGTAAAATACAAAACTTTCATCTCATATACCTGGTTCCCGCTGGATTTTAATTCTAAATAAACATTTCGGATTTTATTTATTTTAAAAAGAATAGCTAAATTTAATTGTTTGAAAACTGCAAACTGTTTGAGGTAATTAATCTTCGACCAGGATTTTGATTAATCACTGTTGAAAGACCAAAAAAATGTTTTGACTTGTTTATATTTAATTTTAATCAATGATCGTTTGTGCGTAAGTGGTTACACTTAAAATTAGAATCTTCGCGTAAACGTGCTCGCTTAGGTGGGGAATCTTTTACTTATTTATAACTTTTAATTTTCCACAAAATTTGCTTTCACGGTATTTGCATAATTTTTAATTACTATATACATGAAACTTGGGCTTTTGGGGAAATTTGGGGTCACAGATGAGTCAGTAACTACTCTAAAAGTACTTACATGATAAAACGAAAAGGCAAAATGTTATCTAAGAAAAGGGGGTTTTTACTATATACTATAAGATAAGGATAATATAGGTTAAGGTTAACGAAAACATTCGGTAACTATCAATACATTTATAATTAATTACTGTTAAAAATACCTACACAATATTCCAACGAATTTAAATGATATAGCGGAAGTAAAGTACATAAAACCATTGGATTGAGTAGAACAGCAAAACTAATGAACTTAAATAATCAGTCTTAACGTAATTGACTAATAATAAATCATCGTCCTTATTTTATAATTATGTTGGTCTTGAAAATAAGCGAACAATACAAAAAAATAGCACGCAAACGCACGCATTCAAGTCAAGGTGTCGCTGATATTTAACACCTAGCCAGCGAAATTGTCACATGAATTCTAAAATGAAGTAAGGAAGGCCTTCGTCTATATTTTTAGGAGTGCATTCGATATTATGCAATGAAATTGTAGACATGAAATTCATTATTAATATTATTTTTTGTAGCACTTGCTGTTACATAAGTAAATTGATTTTGTTATGATTTAGACGAACTGCTAAGTAAGTATGGTTTTGTTTAGAATATAATTTTAGTTCGTTTGTTAACATGTTATATAAACTGTATAAAATCGAGAATAAAAAAACGTATTTTTCACGAAATATTTGAACAAAATATGAATTATGCTTACCTGGTGTGTATACAAGACAATGTTGCATTGAAATAATAACCTTGTTTTACAGAAAACTTAATTTTTTAAAGCTAATTTGTAACAAATTAGTACTTAAGTAGGTATTTAAAATTACCAAAAAAAACATTTTATTCAGAAAAAAAGTTCTATTCAATTCAATTGAAACAAACGTCATCAGTTTCCAAAAGAAAAACTCAATTTTTAATTATTTGTCAGCAAGTTACCAAGAAAAAGTTTATTAGTTTTTTTGGAATAATTTGCTGTAACAATACCTACCTATTAAATAATCATGTACTCGTATAATACAATATTATATAGCATCAGAGTCGTTTATAATTGTGCAATTAACTTCGCTTTGTTGGTAGATTACATATTGAATAAAAATAGATACCTAGTAGAAACGTTTGTTTGGATAATAAGGGGAAATTTGCGCGTTTACATATTCTTGTTATTCCTAGGATTTTTCATTTTTCACGGTTTGCTCCATTTCATAATAAAACAAAATGAGATAAAAATATTTTATAGTGACTCACCTGTTTAGCCTGCTATTGAATTGAATGGGACCCTCCTTGGAGCTGAAGGAGTATCTCAGTTTATTCAGCGAGTCCAGCAGGCTGTTATCGGACTTTCTCCGACTCTCCAAGCCTTTTCCGCAGATCTGCGCCGCTGGCAACAGAGCCGGCAACGTCGGCGCCGTTTGGCACCTGCTTCCCAGGAGCTTCTCGAACTGATCCCCATTCCGACCGCTCTCCACGCAAACTTCTTCCAATGTATCTTGATTGCTGTTCGTCATTGTCTAATCATTTTCCAATAAATTAAGGTAATAAATTATAATATCACAGGTGTAATTATTCGTTCCAGTTGAAATATCACAGCACTTAGTTGAAGGAACTTTTTCTTATCAGGATAGTTGTACCTGGAAGAGAAAGAATGGTGAATATTAGCGGGGAATTTCGGTCCTCACTGTATAATATAAGTGTCATGTCATAACGGAATCTCGGCGTATTTAAGGTTTGATATAATCCATCCGATCGGCATGAATCACAATTAATGGTGAAATAATTGCAAGGTAGTACCATAAAATTATGCAAATTCATTGGGCATAGAAATTGAAAAATTACGGTCGTAACATTGCGGATCGGTTACAATTGGATGATCAGAAAGTGGAATCACATCCGTTATTTTAGATTCAGAGCCTTGGAATAGCGCATCTCGAAAATTCAATAACTTATTTTACAAAAAATAAACAATCACCAGGATATGTGGCGGTAAATTATGCAAAAATAATAAACGAAAAGTACAGTTTCAACAAGATTGTATATTAGATAGATATTTCGCCGACTAAATGCTTAATTTAATACCACTTACATGCATAATAGTCATCTAATTGTTATCGCAAAATGGGAAAAGGGCAATATATCACCGATAATTATGATAATAAATATATAAAAATTTAACATATTTTCGACCTGCTTCATGTGGTATTAGTAAATAGTGCGAAAGCCTTCCTAATAAATATATCTGCATTGAAACTGATAACAGAAATAAATAATTCCTGGCGACGATAACAATCTGGAAGGATTGATTGCTCAACTTTGGTAGCAAATAAAGGGATCTGTTCGCCAGGCAGAGCGTAATTGATAATTCCCACGTAAATATTATCATGTGATGTATCAATGATTTAGAGGAATACGATACGAGGTGATAGAAAAAAGCAACAATTTTATGGTAATATTACTATTTTAAGTAAGTTCGTTGGTTTAATACATTAGGTTATAACTTTTAATCTCGATCGATTAGTACAATGTTTTAATTTATTGATCGATAATAGTTTGTTAACATTTCTTGTAAACAACATAAACAACCGAGTTATCGAATAATTAATTTAAAAAAAAATGTAATCATTGATACAAACGGAAAATGTAATTAAAGAATTATTTTTTACGTTGATTTGTTTACGAAAAACAAATCACTTAAGTATGCATAGATGTAGTTAAGTTCATACTAATAATATTTCTGCAACAAATAAATTTTTATCTGAGGCTCTACGTACACCAATGTCTTTTATAGCATATCATTGGTTAGGTAATTAGAAATTCTGTTAGTTTAAAGATTTTATTACCAAAATAAACGAGCCTAAACTTTCAAATCACTTAAAAAAAACTGAAATGCCATTACTTTCAAACAACATTTTTTGGTATAAAATAAGGTACATTATAAAAAATAAGCAGAAATTTTAAAACGGTTTTCGATGAAAAATGTATGTGTTTCTGATTCGTTATGAAAATATACTAAAACGACGACAACCGAATACAACAATATTCAATTTTAAATTTTCCAGAATGATATTTTTATTTCTACACTCTAATATATTTCATAATAAGTGCTAACTAACGTATCCAAAAAAACCGTAAAACAATTCCATTAGATATTATTTGAAACATTAAAAACGCCGTTAAAAATCATTAATTTTTTAATTAGTATCTACATTTTTATGAAAAATTGAAAAATGCTATAAGTATAGACTGTTTCATAACAGTACACAACAGGCATAACTACATAAGTAACCTACCACACTGTATGTATAGGTATTATATTATATTATCCATTATAATAACGTGATTATTGCGCAACTAGAGTAAACTAAAATGATAGCGATTTGTTTCCATGCGAAACTTCATTTTACTGTTTCAAAATGTTAGTAAATATTTGTACAGAATAATTAAAAAAATAATGATAACTGTAAATGTGATGAAAAAATAACTTCATATTTAGTAAAATCTATGCAGATATTGATATTGCAAATTTACTTATACAACTATAAACTATTTTTTTCTGAAAGCATTACGAGTATAATGGTAATGGTTTCAGTGGTCAATCAATGGACCAATTTAAGACATGGACCATTTTAGAAAATTGAGGATCAAATAAGTATCAATTAGCTACGCAAAATTAGTTGTAGTTATTACTGTACCACCATTGTGTAATAATTTTGTATTAAATTTCTAAATGCATTAATCACCGCAGGCTTTTTTATAATAAATTACCTGATAGAAAAAATAAAAGTCATATATTTCCAAACTACTTTCCGAAAAATTTTCCGGGTAAAATATCTTTTTTACACCAACTATATTCATATGAATTTTAGTTACTTATTCCTTAAAAAAATAGCTAAAAAATATATATAAAACCATTAATTCAAAAATAGCTATAATTAAGATTTATAAAGAAATAAATTCTGCGAAAACTTCGTCAGTACGGACTTTAACATGTCCTTGTTCTTTCGGATAATAATAGAAAACCGTCCATACTTCCTATCACTAAGCTCTTAAAATAACGCACGGAAATGCCGACGACGTTGTCGACCTAACCTAACCTCAATAAACATACCTTAAAATTACAATAAATAAATTCACTAACGCTAGATCCACTACCGTTATAATTCTTTATAGAAAACACAAAAGCGAGTCATTTCCAACAAAATCAAACAGAAAAACATGATGAAAACGTAAAGTAGCACACCCGCAGCACCGCGTTCGGAAGGTACTTTCGTATTAACAATTATTATTAAATTCAAATTGCAGGAATACGACACACACACACACTCGCACCGAGTGCACCAGGAGTACGCGCGTCGTCGCCGTCCGAACAGAATCGTCGGAACAAACCGACAGCGCACCAACAGAGGAACACACACAATTCGCTCCGATTCGCGGATAAATTTTCGCTTTTTATACCGAGAAAAATGATCGACGGCTACGATCGTCACACGAGAGTCAGCATGGGAACACCACCTGTATGAGTCACGATGATAGACGTTATCATCGGGCGCCGCGGGCGATCTATCTTCTTAGAAATTTACAGACTCGAAATCTTACGTAACTCGATCAAAATCGACTATATTTAACGTATATAACGCACCACTTGGTGTATTATGTATTGTTACCATTTGAAAGTTGCCACTCAAGAAGATGATCATGTGTGGTACACCCAATAGGTTTTATTAGGGAGAAAGAGGTCCATAGAAAGGACCTCTGAAAATTGCTATAATACCTAGTCCACTGTTTTAAATATTAATTTCTACAACAATTTAGGTAGGTACATGCTGTATAGAGAGGTTAATGGACAGCTTATTATTGTAGTACACAAAATCATTCTACAGAATGCCAAATATAGTGGGTCATGGACCCATTAGACCCAGCATATATCGAGTTTATGAAATTTTACAGGAGAACTATTTTAAATTTGGATTACTGTCAACATTCTAAAATTGACCCAAATTTCTTCAGTAAAAGTAGTTTGGTAGATTTAATGTTAATCTTCCACATTTTATATTCTACCGTCTGTAGGCCTCAGAGAGAAGAACCTGGTCGTACTGATAACTCAATTTTGACAAAAAGTCGACTTAACAAATTATATTCCAAAGCCTTTGCCCAAGCGGAGCCTTTGCCCAAGAGATAAATTCAAACATTTCTTAAAAATGTACATTCTTTGTGCAGTGCAATCAACATATTTTTTGACCTATAGCGTGGTAGCTTCTTGTCCTAGCAATATTAGAACATATTATGTAACCCTATAATAACATAGATAAGCAGAGAAATCCTCCCCCATTTATTCATAATTTTTTCACTTTTTCGCCATTCCAAACGATCTTTATTAACATACAAAATGCGCGATCCTAATCCGATCCTGGTCACTCCAGCGAAAGCGGTCTACAATAACCGATCGATATTTTCCCTGGCGACGGTCTTTAGCATCGTATAAACAAACCAGGCAGGAGTGCAATGAACAATCACACGTCGTCCGTTTACAACAACTCTTTGCTAAAAGTCCCGAGAAACCCGATCGTCGGGCAGCCGTTGCCGCTCTACGAGCAGAATTGCAAGTACCACCTGGAGGAGAGGGTCGGGCGAAGTGGATTCTCCGAAGAGCTGCAGGAGATGGCGAGAAAAAAGTACCTGGATAAAGAGACGACGGAGTCGTTCGTGGAATTCTTCAACGATATCCCCGAGTATCACCAAGTGGGGCATCTGTCAAACGCCGAGTTCTACGCCGAATTGGAGAAGCTGAAGCTGAAGAAGAGGGCGTTCGAGGACAGCCTACACAAGGAGATAAAGTTCGATCCGAAAAATACGGAAGCCATCGAGTGTTTCAAGATGGAGAAACTCAAGAGCAAAACGAAGAAGAAAGCGATGTCGAAACCCTTCTGCGCTACGCCAGTCAACAAATCGTTTAGCAGGATTTTGACCCCTGATATCGATTCGGAATTTTCCGACAAAGAGGATATTCGTGAGAGGAAAAAGTCGACATTAAAACCATACAGTAAGCAATTTTATTTTGTTTATTTACTTATTTCATCGTATTCTTCCATAGACAAGACATTACGACCAATTTTAACACCAGATATAGACTCAGAATTCTCAGACAAAGACGTGTCAATCAAACCTCCATCGCGAAGATCGGTGAGGATCGAGACTCCGAGCGATAAATTTTCGTATAACGGCACCCCGGAGCCTCATTTCCGTACTAAATCCAGAACAACAAATCTTAAATCCAACGAAAATCTATCGGATTGGGAAAATATCGGACCGAGTAATCCAGAGAACGTGGGAAATTCGACCGATTGGACAAAAACCACCGATTTCAACGAGCCCTTATCCGACTGGAAGCTCATGAGATCGATGGCTAGTAATCCTCGAGGAGAGTCGAAACACAAAGTCGAACTCTCGAAACCACAAAAACCCTCTGATCAATGGGAAGAGACCAAATCTGTACCTAAAGCTCTATTACGAAGACATTATTCTTCGGACGAAATAAAATTAGCTGCGGCATCGCAAGAATTGAAATCGAACTATTCCGCAGAGGATCTGAAATCCGACGACCATTTGAACAGGAACTGGTTTTCTCAGGACCTCAAGAACGACACGAATGTTGAGGAAAATCGGCCCAAATCCGGGTTGAAAGATCGCAAAGCCTGCGGAAATATAACCGATTGGGAGGATCTCAGCATCGAGAATTTGAATACGTTGTGCAACAGCCCTGAACCGTTGCAAACCAGAAGCGCTCCTGCTACTCCCACGAAGAGCAAATCAACTACGAAATGGAACAACGGTGGAATTACCATACCCAAACCCTTCCAGATGACAGTAAGGTGAGTTCAAAGTGGTGTTCAAAGTGTAGGTATATTTGAAAATAATTTTGAATACATATCGTTATAGAGATGAAGAAAATAAAATTGTAGAAGAATTGTACCTTAAAATGAAGAAGCCTAAAGAAGAGAAACCCGAAATGTTCAAGGCCCACGATATACCAATCGAATCGCTAATTCCACTGTTTGATAAACTCGTTTCAGACCAGCAAAGAAGGTAGGAAACAGTAATTTATCTTATAAAAAGTTGATCGCAAAAATTGCAATGCCTGTTTTAGAAGTTTCATCGCCAAGGAAAAGAGAAAGGCTGCTCTAAGAGCCCAAGTGAAACCGTTCTCGTTCACCAAACGAGACGAAGAAATTCAAGAATTGACAAGGGAATTATCTAAATCCTCACCAAATTTGTACACGGATCCGCCGTTAAAAATCAAAAAATTCAAAGCCAAGCCCATTCCGCGTAACCTCTTCAGCAACTACATATATCGCAAAATGCACGAAGACGAGTACTATAGGTTTTGTACATCAAAAACTTCTGCTTCAATACTTACTAGAGGCTACTTTTACAGATCCCTGCAGAAGAAAGTTCGCGCTGAAGAACTACTCAAAGCTGCATCGTTGCCTCCTTCGATGGCGAAGCGAGAAAAGACCAAACCCAAATTCGACACTTGTCCTCGTTCTTACAGCGTTTTAAGAGGAGACAAACCCATTAGAAAATCGAAAAGCGTCCCCGACTACAAAATCTACCACGACAAATACGAAAAGGAGCTGGAGGATTTGAAAAACGACTTCATTTCAACGAGTCCTCGGCCATTCAAACTCAAAACATCAAAAAGGGTGAGCTTATAGAACACTCACTTTATCAATTGTGCTTGAGAAAGTACTTTTAATTATTTGCAGGGAAAAAGAAATTTGAGATTATCGTCTGCTAGTAGTAAGAGTTCTTCGTCGAAGATGACTGTATCGCCTTCACTAAACACATCGTCAATTAACACTTCCAATTTGGCTGCAGTGCTGAGAATCCAATCGGCAAGGTAATACAACAAATTGTGATATCTTCAAATCTCCTGCTAGTGATCGCAATAAAAGGATGAATGAACTATTGTAGCAGGTACCTCTTGTACTGTAGATGGAAATTATCCAATAGAAATATTTATGTTACATTTACGAATAAACTTTAATAAACCTAATAGTTAATGGTAATATTTTATTATCTGCAATTGCTTTACCTAACAACATTTCAACTCCATTTTAGCACTGCGTGTCAACTCAACTCTATAGGCCCCATCATTGGAACTGTTTTGCTTTCAGGAATAAGCTGGAGACTGAAATGGAGAAGAGGCTTCAGGAGGCCCAACTGCGCGAGGAGTTGCGATGGAGGGAGAAGTTATTTCGGAAGAAGCCGATTTGGCAAACGTTAGCCTACAGTCACGAGGAGGATTTGGCGATGAGGCTGCGACTGCGCAGAGACGAGGAGCGGCTGAGGAGCGAGGAGCACAAGATGAGGATGCAGCTGATGTACGGGAGGGTCAACCAGCAGCCGACGTTGTTCGAAAGGCAATCACAAGTGAGGCGTTGCAGGTGCCGTTGGTGTTGTAATTGATTGGAATTTTCAGATGAAATATCCGAAAACTAAGGAGGAATTGAAACATCAGCTGAGAATGATCTATGGAAAGCCGCTGAAAGTTGGTAAAAGGGAAAGGGCGAACACGCCGCCTGGTAATGAATTTAATGAGGAAAATTGCCAGTCGGAAACGGGGGAAAGCCAGGAGAGTAAAGAGAAGGAATGCTTGGATGAGAAGGAAAAATGCGAGTGCTCTTGCGACGAAACCGATGACTACAAATATTAGAGGGATTTATACAATAAAACTATTATTTTTAGATCATGTATAATCTATAGGGGACTCTTTATGCTATAAACATCACTAAAAATTGAATAAATAAACTATAGATATCTACTCATTTTTGACCAAATAATATATCTTTTGGTAACGTATTTTTAAATGGACTTTACAATACAAATTAAAATTAATTATAATTTGTACGAATCCAATAGCTCGGGATTCGAATTCACGAAGTCATAAAAATTGCTGCTTCCATGTGAAATTTGTAAGTTTCTTTGTTCTCATCAAATTCACTGATGCTTATTGCTACGTTTTCAACATCAAGAGTGTAATCCTTAAGGTCTTCCTTTTTTACGGCTGATAAAGTTGGAAGGAATGCAATTACGAAATCTAGCAAAAAAAATTAAAAATAGACAATTGTTAAATAGCACTACAGAAGTGAAACTTTACCGGCAATTTCCTCTTTGGCGAAGTTAAGAACAAATTTATCAACGTGTGCCAATTGAAGATTAAAGCCTAAATTTTCAAACAGATTCTTCCACATTTCAAAGTAATCATTCGATGAATTTTCTTGGAAAAATGTAGATATGTATTTCCCATATCCATGTTCTCTCCAACGAGGGATTTGGGATAATTTAAAAAGCAGTTTATCACATATCCCGTTTATTAAGAACGTGCCGAAAAATTGACCTTCAGATTTCAACATTTTTTTTATATTCTCTAAAGCTTTTCTAAAATTACAGGATTGTTTATACACTACTTTTTTGTATTGACATCCATTATGAATTAGTCTGATTTTTTTTAAATCAATCCTTACCTTTTCAACACTTACCTGGGATATCTAGCCCAATGCAAACAATGGAAACTAAAAATATGGTCGAATCTATTTTCGAATTCCTCCGGTAAACGATCGCAGCAAACGTCCATTTCGTAGAAATTACACTTGTCTAGCTTGATGTGGCTTTTCAAATATTCGATGGTATTTTGGCTTATATCAATTCCAACGTACTCTCTGAAATTTTTTGGAAAAATAGGAAACAGCAAGTCGGTCGTTGATTTACCATCGCCAACTCCGATTTCAAGAATTCGATCAGACTCGTTCCATTTCAAATGTTTCTTCAAGTTTTCGATTATTCGCTCATTGTGCGAATATTGCCTGCAGTTATTCTTGCTGTAAACACTAGCAATCATATTTTCTTCTTTACTTCAGTTCCACAATTGAATGTTTTTTTGTATGATGAAAGGTTCTTTTTTTTAAAAGAGTTTAAAAATTATCAGCGTTTTTGTAGATAATTTTAAGAAATTAATTATCTAGGTTTAGCATGTATACTAATTTATCTAAATTAAGTGGGAGTAAAAAGATAAGAAAGATTGTATTAATCTTTCAATTAGGTATATTTTATTCTTTCTAAGACTTTAAATCGTTGAATCACGCAAAAATCCATATCCTAGAATGCGTAGCAGTCTCATATCTCTGTCGATGATGGATTTACTTATAAAAATTAATGTTATTTTATTACCGACACAGGAAATTTAGGATTTTTGGACATCAATAAACGTAAAAATTCATTATTTTGAATAAAAATATTCTATTTAGTTGTTCATGCCTGATAGCAAATGTCAAGGAGAATAATTTGAATATACTATTAAAGCCATGGAAATTATTAAAAATTATCTATTACGTGTTAAATAAATTTCAAAAAATTCGCTACCGTCATTAACTAGTTAACAGAATTCTACTCTCACATGTTTTAATGACACTATAATAAATAAAATAATATCAACAGTTAACAGGGAATAATTTAACTTATAAAGTTAAATAATAATTATTATTATAAAAACTTATAATATTTTCTTCTGTCTCATAATATTATTAACTTATACTTATTTTTCCAGAAATTTTCATGATAAAGAACAGGAAACAATTTGGGGTTGTATTAGAAATACTATGCTGACTGTTCTTAATAAACCTTCAAATAAAAGGTCAAAATAAAATTTTATTTAAAAATTTACATAATTAACTGCCACAATATATTACAGTAAACTTTAGATTCAGTTTAATTTTCCAACCCCTCTTTAAATAAGGAAATATATTTTAAATGTCGAAATAATACTTAAAAATTATATTTATAAAAACTTTATTAGAACATACTTCTTTGAATTCTATAAACATTCATTATACAATTATTGCCAGCTTTTACTCGTTACAATTTCGCATTCTTGTGCGTACTCAATGTCCATATCCGAATAGTACATATTTTTGGCGGGATGACGAAATTCAGGAAAATTACTTGCACTTATCGGTTCATCATCATAGTCCACTTCTGTTTTCACTATTGTGATTGAAGGAACGACTAATTCAAAAATTTCTTTTTTCACTGTTGGCACAGCAGGCACTGAAGTCAATATGGAAGAACTATTCATATTTACCACTTGATCAATAGGGTTTATTTCTTTTTTTATTGATGAAATAGCAGGCACAAAATTGAGTACATTACTATTGGAATCTACCATTTGATTATTAGAGGCCACCTCTTTTTTGGCTGATGAAAGACCAGGTACAGAAGTCAATACAGCTCTGTTCGTATTTATCACTTGATTAATAGAGTTCACTTTTTTCACTGATGAAAGTGATGAATGAGCAGGCACAGAAGTCAATACAATTTTGTTCGTATTTTTCACTTGATTAATAGAGTTCACTTTTTTAACTGATGAAAGTGATGAAAGAGCAGGCTTTTCCACAGATGAAAGAGCAGGCACAGAAGTCAATACAGGTTTGTTCATAGTTACAACTTGATTAATAGAGTTCGCTTTTTTCACTGATGAAAGTGATGAAAGAGCAGGCACAGAAGTTAATACAGTTCTGTTCGTATTTACCACTTGATTAATAGAGTTCACTTTTTCCACAGATGAAAGAGCAGACACAGAAGTCAATACAGGTTTTTTCATATTTACCACTTGATTAATAGAGTTCGCTTGTTTCACTGATGAAAGTGAAGAAAGAGCAGGTACAGAAGTCAATACAGTTTTGTTCGTATTTATCACTTGATTAATAGAGTTCACTTTTTTAACTGATGAAAGTGAAGAAAGAGCAGGCACAGAAGTCAATACAGGTCTGTTCGTATTTACCATTTGAATAATAGACTTTACTTTTTTCTTTAATGATGAAACAAAGAGCGCAGAAGAACTATTAGTTTTTACCACTCGGTTAACAGAGTTTACTTTTTTCACTGATGAAATAGCAGGCACAGAAGTCGATACAGTTTTATTCGTATTTATCACTTGATTAATAGAGTTCACTTCTTTATTCACTGACGAAACTGCAGGCACAGAAGCTGATACAGAAGAACTATTCATATTTAGCACTTGATCAACAGGCTTTACTTTTTTATTCATTGATGAAACAGCAGGCACAGAAGTCGATACAGAAGAACTATTAGTTTTTACCACTCTGTTAATAGAGTTTACTTTTTTCACTGATGAAACAGCAGGCACAGAAGTCGATACAGAAGAACTATTAGTTTTTACCACTCTGTTAATAGAGTTTACTTCTTTGTTTACTGATGCAATAAAAGGTACAGAAGTCAATACAGTTTTATTTGTATTTACCACTTGATTAGTAGAGTTTACTTTTTTCACTGATGAAATAGTAGGCACAGAAGTCGATACAGAAGAACTATTAGTTTTTACCACTTTTTTAACAGAGTTTACTTTTTTCACTGATGAAATAGCAGGTATAGAAGTCAATACAGGTTTGGTCATATCTACCACTTGATCAATAGAGTTCGTTTTTTTCACTGATGAAATTGATGGAGGAGCTGGCAGAGAAGTCAATACAGGTCTGTTCGTATTTCCCATTTGAATAATAGAGTTTACTTTTTTCTTTAATGATGAAACAAAGAGCGCAGAAGAACTATTAGTTTTTACCACTCTGTTAATAGGATTTACTTCTTTGTTCACTGATGAAATAACAGGCACGGAAGTCAATACAGTTTTATTCATATGTACCACTTGATCAACAGGCTTTACTTCTTTATTCACTGATGAAACATCATCATTGGGAGGTAAAGGAAGAGGGAATCTTGTTAACAGCCGATTTCTTAAAGTACTGTTGAACGCTGAGTCGGGAAAATGATCTGCACAGAGCCTTCGGATTTTAAATGTGAACGGTAAACCCAAAATTTCGAACCATTTTTTACGCTGCTCGGGATTTTTAGGGAATCTGAAAAACCGCTTGTTGTCAAAACTCCCTTCTATGGGGGATCCATAATACACACTACTGCATCCAGGCGCGGCGCATCTTGCAAAAACCCTTTTCAACAACGGGTTAAGGTTTTGATTAGAATATTTAAATTTGGGATGCCATCTTGGAAATGCAAATTTATGCAGCCGGTTATTCAGAGTACTAGTGTACGCAGATTCATCGAAATGGTCTTCGCAGAGTTTCAGATCATTGGTTGTGTACTCTAAATCTAAAGTTTTGAACCATTTTTTACGCCGCTCAGGATTTTTAGGAAATTTGAAAAACCGCTTGTTGCCAGGACTCTCTTCCGTGCGGGAGCCATAATACAAATTACAACATCCAGGCGCGGCGCATCTTGCTAAAAACTTCTTCCGCACCGGGTTAAGGTTATGATTAGAATGCTTAAATTTAGGATCCACTCTTGGAAATGCGAATTTATGCAGCTGTTTCTCCAAAGTACTGGTGAACGCAGATTCATCGAAATGGTCTTCGCAGAGTTTCAGATCATTGGTTGTGTACTGCAAATCTAAAATTTTGCACCATTTTTTACGCAGCTCGGGATTTCTAGGGAACCTGAAGAACAACTTGTTTTCAGGACTCTCTTCCATGTGGGAGTCATAGTACAAATTATTGCATCCAGGCGCGGCGCATCTTGCTAAAATATTCTTCCGCACTGGGTTAAAATTGTGATTAAAATATTTAAATCTAGGATTAAGCACTCTTGGATATGCGAATTTTAGCAGCCGCTTCTTCAGATCATTAGAGAACGCAGATTCATCAAAATGGTCTTCGCAGAGTTTCTGATTCTTAGTTGTGTACGGTAAATGTAAAATTTCGAACCATTTTTTACGGCGCGTGACGTCCGGGGGGAACGAAAAGAAGCGCTTGTACGGAATCTTGCTGTCCCTACGTTTTCCCGTGTACACGCTCTTACAGCACGGCACGGCGCATTTTGCGTAAATTCTTGGCCGTCCTCGCTTTTTAAAATTGTAATTATTCTCGGTGTTACATACTTCTGGAGCCAAAGGAGACAAAGGAGCCACAGGAGACAAAGGAGCCAACGGAGACAAAGGAGCCACAGGAGACAAAGGAGCCAACGGAGCCAAGGGAGCCATTGGAGCCAATGGAACCAAGGGAGGCATCGGAACCAAGGGAGGCATCGGAACCAAGGGAGGCATCGGAGCTGAAGAAGCCAACGGAGCCGAAGGAGCCAAAGCAGCCGAAGGAGCCGAAGGAGCCGAAGGAGCCGAAGCAGCCGAAGGAGCCAAAGGAGCCGAAGGAGCCAAAGGAATTGCGAATTTATGTAGCCGAGTTTTTAAAGTACTGGTACACGACGCTACATCAAAATGATCTGAGCAAACTCTCGTGCGTTTTTTTGTGTAGGGTATACCTAAAATTTCGAACCACTTTTTGCGTCGCTGGACATTCGAAGGAATTGAAAAGAAGCTCTTTCTCTGAGTATTTCTCTCTTCTAGAGGCAATTTGGTCGTATTGTAGTCAAGCACATTATTACAGTTAGGAACTGCACATTTGAATTTCTTTCGTCTTTTGCTCGACATCTTATTATCACACTTTTATTGAAATATGAAAAATTTCAAACTTTTGCTTGAAAAGCGTGTACATTTCTATTTTTAATAAATACGTAAATGACAGTAATGACACTAATGACAAATGACGGAATTAATTGACATTGACAATATAATTCAGCAAAAAAAAGAGGAAAAATATGAAGTAGAAGTGGTTTATTTGTTTACATATAAAAATTAGTATAAAATTAAAATACTAGTTTTAAGTTATATGGTGCACGTTAAAAGTAGCATAAGTATTAAATTGTTAATACGTTCAAAAATTGGTAAGTACTTGCTCATTCACAATTTTTTTTACTGAACTTGTACTTTGTAGAAAAAGGATGTCTCTAAGGCAGCAAATGCGTTATTTAACGCCCTATGACATACACAAATTACTAATAAACGACTACATATTGAAGAAGCCAGGCGATACATCTCTTCTTAAAAGAGATACATCTCAAGATAAAAATGACTATGATGTAATAGTGGAAAACCATAAGTTTTTATGGGACGACGAAGACTCTGCGGATACGTGGGAAGAGCAGTTTGCTAAAAGATACTATAATAAATTATTCAAAGAATATTGCATAGGAGATTTGAGTCGATACAAAGAGAATAAGGTAACCCCTAGCGATTATAATAAATGACTATATTTGACTAATTAATGCGAGTTTACAAGATCGCTTTAAGATGGAGGGTGGAGAAAGAAGTCATTAGTGGAAAAGGGCAATTTGTTTGTGCTAATAAGAAATGCGAAGAAGAAGAGAGATTAACTACATGGGAGGTCAATTTTGGTTATATTGAATGCGGTGAAAAGAAGAACGCTTTAGTTAAAATAAGTAAGTACTTTTCGAAAAAATTACATAAAACTTTAAATGTTTAATTTTTAGGATTATGTCCTGATTGTTCGAAAAAATTAAATTATCACAGCAAGAAGAAGGAAGTAAAGAGGTTAAAAAGGAAACGCCATGTATCAGAAACGAATGAAAAGAGCGTTATTAATGAAACTAGTTCCATAAAAACTACACAGAATTCTCCTAATTCAAGCGTTGCTGAAGTATTAGAAGAGCCAACCATAAATGCTGCTACGAGTGATGAATCTCCATGGGAAAATCATAAACCAATTGAACAAAAATCAAGAGACGAAGAAATGGAAGATTATTTGCAGAGTTTATTGTTATAATAAAATATTTATAGTGATATTGGTCGCGTTCATCCGTGCCACTCCGAAAAAAGCGCTACTTGATCGCTAGTTGATCGCTCAGGGAGCGATCAGGTAGCGCTATCTAGCATGGATGAACGCGATTTTGTGACATAACTGACATTTGACATTTTTGACATAAATCCCCAGTCAACACACAACCGAACCCTACAAAACACCACGTGGAAATAAGTGATCACTGATCAGGTAGCGTTGAGCATAAAATTTTTACGATCCAAAAGATGGCGTCCGCTACTTGAGCGATCAGGTAGCAAAACTGTCAAAACAAGCGTTCATCCGCGCCATCGGAATCGCTACCTGATCGCTCAAGTAGCAAGTGGCACGGATGAACGCGACCATTGTGTTTTTTCATTTTGCTATCGTGTCCAAATGCCGATTAGGGATAGTCAGATTTTATTAGAAGATTTTGACGTGACATTCGTACTGTCAAAACTGTCAGTACTTGACAGAACAAATATAAACATGCTTGACAGTAAAGTAAAAAGTTTCAATTTGTATAAGAATTTATTAAAATAATAAATAATAATGGACAAATTACAATTTTCACATGAGGTGAGGTGGTTTTGAATCAATTTAATTTTCCTAAAGACTTCATAAAATATTTACTGAATTCTATTTAAAAACAAATTTCTTTTCAGGTGAAAATCAAGAAGAAATTAACAGTATCTGTTCGAAAGTTAAGGCAAAAATATGTAAAACAACGCAAACGAAAGCTGAAAGCGCAAGAACAAAGTTGCCTGTTAAAAACCATAAGAATTTTAAACAATAATAAAATGAAATTCAATATATCCAACAACCCGGCTGCATTTATAAATGATTGCTCGAATTTCGACGAAAAGGCTCTAAACGATTTACTGGAAGATTTAACAGATGACGATGTGAAGGAATTGGCAGATTTAATTTATGAAAATCTATTAAGGAGATATTCTCTGTCAATTATTCCTGATTTTCAGTCAGACGATCATGGAAAGGACTTGGCAATTAATAAGTTATCAGATCAAAATGCTAATGAACACGTATCAAATATATCTGTTGAGAATCGTTTAAAGGATAGTGAAACATTGAATGAAATCTCTCTCGATATGGACGAAGATTGCAATATTGTACCTCCTCATATTAGTAACGATACTTTACCATTAGAGAAATCTATTAAATCTAGTAATTTAACCGATATTAATATGCCTCTTCCATTTAGTCACAGAACTTTAGCAGAAAAACCAGCTGCTAATATGTCGATAAAATGTTTGACTGCGAGTATTGTAAATCTACTAAACGTGAATGATGATTTACAACCAACAAATGTTTCGAATCATGTTGAGCATGATAGCATTGAAGAGTCTCCTTCATCGCCAGATCCTGTTGAACAAGTACCATATGATGATTTTGAACCACTAGACATTCCCCTTGAGCCAACTAATAATCGTTTTGATAGTGTCTTGAAAACTAGTCATCCCTCGGAAGAAAATTGTGATAATTTAATCGTAAGCAATAATATTGGAGTGAAGAGAAAAAAATCAAATAGTCCAGAGTGTGTTGTAAAACGGCGTAAATCTAGTCACCCTGGTGTAATTCACAGACAAAATATTGGAAACCTGTTGAGAATTCCTAAAAGTATTGACTTCAAAGAATGGAGAAAAAATTTATTAGATATAGCAGAGGTTACTCTGGAAAATAGATACCAAGATATTAAAAGTGCTATTGATAATGTTGAAAAGAATTATACACAAACATTGATAAAAGGACAGAAAGTTCCCAGTAAGTAAAAACAATAAATAATTTACTACGATATATAAATTTACGATTTTTTTAATTTTCAGTTTTCGTTACAAAACTATTAACAGAACTTCTAAATATCCCAAACGAAGACATTATACCTAAGGGTATCATTAACAAATTGAAAAAATACACATCTGATCAAGTAATAGAGTAAGTTATAGTTTTTCAAATTAATTCCAATGATTTTGAGTATATTTAAACTGTACATTTCAGAATAATCATCCATCAGTTGAAGAACGACATTCACACTAAGCCCGATAGTAAATATTATCCAGCACCTTTGATGACGAGAACTCAGAGGATTTTCCTGGGACTTTTGATCGAATTAGAGAAATTAAATAAATTCAAAGGGATAGCTTTGAGGTATTTAGCAAGGCTCGAAACATATTTATTTTTTTCGACAGGTAAAAATAATTAATTTGCCTTATAATTTAACGTTTAATTTTGCTTGTTATTATAGAAAGACAATGTGTGAAGGCGACTCTTTCACTGACCCGATTGTACTTGAGCGTGTGTCGTCTTCTCGGTGATATAAATCGAATGAGAGCATTCTGTTGTCTGGCCTTTTTCTATTGTGATCACTCGGCAGTTCCTATTTTATTTACAATATTAAAATCCTGGATTGAAGTTATTCCCTTATACAAAGACGTAGAAAGTGAGTTAATCTTTTAATTTATTTATGTATACCGATTAATCGTTTGATCGTAGCTTTTCCGATAGCAAAACTTCTACATAAATTGGTTCATACTGATATTTTTACAAGGAAACATAGTTGTTCGTTCCCATTGAAATGCCTGTTAAGTGTGTACCATGGCTATCCGAGGCAAACCCCACACCGTGATAAAATAATCGAGGATCTTGTAGAGGAGTACACCAGTAAGTTGTGCAGCTAATCTAAGTTGTGCAAGTATTTGCTTAATTTTTTATGTATTTTTATTGCAGCTAATCCAAGTCAAGGGTCTGACTATTCCATACGTTTACTGTGTAAACATACTAATGCCAATTGGGTGTACAAGGTGCTAGATAAATATTTTAAACCTCTTTTATACAAAATTCCATCAGAGAATGTTAATTTCAAAGCTACAACTATTGTATTAATGGGTAGAATAAGTAGCAAGTTTCAGGTAAAAAATGGGAAGAATAATACAAAAATTGTGGAAGACTTAAAGAGATTTTTTGAAGGATTATTACAAGGTAAAGTTTATATTTAGTGATATTTTAATTGATAATTGTTTATTTTTTAATTTCAGATGAGTCCAATTCTGATGAATTGATTAGGCAGAGTATTATTTGGTCAATGAACTGTTTTTTGAATGATACCTGAAATAAATAATTATTAGTTGCTGGTCATTTTTATTTATTAACCCTTTATTTCATACCGCAAAAGTTCGGAATATATTCATACGGGGTGTACTCATTGGGTCTATTGCACCATGTAATAATAGTTGAATAAAAACAAAGTAAAAGGCCACATTTGAAAAAAATGAGGATTTTATAGCCTATTTTATGTTTTAATTTGTAATAATGGTAGCCTAAAATCGAATGTCTAAGGGTGTTGTGACCCGAATAACAGCCGACAATGATAACATTTCGAATATATTAATTAATTAGCTTCAAAAAGAATGCTTCAACGCGTTTTGCCATTATCATATAATACAGTAAATCCACTCGCGATAAGTGATTGCGTAGGCTGCAAAGAACCGTATTCTTGAACACGTCGACATGCACACACGACAGGTATGCATTTGAAACCGATATACTCCGATACATAAATTAAGAACAATGTCGATAAACAATATGGATGGTACACTGGTGGCAAATAAACAGCAACATTTGCTGAAGTTCTGGAAGGATTTATCGGCCAAAGAACAAGAATTGTTCTCCTCTCAACTGAAGACCATCGACTTCGAAGAAGCCCTGGGGGCTTACCAGAAAGCGCAGAGTTACTCCCACGAAGGCATTAAAAAATTGGACGATCACATGAAACCGGTACCATCGCACAAATTCGAAGCCGAGTTAGAAATAAGTGAAGAAACATTGGAAGGATACCGCAATGAAGGGTTGAAACAAATATCCCAAGGGCGAGTGGCTGTAATCTTACTAGCCGGAGGCCAAGGCACCAGGCTCGGGGTGACCTACCCCAAAGGTATGTTCCCTTTAGATTTACCGTCTGGCAAAACACTTTTCCAAATCCAAGCCGAGAGGATACGAAGAATACAGAAAATAGCCGAAGAAAAGTTTGGTCAATTCGGAAAAATATGCTGGTTCATAATGACCAGTAGTGCAACACACGAATCGACCGAACGCTACTTGGAAAAACACGAGTATTTTGGACTCGATAGAGAAGATGTACATCTATTTCAACAGGGAGTTTTACCCTGCTTTACATTCGATGGAAAGATCATTCTCGATGAGAAATATTCAGTAGCTCTAGCGCCAGATGGTAACGGGGGTATTTATAAAGCTTTAAGGAAGAACAACATGTTAGACTTCATGAAAAGGAAAGGGATAAAATACGTTCACGTCTACAGTGTTGATAATATATTAGTAAAAGTGGCCGACCCATGTTTTATAGGGTAAGTTTTTTTTTTTTTGTTATAATAATATGTAAACGAGCATTAAGTATTATGTAGGGCTTTATAGAATAATTTGTAATTTATTATTAAACCCTCGTTATTAGGTTAGTATTAAGCACATTGTAACCTTCAAAGTATAATCTGTTTTTACATGTTTATCTAAAACTTATTTATTCTTGTCTTAATTCTAATTTATAGATGTCTCAAGATAAAGGAAATGAAACGTACAATAATCATAAAGATTTCGCTTATGGTAGATAAATTTATTTGCCTGCATTCAGCGCTCCACTTTAAATTTACACATGGATCTAAAAGGTCACTTTAACATAAACAAAGTCCCTAGTTACTCCATAACAACAATGTATAACTGTCAAGTTAGAGACGTGATTTTAAAGTCTTGTTTAAGGCAAAAGTGGGACGTTGAATATGGACCAGAGATTTTAAATTACCTTCTAAGTAACTAAAGTATTTCTTATAGATACTGCGTTAAGAAGAAGGCCGATTGCGGCGCCAAAGTCATTCGCAAAGAACACCCGAACGAAGCGTTGGGCGTCGTCTGCGACGTGAACGGTAAATTCCAAGTGGTGGAATACAGCGAAATAACCGAGAAAACAGCGGGGCTGCGCGACGACGACGGCCTCCTGGTCTTCCGAGCGGGAAGTATCTGCAATCATTTCTTCACCACCGAGTTCTTGGATAAGGCTGCTAATTCGTATGAAGCCAGCCTCAGGCCGCACATAGCGAAGAAGAAGATCCCTTATATCGACGAAAGGGGTTGCAAGGTGACGCCGACTTCTCCGAACGGTATTAAAATCGAAAAGTTCATCTTCGACGTGTTTGAATTCTCCGAGAACTTCGTCAGTTGGGAGGTGCCCAGGCACGTTGAGTTCAGTCCTTTGAAGAATTGCGAGAATAGTCGCGTAGACTGTCCATCGACCTGTCGTAATGACTTGTACCGGTTACATAAAGAGTATGTAGAACAAGCAGGTGGCATCGTATCTTGCGAAGAATTAGAGATATCGCCTCTATTATCTTACGCAGGTGAAAATTTGGAGGGTAAAGTTAGAGGAAGAGTTTTCAATGAACGAACTATAATATTATCCGATGAGGAAAATGGCTTGAATGGATTTCACCAGAGTATTTGATACGTTCTGGGTACTATGTAGGAAAAAGTCGTACTGAATGTGCCGATGTAACTAAATGTACAAATTAAAATATCTTTCGCGCACTTTAATAAATTAAAAGGAGTAACTGTGTATTTGTTATTTTTCAAAAAGGCGAAATTACTCATACGGAATAGTTTATGGGTGTATTTAGCTTTATTTTGAAATGCAAATAGCTTTTACTTTGTAACTACTTAATTTTTTTTTAAAATGTATTGTTATTTTCATTTTTTAATAATATATACCTAATGATTTATGAATTCGTTGCATTTTTAAATTGTACACATTATTCACCTTATGTTTATTTGCTTATCATGACTAAACTAGTGCTTTACACCCACATCGTGAAAATGTTGGAAACATAATACAATACACGTTTCCTAAATTTACTTAATTACATAATATAATTGTTTACAATTGCAGACTCGTAAAATTGATTAGCTCAGATAAGGTAAAGCAAGGAATATTTCGGGTGTAAAAATTTTAGCAGACACGAAATGAACATTAATGTATACTGTTTAATATTAAATTACTGTAATTATCTAATAAATTATCACATAACAAAACTTTATACACACTGAGCGATACTAAAAATTTCCAAAACTAGTCCCCAACGTATATCGATTACGCTAAAAATTATCAGAATATTTTCACCGTTCGCTGCATATCTACATTTTTTTAACTAAAAATATCGCATATAGAATATATCCATTCTAATAGTCTTCCAAATTGTCCAATATCCACTTCATGAAACTGGTCACTCTGGTGTAAATCCCCGGTTTTCCTTTGGCCCCGCATAATCTCGGCCCGAACGAAACAATCCCGTACTGCACGAATCTCATACTTCCGTTAATTTCGCCGGTGCTTTTGAGAGGGCCCCCGCTGTCTCCTCCGCAGGAATCGCGCCCGTTCGTCCCACCAGCGCAGATCTGCTTGGGCGTTATCGGAGCGAAATTTCTGTATAAATTCCGGCAATCCGTGAGCGATACGACCGGCAAATTCGCTTGCTGCAGTATCTCACTTTTGTATCCTGAAAAACGAAAAATGTTTAATTTAAGTGTATTTATTCGTGGTGTGTGAGTATACATACCATCTTCCGTGACGCCCCATCCTGTAACGATCGCTGTTCGAGCCGTTAAATCGGAGTCAACTGGCAGGCAAATGGGTTGGACGTTTTCTGCAAATAAATCTATAATTATTGATTGTTTCCAATAATTCGATATTCGAGTACTCACCGTGGTTAAAATTAGCTGCGCCTTTCAACTTTATGAGCGCTATATCGTTAGAGAACCTCCTTGCATCGTAACGGGGATGCACCAAAACATTCTCTATCAAGAAATCTTGAGTAGGTGGCGCGCAGTACCCGGACATTGATTCGCAGTCTTCTTGCGTCTCTACATTATACTCCCCCAATCGAATGCCAACTCTAAAATTATCGAAAAAAATATTAATTCTACTTGTTAATATTGAAATAAAGAACTTACATTGTTTGATTTACAACGCAATGAGCTGCAGTCAGGACGTATCTTTCATTGATAATGGTACCTCCACACCTAAAGTCAATCACTCCATCTATAAAAAGATATTTAGTTTAAAAACCACCTTATGTAACAGAGTTACATAATAAATAAAAAGCATATATTTACCGGAACTGTTATAAAATATCAAAGCCATCCAAGGGTACTCGTTCAGCTCCGCCCGTTGTCCGTTCGTTATCCTGAAATCCGATTTTATAGCTCCGCAAATATCCCTAGGCAACAAGTAGTAATTGGGATGTGTAGCCAGAGAACCGGAGAATCTGTCGACTACATTGGGACGTTCGTTCCTCCAATGGGTAGTAATTTCCGGTGCGTTTGTCGATGTCGTCGTTACTGGCGTCGGCGTCGTTTTATCGCAACAGACGTAAGGCGTATTGCGCTTGAAGCCGCATTGATGGTCCCTGATTATCTTGATGACGTTCCTGGGTCGGGGCAGAGGGCTGTTATTCAGGAGATCGTTGAAATAGGGACATTGTCTTATGGCTACGCAGGCGTTGCCCTTTGGTGGTACGCATACATTCAAATATTCTGAAATATAGTTAATTGTTAGATAGAAAATTACTATTTTTTTATTTTAATTGCCCTAATGCCTTATCCTGATACTTGAATATACAGTGTGTCCCTGGATGGAGTTGTGACGAGAGGAAAAAATCGATATTTTTAATTTTATGAAGAAAAAAAAAAGCTTTATAGAAACTTCTGCGGATCGAAAAAATAAGTTTGCCATATTCAAATCTGGAATCTGATGTATATTTTTTTCGACTCTTTATAAGTAATGACTTTTCTTCAACTCAACATCAACAAAAAGATCAATATGGATAGAACATAGAGTGTGTTGCTGGGGAGACTCTATATATTTCATCAAGGAATTAAACTGAATTAAAAAATTAAAAAGCTTTGGTACAGCTTTGTTTATTCGGCAGTACTAAAACACTATAAAATAATTTACTAGCATTTTATAAACTTCCTGTCATTTTAGTCTTTTGTACCAAAGAGCAATATAATTCAACAATATCATAAAATCTACATAAATAAACATTTTAGATAGATAAAATAGGCTCGATGTAAATATGTAAACAAACTTTAAAACTCTACAATATTACTCTGATTAAATATACTAATTATTTCTATTAAATTAATTCCCAGTCTTTCCTTTGATATCAATATTTTACCTACAGATCCAGTTATTCTATTATCTTAAGTACATAAGCATATGTATACATAAGTATAAACTTGTTATCAACAATCTACTTACTTATAAACAATTTCTCGTCAGACATTTGCACCCAAAAAACGAGCAAACACAAAATACACGGTACAAGGCGGTACATCATGGTTCAACTTCTGTCACTAATAAACATCTTTTTTCCGACTAAAATATTTCACGAGGTGGTCAGGTACTCGCCCGGGCGAATAAAGCCGGAAAAACCGAATTTGAATCGACCCTTTGGAAGGTCCCGCAATTAGGCGTAATCCTTTAATTCCTACTTATTTTATATATTCCCGGTACGCGCAGGTAAACTCGATAAGGTAACCGTTTACCTACGTCTAGCGACAAAGTCGAAGATCGACGTGTCGCAATTATAAAAATTAAATGTATTAATAATTTATTTAACGAGAGGTGTTCCGGAAAATGATCTTATTTTCTAATTAAGCATGTAGATGGAATGAATGTTGTAATTTTGTACAAAAATATTTATTTACAAATTATCTTATAATTCATCTAATCTCTACATCTGAATGACTTTTAAAACCAGATCGTTTTTTCCTCGCTATGAAATCGACCGAATCCACGTACTCCAAAAATCGCATAATGTCGTATTCGCCGTTTATTTCCGTTCTCTCCGTCGTCACTTTCATCAATCGGGTATCAGGCTCGAACTGGAAATGGTCCTCTTCCGCTTTTCCGGGTATTAGTAAGCCGTCGTCGTCCATACTCAACAAATTCACTTCTATTCGAGGTCTGAATTCCAATCGCCTGGATTCGTCCATTTTATTCGGAATGGATCCGCAACAAACTTTAGGGTAACCTTTTTCAAACCCGCACTCTTTCCTCCTGAGAAAACTCACGACGTTCCTCCGCAGAGGCTTTCCCGCGGTCATCAAAAAATTCATGAAGGTTTTGCACATGGGTAAAACGACGCAATCCGACGACGAGTCGCATCGGCTATCTAAAAACCAAATTAATTTTATTTCGCGATCGATAAGGGATAACAAAATAAAGTAAATAATCTGAATATTTCACCTACTTTGTAGTAATTTCCGGCGGGAGAATCGCCGTTTATCGTTGGAGTAGGAATTCAAGCAACAAATTTTCGGAAATCCGTCCTGGTATCCGCACTTCTGGCTCCTTATGTAGCTCACCGTGTCCGTTTGTAATGGTCTTGGCAAACTTCTTAAATAATTCACGAACGTCGGGCATTGTTTTAACGGCTGGCAATTACATCTCGCCTCGCAATTACCTGCAACATTTTTTATCTTAAATATCTATTTGATTGTCGATACTCAAAAAAACCGAAGAGAATATACATAAATAAATAATTTAAAAAATCAAAACAAAAATATCTACTGTAAAATAAGTACTTACTTATTAAAATTATTGTTGTTAATGAAAAAAGAAACACAGCTTTTTCTTGTAACTTAACCATCATTTTTGTCTGTAATATTTTCGGAGCACCAGCTATTCATGCAAAATTACGATTCGTTCTATTCTGCGTTGCTCAAGCTTATTTGAATTTTGAATATTATGTTCATGATCAATTACGGTATTGGGGGTTCGGGTTTTCCCAATACATTTGGCGATGATTTGGAATTACTACCAATAATCTTACTTTGTAGTATTTGAATGCATAAATCGGGAATTTTGAACAGATGTTGAAATTCTAAGATACTATACAGGGTGTCCGGGAATGAAAAACCCACTTTAGGGCTGCAACTTGTAATTTTTAATTTTTTAATCTAATTATAGAAAAAACTTAAATAGTAAGATTTCATCTTAATTTTTGATACCTAGTCACCACTTCAATTTTTCTGCTTATTCATTTATAGGCAAATACTTTAGGTAGGTAGCGGCTATCTACAAATTTGGAACATTTAGATCATTTGTCCTATAAAAAAATACCTATTCAAGATTACAATCTGGCAATCTTAATTATCAATTGAATGAATTTGATATTGATTTATAAAAAAATATATAATCTAATGATGTCCTTTCGTAGAAGTTAGCCAAACATATATAAACATTTTTATTATCATATGTTATTTACATGATTTAAGTCAAGTGAATTAATCGGTTACGCTGCAATGATACTACGTAAAATGAACCAAAAGTAGTTTAAAATGGACATTAACAACAAAGGTTGGTAAATATATTAAATATTTAATTTTCATTACCCATTTTTTCAGTAAAATTAATAAAAATTGTAACAATTTATAGATTTTTGTTAAATATACGCAAATAATTATTTTTAAGCATTCACAGGTCCAAGATTTGGACAGCGACATGTCCAAATATGCCTCCTATTTACAATGATTACCATAATTCATTCGACGCGAACCCAATTACCAGTCGCCTTAATTGCAATGACTTCAAAGGACACTTCTTCGAATCCAGATGTACCTGTAAGTAAAATGATTAAGTTAAATGAACAGTAAATATTTTTTTTAAATTTGACCATTTTAGGTGTACGATTGGAAAAACACGAGCATAATTCTCTCGTCCTTTTACTGGGGCTACATTTGGTTACAAATACCAGCCGGAAAGCTTATTAGATTATATGGAACAAAACCGTTTTTACTAGCTAGTATGATTACGAACGCTACGATATGCGCATTCTGCCCGTTAGTCGTTAAAATATGGGGCTCGGGTGGTTTGATGGCAATTCGAATACTGCAAGGGCTATCGCAGGGATTTTTGTACCCCTGCATCGTGGATATGCTGTCCAAATGGTGTCCTGTAGCCGAGAGAACTACACTAGCAACTTTAGCTTACTGTGGTAGGATTAGAAAGTTTGTTTATAATTTTTTGTGCTGATTTTAAATGAGTATACAGGTGCAGATTTTGGAGCCATCGCAACTTCCCCGATTGTAGCACTGATTTCAACCACTTGGTATGGTTGGCCTTTGTCCTTTTATTTATTAGGTGTAGCAGGATATGCATGGGCGGTGGTGTTCTATATTTTAGGATCCGGCAGCCCGGCTTCGCATCGTTACATATCTGACTTGGAATTGGAATACATTCAGTGCAATTTGAAAACAAATAATTACAGGGTAAGTAATATTTTCATGCATCAATGTTATCTAATCGTTTGTTGAAATTTTAGATGGACATTCCTTGGAAGAAGATCTTACGAAATGTCCCATTTTGGGCCGTGTTTATTACGTTGACGGGTCAATATTTTAGCAATTTATTATTTATGTTAGAAACTCCTACTTATATAGCCAAAGTAATGAAGTTCGACATAACTTCGGTACGTATAAAAAGATATAGGTACATACAAATATTTTATGAACTTATGACCAATAAAAATAGAATAGTCTAGTTTATAATGAGGGTATATTTTCAGAATGGTATTCTAAGCGCCGCTCCAAACGTAGCAAGTTTTCTATCTTCAATATTCTTTAGTTATTTGGCTGAATACTTAATGAAAGCAAATTTCTTATCGCTTATTTGGACCAGGAAAATATTCACCGCAATAGGTTAACGGATGTTTTATAAATTTTATACTGTACTTAAATTGGTATTGCTCTTCTAGGTTGTTTAGTACCAGCAGCAACTGTGCTAATTTTGGCTTTTTTGCCGGCTAATGCATCCGCTGCATCTGTGGCAATGTTGATAGTATCATCGGCAAGCCAATCAGCTTGTAGCGCGGGAGTGAACATCAATCATATTGATTTATCGCCGAATTTCGCCGCTTTGCTTTTCGGAATTATTAATACACCTGCGGTGTGCATATCAATTTTCGGTCCTATAGCCGTTCAATTTATAGTTACCGCCAAGGTAGGCTAAAACTATTTTCCATTATTTATTTACACATTGGCCCGTATTCAGCGCCCCTATTTAACTTTAGCATGACTCTAAATACGCGTCTTGAGTCCCTAGTTACTCTATAACAACAATGTAAATCTGTCAAGTTAAAGACGCGACTTTAGAGTAACTTTAAAGTTAAACAGGAGCACTGAATATGGGCCATTGTGTATATTTGAAATTACTAGTAAGTAAGTGATATTTAGATAAGGAGTTTTCACTAATAATTAAGGGTGTAATTAGTTACAGCATGTAACAAATAATAATAAAATACATTTATTGTATTTTACTTAATAAAATTTCAAATTCAAAATCAAATCAAATCAAAAATTCAATTTATAGTTACCGCCAAGGTAGGCTAAAACTATTTTCCCATTGTGTATATTTGCAACTGCTAGTAAGTAGGAGCTATTTAGATAAGGAATTTTTACTAATAATTAAGGTTATAATTAAGGGTATAATTAGTTAAAGCATGTAACAAACAATAATAAAATACATATATTTTAGGATGATAAAGCCCAATGGCAAATAATATTCTTCATTGCATCAGCGGTGTATGCTGTTCCCTGTCTAATCTACATGTATTTTGCGTCCGCCAAAGTTCAACCGTTCAATGATGCTAATGAAAAATCTATTGAAAATAATATAACCAACAGACACTCGAAACAAAACAATGAAAAAAATAAAGTGTAGGTAAGAAACAACGTTTGCAGCGATAATCTTAAGTGTGTCTTTCGTATTAATTAACTGTAGGTATCTTGTGAACAAAACCTAGCTTAGTCTAAAATTTTATAATTATGTAATTATTGATAAATAATATTTGGTGTTTTAAGAGTAATTGATGCCTTTGTACATATTAAATATGAATAGTATAAATTATTGTATAAAATTATAAAATATTGAATAAAATAACATCGTAAAGGATTTTTAATTTAATACCGTTGTAATTATATCAAAGTTGAAATCAGAAGGCATTTATACAAAACCAATCGCATGTGCTAATAATGGAGCTCAAAACAAAAAGGAAGTACCTCAAAGACTTAGATAAATTTATAATAAATTCTTTTTCATCGAACCACCTATATAAATTAATTTGTTTTTGGAATGGATTTATTCATTTCTTGGTCGTCTTGAAAGGGGGTTCTAAGTACAAATTTTTGTAGGTGTAGTCCTTCGTTATTAGACCTGTAAAAACGCTAATTAGTCTAACAGATGGTTAGTCCTAATAATATAATCGGTTCATTATGAAGAGGAGTAATCAAATATGTACGTAAAAATCAATACCACAGTTTAGATATCGGTTTGTGTATGTTTTTGAGTTAATAGTGCATAAATCGGGAATTTTGAGCAGATGTTGAAATTTTAGAATGTTATACAGGGTGTTTGGAAATAAAAAAACCCGCCTTAGGGCTGCAACTTGTAATTTTTAGTTTGTTAATCTAATTATAGAAAAAACTTAAATTGAAATATTTCTAGGCTATCTACAAATTTGGAACATTTAGATCATTTGTCGTATAAAAAAGTACCTATTCAAGATTACAGTATGGTAATCTTAATTATCAATTAATTGAATTTGATATTGATTTATAAAGAATATGTAATCTAATGATGTTCTTTCGTAGAGGTTAGCCAAACATTAATAAGAAATTTTTTATCAAATATTATTTAAACGATTTATGCCAAGTAAATTTATCGATTACGCTTCAAATATATTACGTAAAATGAACCAAGAGTCATTTAAAATGGACATTAACAACAAAGGTTAGTAAATATTCAATTTTCATTATCCATTTTGTGAGAAAAATTATTAAAAATTGTAACGATTTATAAATTTTTGTTAAATATACACTCATTATGATTTAAGCATTTACAGGTCCAAGATTTGGACAGCGACATGTCCAAATATGCCTTATATTCACCTTGCTTGCCATAACTCATTCGACACGAACCCAATTACCAGTCGCCCTAATTGCAATGACTTCAAAGGGCACTTCTTCCAATCCAGATGTACCTGTAAGTAAAATGATTGAGTTATGTGAATAGAAATTTATTAAAAATTTAACCATCTTAGGTGTATGATTGGGAAAACACGAGCATAATTCTCTCATCCTTTTACTGGGGCTACATTTGGTTACAAATACCAGCCGGAAAGCTCATAAGATTATACGGAAGTAAGCCGTTTTTACTAGCTACTATGATTACGAACGCTACGATATGCGCTTTGTGCCCGTTAGTTATTAAAATTTGGGGCTCCGGTGGTTTAATGGCAATTCGAATTCTCCAAGGACTATCACAGGGATTTTTGTACCCTTGCGTTGTGGATATGGTGTCCAAATGGTGTCCTGTAGCCGAGAGAACTACACTAGCAACTTTAGCTTACTGTGGTAGGATTAGGGAGTTTGTTTATAATTTTTTGTGCTTATTTTAAATGATTATACAGGTTCAGATTTTGGTGCCATCGCAACTTCACCGATTGTAGCACTGATTTCAACCACTTGGTATGGCTGGCCTTTGTCCTTTTATTTATTAGGAGTAGCAGGATATGCATGGGCGGTGGTGTTCTATATTTTAGGATCCGGCAGCCCGGCTTCGCATCGTTACATATCTGACTTGGAATTGGAATACATTCAGTGCAATTTAAAAACAAATGATTTTAGAGTAAGTAATATTTTCATGCATCAGTGTTATCTAATTGTTTGTTGAAATTTTAGACGGACATTCCTTGGAAGAAGATCTTACGAAATGTCCCATTTTGGGCCGTGTTTATTACGTTGACGGGTCAATATTTTAGCAATTTATTATTTATGTTGGAAACTCCTACTTATATAGCCAAAGTAATGAAGTTCGACATAACTTCGGTACGTATAAAAAGATATAGGTACATACAAATATTTTATGACCTTATGACCAATAAAAATAGAATAGTCTTGTTTATAATGAGGGTATATTTTCAGAATGGTATTCTAAGCGCTGCCCCAAACATAGCAAGTATTCTGTCTTCAATATTCTTCAGTTATTTGGCTGAATACTTAATGAAAGCAAATTTCTTATCGCTTATTTGGACCAGGAAAATTTTCACCGCAATAGGTTAAGGGAAGTTTTATTAATTCTATACTGTACTTAAATCGGTATTGCTCTTCTAGGTTGTTTAGTACCAGCAGCAACTGTGCTAATTTTGGCTTTTTTGCCGGCCAATGCATCCGCTGCATCTGTGGCAATGTTGATAGTATCATCGGCCAGCAAATCTGCTTGTAGCGCAGGAGTGAACATCAATCATATTGATTTATCGCCGAATTTTGCCGCTATGCTTTTCGGAATTATTAATACAGCTTCGGTGTTCATATCAATTTTCGGTCCTATAGCTGTTCAATTTTTAGTTACCGACAAGGTAGGCTAAAACTCATTTTCACTATTTATTTACATATTCGCAATTGCTAAATACGTAATATTTAGATAAGGAATTTTCACTAACTCATAATTTACTTAATAAAATATATTTTAGGATGATAAAGCCCAATGGCAAATAATATTCTTCATTGCATCAGCGGTGTATGCTGTTCCCTGTCTAATCTACATGTATTTTGCGTCCGCCAAAGTTCAACCGTTCAATGATGCTAATGAAAAATCTATTGAAAATAATATAACCAACAGACACTCGAAACAAAACAATTAAATAAATTAAAATGTAGGTAACAAACAACGTTCATATCGATAACCTTAAGTGTATAATTTGCATTAAACTGTATCTCGAAAAAAAAAACTTAATTTAATCTCAAATTTTATAAGGATGTTGTTAATAAATATTATATGTTATTTTAAGACGAATTAAACACTACGCCTCTGTACATATTGCATATGAATAGTTTAAATTGTTGTATAAAATTACAAAATATTGAATTGAATAACATCGAAAGGATTTTTAATTAAATTCCTTTGCAGTCTATCAAAGTTCATATCAGAAGGTATTTATTTACAAAGCCATTCGGATGTGTTAATAATGGAGCTCAAAACAAAATGTAAGTAAAGACTTAGATAAATTTCTAGCAATTTCTCTTTCTGCCAACTTTATAAATTAATTTGTTTAAAGCATGAAAGGGGGTCCTTAGTATACATTTTTGTAGGTGTATAGTCCTTCATTATTAGACCTGTAAAACGCTAATTATCAGTCTAATAGATCATTATATAGTCCTGATTATCGGTTCATTATGAAGCGGAGTAAGCAAATACTTAAAAATCCCTATCAAAGTTTAGATATGGTTTGTGTATGTTTTCGAGTTATCACTCATATTTTCGCATTTTATGTACAATGATGGAAAAAAGTTTTACCAAAGAATATGTGTTCCTTTATAACGTAGAAAATAATTTTTGCAGAAGCAAAAGTACATACGATAGAAAAGATACACGAACATGGCTAAATAGAACCTGTAAGTAATATTAAGCAATGTCTAAGGAAGCGAAAGGGATGAATTTATTAATAAGTAATAGGCATCTGTAGCATTTCAAATTTTAAAAATAATGTCTAGATGGCAAATTATATTAATAAACATAAACCAAATAGGGTGAATTGAATGGTATCAACTATCAATCGATCGAACAAACTATAAAGCAATACCACGAGAATTTTCATTTTCACCACGAATAGACTCTAGCGTAACTTCCCAATAACGAATTTAAATAATGCAGGTATTTCAATTATATTTATCCCTCCGCAGTTGCTGCAATCGGTACGCGCCACGTGCAAGTATTATTTATGTTCGCCTTGTTGACCATCGGAATCGGAATGCGAGTGCAATTCTCCGTAGCCCTAGTCGCGATGACGGATAGAACGTCTTCAAAGAATCCTGATGTACCAGTAAGTACCACATCAACGTATATCTTTACCCACAAGCGTTACTATCATTGAAAGAGCAAGTCTGTAAAGATGGAAAATGGTACTTTGTTGAAGAAATTTTTATTGCTTTATTATAATTTCCACAGGTTTACGACTGGAACAACAAAGGGGTACTACTGTCCTCGTTCTTTTGGGGATACGCGATTCTCCAAATCGTCGCGGCTCTGATGGCAAGAGTGCACGGATCGAAGGTACTTCTGATAGCATCGATGGCGACTAACGCTGTAATATGCTGCTCAATTCCAACGGTGGCTAAGCTGATGGGTTCGTACGGGGTAATGGCGTGTAGAGCGATAATGGGACTCGCGCAAGGATTTTTCTATCCTTCCATATACGGCGTGCTGACGAACTGGGTGCCCTCCTCCGAAAGGGCGCATTTGGGCTCTTCGGCGCTTGCTGGTAAGGACGAGTAAGTCGTTTCTGTTTAAATCCATCGATGGTTGTTCGTTTATCGCTGATTAAATTAACGAATTGTTAGGTGTGCCTTTCGGTATTATAACTGGAATGTCCATAACCGGGTTCATCTCTGCTTCATGGGGCGGTTGGCCGTGTTCGTTTTACTTTTACGGAATGTTGGGGTTCTTGTGGATTATCGGTTACTATGTAGCCGGCGCAAGTTCGCCCGCTTTGCATCCTAAAATAACAGAAAAAGAAAAAACTTTTATAGAAAATGATGCTTCTAGGAATGAAACCAAAGTAAGTAAATGTTCATGGACGATATAAGTGGTTGTAGTCTATTCATAGAACTTATAGGTGGGTTTCTGTTTAAAAGATTATTTACTGCATATGATCGTATAGGTATGGGCAGTGTCTTCCAGAATTCAGGTATTCTCAACTCTAAATTAGGGCATTTTATATGAAATGATCTATTTTACAATAACTACTAGTTATAATTTCAGTTGAATTTACGGTTTTGCTGTAATATTAACAATGATTTGTACAATTCAAGTACAAATGGATTATTTTCGATTTTATTCATAATTAGTTGACCAGTTCATATTTAGGTAATCATGTAATAGGTAAAATTTTGAGGTGCCGGCATTCCAATTCACTGTAAATTTAATCCGAAACCGACATAAGTTCAGTGAATGAACTGTAGGGTCTTATTTGCGGGTTTTTACTGTATATGTACATATTTTTTTAGGCAAAAGTTCCATGGACTGCAATAATGACAAGCCCAGCGTTTTGGGCAATCTTCTTCTCTTATATTGGACAAAGCTGGGGTTATCAGACATTACTTTCAGAATTGCCCGTTTACATGAATAAAGTCATGAAATTCAACATTGAAACAGTAAGCAACATTTCATAAATTAATAATTTAAACGAGCGTAATGTTGTTTATTTCAGAATGGAATTCTATCCGCCACACCGTACCTCATAATGTTCATTATTATTATTTTCACCGGTTACTTTTCCGATTACTTAATAAATAACGAGTATTTGACCGTGAAGCAATCGAGATGTATATTTAATTCATTAGGCAAGTGTTCTTATTCCAAACCATTTATATGCAGGGAGTCTCTAAAACTCATGCTTTATTTTTTAGCAACTTTTGGACCAGCAATCGGTTTGGTGGCATTGAGTTTTATGCCCGAGACGGCCGTAATTCCTTGCGTAATAATGCTGATCATAGCCGTTGGAACGCAAGGAGCGTCGTCTTCCGGATTCGAGATCAATTCCATGGACATTTCGCCTAATTTTGCTGAAATTTTGATAGCTTTTTCCAATGCTGCTAGCGAGGTTTTTTCGAATTTAGGACCGCTGGCCGTTCAGTTTGTTGTAACAGATGAGGTAAGAAAATGGTATAAAGTACTTTATGTAGTACTATGTAGTGCTTTAATTTAAACATTTTCAGACCAATAAAGCACAGTGGAGAATCATTTTCCTAGCAGCAGCAGCTTCGTATGTTCTAACGTCTACAATTTTCATAATATTCATGCGAGCCGATGTCCAACCTTGGAATAATACTGATAAAGAAAACGATGAAAATAAAGCATGAAATAAAATAATAGACGAGTTTCTGTTACATTTTTCATGTCACTTCCAGGTATTTTTGAGTATTAAAACTCACTAAATTACATTAAATTAAAACAATTACGCAATATAATAAATACTTTATTAAAGTTGTATAAATAAATAATCCTTTATAAATATGCATACACGTTAATAGCAATAGGTATCGTTACAAGAACGTAGTGTTTAAAGGCACGATGAAATTTCTCTTATTCACCACAATTTCGCCCATAAGTGGATGCTCTTATACTAGGTACTTTTCTGCATTGATCAAACAGTACAAAAAAAAAATAAAATTATCACATAAATATATCTGCTGCACTGGATAAGTAAAAGTAATTCAATTCCTGGAGTTGGCTAGTAACGATTTAAATTGATTAGGTAACTTTAAATTATTACAATTTGATAAAGTACCTGTCTACAAAATTCTCACTAAATACATATATCTAAACAATTAATGCGTACATATATTTTCTACATACAAAATGAGTTAAATGGGAATCTCGCAATGCAATCAGCAGTCAGCTTTTCGTGGACTAATAAAGCTAAGGGATTTATAAAAATTATTGAAAGAAATAAAATTGGGGGAACAATTCTTTAACAAAGAAGTAAGATTTAAATTTTTAAGGGCTATTTTTTGATTATAATGAAGAAACTACTGCTGATTTCATTGAAAATACCGCTCACCTTTTGTAGGTCGATAAACAAAATAGTTAACAATTAAATTTTACTCATATTTTAATGGTAAAAAGGTAATTGATGAAGACTAGATTTACGACTAACGTTTAAAATAGGCGTTTAATTGCTTAAATTATTAAAACTCTAAAATATTTTTATAAAATGTCTTAAGCTATGTCGCTGTAATATTACGATTAAGTCTTCGAAAATGTAATGCCGAGTTACAGGGGCTGTTGTTGTAAATTTTTACCAAAATATTTTTTTTAGATTAGATTAAGTCTTTTCATGTTTCAGGAACTTCTAAAGCTCAGAATACATTTCGAATAAAATTAAAAGCTAAAAAATCTCAATAAGTTGATTTTAGTTGAAACGCCTTGAAAACAGTATCACAATTTGATCTAAAATACAATATTACACAATAATTACCTAAACATAATAAAATTAAACTATAAATAAGTTTACAGTACGACAAAATTTGTAAAATGCATATGCACAATGGTTAGCGTTGATACTTTAATAAACGGTCGTTTGTTTTAGTTTACTTATACAATTTTCCATCGGTCTAATCTGATAAATTGACCTTAAAGGATAATAAATTAGATCAAGTTTTAAATTCAACACATTCTGCGCATATACATAAAATAAACGTTTTTTTCTTAATTTAAATAAATAAGTATATGCATGATTAACATAAAAATTAACTACTTAAATATTCGCATTTTTAGCGAATATTACAGTACACGTTGTAACCAAACCATTAAAATATTTAATATTTTAAACGTTTGTAAATGGACTATTATAGGATCAAAATTAACCGGTTTTTCTTATAGAAAAAAAAATTAAGAGAGCTAATTAAAAATGTTACTTCACGCTTGCCAAAAAAATCAATAAAATATCCTACTAAAAAAATTAACTAAAATTAAGTATTCTGTTAACTCTCCAAACCGATCACTTGACTTTGCTGTCGGCTATAACCCGTACTCAAACTAGGGTGAAACACTCTGTAATAAAGCAGCATAAAGAATATGCCGAAAATGAATGGAATAACATTCAGCAAGACAATGGGCAAATAATAAACTTTAGTTTTCACTTCATCATTCACGGTTACCGTCCACACGACATTAGCTATCGTATTCTCTGCGAACAGCACGCTGTAGAAGATCAAGTACTTACAACACGTCGGCCCTTCCACCTGCATTAAAAGAAATACATTTAATAAATCAAGAAAAATTTTACAGGGTGTCTCGCATAAGAACCGAAAAAGAGCAGGGGAGCGTAGTGGAGCCCAAAATATGTTGTTCAACCCAATTTAACTTAATACAGTCATGTTTTGAATTATATTTTAAGCTCTCCTACACGCTACTACTCTTTGTCGGTTCTTTTGCGGGACACCCTGTATATACATCTCGAGCAAGAGCCGTGAACATAATGTATTTTCGTCGATATCATTATACAACCTGTCCAATTATACTCACCAATACGACATGCGTAAAAATATATACGGCGCCAAGAATGCAGTAGAAAAGGAAATCGTAGAGCGAATTGTGATCGCAGAAGTTATTTTTATCGCTGGTGCACGCCAGCCATAAAGTCATTATGAACCAGTGCCCGATGATTATTAAGATCGTTTCTGTGGGATAAATCGAAGCTATGACGCTGATGCAGAGAATTCTGGAAACTGCAACAAGATATTCCAATTAAAATTCTATTTTTTCCATTACACGGTCTTAATGTATAAAACGATCAATAAAATGGAACATAACATGAACTCGTGTTATTTAATAATAGGTAATCAAAGGAATCCAAACAAATATTTACTAACATTAGTCAACAAATAGATGTATTAATTTCTTCAAGAACGGTTTTAATATATTTGTAACTACACAAAACAAGTGTAACATAGATTAATGTGGTGTCAAAAGTATAAAATGATCTTTGATACTATAAAAGACAATAAATATTGTTAGAGCAAAGTGTAATTACAGTTTGTTATATTTTTAAACAGTAAATAATGTCACTTTTGATAAAAAATGATTGGTTTAAACCGAGCAAATCGAATTTCTTGATATGGAATTCTCGATAAAATTTAGAAGGCGCAATTTTAAATTTATTTTTGTATATTTTCATAAATATTGATCGAAAAATTATTAGAAATTATAACAACAACGGAATTGAAAGAGGTCAATTAATACTACTAATTAAGAAAGAATTTTCTTGAAATAATTTGCTATAATATGTTGTTGTTAAACAAAACTTATTCTTAAATATGTTGTTGAAAAAATATGAAATGCACATATTTAATAACAATTAGTAGAAAATAATTTTCCATTGGAAAAAATTTCCATAATACAATTATGGAATCCGTTTCTATTAAATGTGTTAAAGTTTTACCTGTAACTAGAAAATGCCACATAAATTGGACGATAGTTCCGGACCAGGAAATGTTGTTCTTTGTCTTTAAAGCCACTCGCAAAAGTCTTTGATAAGATGCCATTGCCCATGCCATGCTTACAAAAGAACTTCCAATCGAGAGAAGTTGGTGAATTACTGAAATTTAAATAAATTATGTTTTGAATATATTTTATATGTATTATGCCTGCAATCATGCAATACAGTTTCTTGAACCGTAGATAAACATTCAAATTGTATAAATAAGTTGAACCGGTTAATAAATTTTCATATTAATGAAAATATAGTATACATCCTTGTATAAATAATTGCACCAGTTTATGAAAACAATTAAAAATATTTACAGTCGCAATTTAATTAGTTAGAGCATTTGTTAAATCGACTGGCCTCCTGAACAAATTTGATAAAAAGATTAACGAAAGATCCATCGTTCAAATTTAATCTTGATTAAATTGTGAATAAAATGAGTTGTAAAGATTGTTAACATATTTTACTTAATTAAAACCATATGAAAATTAATATCTGGTAATAAAAACATAAAATTTCAATGTTAGGAACAGTAATTTTTAAGAAAAAAATGTACAATAATCATACAGGATGTTAAATAATTGCATATTGTAGAGAATATGTAGTTTATGCATATTCAGATATTTGAGTGCATACTTCAAATATAATACACCAAGTACCAAGTAAAATATAATATGTTAATTCCAAATACTAACAATAATGTAACCTTCAACATACTTATAAGTAACAATGTTGTTATAAATTAAGCATATAGAAAAATATATAACAAAAATTAATGCAAAAAACGTAGGATAATCCTTCAAAAAAAATTTAAATAATCTTACTTGTTAAAGGGGGTCCTTCCATTTCTTTACCGTTACTGTAGAAAATAATTGCCAATTGTAGAATTAATTGAGGCGCTGCTTCCAAAAAACACTCCAATACTCTCAGTAAGGCTACATCGGAATCTTCCTTAATCATTAGTTCGTAATACTTTCTTTGGTTTTCGACGTCTTTGTTTTTTTCCGCTTCTTTCGACTTCAGAGCATATTTCAGTGCATCGAAATAGCGCAGGATTGGAGCCAATTGAAACAGTAACACCATCAATAAACACATTCCTTTTTTGGTACATTTTTTAGTTAAATTTGTTCCCCTGTTCACATTGTCTCGGTCCAAAACGTACATACGAACGCTGAATATGGTGTTGATTATCGCAGGTATTATTATGAAAGACAATGTGGCACAGAAATATGGTACATTGTTGTTAATGTAGTACCTGTAGGCTACGTTACAGTCGAATACGACATCGAGAATATGACTGATTATCGAGAAAATAAAACCAGCTACATCCCAATTCGTTGCTCTATCATTCGATGGTATCCTATCAGTTTCATCACGATCCGTATTGCACATTTTAGTCTGATATAATATTGTCATTCTTTTACAATAATATTTCTAAATTCTCTGTTTGATTACCTCGACTTTTTGTTTCTTCAAATAATGCATTATTTGTAAATCTTATTGTACACAAAGGAACTACAAAACGTTGACAAGAACATTTACGTGAGCTACTTAACTGATTCACCACTCGTCTAGTAAACGGTGTATATGGACGTGAATCATATTTAAACTTTTTATCTCTCACGCTTGGAAGATCGTTTTCAATTCAATGAACTTAATCTTGATCAACTTTCCATTTTTATTTATATGCCACTGTCACTATCTCAGATATCACTGAATTCAGTCATTGTCATGTCTCGTGTCAATTATGTCAATAATTTTTTTCATTTATTTGATCAGTTTGTTCCTTACAGAGATAAAGGCCAAAATTCATAAAAAAAATTTAAGAAAGAAGAAAATTGAGGTTATAACACATTTATAGGTTAATTTTTTCACTTCATGTGAATATTTTTATTAATTTTGAACATTAATAACAATGGTTAGAAAAAGTAAACGAATTGTAAATGCAGAAAGTGCACCAAAAAACGCTACCGAAGAAAAACCGAAAGCTTCACAAAAGTAAGTTGAAATTTTGTTATTTTATTACATGGTATCAAACGTGTGTTTTTTAGGGATTCACCAAAGGCAGCGCCAGTTCCAAAAGGAAGGCCAAAATCCGGTAGAATATGGAAAGCAGAAAGGAAAAAGTTCAGTTCCATAGTAAAGACTAAAGGCATTCGTAGCTCGTTAGAGAAAAAACAGGTTCTACGAGAGAAGCTGAAGCACATAAAAGAGTTGTCGAATAGCCTGAAAACTGCGAGGAATGAAGAAAAGGAACTGAAGAAAGAGCGCAGAAGGGAAAACTTAAAGAGGCAAGAAGAGAATCGTTTAAAATCCGAAGTGGTCCAAGTTATTTCGAACACACAAAAATTAAAGAGGGCTAAGAAAAAACAACTGAGGAATATAGTAAAAAGAGACACGACTGTTGTTTCGAAGTAAATGACTCTAAAATATTTTTAATTGTTCGGATACATTTTATAATAAGATTTATTAGAAAAAAATATGTATTTGTTTAATGTAAGCTTCCTAATTCATCTAATCGGAAAGTATTTTATTTTATTTAAAATCAGAACAATTAATTTTACATCCTAAATACTCCAAAGTCCGTCTTAGGAATCTGTTTGTTTAAACTAGCCGCTAAACTTAAACCAAGTACTCTTCTTGTATCTTTCGGATCTATAATTCCATCGTCCCAGAGTCTAAAAATGAAGAATAATTATTTCACATTAATTTCGAAAATTTATTATATTCACCTGGCAGTACTATAATAAGGAGAAGCTTCCTTTTCAAATTTCTCAATAATCGGTTTCTCAAATTCTCTCTTCTTTTCATTGCTCCACTCCTTTCCCTGACCAGCAACTTGCGACAGAACCCCCGCCGCTTGTGGTCCTCCCATTACAGATATTCTAGCATTAGGCCACATGTATAGAAATCTCGGCGAATATGCTCTACCTGAATAAAATTAAAAATTCATGTCTTGCAAGACACTCCTGGAAATTACAATTTACCACACATTCCGTAGTTGCCAGCTCCGTAAGAACCTCCTACGATTACAGTAAACTTCGGTACTTGTGCACAAGCTACAGCTGTAACCAATTTAGCGCCGTTTTTCGCTATACCTCCTTTTTCAGCATCACGACCCACCATGAATCCTAATGATTTATATAAAAAAATAATCGTGAAAATATTTTATACATCTTAAAGAATCTAACGCTCACCTGTTATATTCTGTAGGAATATTATGGGAACTTTTCGCTGCGTGCAGAGTTGCACGAAATGCGCGCCTTTCAAAGCGCTCTCGGAAAATAAAACTCCATTATTTCCAATAATGCCGACTTGCTTACCGTACAGCCTTGCAAATCCGCATACCAACGTATCGCCGTACTTTTTTTTGAATTCATCGAATTTGGAACCGTCGAATATCCTCGCTATGATTTCCCTGACGTCGAATGGTTTTTTCAAATCCGTGTCTATCACTCCGTGCAGGTCCTCGGCATCGTACAGAGGCTCTTCGAATGGTTCATCGAAGCTTACGCTAGAATTTCTCGATAAATTTCGCACTAACTTTCTAGCGATCGAAATTGCGTGTTCGTCGTTTAGGGCGTAGTAATCGGTGACGCCCGATGTGGTGCAATGGAGATCTGCTCCTCCTAATTCCTCTGCTGTAACCTGTTAACAGGTATCCTAGCGTGTATATGAAATTGATATTGTGGGTAATATTACCTCTTCCCCAGTAGCTGCTTTGACCAAAGGTGGTCCTGCTAAGAACACAGTTCCTTGTTTTCTTACTATTATCGACTCATCTGCCATTGCAGGGACATAAGCACCACCAGCTGTGCAGGAGCCCATCACTATTGCTATCTACACAGTAGTTTTTTTAATGGTAGTTTCAATATAGTACTTTCAATTATTACCTGAGCTATGCCTTTGGAAGACATATTAGCCTGGTTGAAAAATATCCTCCCAAAGTGATCCCTATCGGCGAAAATATCGGCTTGATTAGGCAAATTGGCGCCTCCACTATCCACTAAATAAATACAAGGAAGGTTGTTCTGGTCAGCTATTTCTTGAGCCCTAAGGTGTTTCTTAACAGTCATGGGATAGTAAGTACCGGCTTTAACAGTCGCATCGTTTGCGGCTATCACGCATTCTCTCCTGAAATTATAAGCAGCTTTAAGTACGAAATGAAAGCTGCACTTTTTATCTACCCTTGAATTTTTCCTATTCCTGTAATTATACCTGCAGAGTTGATATGTTCGTTATACATATCGTTTGCTGCTAATGCTGATAACTCCAGGAAAGCGCTGTTTTTATCTAACAACAATTTCACTCTATCTCTAGCAAGTAATTTTCCTTTAGATGTGTGCCTTTTTGCTGCTTTCTCGCCGCCTCCTTGTAAAATTTTGGTGGTTTTGTCCCTCAGAGTTTCTATTAGTTGCGTCATTTTTTCCTTATTTTCCTAAAATTTAAATATGTTGCGTTCTACTGTTGAATTGATGTTAGTTTATTACCAAAAATTGAGGAGATAGCACGTCTACATCGGTCTTTAAAACACTTGTGGAATATCCGCTGGCTTTTTTTATTAAGGGCCAATGGGCGAAAATTATTTTATTCTTAGAGAACATTTTGTATTAAAGAAATTAAATACGAATTACGGTTTACCGAACTAAAACTACATTACAATGATAAAATTACGCTGCATGTTAAACAACTACCTCGGTTGTGTTATTGTGATAAATGATAAGTAGTAATGAGCAATCAAAGGCGTGTAAATGGGAAGATATAAATATATCGAAAAAGTCCTGTAAATTTGCCCATATTTTGCCGTAGTAATAAAAATAACTAATTCGAAATTAACATAAATTAAAAATGAAGGAATGTTACAAGGAATTTTAAAATGATTTAAAAAAAATTAGCAAACTTGCCCCCTATAAAAATATCACGTCTACACCCAGGTTACATTAATTAAACAGAGGATCTTGGTTTCCTAACTACCATTATTTCGTAATATTGACATTTGACTTCAAAATATGGCAATTTTAAACTTATCGAGAATATTTGGAAAAACTTTGATTCCAAATTTAAATAAAGCATCCGTTAGAAATGCCTTTTTAAAGCCGCATACTCATGGAGGAAATCCCGCAGATGTATAATACTAACCACGTATAATACTTGTTCATTTAGGTAATTTTGTTAATTGTTTCAGTCTGTTCCCTTTGGAAAATCCATAGGAAACCCCAATAGAATGACCCTACTTTGCTGCTTATTCTTCGGAAGTGGTTTAGCTGCCCCTTGTTTCTTGTTTATTTATAGCATGCACAGATAAGGTAAGTGTTAAAATGGTTGCCTATATCATTTTTTAATGAAGTTTTCTTTTTATATAACGTAATGAGTAAATCTCGTTTCTTAGCCATTTGGTGTCTAACTAAAATTTAATTGTGAAAGAATAATTGTAGAATTTGACTTTAATGTTAATTGTATAGAGTAATTGTAGAGTTGTGTGAGCAATCCTATTTTTTTAATTGCCTTGATCTTGGCGCTGCCTCTGACAGATGTCTTTGTCAATTGATTCAGCTTTTCACGTCACTTGTCACTTAATTGTGAAGCATTGAGGTTAGGCGAGTTAATCTTTAATTTCCAATATAAAATCAAAAGATTTTTGTAATCTAAAAATATGATTGGAAAAAGTAACTTGTTCGTTAGGAACTTAGTGAGGAATGCGGTAGTTAGAGCATCTCACGACCACGGTGGTGTACCTGGAGCAGTAAGTCTCTTTTTCATTGTTACATAATTGGGATGCCTATTGGAAAATGGGCTTTTCTAGTTTTTATTGAGCGATGTGCTGCATATGATACGCATTTTTGATATAGGAATAATAATTGTTAATCGTAGATCACCAACTCTCCTAGCCATCCAGAAAATCTAACATCCCTATACATAGTTTATGACTAACCGTTCATTAGAGTACCGACTTATTTTAATTTATTTATTTGTTTTCAGAATCTACCTTTCTCGATAAATAACCGTTTTAAGCTGACTGCTATGATGGTGTTATTTTTTGGTTCAGGGTTTGGAGCTCCTTTCGTAATTGTGAGACACCATCTCACCAAGTAAATTAACTTTATCCAAAATCCATATGTAAGTTACTTTAATATCTACAAATTATGTATCTGTCTAATTTTTTTTAATTGCAGGTGTTAGTACCAATAATAATAGACACGTTTTGTTAATTATGTATATTAAGTTCAATAAAAGGTGAAAATGTATCCAGTTTTTTTACTAGCTGGTATATGTAATGGACAAAAGGAAACAATAAATTTTAATTAAAAAAATCAGTGAATCACACATTCTTATGATCTAGATTATTTAGTGCAACAACAGACTAATTATTTAATCATAAATAGGACAGATAATGTTAGCAGAGGTTTGGGAAAGAGGAATTTGTGAAAGGATTAATTTATTTTTAATGTCGATTTACACAAATTATCTTTATTTCACAAAATTGAAAAATTACGATACAAAAACTTTTAAATTAAGACTTGAGGAATTACATAAATATTTTTTTCATCAAAAGGTACATGTGCTGGTCAACTTCGAAACTGTGTAAGTTGTTTGCATCACCCTGTAGTCGCATGAGTAATCCACCGAATGATACATAAGCAGCTCTGAAAAAAAAGAAAAGATGAAAAAATTAATTTACTTATAGAATTTTATCGACTACAACCATTAAAAAAGTTCAGATGGGCAATGCTTTGAATAAATGTAATTATCGAAAATAAGTGTCAATTTATAAGGGCTAAAATTTTTATTATAAGATATCTCCTTTAAAATCAATAATAAGCCAACTTTTTTATTTCTTGTAAGATCTCTATATTTCCCATTCTTTATGAGCGTTAAAGCCATATACCATATGAAACGAATAGAAAATTACTAAATAAAATGTACAATAAAATTACACTTTACATGAGAATTTCCTCTGGAGTTATCTGAAGACTGACGTTGCCTACAGATAATAAAAATTGCTACATTTATACAACGCAAGTAATTCATTAGAACATAAACATTCGCTGAAATCGTTGAATTTCTTTCGCAGCGCAAACGGTATTCACGAAGGAAGTATGGATAGTGGTCGTGGTACACATAGCACAACCAGCTAACCACACTGCCACTGTGTACACCGTTATATCCAACAATTTTGTTGTTGGAACGATTCTCTTAATCTGTAGATATCTAAAGCAAAAATAAATAGTAATACTTCAGCGTTATTATTTAGTATGAAGTGTATGTAAATATAGTGCAGAACTATTGCTACCTCTTCAGTTTGAAATAGGGAATTGAGGTAAAAACAGTACTCATTACACCGCTCTTTGCTCAGCACTCAATTCCAATGCTTTTAAATTTAAGATTAATTGGGAATGCGACGTGTTGCTCGTTACATTAGTAGTGATTATTGTATCTATTAGCTGATTGAATGAAGTATTAAATCTATTTGCAAGTATATTAACATGTCTCACTAATAACATTAGGTAATCATATTGATCCTTATTGGAGGCCGAATTTTTCTACTAGGAGAATCACTTCTGCGGTATCCTCATCAGTTGTTCTTGCATGAGCTAGACCCTCTCTATTGCCAATATTAGTACTTAATACATACGCGAATAGTGGCATACATTTTTGGTTCAATACAGTTTATAGATTAATATGGTATGTACATAATGGTTTTATACCTAGGGTTTGTACCTTGTACCTATAGGGTACACTATTGAAGAAAATATTTCGGATGTAAAAAAAGATTAGCTATTGGCAAATGACGGTACTCTGGTTTTTAATAGACTATTTATGATTCAATAATGTATGCAATTATTAACTACAAACAAATGGTTTATGGTATCGATTCAAAATTTTTATTTTTATTACATTTATTTTATATTGCTACATTCTAATTTAAGTTCCCAAAATATAAGTCATTTTTAACACAATAGCTAAAATCCTTCTAGTTAGTTATTTATCCTTATTCGGGACAAACCAGAAAGGTTTCTAATCATTAAGAATATATGGGCGATTTAGAACTGAATTGGTTCTGACAATTTCCAAATTCATTTCTGTTAAGTCTTTCAATAAATTTCAAATAAAAATGTTTCAACATTTGCGTATTGAATACCTTCTCAGTAGAAGATAAGCAAAGAAAGTAAGAAATAAAAAAAGAGAAAACTTATACAAAATTTATTTTACTAAATAAAATTAACAATAATTTGGGCAGTATGTTTTCAGTACAATAGTGAGGTTTTACCGATTATTTTAATTAAAAATGATAAAAAAATAAAACACAGGCCATCCAACAATAATATATTTTTGGGAAAATATATAAAAATTATATCAATATATTTACAAATCATATTAATTAAATAAAATTAGGCAAAAATACATACATAATAGTATATTTAATTTCATACAAATAGTACGGTCTTTCTTAGATTTTTTTAATATCGGTACAGATAAGTACTTTGTTGAAAAGGGACTTTTCCGAATAGATTACATAAATAAAGCGTATAAAAGATGCAAATATTAACATTAACCATATTTCACAAATGCACCAAAGCAATATATACTCTTAAATGCCGAAATAATAGTACATACAACAATAAAATAGGTAAAACAAATAATAGATAGAAATGCTAATCGTGCACACAATAGAATAAGATGCTTGCGCATGCCTGACTGTCGTACCAGATAGTGCATTTACAGGATTCTATAAGCACCTTGTACGTTGTAAACGCACCTCTGGCACGACGTCAGTCACGAGAAATAAATCTCCATGACGTCGGTCGCATAGCCATTGCCACAAAATACACCGAAGGCGTGCTCCTAGCCACAGCCAGTTTTTCCCATTACCAAATATTACAAGCTACACCTAGAAACTACGTAGAGGATAATGTTAGAGACGGCTCTTTAAACGATATTTCGGATGTTGCATTTGGTTTAATCAGAAATAGAATTTTTACTAATTAGCAGAATGTAAGAGAAGAAACGGAATTTTTGACCAATTTATTGGAGAACTTAAATAAGAAGAACGAGTGACTATTAAATTTTGCTGCTCTAGAGACAATTTTTGATCTAATTAAGAAAATTAAGAATTTCGATAGTATTAGCTCGAAGAAAATTTGCCTTAATTAGGAAACCGATATGCGGCAAATGAGATAAAGTATCTACTATAATCCCTAAACTAAAATTTGCAGCAGATTTGCAACATTCAAAATATCGAGTTTAAAAACAGCCTGCAATAGATATCACAGCAATTTGCAAATATTTAGTTAACGTTATCTATTGCGGTGTTTTTAAGTTGATTTTTCAAACAAATTCGAAAGCAAGCAACGATTTTTTTTAATGATAGCGATGCAAGCACACAGCATTCGTGATTAGTGAAGCATTTTGAAGCACCATGCAATTTATTTTTTGGCTGAAAACTTCCTATTTCCACTAGCAGGCTTTTATTTTTAAATTTCATTCCCCAAAATGAAAAATTATTAAGCGAGAAATATTTATATTTTACTTCAGTATTATTTAGACATAAATTTATAATTTATGTACATGTAAAATTATACTTATTAAATAACAATAGGTAAATTATAAAACTTATAAATTTTTTTGCTTGAAACATTTCATCAAATAGAATATTTGCTAATCGAAAAATTTCAGGAAGTTATTACCTATCGAAAAACGGCGATTGTGGGTATACTCACACCTAATTAACTTTAGAAGTAGAACAATAGTCATTATATTTCGAAAATAGATTCAAAACACGTTCCAATGACGCTATTTTTCCGAGTAGGTACATTACGCAATATCCAATATTAATAATTGATGTATTTAATTGGCCATATTCAAAACGGGATTCCCATTGTAATTATTAGAAACGAAACGAGTTATGAGCATATGTAAGCCGATTTTAGGAAAAATTTCATTGAAATATTTCATTTCAAAACCACCACACGTGTGTGTAGTCATCTAGTCATATTCCTCACACAGAAAATTTATTGTAGGATAACTCCTGCTGATATTTTTTATACCAAATGATCCTCTACAATTTCCTTGATAAAATAACAAGAAAATGAGTAACAAGTAATTTTTAATATGAACATTTTCCCTGTCAATGGTGAAATTTAATTAGACCATGTCTTGACGACATACGATTATATAGTAGAGTTTGTCGGGTACGAACGGTAATTTCATCAATCGTTATTACATTATAATTTAATTTTCCTTGTTATAGAGGAAATTAGGTTTACCTACCACGTCGAAATGTATAGAAAACAAAGTAGGTCACAGTTATTGAGTAGTTTACAGATATTACGCCCATAATATCGAATTTTAATGTAATTCAAGATTGTGGTGAGCGTTTAAATAGAATAAATTCCAATTTTGAAGTAATCAAATAATGATAGACATGAAAAAATTAGAAATGCATTTAATTGCATTAAGTGAAGTAAATTCTGATAATATCTCGAAAGTTACAGATAATTTTAGCCTTTTGAATAATTATATAATAGGCTTTGGTAGCAATTTTAAAATAGGAAATGAATTTGTGTAGGAAGTGGTGGTATAAAGAAATGGTATCAGATTTAGTTATTCCAACTGCATATAACCGATTTTCGGTGCAGCGAATGTAATTAGGTTAGATCGATAAAGATTCACCTTAAAATTGCCATTTCCCCGACATTTTCGCTCGTTTTTGTCGCGCGCAACTATTTTTAAACGCGAAAAAAATGACCCAATTTAACACACTAATATCGTAACTAAAATAAACTCATTTTATTCGTGTTAATATCAGCCAAAAAATAAATCTATACAGCAATTTACCCACTTATATCAACAAACAACCCCAGTGTTAAAAAAAATTAAAATATTATGGGTTAAACTCGAACAGAACATACACGCACGCACACGCAAACTAATAAAAACACGATATAATAATTTCGCACTTGAAGACTACTGCTACTACTAGTTGGTTGATGCTTGTGACTGGTGACATCAACAGCTGAGTATCATTTTATGGCGGAACTAAGTCTCATCCACCAAAATTTCTAGGAGCCCGAGCCCGAAATAAAACGCCTTCCCGAACTCTCGTAACTCCACAGTTCAGCTGCATGTGCAATGCGGCCTTCAGGACGGTACAGAATGTAATAATAGACGTCGTGCCAAGATTTTTTTACACGTTGTTACTCAAGTCGTAACGTAAAAAATCGGCAGAGGATAGGCATTTATTATAAGGTGGCTGATAAGAAACGGAATCCATGACACTGCTATTATTATAGATGTTACAATTTACCTATTGTAGCCAAAAATTGTTTCCAAATAAACGTTAATATTAAAAAAAATCAAGAACTTTTTACCAAAATTTTATCGCTAAAAATCCAATCGGTTACATACAATAATTCAGGCAAAATACAAGTAAATTTTACCGAAACTAAATTATGTAACGTAGGAAATTTATATTCGGTCACATCAGAGCATAGCAGGAATTGTAACTGAACTTGCCAAAATAACTTTCCTTTAAATTCATCCTCGAGCCGACCTGTGTATTCATCGTGGCCACGAAATTATTGCCAAACAGCACAAGTTAGGAACCCATGCAGCAGGAATACTACTAGTAAGGATGCCCCCGTGCAGTCCTATCGAGTTAAAGATAGATCTGTATAGAATCTAGATCAAATGTTAAGTAACGAAAACCGAAAGAAAAAAAAGGCTTGAAGGTCAATTCTTGGTGAAATCCAGCCATGCTTATGGACTATATGTTGTAACTTAATTAACTAAATTCGAATGTAAGTTAATATGCACTCAGAAATTAATTCAGGTAAATCAGAATTTATTTAATTTCAGGTGGAGATAAGAGCGTTAATATTTTAGTATCTACAATAAATTTATATTTTAATTCCCACTTAAATTACCAAAACAATTAGACAATAAGTTCTTATAGGTCAATAAATATATCTTCAACAATTTCGAACTACAAGTAAGTTCGATTAAGTTTGGTAATGGTCGGATCTAATATAATATAAAAACTTACAAACGCCAAAAGCATGCCCTTTTCACATTAATAAACGATTAACAAGCAACAAAGCGACATGCAAAACCCTCAAATCCCAACGAAAACCCATAAAAATGTAAATAAATTATCTACTGCGACTCACATATTGGTCAGTTCATCCTTGGCAGGTTATCCTAGGGAACTGTACCATTGTAAGGACGTCTCTTTTTGGGTTTTTTTGAACGCGCTATTTCCTCCACAGCACGCTTGCGCCAGCTGGGAAAACAACGGGAAACGGGAGACCCACTGCAGGAGCAGGAATCAGGAATACATCGGCGGCTGCGACATGCAGAATTGGCGTGTAGATGTCGCGCCGGTAGACGAATATTTTTAAATGCATAACGGGAGTTTTGTGTTCGAATATTATGCAATTCGCTTAATTATAGCAAGAACAATTTTGTTATTGGTTGCCTATTGAATCATTACTGACCAGGTGCAGATAGACAATATTTCTTACTCTTGTGACTCTTCTTTCCAAATATCTTCTTGTTATTGGGTAACTCTGTTGAGGTAAATATCTTCTCTTTAAAACTAAATCAATCGTTTCTTCATTAGGTTTAAGAATGGTTTCTTCGTAAAATCTCCTATCAAAATTATCCGTAATGAAATTAACGAATCCTGGAGATTATGACACGTAGGTACTGAGATACCACCAGCTGTGTTCACTGTTTCACAATTCAGAAAACACAGCGTGGACCCCAGTGCCTAAATATCAATAATATTTCGTCCTCATGTTTCTCTTCACTATTTATCAACATTGTATTAACAAAATCGCAAACAAATTTGGTCTTCAAGGTGGTCTCATGAGTAATATTAATAAAGCACTTCATGTATCTTCTTTTTCCTAAAGATTTTTCACTTCTCTTATCAATTTTATGTGGTATTCTATGATACATTTATGGAAAATACATTTGTTCCTTTATAAATCAAATTATCTTCTTATATGTATGTATAGAAAAATTCTTAAAGTATGGTTTTATGACTAAACAATCAACAATCCAACAATTAAAAAAATCCAAGTAATCTTAAAAATACAGCAATAAATCATATTTTAAAAATTAAATATTAATGCGCATAACTATTCTATAGATCCTGCAGTTGATAAATATGCAAAATATACTTTATTTTCACATATTGCAATAACGAATCACGTAAACCTACGGAGTATTTACCTACATCGAAATACTTAATTTATTCTTCGAATTCGGAACGACAACAAACGCGTTAAATAATTTAGCTGATTTAAGGACAAAACAAGCAAAACTGCACAAAGCAATTGCACTCGATAGTTTGATAACAAAATAACGTAACGGGCACAACGATATTCGTCAATACACTGAATAAATAAAAAAAATGATTCTGTTAACGCACGCAGATGTGAAAGCTCTATGCCAAGATCTAAATATATTTACGATCATGTTAAAGGAAAATATGTATTTTTAATTAGGTACTAATGAAACTCAGTTTATTGGTTAGCATCAAATTTTTTGTAGGTAGTTTCATTAAAAATTCTACAATTCGGGACACAAACATATAAATAATTGTGAAAAGTTTAAATCAAAATAGGTCTATTTAGTTTTAATTAAAGAGAATATAGGATGTAAAGCAGAAAAATTATTTTTATTTCTTATACAGTTAAGAAACTACAGTTGAAGAATGTCGATAATTGATTTAGATACGAAACAAATTAATAGAAAATAACGAAACTATTAATTTAACAAATACAATTTTAAATCATCAAAGGTCATTTTATATCGTCGCACCGTTGCTTGATAGAAATTTTAAATCAAATTAAATAGACGAGACCTTGAATTTTACTAAAAAATATTCGAAGAATATATTTATGAGTTGAATTTGTATTTACAATGTTTACTAGATAAAACAGTCGATAAATTTTACAAAAATTGGAATTTATAACATACAGAATATTACATAAGTATCAAGTCGCTAGATTTTAGTAAATACCAGTTATTTCATATAATCGAAAAAATGTAATTAAATTGTACAACACTTGACACAATTCACACAATATGCACGAAACAAATTAAAACAAACCAATTTTCACAATTTCATGTCACTCTGAATTAACGCTTCGTCCTTCAATGCTAGATAACACGCCGATCAAAAATGACAAACGCGAACACAAATAATTTTAAAGGAGACTTTTGGAAAACAATAATAAAAATAACTTACAATCTGCTGGAAGGCTCGTTCGCCGCTTCGTCTCCTTCTATCCTGTACACCTTTCCGGCCATTACGTACTCGAAACTATCCGCCCTGGATCCTTCGTTTTCCAGTCCTTGGGGATTCCAATCCCCGGCATCGGCGTAACCATCTTCTCTTAACGTAGTCGCGAGAACTAGACGAAACTTGTCACCTGCAAAGAAAAATACCGCTTTTAGCATAAAAATTGCCTCGAACAAAAGTTCTTCGATAAAAGTTTGGTAGATTGAACGGGTTAAAAGTTATTGGCAGTGTATTCATTGGAAAGTTCGATATTACGGTAGCAGGGGCCTCTAGTTTAAAATGTAATAAAAGGCTAGTGTATTAGCATTTTTTATTTTCGTCAGCTCTCTGTAATACCTGCTTGGTTATTTGATCGCCGTAGTTAGACCTTGAAATGCGGTTTGTACAAATTCTATGTTTCTATGTTTATCATTATTATTAATTTATGGGCTGCATTAACAAGCTTATTAACGAGAATAGTACATCGCCACTTTCCCTATACAAAATAAATTACTGCAATTAAAAGGACCGTACCAACAGCACCATCACATACCAGGCATAAAAAAAATAATTACCGGATAACAACTTACACAAATAAATCCGAACGGTTCTGGCAATAAAATCGAACCGAAAACGCGCACACCCACGCGAAAACCATTATTTTTTTCGCAAGTACACAAGACGAAACTACCGAGGAAAATCGATGGCAACCACGCGGCCCGCTCACCAAACAAAACACTGACGACAGCAGCACAATTTCCACGACCTTGGGAAAGGAACAGGGTCGAGTAAAGCGAAACGAGGAGGCGGCAGAGCCGCAGCAGCATCGCCCGGCTCTCTCTGACTTCGTGCGCTTTCTTTCTCGCCGATTGTTGCCAACCTGCCGCCCGATGCCTTTATGCGCCGCCTTTCATCCCAACATTTTTACGATATGACGGAAGCGCTAATGGAAAACCGATAAATTTAGCCAGGTTTCCATTTATTACGCCTTATCTGACATAAATTAAAAGCGAACAATGCGTTTTATAAATATAACGAGTCCTGCTTGAAGCTAACTAATCGATTAATTTAAGAATACTATCAACATAATAAACAATAACATCTTAACTAACCGAAATATCTACATAACAAGGAGCGCTAACATTGTCTCCAATCTCCAAATTTCTGATGCTAAAGTTTAGATCTTACTGATCAAGTTTATGTTGCATCAAAGAATTATAAGTTAATTGCTTCCACTTTGAGTCTAGTGGTGCATCCAATTAATCCTCACTTTTATCATTCCGAAATTTTCTTCAAACATTATCTCCAGTGTACCCCGCCTCGATTTTTTGCTCGCGCAAAACCTTCCAGATATCGATTCATTCTCCCTACAATAGGCAACCAAGCCCTTGTAGAAAAATCATACAATTTCTTTGTGACTTCACATCTCTTCCACTCCATCCCCTTTCGAAGCGATTTCGCTTAGGTAGTCGCGTGCAGAGAGACATCTGCGTAATTTTGCATGCCTACCATCAGCGACTACGGCGGAATGGCCGGAATCAGAACCTGCCGGAATCGGACAGAACCAGAACCTGCCGTGACCGGAGTCTCATAAAAAGGCAGCAATGCTAATGCTAGACGATCGACTCATTCATTTTCATGACGCAATTGGCCATGCCCTTGCGCAAGGAGAAGCAGCGTTGCCTAGCTCGGCAGGCCAAATTAATGGGTGGGAAAAGCGTTATTAAAAGACAGAATTCCATTTATAAGCGCCGTGGAAAAAAGATTTATTCGAACGATGAGCGACAGTCAAACTTGAATTTTTGCAGAAGTGGATTCATTGATAAAATACATCAATAGATTTGTAATATTTTGGAACGGGCGATACGCATTTGCAGTCTATTGTAGTTTTAAAACTTGAAGTTTCATCTAAATATTAATGTAAACATTTGTGTTATATGTGTTTATAAAAGCGGGTAGAAAAGAAACACGGTTTATTTAACATGCAATCGGCTGGAAATTGTATGCACATAAATTACGATTTGAACTACGACAATAACCACTATTGTAAATTTTTCTTTCCTAAGTAAGGTACCTACAATTGTATAAATATGGAAATAGCAAACGTATACCAATAAGCAGCTATTATTTTACGAATATTTTTTCAGTATAACGAGCAGCATTTTATTTTGGGTAGTAGATTAGATAATTTTGATTGATAGCTATTTAAAAAATGTATACTTAGCCATTAAATAATTGAACAATTAAATTTTTTAGAGAAATTTCTAATTGTTGAAATGGTGAATTATAAAATACGTATGAATTCATTGAGAAAATAAAAAAAAGCAATTAACTAATTTTTGACTAAAACTTTATGGATATAAAAAACCAAATGAGCATAAAGAAAGGAATTAAATTAAAATCTCACGAGGAACCAATTAGCAATAAAATAAATGCACCGTTTAATTTATGCTCAATTAAGAACGCTTTTTACATACAAAACATATCAAGAATGTCCACTATATTCAACTCACGAGTGGTACGATCAGAGGGTTATATTATTTTTCTAATTAAACAAATATTACATAATTTTTACAAAATATTCTAAAAACCAAATCACCTGATATTTTTCCAACAAAGCCATTCGATAATCGATAATAAAAACCTTGCATGTAATCACACGAAATATCTCGCTCGGTTCGGGATTAAACAATTTCGTCCTTGGCATACGAAACAACATATTAGTCACTCGTATTTTGTAAATAAACAATTCAGATAAAACGATCGACACGGCAAAAAGAATACAATAATTACCTGCGTGGCCAATTCGCCATTCGGCAGGTATTTTTTAATCACGCCGCTCGCGTCCGATATTGCCGGATATGCCACATAATATCGGCCAAACGAACGGCCCGCACTCGCGATAAACACACGCGCCATATTGCAAAAAATGACGTATTTCTATGGCGCATTTGAAATAATTTAAAGTATCTTTATAAAGTACAGGTCGGCACTCACACGCGCTCAAACACACCCGTATTAAAACTTGTTACCAGGCGATAGCAATATTCGTAACGAAGGTGGGACGCTTTTTGCGTAACCGTAACTCTTCTAAAACACATCTAAACATCGCTCATCTTAATATCAATCGAATTAATGGCTGGTTATACAAATATTTTTACGCAAACTCTCTACTATAATGTGGGCACTAAAAATTCAGTTTTAAAAGTACTTTGTAAAGTTACTTTGTTATGGGAATTTTCTTACAACTTGTTAGTTGAGTTCTATCAAGTTTTTGATTATCTGATTTTTGAATTTACTTATTCTAGTGTTTTTTTCGAACTTTGCAGATATTACTCAATGAAATTTAACTATGGTCCTTTGACCTCAAGCATATTTCTATAGAATTACCAACTAAATGATGTAATAGAGTGGTTATTGTGTGGTTTCGTGGAGCATTCTGATAATGCAAATAGCAGAATTATTTAATACAATTATCTTAATTATTTTCTTAGTTATTCTAAATGCTTTAGATGAAAAGCATTTAGTAAAACAAATATTGGAATGATATTTATTATAAAGAGATACCTAGTAAAGAAAGTTTTTAGGAATATTTTTAGTCCTTAACGTAAAACAGATTTTAAAATTATAGTATTTTTATATTTGAAACCCAATTGCAGTTTTGAGATTTTTATATAACATAATAGTGTAGGTAACATTTTCAAAACCCACATATTTACAAAAACGTGGAGTTACACACTCTTTGATACCAAAATCACAAAAATGCCTATTACAGGTACAATATTAGAGCTACACCAATATTGAAATGATGACTTTATTTATATAAGATAACACAAGTACAAAGAAAAGCACTAAGGAAAATTAAAACATTAGTTTTCTCAAAGCTTTTAGGCTATGGAGACCTACATAAATACTGGACAAAAAGGATGATCATCGTCCATCTCTAGCTAGTCAAGTTCGAGACCTTGAATTAACTGAAACGTGGGTCGTCAAGTTTCGCGTTTCGCATGTTTTTAGCGAGTCACCTTGCAGTCTGTGCGTGTTTTTGTCTTTTTTCGTAGGTATGCCTAATTAAAATAGAATAACCAAACGTTATTTAGTACTTACTCAACAAATATCGATAAACGACCTTTTTTTAACAATAAAACCGAATGAGTTATCAATAAATTTGACAGTGACATTCAAACTTTACGATGGACTTTTGATCGCTATTAATTGACATTTTGTTATAGAACGACTTTCGATAAAATTCTGGATTTTAGTCATGAAAACACTTTTATCTTTTGTTTGATCGAATTTATTGTTATCTGTCAAATGAAATTAATAATAGATCCGGCAGATTAATCTCGTGTTTGAGAGACATGTGCATTGTGCAGGTTAACTGCTGGTGACATACATAGGCGATTTGCTAATTGACTTTCAATGCTCTATTATTAGAATAATAATTATCCTACTGGAAATTTATTTAATCCTAATTGATTTCATAACATTCTCAGGACCTCTGGACCTGGACTTGCTTTGTTATTCACATTACTCATACTAAGTTTAACATAATTACCTCAAACTGGCAAAATAGGTACATTGTTTGCGTTCACCGCGAGCAATAAATGCTTGTAATATCAACGATGACGTTACTTCGGTAGATTCCAAATTTGTTTTTTTTTTTAAATTACGGCAACACGGTATCAAAATTGCTGTGCGAAACGCAATGCGCTTGCTCATGTGCCGGATCGGATCCGATCGGTAGCGATCCAGAGGCCTTGGTAATGAACTTGAAAGCACAAACGAGGTCGAGTTCGATATTTTCTCTCGTTCCTTCGCGCTCCGTTTTGCTCGTTATCAATCAGCCTTTTAGAAGGCTACGCAAAAACACTAAGGCTAAGCTCTCGATTGGATCAGTCTGGGATGCTACACGTATCGATGCAAATAGCGAGTTTTAGGTTACATTGAGGTGCATTTTGAATAACAAACTTTCGACCTATCTACCTTGTACTCGCTGATCACATGCGCACAATCTCTATGTTTATAATGCACGTGTTTCTCTATAAATTTCAATTGAATATGTTATAAATGTGCACCGGCAATACAAGTCCAATGAATGCAACAAAAATTATGCATCACTCGAGGTCGCAAGATCCTCATCGTAAATTAATTTTAAAAAATTTAATAGATACCAACTAATTACTTAGGCCAAATGTAATTACGAATATCGAATTATCGATGCATCTACTCGTATAGCATTTTATTTCAGCTCTAATTAGCTTCATAGTCCTATATCGGTATAATTCGCTGCCAATCATCCATATATTATGTATTAACAATTTTTGAATTCCTAGATACTTTTATTTTTATAAATATATGTACATTATTCACCTAGCTTACTGCTTGAACAAAATTTAAAAATTATGTAACATTGAAAGTAAATATCGTCATTGTAAATGCGTATTTTGTGCAGCAATTTATTTTTATTTAGTAGATGTCAAACTCAGAGCAGAGAAAGATGGTCTTAAAATAAATTGATGAGTTTAGCAACGCTATTTCACTTTCTGTTTAAATTCTAGTTTTAAATATACCTCTTTGAGTTAATTATAAAAATTACCCTTTACAGATTTACAAAAAATATTCTACACCAACCATAAAAAACTTAAGGAATTGAAACTAAACGAAATTGAGTACATACCTAACTCCATCGGGTACAACCAGGAATTGATATCCAGAATTAAGTCCATTTTGAACGACTCGCTCTCGCAATGTAGGCGACTCACTGAAATTAATAAAAATAGTTATTTATAGGCCCTGTTTACCATTACAAACTAGCATTAGATTATTAAATATTTGCTAAATCTATAAACTTCCCAAATGAATAATTACTTAGAAGGTAGAGGTTTCATCCAAATCTGTCCATGCTTCTCTTTGTAGGTACCCATGAATTTGATACACAGATAAATTAGCAATGACATCCACCAAATCTAGCATAACAAGATTTTTTCGAAGCAACCACTCCATGGGAAAATTGTTCGAACTATGCGATGCGTGACTCGTTCCGATTTTACAAGCAATTTTAGAGCGATTATATAAATAAAGACGAAGCTGTTCCCATAGACAAAGGGCGTCGTTGGTCGTATCGCATCTCAATCGACCTCCACAATGTTGTCGTATAGAACAGAGAGATTCAGCTGCGTGATCAGCAATGACCGCGCCCACGACTGTGGTGGAAAACGAACTCGATTTTCCTTCCGTTACCCTTGCGCTAGGTCAGGGTTAGGCTTGCTCGTGTAAATAACATGTTCATGGAAATTTCCGTCCGATCGAAGTTGAATCATCGTCGGGACAACAAGGGATATTATAGGTACACATGATTCAACTGGAAGTTTTGCGATGAAGCGGCGAATTGATGTATAATAGGGAAAGTTTGGAAACTCTTATTTTATAACTTAATATGCAGCTGTAATAGGACAATTTTTATTTTTAGACACAAATCGATTTAAAATTTAGTTGTATAGAAGTTCGATAATTCCCAACAACACAATGTTATAGTGAAGAATTGTAAATATATTACTATCATCAAAACTCATTTTTACATAGAATGAAATAATAGGTAATTTATGTGTCAACTTTTTCGTAATAAGTATCTGTAGGTATTTATTGTGTATAAATAAACAAATATAAGAGCTTTGATACACAAAGCTTATCCGTAAAACGTTAATACGATAGCTCGTACATGGTAATTAGTCTTCATTTGGTTTTAGCCGCCTAATTAGAATTTCCTGTCGAGATCGTTTTTATCGACAGTAATCGTACACCTTGGGATGTGTATAACCGATGTTTACTGCTCGGAAAAGATATTTATCAACCGTTTGTTGTTAGTCTATTACGAGAACGTTCCTATAGGAACTTCAGTGGAAAAAAACAAACCTCTCCTCTTGTTTTCAATAATAAAGTGAAATTATCTATTTGAAGGAAAAAAGTATGTGTGTTTCTTTTCACAAGTGAGGTGATTCTGATAAATGCAAGGAAAATAAAGAAAATTGCTAACAGTTGCAAATAACCACAAAATTGGATAATAATGAAGTAATCGTTTTGAAATATTGAGATAAAGAGCTGGATAATTTTCGGTCGATTTCTGATACGTTCAACTAAATTTATTATGATTTATTGAAGATTCCATTGCGAACGCGCAACTAGTTTTAACGAGCAATCGCAAAATATTTCCAATGATTTCGACGTCAGCGACACAAATGAATGCGTTTCCTTGTTTATTAAAAAATTATTTTTCTATTTTTCAATGCACATATCGAACAAAAACGCAAAAATTATAGGTAGAAAAGCAAAACAAAATATATGAAAACTAGCGTGTAAATTAAGCCTACACGAATCCTCCGTGATGTATGATAGAAGAAACTTGTATATCCAAGTAACTAGAGGACTTACCTTGTCAAGTTCACGGACGCCACACATAAAACGGAACGTCGACGAAGGCCGTCGTCGTCGTCGTCGTCAGCCGGCATTTTTTATGTTGCTATATCGTTCGCGATAACCAGGTTAAACGGCGAATAATTCGAAGCGAAAAAACGAATCCGATTTCGTAAATAACATCGAATGTTATGATTCTTCTGGCGAGTTAAACACAGGATGAAATGTTTGTTAAAAGCAAATTACCGACAGTGGTGTAACAACGCACGGCCGCGGAGGTAACGCGGGGACAGGGGAAGCTTTAATTCGAATGCGCAATTTCCCCACCACGGAGCCTTCCAACACCATGGAGATTCCACCGGCTGACGAAAAATCTATAGCGATGTTGCCGAAATTTATTGGAATTTAGCAAATGTTGCGATTTTACGGTATGGCTGCATAATTCAGTTCTGTCACAATACTGCTCGTAATTATTTATCAACATTTATACAATAAAATACTCGAAAACTACCTAGTTTTAATTGTTTTGTATTATGATGCTTTATAAACGAAAACTGCCTAGATAATGCTCTTAAAACGAGAAATCATAAAGTCATAAAACACTTGCCAGATTCGGTTAAAATTAAACATTTAAATCATTCCCGATTTGCTGAATAGGTAAGTAAATAAATTATTTTTTGGAATTATTTTTCTACATCAGGCCAAGATGTAAATACCGTACACCTTTGGCAAATACCGAGCCGTAAGCTTGGCCTATTTTCTAATGCACTATATTAAGAGGACTAATAATAACCGACTATCAAAATCGATGCCAAGTCCAAAATGGAATAAAACCTTAACAACCGAAAATAAACGATTACCTAAGTTTTAGATAAATCGAAATTTTCAACATTCCTAACAATCTCGGCTATTTTTCGTTATGAATCTTAAATAGTGCAAGATTTTAATTTTTATTACACCGTGTTAATAATTTTAATATGACAAAAAGTATGACCTTATTTGTGATATTAGCAAGGCGCAAATGTTAAATTACATATGTTAAGAATTCCTACAGGCGTATCTAATACGTTATAATTATTTTGCACAATTTTATTGCCTGCAAATACTAAAATAATGTCAACACATAATCTAATATCAAATACTGCATCGGTTTGTTTAAATATGCACTATTAATTTAAGGTAAGTACGTAACGAATGCATGTTTATTTGTTGTTCATTGTGTATCCAATATAATTATTTTTCAAAATGGACTGGGAATTGTAACTGTCTAATTTTACTCTGACTCTATAAATTTTAATAAGGGTAACTAATACAAATATCACCTCAAATAAAATTAAATGCGATATCATTCCAATTACAAATAAAAACACAGAAAATCGTAGGTAGTATGCAATCTATATAAATTTATCATTAATATTTTCTTTTAAATTATTCAATAATGTTTTGCAAACGAAATGAATTAATGCATTAATAACGCTGCGTTAACGGTCGAGTCAGAACAGAAAATTAATCGTTATTATGCAAATCGGAGACCAATGTTTATTTATACACCATTTAAGTGTGACCTATATTTCATAATCTTGGGACATTAAAGTGCAAGACGATTTGACAACAACGCGCCCTGCCCTAGGACCTAGGAAGCGCAGAGAGTACGTCATGTGACCTAGACCCGATGGCCTTGACCGTCACTGTTTCCACCACATCTAGCTGGATCGATCGTTGATTACATGGCGAAGACCGAGGATGCGCGCCCGAATCCAATAGGAGCTTCGGGAACATTTTTTGGAATGGGTTTTACCTTTTTTTATAGATTGTAAATATCATTGCTAGGGCATTGCAACGAGGGAGGGTTGGTTATCGATGAAACAACGCAAAAAATTGATGTGACTTATAATATACTCCAAATTTATAAAAATGAAGTAATAGGTAGAAGCAAAAGGTAAGAGGAAAAGGCTTTAAAACCTTAAACAAAGGTTTTAAAACCATAAAATCATTTGCTTTAAAGCTACAGCAGGGTCCTTGAAGCAAAACCTCTTCCTTCACTTATTTTTAAGTATATACCTTGAAGCAATTCCTTCATTTTTTGAAAGCAAAAGGTTGTGCTTCTTTTTATAAATACGGCCTAATATCTGGAATAGTGGCTTAGGAAATTAAGAAATTATTTATTGATATAATATCTAATAGTTCGTAATTTACTGTTTAATGTTTTCTAAAAGCCAAAAAGGTAAATTGACTGAATATGTCTAAATATGTAGTTAATCCAAATTTATTAGAATTTATTAGAGTTTATCCAAATTTATAAAGTAATCTTCTGCCATCGGGGTACAGCAAGGTATACAGGTTAATTCATTTTAGTTTGCAATATAGGTTATACAATAGGCTGTGAGTGCGATAAAGACAAATTCCATTTAGACACTTATAAAGGAAATAGATAGAGTCAACTGTCATTTTAGTATTATCTTCTTGATGGAAATGACCACATTGCAAACTGGAATGAACCAAGGTGTATAGTACTTTCGATTGGAAAAACTATAGGTATACTGGTACTGGTAGAGAAATATAACCCAATATGATATTCATAATTAAAACATTATATAAATTATTTAAAAATTACCTCAATTTTATATAACTATCATCAAAAATTATGATATCGTTCATCACTACGAACAAATTATTTATCGCATCCTTATGTTATTCCAACATGTTTGAGGTGCAAACGAAAACAACTAATAATACATATTACTAATATTGTCGATAATGATAGCTTAACACAACCTACTTTATGATAGAAAAACATGGTAATGAATGTTACTTAAGGGTATCTTACATAGGAAGTTCGGGGTAAATTATTTGGCAATTATACATTGTACAAATTATGTACTTGATAGATTAGTATGAAAATGGGTTGATGCAAAGTTAAATCTTTGAATGTATACAACTGCTAAACAAAATGTGTATAACAACAAAACACTTGTGAGGCTCGTATTACGATTTAAACCTGATAAACGATGCTTTTCGTATCAATTTATAAAAATGGTAACTGTCTATAGACAGTCAATTACTGAATCATTTTTATACCTTAATAACGTATATTAACTGGTCTAATTGTAACAATACTTTTTTCACATGAAGGAAATTCTAGAAACAAATAAACTTAACCTAAAACGTAAATTAACATGTTACCTCTATCAAATTTCTTTCCTTCGGGGTCGATATCTTTGACATTGAATATATCTTCAAAGAGAACACCGGCCATTTTACTGCTAAATAAATTAAGAACGTTCAATACTTTTAAATTAAACAAAATTGGAAACGAAAATTTAAATCACTGACGTTGATTTTTTTAGGTTATGTTCTTCTTTATTTTGACATATTAAAAATGTCTGGTCTTTAATAATAGTATACACTAGTTACTTATTATATCGAAATTAATTACGACAATAAGCAACCAAATTTGCACTGTTGATGTTTATCAATTTAATTAAAATACGCATTGCTAAAAAAGTAATTATTTTTATTAATATAATAGACAGATAAACACATAGTTTTACGTTATTAAATAAAGATTGATGAATTGTGGAATGGATACGTGGCACACATATACATTATTAAAATAATTAAAATTTATATAATTCAAAATTAGTACCATACATAATTGCTTATATTTTTCATGGCTTCCTTTGTTTTTATATCATTAAAAAAATACATGCACATGTACGTTCCTAATATAGAACGATCCAACTATTTTAAAAATAACACAATCAATACATCAGTTAATATTTAACATTTAGGTTCTTTTGATCTTGTATATGGGTAAGTGTATATTTGTTTGCAATATGGTCAATTCTATGAGTTGAACAAGGAAAGATTATTAAAATAACAGTGATAAAGTAACAGTTAGAGTGAGAAAATTGCAATCCCACAATATACCACTCTTTCTTTTTTCTTTATATGAGACGAATTGCGAACTGATTTGAACTTATCTAAAAATATTTGTCTCAGTAATCATATAATAGTAATCAGATCACTTATTTAATAGGAAAATATTAATAAGAAACTCATAAAAAATAGATGGTGTGCGTGATAACAAAAGTTAAAATTATAAAAATAACAAATACGTCACTTCTGTATAAAACATAACAAACAAAACATACAATAAAAAATCAGAAAATGCCTAAAAAAACATAGACAAATTAAAATAAAACATGAGAATACAGAACAAATAATACTAAAATCTCTAAATCAACGAATTGATTTATGAATTGCATTCTAAGAAATCGCCTATAAAATACAAGTACGCTATTAGTTAATAAGAGTATTAATAAAATCAGATTTTGTAACTATTTAAACCTTTCTGCTAATCAGTATACGCCTATATAGTGAATCTGTTCGAAGCAGAGATCAATTCACTCACAACCATCTATTGTCATTTTTTTTCAGTGTATCTTCCTACCAAACCGGAAAAACTCCCAATCTCAAAATACTATAAAAATGCAGATAAAATACTTTTCAGCGTCACCTAACCTATACGACATCAATCTGATTACTCCAAAAACGCTTTCCAATCGAACCTCTGGTTATTCGAATGGGTCATGGGCAAAATAGGCGGCTCGACGATTTCCCATTTCCCGTTTCTATTCGACATTTCCAAAAGGCCGCAATACGGCACTTTCTGGATCAGTTTGATCATGTCGTTCGGACTTTTTATCCTGTTCCCAACCAATTCGTGCGAGCACGTATCCAACGTTGCCGAATGTCCTATGACCAGCACGTTGCCTGAACTATGAGCTAAAAGGGCACCTGCAAATTTTATAAAACTTAGTTTTGTTCACTACTAGGACTACTCACGGGACGTGTAGCAATCAGAGCACACTTATACCGACTTATAACTTCCATGCTAGGAGGCTCAAGAGGACAATATACATATAATAGGCCGTATTTATAAAAATAAGAATAACCTTTCGCTTTTAAAAAATGAAGGGATTGCTTCAAGGTTGATACATAAAAATAAGTGAAGGAAGAAAGAGTTTGCTTCGAGGACCATGATGTTGCTTTAAAGCAAAAGATTTTATGTTTTCCGTAAAAGAAACATTTGCTTGCTAAAAAGAAAAGGATTTGCTTGTAAAAATGGAATCTAGGTTCATAGCAACTTTTCAATCTATTATTTAGAACTGTTTAAAATCATTTAGAACCATTTAGAACATTGAGGAATCATTTAGAATTGGCTAGATTATCTAGAACACTCCAGAACCATTTAGAATTGGCTAGATCAATCAAGAACGCTTCAGAATCACTTAGAACTGTTTAGAACCATTTAGACTAGTTTGACGAAATCGCTAACCTCTGTATCATTTACTTTATTTATCCGAAGCGTTTCCTTGCAAGGAAAAGGCGGATATTGTAAATATGAATCAGAGCAAAATCTATTCCTCTTACGTTTTACTTCAAACTAAATGGTTCATTTTTATAAATAAATGGACTATTATGGACTACTACACACCAGCATATGCAGGTACAAAACCTCGGGCAGACCTGGTTTTAGATCCCAAAGATCTAGGACACAACAAGGCCGTTTGGGACTACAGACGATCCTATGATCTATACCTAGACCATAGCACCTAGATATGTCCTAGATTCTAGGTCCTTTATCGGTCATTCTAGGTTCTTCACAGGTCCTAGATTCAAGGATCCAGCAAGCAACAACAAATTTTGTTCAAACACAAATTTAACCAACTTACTTCTCGTAACGATGGCGCTTCTGAGAAAGAACTGCTCGCAGCTCTCTTTGCCCTTCCTAATTTCGTTTTCATCGACGAAAGGCCTGTAGGACTCGTCCACGTTGTATCCTCCGCGTTGCAATTCGGCCAAAGTCATCCAATCGGGCACGCCGTCCGCATACCACACGTTCCATTCGAACAAGCCCGGCTCGATTTTGATTTTAATTCGATCCTTCATGCCCAGTCCGGTGAGAAAGGCGTCGCAGGTTTGGACGCAACGGAACGAAGGTGAACAGTACGCGTGATCTATGTCGATGTTTTTCTCCTTAAACGACTCGCCTATCTGCAAACATTGCAAGCGGTATTGTTTGTGTAAATGTTATGAGGAACCGTAGGTACCGTTTGGGCTTGGAATAATCCTAGTACGGTTAGCGGGGAGTCCTTTAAGTACCCCTGGGCCCCGTCGCTTCGGTGCGGCAGCGATTTCGGCATGTTCAGGTCCTTCCTGTCGAATTTTCCGGAATCGTCGAAACAATACGGTACCCAACTGCCGAACGTGAAATCGATTCTCTCGCCGTGTCTCATCACGAAGATTCTACGCGACTGGTCGTCTTTATCACCCTAAGACAAAAACTGTCATTTATACAGGGTGTTTCATAATGACATGCTAATATTTAAGAGGGTGATTCCTGGGCCTATTTTAAGGAAAAAACTTTATATGAACCTCTGTTCTAAACGTCTTAACTTTTGGGATACAGAGTGGTAATATTTCCAGAAAAAAAAAATCTTTTTTACAATAACTGTGATACTATTGTAGATATCTTTATAAAATTTGGCAGACGTCTTCTATGAATCAAGATGCATTCATATGAAGTTTTTTTCTTAAAATGGGTCCAAGAATCACCCGGGTTGAAATTAGCTTACTTTAACATCAAATTTTTAGGTATTTAAAATTTTGTTTTAATACAACTGAAACTCAAGAAGCATACTTCAGAACACCCTTCAGAACACCCTGTATTACCGAAATTTTAAATCGAACAATAAAAAATACGCACAAAATTAAAGCCTGAACAGTGAGAAAAGGACAATAAAACGTTACACTTACATTATCTCCTGCCGATGTTGCCTGCAACTCCCGAAAATTTTCGTACAAATTTCCCTCCTCGAGTACGGGATTTTCATCGTTAATTTTCGGCGGCACTGGCGGAGAAATCACGTCCAGATTCAACGCCGATGGTTCTTTATTGGCGTCGTTCGTATGCTGAGGCATTTTCTTATCTTCCGTAGGGGTAGACTTATTTAAAAATATCTAAATAAAAAAATACAATCGTCTAGAATGTTTATCGCGCGGAACAGCTAACGCACTGACCTTTTTGTGGAGGGTCCAAGCGTCCGATTCGGCCGTTCTTTCCGTATAGGATAGAGGCAGGAGTCCCGATTGGCCCGTCAGCCAAGAAGTACCTTCGACCCAACCGTCCAGGGAATTAATGACGGCCTCCGAATTGACGAAAACGTAATCGCCGGTTCTAAGGTCAAGTTCGTCCGATTCTACGGGCGCGTACGCATGAACCACCTTAAATTAAAGCAAATATACAATTGACGATTATGAATACAAAGATTTTATAAGAGTCCTTAGCCCGCATCATGTGATTAATCGTTATAGAATCGATACAAATAGAAATTTGTGGGTTAATTAAAGGAGATTGTTCACACATAAGTTATACATAATTGCAGTAAAAGAAACCAATGGCGTAAATAGTATTTTTTTCAATAAAAATAATATTAAATATGTACCTAATTTCTCCTCAATTAATTAAGCTCCAACTCCTTATTGGATCAGGCAAACGCTTTATGATTAATAGAAAATAAGAGAAACATAAAAGTTACTCTCAATATCAGTGTCGGATTTTGTATTTATAAGCACAGGTTAGAGTTAGAGCAAATATACTTGGAGATAAAAAATATTTAATATACCTATTCAAAATTTGATTAGCTTATTTGCTTCTCATTTTTTATCATAGGTATATGATAATAAAAACAGAAAAACAATATGACTTTAGATTAGAGAAGTTCATGGACTCAAACAATTTAAAAAAAATGATAAGGAATACGTATTAGATGTAAAGAAAAGTAATTAATTCTAAGATATAAACACTTTGTTTCTTTGTGTTTTTCAAAGATGAGAAACAACATTTGGTAGCTTTGAATATTTTTTTAAAAATAAATCAAATAAGGGTCGAAAAGGGACAATCTACCTGACTACACAAAGAGAAATGTGGAAATTCGAATAATGCCTACATCGAATTTTAACAATTAAGGAACACTATCATATTTATTGGGTTTATTATTTTTTTTAAAAACGTTTAAATTATTAAAAAAAGCTAATTTAAGCTGCCCGTGAACTTGAACTAACTTCACACTTATATCGAACATTACCATAAATTACATCATACCTTAATAACTTACCTATTAAACACGCCGAGTGTATAAAATTAAATAAACACCGTACTTAATAACTGATGTAACGAAAAATGTACATAATAAAAAAATCAAACGCTAACCTGCCTACAAGAAACGTTGGGTTTGATAATTTTATCCCTTCTCAGTAGCGTATTTTTAAACGTTGCCTTAACTTTTTCACGAATCAACTGCAAGCAATTCAGTCTTGTAAGCGTTGAAACGCCGATATATGCCATTGTAAGCTAGCGCTACTGGTAAAAGAGCCGCAATGTTCTAGAAACGATCGTGTGTGTATATTTAGGATCGGGTACCTAATACACGCGTCTCTACGACACTGTTTAACAGGATGTGTCGCGCCGAGAGGGCGTGAAAGATAAGGGCGCAGTCGAATCTTAAGCCGTGGGAATGTTGTTTCATTCGAGAAAAATTATCAATCTCACCTTGTGGATTTGCTTCCCGTTGATTCTCGGATCCCTGGAATACAATCTTAATTCCCATCCGCCCGAAGCGACCGGGTCCAGCTCCTCGATTAGAGACTTTAAATTGGAGTATTGAGAATTCGGAAATTGATAGGCTAATGTTAGATGAAGGGATTTTACATGTGGTTCCAAACTTATGGCTGAAACAACATAAGTCTGTTATGCAACACCTAAAATGTAATTGTTTCTAATGAATACACACATTAAGCATTTTTATCTTGTACATGGTGCAAATGGGAATTAGAGGAATCACCAGGAATGTTCAAATTAAATAGTTTATGATTTTCTGTTCATTGGGGCTGTGGAAAAGTTTGGAAGTAATTTTTTATAGGGATTCTTAGCTTATAAGGCATTATCAGGATAAATGAACCATTTTAAAATACAACATTCAACATAGACGACACAAAGAAACATTTAGAAGTAGCTGAAATAATAATATGATAACTGAACATTTACTGGCTATTACCGCAAATAAATAAAATATACACATGCTTTGCGAAATTAACAAGCAGTAATAAAAAAGCGGACAGTCAATATTCATGAATTTTTGGGCTTACATCGACTTCCTCTAGGTATACACCTTGCTGTAGTTGTTGTGCACCAAGGGAAACAAGCTGTCAATGCATCGAAGTGCTCGTACGTATCACTGATAACTATAATAATAGACCCCGTTTTTATTCAGCTCGATTTATACGTGTTTATTGGAAAAATAGAATTGTTTAGGCGATGTAATTGCTGTTTATATTATAAAGTTTACTGTAAACACTTAATTGTTTAACAAAATAGATTCTTGTAAATGTATACATTGAGAAATATGAGCTACTGTACTATAAGAAATATTTGTGATATTACAATCATTGTCTTCGTTCTATCAATTAAAATCCAATATTCTTCCATAGATTAGTAGTATCAATAAACCTTCATAATAATTTACTACTTTTCCTCTAGATACATACATCCTTAAAATAAGTAAGCTCTTTCTTATACTAATATTTGCTACCTAAGATCTCTGATTACAAGTACAAAGCCAATATTTGATAATTGTTTTAAAATATGTAAATTTCTTACGCAAATATCACATCTGGCTATAAAATTTATATTATTATTAAGGAGGAGAACATTAATTGTTTTTTCCCACTCCCAATCCTCCTGAATTTATTATACTTACTGGCATTTGACACTTCTTTAACATACTGCATAGCAATACGTTTCAAGTAATCAGCGTGCTCTTCAGTTACAAAGAAACCCATAAAGTTCGGCGATATATAGGTTTCTAATTTTAAGGGCTCGTTTAATACAGCACCTTGCTTTTCCATCACAGACTTTAAGCCTTGAGCTAATGTTAAGGCATCATCATCGGGTGCCTACAAAAGATGCTTTTATTGCTTAATTACGTTATATTTTTAGATTCAATTAGGTACCTTAAAAAAGGAGACTAATGTTATGTGTGGGGTGAAATTATGAGCCCCGTTCCATCCGCAAAGCGCTAAGGATTTTTCCCAATAGGTCTGAAGTTGCGTAGCGAAGGTTCCCACAGGGCAAGCGTATAAAATGTATTCCCTAGGAGAAGTGTCGTCCAATAATGGATCGTTTACGTGGGCTAGTAACCAATCTGAAGCTAGTTGAACACCCCTATGACCCGTTGCTGCCAGAGCTTTCTCGCTATAATAACAAAATCAGTGAAATGAAAATGAATATGCAGTATAATTTTATTAGTAATTAGGTAATTCATTTCTTCTTAAAATTGGATCTACTTACGCTCTATGTTTTGGAAAACCCATTTGTAAAAGTGTTTGTAAAGGCGTTAAATGTTGTTTTGAAATTTTTGTAGGTGTCGGATTTCTTCTCGGTGGTAAAGCAGCCATTATGAATTTTATAAACAATTTGGGAAATGTTAACTTTCTGTTATTTATTAATTGTATCAATTTATCTAATGTTTACAAACACTAACCCCTGACCTTTGAGATGTCAATAGTGACATTTAATTTGAGTGACAATTTTTTTCTTCTTTATTTACATTTATGGCCTGCATCTTGTTGCGTATACTGCCAACACCTACTGTCCTGCTCCTGTTTCAAGTTTCAAGTTTCAATGAAACTATCAAATCAATTTAATAGGCTAAAAAAATAATGTACAAACATTATAAAACTTTTGTTAAGTACATCTTTTATTGTAGATTGTAATTAAGCGTAAGTTGTTGGAAAAAACCCGTCTAATCGGCAATTAGCCGATTCCAAAATTTGAGTGTTTTTAATGGAATCAATTAAGTAAACTACCAATTATTAACAATTTCGAACGATTTTGTTGTTTAACCTTTAATCATTCAATTAATAGGTACCCATAGAGAAAGAAAGATGTCTCTTTTATTTTGTCTATGTAGGTACCTAAACGTATAAGTGGTTTCATATAGTTAGACCCATTTGAATTGCTTTTAGGTCTAATTTGATGTACAGATAAGTGCATATTGTTGAAGATAAGTGTTGCAACATGGTCAAATTTATGAGTTAAACAAAGAAAGATTGTTAAAATCACAGTGGTTAGAGTGAGAAAGCTGCTATCCCAAAATATGACTTTCTTTATCCTTTATATGGAAGCTGATGTCTTTGTTGCACCCTTAGCCTATATTGCAAACAATAACTTTGCACTTACCTGTATGTAAAATACCTGTATGTAAAATAATTAAAAAAAACACAAATAATCAATGAGCAAGAACTTTAATAATAATCTATCAACGTCAATTTACAAAATTATCAAAAATTTTTGATTTAGTGTTTGACCACAGACCACTAACCTCTGGATTGGTGAACTCTGGGTTTGACGTATCGTTTGAACAGAGCCAAAAACTCTTGGTCATTGAAGTCATCTTCATGTTGATGGCAGTATTCGAGGAGGACTTTGTTCCTGACTCTGAACTCGTCATCGGGATCAAATTTCTCCTGAATCTCCCGCCAGATCGCTGCATGGTTACTGATTAGGTAATCGATAGCTTTGAAAGCTCCGATTTTCTGTCTGTCGGTGCAGAGCTTGCAGTCGTTGTCGATGGCTTCAGGAAGCTTTGCTATAAAAAAATATGTAATAAAAATAATAGAACTAAGAATAAGAGGAACTGAGAATAAGGGCACTGAGAATAATAGAATTGGGAAAAAGAGAACTGAGAATGATGATACCAAAATAAAACTAGGATGAAGGTTTATTAGTTGATATTATTTACACTGTGTTGTGGATATAGACGACAGCTGGGGATCTTAGAAATGGAAACTATAAGAGAACTATACTGAAAACTGAGAAATATACTATGAGGACGATATTATGAGGCTGGAAGGATATTATACAGGTGCAAGGTTATGAATATACATTTTTGTTTTCGGGATATTTTTATAAAAAAGAGAATTTTTAGTGAAAAACTGAAAGCACTAAAAGTTTCGATTTTGCAGACCATCATCAATGTTATTTAATTATTCTCCTAATTTTTCGAATTTTGGAAGATCTCTTCATCTCAAATTCATGAAATCCTTTTATAATTACCGATAAAATAAATAATCAATGAATTTATAAAAAGTACCCTATTTTAAAAATGATTGTAACTCACCCTTTAAGTACGTTCCTTCGTTATTGCAAACAGCCCTCGCCTTACTCATAAGGCAACCGATGTACACATTCAACAGCCTGGTGTTTTTCAAAATTTTGTCCAAATCGATGTTATCGTACCTGGTGGTATATAGCTTTTCGGCAGCAACAACGCTGATTAAAATGCACAAAATTAAGTATTTCATTTTGGTTTGTTCACGTGAAAGGTATTTCAAATGATGGCTGAATTGGCTTTGCGCTTTCGGTTTTATACTCAAAACCCAAAGCCCCTGAATGTGCCTGCTGATCGTTATTTAATGTTTCCAATGAAATATAATTAGAACCAGACGGACCAGTAATTATCGATTGTTTGCCTGTAAGCCGGTATTTTTCTTAATATCGGAATGGAAGGAAAATATTTTGAGGTGTCCACTAAAAATGGACTAAATAAATATTTACACCATGCGGAAAATAATACTAAAATTTAAACGTTTTGCTTTTTTATTTATTTAGGTAACACATTTAAGTAACAGCTCAAATATCAAGAAGTAATCTTGCTTTGACCGGGATTAGGAAATTATATTTCGATTCCTTCTGCTTTGAGTTCGTCCGCGAACGTTTTCTTGTAGATGCCCTCCGGATCGTAGACAGCCTCCAGTTCTTTCCACATGTCCTTCTTATTCTTCAGCATGTACCGAATCATCTTCTTGGCTCCGTTCTTTTGGCTTTCGCTGCACTTGGCGCATTTGGTCTTTAGCGCGTCGGGAAGGATTGCTGGAATTAAAGAAAATTAAGAAAATCGAGATTAGATAAAATTAGATTAGAATATTGATAAATATTTTTCTCTCTATCGATGAATATTAAAATGCATTTACATTGAAAATATGGAATAAATAATTTTCCATAGATTTCATGGTCAGAAGATTAAAGTAAGAATTGTTGACCAAGGTAATGGATATTTAATGCGATAAAAAATATTGAAATAATCACTTTGACCACTTTGACGAACATTTTTTACTATTATTTTATAATATTTCAAATGTCTCCTTTTATTAATATATGTAAATGCAGTGCGATTTATTGGCAAAATACTTTGGCAAAATAAATATAACATAAACATTGTTTTTAGCTATCCATATTCTGATAATTCTGATTCTTTTTTATTACAATTGTAACATTAATTTGTACTTTAACTTTAATTTTAATTACGCCAAAATAATATACAGTGTGTCCCTGGATGGAGTTGGTAAGAGGAAAGAAATCGTTATTTTTTATTTATAAAAAGTTCTATTTGTCGATAAAATAAGTTTGCCATATTAAAATCTAGAATCTGATGTACATGGTGTCGCTGTATTATAAAAATATGGTGTAAAATAAATAATCAAGCTTTTTACTGCAATTTCATGTTTTCCTTATTAACCCTTCCTTATTCGTTATAATAGCTCCATCCAGGGACACACTGTATATGCCTTTTAAAAGTAGAAAGCTAGCTAGTACAATAGATATGTTATCAATAATATATCTTCGTCTTTACCCATCTAATTATCAGTTGGGATTAGTATTGTCTGCTGCTACATACAATGTGCAATTCAGCTATCATTAGCAAAATTATTCTTAACAGCAGTCTGGGATATTTCTTAAATGACCACACTGTTACTCTCTAAATGTACTCGGCTTAAACCCTTCGATAATTTACATTATTTAAAGGACCTCTTCAAATTTGATAAATTTAAAAGTATAAATAAAGTTTTTATAAATTATTTTTTATTCACAAAAATTATATTTGCCTATGGATAATTCCAATTATTACTGAAGGTCTATTATGTTATCAATTTTAAGTACATCTAAATGTTAGTGTTTAACAAGTATTTATATTTTTTTTCAATGTCCAAAGGTGATTTTTAGCGATCAACCATGATACAATAATAGCTTTTAATTAGTATATTTAATGGAATATGTAAAAACATTGCAGTAATTAACGGAAAAATCATAAATATTGAATTCAATTTCTAAAACTTCGGACTTCTGAGGAATTAGTAAATATTGGCCCGTATTCAGCGCCCTACTTTAACTTTACAGTGATTCTAAAGTCGCGTCTTTAACTTGACAGTTGTACATTGTTGTTATGGAGTAACTATAGGGACTATAGCCGGAACTTTAGAGTCACGCTAAAGTTGTAGTGAGGCGCTGATTCAATGCTTGTAGGGTCTTATTACCCAATGATTTCTTTGATCAATAATGACAATAATAGTCTAGTAGGACTATTATTTTTGGTTGATGATATGGAATAATGTTTTAAACCAATTGGTTTAGTTAGAGCGTCGTACCTTTTAAGGTTTCTCCCTCTTTGGTGCAACCTTTCCTATCCATTAGGCAATCAACGTAATTCTTCAACAATCTATCACTTTTAATAATAGCATCCAAATCGATGTTATCGTATTTGGTGGTGTATTTGTCTTCGGCCGGTTTAGCCGAAACAATAGCTACCAAAACAACAGCACAAAAAATTATAGCCGCCTTCATTTTTGCGATAGTTTACACGAGTTTGCAATTACTTTGACTAATGTAACACCTTCGTTTTATTCCTGTATTTATATGCGAAAAACGTACAGATGGACCTCGGCATCGTGTGTCATCCTTTACCATTAGTGTTAAATGGTTTTAGTGGTAGGGGGAGAGGATGTAAAATTAATTTTATCGTTTATCTGCAGAATGTATAGTAAATTTTATCGGCGACGTATGCCTATACAGAAAAAGTCCATCCTTCCACTTTTGTGAATCAAGGTGAGTCGTGTTAATCGTGTAGAGTCGCCAAGTGTTTGTCAAATATTTTGGGAAATAACATCAAACGATATTGACGTAGTTTTTACGATCTTCGGTATTTTTTTATTCGTATTACCAAGAATTCTATATGGTGATAATTATTAGCCGTAGAAAAATTGGTAATAATAATGACATGGTAGGAATTTTTTATTATTTTTCATTCCACCAGGCAGTTATCTATTTTTACAGTTAATCATAGCTAATTCTCCAGTCCTGGTCATTTCGTTATAAAACAGTACGTATTTTATGAACAATAAGCACCCCAACCTTTGTACTATTATATCACACTGAATACGGCATAATATTCAGTACAAAAGTTTTCAAGACAATCCTTCAATTAGAACAAATTCATTTTCATAATTATTTATTAAGTACTATGTTCTGGTTGAAAGAAATTGTTACACTTACCTCTGGCTCACCCTGTATAATGATAGGTGTGATAATTAATTTTAGGACAACATAAATTTATTCCTAACAAAATTTAAAATCTTTTGAGTACTTCCTTATTATTTGCTCCAAGAACATTTAAGTTTACTTATTTTCTGAGAACCAATTTGAATTCGTGTACTTGGTACATTGAATAAACAATGTGTGGGTTTTTACAATTGTACAATTGCGATCGCTTAATTTCTTTGAACAACAAAACTAAAACCTTATAAACATTTACCCTGTATAATAATTTATTTCTTTATTAATTTTATTAATTAATAATATTGCATTGTTAGTTAAATGATGTACAAAAGGGGATTATAATGATAGCATTTATAGTACTACCTGTATAGGTATATTCCAATTTGTCTATTCTCATTAAAATTCGCTACAAGTATCTTAATGTTTTTGTACATGTATGTTCACAGCCAAATATGGCAAAAGAGCGCTTTTATTTCAACAATTTATTTGATTAATTTGCTAATATAAATTCATACTGTCTGAAATAATTTGCTGGTAGTTTTTTGTTTATTCCATAAGTGTCCTTTATTTGGCGAACATAAAATTATTTCGAATTTTGAGTCATAATTAATTTTCAACGGAAAATAAATTCATTATAGAAAGTCATTGGTTTTTCTTGGAACGGATAATTAAAAATGGCAATTAAGTAAATGTGTAAAATTAATACAGATATTTTCTCCGGTTTGTTTTTTACCAGACGAAGATAATGAAAATTTTATGATTTTAAACATCTTAGGTAATAAAAATATTGTCAAGCGGGTAATTCGAAATTCAATAGACGTTTTAATAAATAAAAATTCGATTAGATTAATGGCAAAGTATTAAAATTTATGGATATTAATTCTTAGAGTATTTTTGTGGATTTTAGGAAGGTACAAGCAAATAAAATGATATTTGCTTAATTTAATGGATAAATTGGTCGAAATATCATTCATTCAACGACAGTAAATATTATTTTAAATTTACATAACAGTCAGTGACGATAGTAAAGAGTAATAAATCATTAAAAAAATAATTTTTAATATTTCTCGACACTACCTACATAATTACTAATTTTTCCATTAATTATAGGTATATTTAGATATGTTTATTTCTTGTAATAAACGGATCATTATTTTGTATTAAATAATAATTAGGAATTATAAAAAAACGTGGATATGTAAGATAATTTGCCACGTAAGCGATCATTGCATTTATTTTTAAATTATCTTCAAATTCGTAAAAAAATGAATAAAAAGTGTCCAAAATATTGCTAATATATTCCAACCTTCATACATTGATTATGTTGTTTCATTATATGTGTCTATTAGCGACATTAAAAAAACCATCTTATAACATTTTGTCGAGGCATTTTACAAGAAACTTGTATATAGTATAACTCTAGCCATCAATATTTTCAAACAATACACAAAAATAAAGCACAAATGGGTTAATATAATAACTTTATATACTTTTCAACAATTACAAACATCTAATTAAAATAATAACTTTTCTATCACAAAGGGGAAAAAAGCATCTCTCAATGATTAAATAGTTCCATTAGGCATCTATCTATATTTTTTCTTTAATTTTAAGTAGATACTCAATTCTTCGAGTCCTTTATTTCCTTTTCGTATTTCGCCTTGTAGGTTCCATCCTTATCATAAATGGCTTCTAAGTCACTGTACCATTCCGATTTGTTATCAATGAGATGCCTGATGATTTTCTTACTTCCTTTCTTCTGAACTTCGCTGCATTTGGAGCAATCGGTTTGCAGGGCGTCCGGAAGCACTCCTGAAAAACAGGTTTATTTTCTTAAAAATGCAGAACTCAATACTTTTGTACAGATCGATAGGAATAACTAAAGACATAAGATGCGCGAATGTAGATCAAAGAATCCAACTGAGCTCCTTATGTGCTTTTACCGTGATTTTTTTAAATTGACTGGGTACTTACTTTTCAATTCAGCTGCATCGGTGGTGCATTTTCCCGTGTTTAGCAGACATTTGACGTAATTCAGCAGCAATCGGTCACTTTTGATAATCGTATCGACGTCGACGTTGTCGTATTTAGTCGTGTATTTATCGGCATTTATCAGAATTGCAGCCGACGAGACCAGCAATAAAGTTACAAACACCTTCATTTTAATCTGTGCTCTTTTCTGCGTCGATTTAACACCTAAGGGCTATTATTTATATCCTTATGCAGATCAATCGCTAGTGGGAGAAAATGCTGCACATTTTTATGAAAATCTAATCACATTCAGTAGCGTAACAAAAGAACTAAATTGCATTGATTGTGTTTAACCTTGTTCAGATATAAAAATGTATTTGTACTTCCAAGAAACTCATCATCAGTTTATTAAACAGGAGGTTTTATGGAGAGTTAGCTCAAAAATGGAAAAGAATTCTTACCTTCTAAAATTACTATTAGAAGCGTTTATCGAAGAAAAACCTGTGGGTAACTGAATTCCTTTGAGGAAAAGGAAATTTTGTTCAGCTACTGTATAGGCGCAATAATCATTTAATTATTTAATAGCTACATACACAAATATGATTTAATTTTTTCACTGGCATACTTATTGATATAAAGACATGGTAAATATACACCTGTTAGACTACTTTATTATACCCTTTTGAAACAAATTCTCAAATTAAGTGTCACTCAACATACCTATAAATGCGTGAAATTTTAGCAATTTTCTTTCGTCGCATTTGGATTTTATTAATAAGTAAATAATGCATTCTAATCACTATTTCGTTTTATTATATTACATTATGAGTACGCTACTGATTGCATGATATGCATAAATAAATTTAATCGTTTTAATGCAATTTATATTGATCATTTAATTGATATCTAAGTCAGTTCTTTTTGTCCATAAAAAGTATATTGAAGGTATTTAAATATACGTGTATTTAAATTGCATAATTTAAAACAATGAATAGATACAATAGATATGCAGTAGATAATCAACACTCGTTAAATTAAAAATATTGCTCTTATTTCTAAAAATAAAATATTTTCTTCATCTTGAGAGATTCAATGATTTACTACAATTTAAGGAAGTTCCAAAAGAAGGTAAAAGCAGATAAAGTAAAGGTACTAAAAGTATAAAAGTAATATTATCATTCTGTAAGAATTCTATTGCTTGAGGTCTAAAATTTTCAAATAGAATCATTTATTTGTGCAATTGAATGTAAACAACAGCCAGTACAAAATATCAAAATAGCTCATTTTATTCGAACAATATTTTAATCTATACTGTAACCCATTTCCAGCCATTTATCTTTGTATTTTTCTTTGTATATACCGTCCGGATCGTATTTATTCTGCAGATCCTTGAACCAATCCGGCTTGTCCTTAACTATGAAATCGACCACTTCCCTGGCCCCGGCTTTTTGCTTTTCTGTGCATTTGGAACATTCAGTTTTGAGAGCATCGGGTAATATATCTAAAATCAATAATTTTATTTAAACAAAAAAAATTGCATCAAAAAGCTTTTGTTAGTTTTCTTTCCATCTAGTCCACCTAATATTATTAGATTTATAGGACTAAATTTGTAAGTAGCTACAATTTTTTAATTCAAATCCTGCATTACCTACTAGTTCATAAAACATTCATAGCACTCACATTTAAAAACTTATTACAGAATATGTGTATTGATGCGATAAATCGATATGTCGATGTTTTAAAATTTTACAGGGGAGCTGTTATAAGTTTGGATTATATTTCTTTAGTAAAAGTCTAGTAGGTATATTCTACCACTTTGTAGACATCAACGAGAGGAATCGGGAGGTAATAATAACTCAATTTTCAGAAAAACTCCGCTTATCAAATTACAGCATCTATCCACAGAAATATAAGGGTGAAATAGGTAAATTATTCGCATCTATTTAAACGAGAAAATCTTACTTCTCAATTCTTTTCCTTCGGCCGTGCATGGTCCCTTATCCATAAGACAATTGTAGTAGCTTTTCAGCAATCTTTCACTGTGCAATATAGCCCGATAATCCACCGAATCGTACTTGCTGGTGTAGTGCTCCTCATCACATCTTGCGAAACCCAGCACCGAGAGCAGGAGCAGGAGCAGGAACAATTGTGGCCTACGCATTTCGATTTATAGACACAATAGGTTTTTTTTATTAGAACCGAAAAAATTTATTGCCTGTTTTGAAAGTGGTAGGTAGACATGGGTTGCAGTGGGGATATGTGCAATATCCGTAAAATTGCACCACGAATAATTGATTTAATTACAATTTGCGAGATTTTTTTTAATAAGAGGTCGTGGGGTATGTGGTTAGTCAAATTGTCGGTACGATAATCGGTGTTTTTAAAGATGTCACCGGATGTAAACGATGTGATATACAGCATGAAAACGTTTAAAATAAAGGTAGTGCTTTACAAACTTGTTTTGTCGTATAGTAGATATCGAAAACTTAAGTATGTAGTTCTCAGTTGAGTTATTTTTCCTATACCTAAAATTCCCAGAATCGACTGAGCATAATGAATATGTAATAAAATTATAATAAATTTCAGGGACGTTCTTATTTTTTTTCATGATTATTGATCTGTTGTTGTACAACAGCATAGATCAAAGAAACGCAAATACGATATCAGCGTAAAAAATCAATTAAAGGATAATTCGGTAAAAAAATGATGAAGTTAAAATTGAAATTTTAATAACATATAAGCAATAATATCAGTTTGAATCATCCGACGTCAGTTACTTTGCTAATTATATTTTTTAACGATTGATTGGATATTGTAACTTGTCTGACGCCTAGTTTTTTCAACGCCGATCGTTCGGAAAACAATTAATTTGGCTTAATTAATTAAATGTAAATGCGACGTTAGAATTTTACGCACATACATTAGCAGAATTCGTATCAATAATGCTATTAAAAAAATACTGGAAAAATATAGAAGAAAAAATATAATATAGGTAACTCGGCAAGATGAAATATGTATTGCAATAATAGCAATAATATAACAATAATAGCGAGAATTTTTGGATATTAAGAAAATAAGAATGACTTATATTTGTCGCCCATACTTAAAGATGTATGTAAGTAGGTAATATAAGTGTAATAGTTGGTAATCCACTCAAAATATGAGCTCAGTTCATGGACGATTTTATTAAATCTATTTAAAGTAAACTATTAAAGTAATTTTCTTTAGTTATCAAAGAAGAATTCGTGCAAAAAATCCATTTGACATTGTTTGGAAAAAAATTCAATAATGTTTATTTCGATATAAAAGGAAAAATCATTGGAACATAAAGTTAGTTGTTCATTTTGCAGTTTCGTCGAGAACATAATATACCTACCTACTTACTTATTCTACTTTTTCCAAAATGGTAAATATAATTTCTTCATTTTTTTTAATGGTAATCGATTTTTGGCCTTAATAATAAAACAGCCATCTATAATATTATACGCAGATAAAACTCAAATTTAATATCTATATATGTACATATGTATATCTTTCAGGAAACTTTTTAAATAAACTCTTAAACAATCTATTTAGCACCTTTCCTTTACTTATTTACATTGCTAACTTATAAATGAAATTTTATTGTAAAAATAAATAGTAGATAAATCTATTCAGCTTAATTTAATTCCAAGGCCTTTGTTTAATAAAAAGAAATATTGTAATAATGAGTGCAGCCATAGTGATTGTAATCAAATTAATTCACGCTAAGTATTAATGAATAGGATTTGTATATTTAAACTACATGTTTAAGTCGACAATTTTTCTATAGCACCAATAATTATGCATCACTTTTAAAGCCTGCATACACGAGATAATATAAATATGTAGAATTTAAGTATGATACAATGAAGTCTACACTTGTTAAATACATTTTTTGAGTAAAACAAAATATACCTAAATGGGTTTCAGTAAAATTGTGGCTTGCTGAAATTCTTGTTACGAAAGAATATTTCTCGTTTTAACTGTGTATCCATTAACCAATTATTTATTATAATACAAGGTAATCTACTATTCTACTTTTTTATTAGTCATTCTGTCCATTGAATTATCTTCTGAACATTGACATTGGTAATTACTTTGTTCATGACTCCGTAACTTCATTGTACGTAATTAGCTATATGACTTCAATTCTTAAGGAAAACAAATTTACGATTTCGTAAATAAAGCAGGAAATCAGTAAAGTAGTTGGCTTTTCAGGTTGATCTTCGATTACTAATTCTTGTCCACTTGGTACTTCTCTCATCGGCCGCTCTGCCGGAGAATTCAAAGTACACCACAAAATATGATAATGTTAATTTGGAGGAAATAGTTCACAGCGAACGACTATTGAAAAATTACGTCGATTGTCTGTTGGATAAAGGCCACTGCACGCCTGATGGATTGGAATTAAAAAGTAAGATTTTTCACATCTGAAACCATTCGTATAAAAGTTTGCTCTTTCAGAGAATATGCCAGACGCTATAGAAACAGATTGCAGCAAATGTAGCGAAAAGCAAAAAGAAGGATCCGACTTCATCATGAAATATTTAATTGACAACAAACCCGAATATTGGAATCCACTACAGGAAAAGTACGATCCAACTGGGTCTTACAAAACGAGATATTTTGAATCTAAAAAGCAAGAAGTTAAAGTCGAACCAATCTCGCAAGCATCCTAAAACCAACTCGAAATTTTATTTATATAGATATTTATTTGAAATATGTTTTAATTAGTCAATTATAGTTAATAAATATGAATATAGAGCAAAGTAATTTTAATTATTTTAATGATTACAGTTATAAAAATGAAGGTAAAATGTTTAATAGAGAAACCATATCTTAGACTTAAAAAATTTATTGAATTTAGTTTACAAAAATGTTGAGTATTACCTACATATGTTGATTATTTCAAAGATTTTGGAAATTAAGTAATTACTGAAGTAAGTAGTAAAACTTCCATTCGAATTGTCTACAAAGTCTACAAAGTGGGGTCACTCACAACTTTTTGTATGTACGCATCGTATCTCTCTTGGTATTTACCGTCTTTGTCGAAATTATTTATCAATAATTTATACCAATCGGGCTCATTGACATAAATGTGTTTCACGATTTTATTCACTTTTCGCTGCTCCTCCTCGCTACACTCTTCGCAACCCTTATCAAGCCCGTCTTTCCAGCTCTCTATAATACAAATTAAAAACATAACACACATAATACATATCTACATGTTCCATTTGTAGTTGATTCATTGTTCAACATAGTTCTAACCATAAATGATGGTTGAGTAAAACTCGTTGAACCAAAAATGATTTCTTAATACTCACCTTTCAGGGCACTTCCTTCTTTGGTGCAAGGTTTGGTGCCGATAACACAATCGATGTAATTTTTCAGAATTCTTTTATTTTTCAAAACCGAGTCCAAGTCGATGCTGTTCAGCAGTTTGACGTTTTCTTCTAGAACTGTCGGTGTACTGGACACTGCAATTGCCATCAGCGTCAGCACGCACAAAGCCAACAGGAAATTGTTCATAATTATGTAGAGGTGCTCTTCACACTTTGAAAATTTGGTGGTGTTTGAAAAATTGCGATAGTTGCTTAAATATTTTATAATGAAGAGTTCTCATCACGTGAAACTTTTTATTTACATAAATTAAGCAAAAAATTAATTTAACCACCAATATTTTCAGGGTCAAAAAATTTTAGCCAGATATATGTAAGGTCTCGAGTGTTTTCTTTACACAATAGATAACATTATTAAAATGCTTAATTGTCTACTAACAAATCTGATATTTCCTGTATCCTTCCTCATTAGCAAAATAATTTAAATAGTTTCGGAAGTGGTAAATATAATAACAATTATATTAAACATATATTTGTATGAAAAATTAACTTTTTTTAATATCATGCTAGAAATGTTTAGAAATAAAAAACTTTTAAAACTGTCTGCTACACAGAAAACGAATTTATGACCAAACTGGTAATTTCATTGAACGACGCGTCATTTCGAAACTGACTTTCCTTGCTCGCCTTGAATTTTAACCCACTGTATGGTTTATTAAACTAGGTATTTACGAATTTACAAATTATAATAAAATTGAAACAAAATGGTTAACATACAAAATTGAACACAAACTAGGTACCGGTATCAAAAATAGTTGCCTATGTTGAATACATAAAGTCTAATGTTATCCACTAAAATACTTATAGTGCAATTCAAGAACACTAATAATCTTTTTACTAACGAAATCTTTAACTTCTTTTCGAAGATTGGAGTATTTTAACCGTTCGTATTTTTGGTATTTTCCGCAGTTTTCATCATTTTTCCCTTCAATAACGCTCTCGTTTTTGACGTATAACGAATTTACAGTGATAAACGGTACCGCACTCAATGTCATTATCAACGCGTAGATGGAGTACTTCGAGAGATGGTCCAGGAGCTTTAGAAAGGGAAACGATTTATCTGGATCGCTCTCGTATTTAATCAGATACGCGTGGAACTCCTTGTAGTAGTATTCTACGTAATGTTCGAATATTTCGTGGGGTTCTTCTGATATGGTGAAGTAGATGTAGTATGCTAGATCCAAAGCGGGGGAGTGGATTGTCGATAATTCCCAGTTGATGAATTTTAGGTTCATCTCAGTCGTAGAATCGTATACCTATAAAAAAATGCAAAAATATTGCCTAAGATTTGCAGAAATGTGGAAATATTGAAGGATTTTTTTTCACAAACTGTACACAAACAATACACAATTTGTGAGTAAACATTAATTACACTGGTATACAAAACATCTATTCCCCAGGGTTATATTAAAAAAATAAACTCACTTTATTTTTGACCATAATATTATTCAACCAAAGATCTCCGTGAACAACCACACAATCATCAGGACGTTCTGATAGAACTTTTGTAATCACAGCCAGAGCACCGTTTTTGAAATCATTCTTGATTTTATCGACCAAATCGGTTTTCTGTTCTTCCTTTAGCATGTCAATGGTCATTTTCAATCCCGTTTTTAAGATGGCGCAGACGTTGGGGTGTTTGGAGAGAATTTCTTCCGGAGTAGTTTCTTTGTTCCATTCTTTCACGAGGGCGCTAAACTCTTCGGGTTTCTGTTCGCGAAAGGCAAACGAGACAGCGTGGAATTTCGCCAGCATCGCCAACACCCCGTAGTTCATTAATTTCGGTGCTGAGAATTTATTCAAAGGGAACGTGTAGCCGATTTCACTTAGTTTGTTGTATATCAGGACCTCTCTGGTGTCGGTCGAGAACATTTTGAAGGGAATGGGCCAAATATCGATGAAATCGAATTGACTGCTCATATGTTTGTGCATCAAGAATTGGTGGATATTCCAAAAGATTTCAGTGTACGTGTGCTTTTGTCTGCGGAATATTTTTCTGTTGGATTTCGATTTGTCGGAGATTTTAACGAAGAGGTCCATGTAGATTTCTCGCCCGTTGAACAGATTCGCGGCTACGTTCACGCCGAGTATGAATTCGAACGCCCCGAAACTGGATTGTTCGCTATTTAACACAGTTATGTCTGTCTTGTACTTATTTACGCTTTCGTAGATATTTTCGTTTTCGATCGCTTTGGCGATGATTGAGAAAATTTCTTCTCTCGTCTCTTCGTCCAACTCGTTCATTTTTCTAGCACTTTGCACGGAATGACGCACTAAATGTGAACTTGCAAAAATTTAAATGAATTAATGCAAGAATTAACTTCAATATTTGTATCATATCTCCCTATAGATTTAAAGATAAGATACTACATTATCTATTTATAGGAACTTAACGTAAATTTTAAAGATCCCACTCCAAATAATCCACTCCTACTGCCTACTCAAAGATTAAGAGACGTGTTTTTATATTTTTCTAGAAAATGCGTATTTTGAATTTTTATTTTTAATCGCCCTGTATATAGATTTAAAGTGGAACTGAATACCTTACTAGAAAAAGTCAAATACTCTTCTTTAAAAAACATTACCTATCTGTCATTAGTGTCATTTTAGTGGTATTTATTTTGTTTGGTTTATTGGTTATAAATTTGAGACATTAGAATTTTAATATTAAGCAATAAATAACTTGTAGTATAACTTTAACGAAATGGAAGTAGAATTATTAAGGCCCTCAAGCGTACCGATTTCACCAGAAACTATATTATGGTTCGAATTTCTGTTAGATCCAGGATTGCTGCTAAAGCATTTGAACAAACCTGCGGCAGGTAATTTGTAATGGTATTTAGTTTAATTAATTGTGTACTAATTGAATTATATGTAGAGCCTCCGCCTTCGGAATTAATAACCAAATTTTACGATGTAATAACCGAGACTCTTAGAAATAATCCGGATAATGAGAACGGTGAAATTAATGTTGAAGTTAATAATGCGAAGACCAAACCCCCTGCGAAAACTACCGCCTTGAAAATTCTGTCTTTGAAAGTTGGAGCTTTCCTAAAATGGAACTTGGGTAGGTGAAATTCTTGTGCTCGATAATAGTATTATACTTTTTTTTTGTAGTTGAAATAAGAAACCTTCCGTTTAAAACTCAAATTAGTCTCCTACAAGATCTAATGTACTTTACAAACGATAAAAAGACCGTTGAAATACCAAACGTTGAAGAAGAAGATGTTAAAACTGCGTCCCCTCCGTATTTATTTGCACTATTACTCTTTCACCGATGGTTGCTCAGCACATCGATGCATAGAATAACATCTAACTGGCAAACAAGATATGGGTAATTATAACATTGAATACTTACAAACGTAAATCTTAAGTTCGTATATCTTTTTTAGTATTAATGATATTTCTATAGCAGACGAGAATATCATATGCTGCCCTGAAAACATCAACAAAACCGTGAATTTTCTGACTGAAGCTTTAGAATGGAAATTAATACCATCTCTTCTCACATTTGACTGCTTTAAATTACCAACAGAAACCAACGATTGCTTGGAATTTGATTGGTCGAAGAGTGAAGAATTAAAAAAGAACGAGTTCTGCGCGCAAATTAACTACGATCTGGGAATATTTTTTTTCTACAGGGAACAGTATGATTTAGCCAAAAAACATTTTGCAAAGTGTTTCGATTTGTTCACCGATATACCGGATATCAATGGATTTTACGATGTGGATAGAAGAATGTTGGAGCTTTATATTAAAGCCTGCCATGGATCGGCTGATATTCAAAAGGGCAGTCTCCTCGAACAGCTGAATAATTCTATAGTTCATCAATATAAGGTTGTTTCGTTTTATTTTATTTAAGCCGACAACCAATTTGTTTAAGTTTTGTTTTAGGGTATTCTTTCGATTTTACAACAGGATAATGTGCAAAGGGAGATTCCATTAATGCACAGAATAAATTTAGAATTGAATTTACAAGGTGCTCTTTCGAGTGGAGGATTTACAGTAGCTCGAGATCTAATTCAAAAAATCAAAGCTCTGAATATTATTCGATGCGTGGTAGATAAAAAACCAATCTATCATCATTGCATATCTTTGTACAAAAACGCGGATACGCTAGTATGGGTAAGAAATTATTTAAAAAAATCTTTTCTGATTTTTGATATAAAAGAATTTTAGGCTGTTCAAAGTTCTTGGAGTTGTTTCTCTTACACACAGAAGCAATTAGTTAAGAAATTCATTATTGAAACGATTTTAAAGGATGATATTCCTGATTTACTCGAAACATTTCAAGCTAATTCTGATTTAAAGAATGTCTTGGATAAACTAGATATTGCTTATATAAAAAGTTCTGAACCACAATTCGATGTTCCCGAATGTTTAATCAAAACAGAAATCAAAGATATTTCGAAAAAAAGTAAGTTAGATTTGTAGGAATAAAAATATCTTAATAATGCAATTCTTTTTATGTAGGAAAGCCTAAATTGGATTCAAGATTACTTGAGAAACAACTCATAGCATGTAATAATCATAAAGACGTGAAGGAACTTTTGGTTAAAATTGCAATGTTAAATTCCAATACCACAGTTTGGGCTATCAACCCTCAATGGGAACTGCCTATACCTTTACAAAGTGTCGTTAAATCATTAGCCAGAGGTAAATAAATCAATCAATATACTACCGATTTAATTAAATTTTATTAACTTGTAGGTTTTATCCAAGATTTTTCGTATGTAATGTTAGCTAAATCGAAAGAGAATCTTTTAAACAGAAATTTCAATGTATCACTAGAATTTTTGGTGGTTTTGGAAAAGGAACTACAAGGACAAGGTGCTAACATTAATGTTTCCAAGCTCTTTAAACTAGTCAGTTGGGAAATTTTGCTAGTTCAAATTTCCCAATTGCTGGATCAATGGCCTATAACTACAATAGGTAAAATTAATATTCCCTTGTGGTGCAATAAATGTGAGGTTAACATACTAATTTCAGATAACGGAGCATTGGCTGATGCCTGTGAGGCTTGTTTGCAAATAAACGATTCTGTGATACCCAGGAGTGAAATTGTGGAACATTGCGCTGTTTGTTTATTGAATTTAGGACGTTGGGAGTTTTTAATTAATCTGGAAAAACGATGGATAACCTTCGAGATAACATCTGCTCTAGCTCTAAATTGCCAAGAACTCTCCAAAATCAAGGGAACCAAAAAATTATCCAAGACTCTTTGGGACTTAGGTAAATACTTCCAAAACAAAGCAAGCTCATAACTTATACATTTTTCCCTAGTTCTTCCGGTATTCGCATCGAATACCACGCAATCGAAACGAAGTAACACAGCGTTCAATGATACCTCCAACGTAAAGAGTAATTTAACATTCGTTTTTTTCAAACTCAGAGATACCTGGTGCCTCAGCGTAGTCATTTCTATGCTAACGAAAATGTTTAATATCCTAAAAGACGAAAACTCTCTCGAGTTACAGAGCGAATACACCAATTTGTGGCCTGCTACTATTAGCAAGTAAGTCTTCAAAATTTGTTGTCTCGTTCTATTTTCATCTTCATATTTATTGCAGCGCTAATTCCTACAATCCAGTGGCTGTTAATGAACTTCTATTAGAAATTGTAACGCATTCTTTAGAGCATTATCCAAACAACGCATCTTGGCTCCGGCTAGTGGGAGACATAAATTTTGGTAAACATAAACCGCTTATAATTTATTCTGTGGATAACATAGGTATATATTGTTGCAGCTAACGGACATTATCAAGTTTCTCTCAGTGACTATCTGAAGTCCCTGCTAGTATCGCACGACTATTTCAACATACCGATTCGAAACGACGATCACGTTTTTAGGAGGATGATAAAATGCTGTATTGCCCTCGGTTGCAATACACAAGCGGCCGTATTGTGTCAATTTTTGGAGGACGTAGACTACACTTTGGCCTTTCGAACCTTGTCTGAACAAAAGTCGTGTAGCGACGCTGTAGACGCTTACTATCACTGCTTCTGGGACACGAGCATATTGGAATATCTGATAAATATGCACAATAAGAAGGGGGAGTTCCAGAGGCGAAAGTGCGCCATACAGGTCATTGCGATGCTGGAGCTGAATTCGAGTAATAATGACGAGATTCAGAGAGAGGCGAGTAATTTGAGGAAGAGCACGTTTTTAAGAGCGTTGTGCAAGCAATACGTGTTTTAAATTGCATTCAATAGCTTTGTAAGTAACTGTATATAGTCTAAAAAATTAATTTATAAGCACTTCTATGTCGAAGAAATTATTTTTACGAATTTGAATTACTTTCTTGTATTTTCTTGACTTTTATTAAGACAATATTTCAATTCCCCTTTCCTTGCACCGGATTAAGATAATTTTTTACAATCTAGAAGTCATTCCTCCTGATATAACAATGTTTTCACCTGTTACATAAGCTCCGTCATCAGAGGCCAGAAATGCAGCAGCTCCACTTATATCACCAGGCTTACCAACCCTAAAAAATTTAAATAATTTAACAAATCAAATACACGAAAAATCTTTATTACCTCTGCAAAGGTATGCTCGGTAAAGCAGTTTTTAAAATCTCTTCGTTTGATGTTATTGCGTCCGAAAATTTTGTTTCTATAAGACCGGGACAGATGGAATTAACTGTGATGTTATCACGAGCGCATTGTAGGGATGCTGCTTTGACCAATCCTAGTAATGTAGTCTTTGTAACGCCATAAACGCCTAGAAATTCAGAGGGTTGAAACCCGGCAATGGAAGAAATGAAGATAATCCTTCCAGCCTTGCTTAATTTAAGCAGAGGCAGGGCTTCTTTGGCTAACAGAAAGGACGACTTAACGTTGATATCGAAAATTTTATCCCAGGATTCCTCCGGGCAATCGAGAACGGGAGTAACCACAGGATTCACAGCCGCATTAGATACCAATATATCCAGCCCGCCTTTCTTCTTGGCCTCTTCGAACAACCTCTGTCTATCTTCTTGTTTGCCAACGTGACACGTTAAACCTGTTACGTCCAGTCCTTTGCCTAAGAGCAGTTGAGTGGCTTTCTCCACATTCTTTTGCTTTCGACTGCTGATTATTACTTTGGCCCCTTCTTCGGCGAGTCTTTGGGCTATTGCAAAGCCAATACCCTCTGTGGATGCTGTCACCACTGCAATTCTTCCAGTCAAACGTTTCAAAGACATAATTTTTTCTCTATAGATTTCTGTTGTTAAAAAATACAAATGGATTTAGAGTTCAAAGTTCATTTATTACCATTTTTTTTATCAAGCACTTTGATACATGATAATGCAAATATTTTTGTTATTTTATTGTCATCTAGGTATACAGTATGAATGCTAATTTAAACGGATTGGTTTTTAAATAATTTTTAATAAAAAGTTTGATAAATACTTTTTATGAATTATTGATGGAGTATTGTTAAAAAAAGAAGAATTTTAACTGATTATTCAATATGTCAGAGACCAATTTTGAACTTATTTCTGACAGTGACATTTAATCGTTCTTTTATAGGTTATGTTAGAGCATGCTGCTATGTTATTGTAATTTGTAATCAAATTCGAATATTTTACTAAAAAATATTGAAATGTCGGAAGTAAATATAGATACTGATCTCTTCGAGCCCAAGAAAGCCTCTAAAAGAGCAATGGTCGTGGAAACTATGGATGTAGACACACACAATGGAATCGAGGGAACTAACAAAGTTAGACCGCCGAAGAAAAAAAGATCCAGGAACCAATCATTTTCAGATAATAGTGACGATACCAGGAAGATTCCTGTTCCATCTCATCGTTATTCTCCATTGAAAGAAAATTGGTTGAAAATATTCACTCCTATCGTGGAACATCTTCAGCTTCAAGTTCGGTTCAACTTAAAAACGAGAAACGTTGAAATTAAGACTTGTAAAGAAACTAAAGATATTGCTAATTTGCAAAAAGCAGCAGATTTCGTAAAAGTAAGCCTCAAAAGTCCTGGAGTTAATATTAAATAAATAATGTATTTTATTTTTTAGGCTTTTATATACGGTTTTGAAGTCGAAGATGCACTAGCATTAATTCGTTTGGATGATTTATTTGTAGAATCCTTTGAAATAAAGGATGTCAAGACGTTGAAAGGTGACCACCAGTCCAGGGCAATTGGAAGGCTGGCAGGAAAAGGTGGTCGAACAAAATTTACAATTGAAAATGTTACAAAAACTAGAATAGTGTTAGCAGATAGTAAGATTCATATTTTAGGCAGTTTTCAAAACATAGCTTTAGCTAGGAGAGCAATTTGTAATTTGATTCTGGGCTCTCCTCCTTCTAAAGTCTATGGACAATTACGAAATGTAGCCTCGAGGGTTTCTGAACGAATGTGAAATAAATATAAAGTTGTAAATAAATGTAGTTTAATTTGTTTGAAATTATAATGGTAAATACTTATATAAAAATATTTAAAACAATGTATTTCTAGATTAATTTATAATTATAACATGTGGTAACATATCAGTTAAGACTAAACGAGTAGGTATATACAGACGAAAATTATATCACCTTAATGCTTCAAAAATTTCAAGTAGCATAAACACGCCAAAATAAGGATCTCTATAATAATAATCAAAATTAAGATCAACTTATTGTAAAAAACATTTCGGCTCATTGATTTGAGAATATTTTTCGCCGATGAGAGCTGCTCGTTGGCGTCTTCCAGTCTACCTCTGGTCCGGAGCAGGGCCTCTCGTTGCTCCCCCAATTCCGATATGACTTCGTGGCCTATAGTTTCAGTTTCGACGGCGATTTGAGTTGATCTCGCCAAGCTTTGTCCAGTCCTCTCTAAAACTTGGGTACCTTGGAAAAGCAGTTGCCTGTTGCGCTGTTCGTAATCGTCGTCGTCGAACATTTCGTTAGGTAAATTTATACTACTATTACTATAAAATAAGGTGCAAAGTTACCGTTGTGCTGTTTAAAATCCTAATTTAATAAAACATCAACAAATAAATAATGAAGACAACTAATAAGCAATAATAAACATATCAAATTCTTCTTATTTATTATTAATGTCATTCGTTTATGTCAATTAGAAGGCCAGTGACCAATTGCTGATGGACTGATAAGAAAAGGTTAATTAGACGTAAAGAAGAAGAAGCTAACCTTTTTCCTTTCTGACATCTCCTTTGGAGAGATGCACGTGGTGTAATTTAATAAGTAATTTATAATAAAATAACAAAATTATTATAAGATTGGACGGCAAAATAAAGTGATACAAGATGTCGATGTACAATTTCAAGAAAATAGCTGTTGTTCCAACAGCCAAGGTACGTTAAAAATACAATTTTGTAAAATTCCACCATATGATTTATTTCTAATTTTAGGATTTCATTGATATTATCCTATCTAAAACACAACGAAAAACACCCACAGTCGTCCATAAGCATTATAAAATTACAAGAATCCGATCGTTTTATATGAGAAAAGTGAAATTCGCCCAACAGAGTTTTCACGATCGATTAACCCAAATCCTAACCGAATTTCCCAAATTAGACGATGTTCACCCATTCTACGCGGATCTTATGAACGTACTCTACGACAAAGATCATTACAAATTAGCTTTGGGTCAAATTAACACAGCAAGACATTTAATCGACAATGTTGCAAAGGATTATGTACGATTAATGAAGTACGGAGACTCGCTTTATAGATGCAAACAACTGAAAAGGGCAGCACTTGGTAGAATGGCGACTATCATGAAGCGACAAGGATCTAACTTGACTTACTTAGAGCAAGTTCGTCAGCATTTAGCTAGGCTTCCCTCGATTGATCCCTACACCAGAACAATAATTATTTGCGGTAAATAATAATTGAAATAATTAAATTCTGTTATATACGAGTGTATTTTAGGTTTCCCGAACGTTGGAAAATCGTCGTTTATTAACAAAATCACCAGAGCTGATGTAGAAGTGCAACCGTACGCTTTCACTACGAAATCCTTGTATGTTGGTCATACTGATTATAAATATTTGCGTTGGCAAGTGATCGATACACCCGGTATACTTGATCATCCGTTAGAAGAACGTAACGTTATTGAAATGCAAGCCATTACAGCTCTAGCTCACCTCAGAGCTTGTGTCTTGTATTTCTTCGATATCTCCGAACAGTGCGGACATACTTTAGATGAACAGGTAATTTATACATTAAAAATATGAATTTAGTAATGTAAGCAACAATGTATTTCAGGTGAAATTATTTGAATCGATTAAACCTTTATTCGCCAATAAGCCTCTTATAGTAGTGGCCAATAAATGCGACATTATCAAGTTGAACGAATTACCCGAAGACAAACGAGCTATCCTGAATGGTATTGAAAACGATAAGGAGATAAAAATGTGTGAGATGTCTACAATCGATGACACTGGTGTCATGGAAGTTAAGAGCGAAGCTTGCGAAAAACTCTTGGGATTCCGGGTGGATCAGAAGATGAGAACTAAGAAGGTAAAATTAGTAAAAATTGTAGTAAATATTTTTTATTAAACCTTCTGTCTAATAGGTTGATGGCGTGCTAAATAGGCTTCATGTGGCCATGCCTAAGCAAAGAGATGGAAAGGATCGTCCGCCTTGCATACCAGAAGCTGTATTAGCCAAGAAACTCCAGAAACGCAAGAGGAAACTGGAAAGAGACATCGAAGTCGAAGAGGGCGATGATTACGTTTTGGACCTCAAGAAACACTACGTCGAAATTCCCGAAGAAGAGCGTTACGATATCATTCCTGAAATTTGGGAGGGACACAACATTGCCGATTATATCGATCCTGAAATATTTGACAAATTGGAAGAACTGGAAAAGGACGAGGAATTAAGAGAGGAAACTGGCATGTACGTTGTACCTAAGATCGAATTGGACGAAACCATGCAAGAAATCAAACGTTTGGCGGAACAAATTAGACACAAAAAGGCGATAATACGAGATGAAGCTAGAATAAACAAACAAAGCAGGAAGCCTGTTATGCCTAGAACAGCCGGTGCTAAGGTAACGCATTTTCTTATTACATACTACTGAGTCTTATTTATATCTTTTACTTGTAGGTCAGAGACCGTTCAGTGTCGAAGCTTCGCGACAGTATGGCAGACCTTGGTGTAGACTTGTCTGATAACGAAGAGTCTCACTTCATGAATACAAAACAAAGAAGTAGATCGTTGGGTCCTCCGGCTAAGAAGAGGAGAAGCGACGCCGACGATACAGTCTCCATAAACAGAAACAGATCTCTTTCTAAACCGCCCAGGAACGAGATGGGCATCAAAGATGTCGCTATGAAGAAGAAATTGCATAAGATTGCTCATAGAGCGATTGCCAACAAGGTGAAAAAGATGGGATTGAAGGGTGAAGCCGATAGGTTTATTGGAACTAAGATGCCTAGACATTTGTTCTCCGGAAAGAGGGGCGTTGGTAAAACAGATAGGAGGTAAAAGTTTATTAATTATTCTGTTGTTTATTTGGTTATTATCAATTATACTACCCAATACTAGGCGACTAATAAAAAATGTTTGAATCATGTATGTATAACAGACTTCATTTCACCTTTCCTTATATTTTTTTATTGGTAACTGATCTACCGAAGGGACAAACAATAAAACAATTTATCACACGAGGAAGTATGTTTTAATACTGGCGTTTTCTTATATATTTCATAATAAATTAAGTATAGGTATAATAAATATTTACAAAAGTCGCGTACGTTTCTACTTATATTCTATATCTAAATATGAGGATATTTTTTTGAATTTGTTATTACATCAGTGCATTTTTTCTTACATTTTAAGTAACATATAAGTACATTTATTATGATAAATATATTTGCTATTATAAATTGTGTATAATAGAAAAAAATTATTTATGTATTGGAACGAAAAATTTCTCATTTTCTACATAAGTGGTTCAAAAATACATTTACAGAGAAACATTAAACATAGTTTTAGTAAGCAAGTAAGAAAAGCCCATTAAAGTTTATAATTTTCAAAATCTAACATTCCCAAAAAATGTATAAAAAAATGTGGTTTAATACAAAAAATAATCACAGATTTCTATTTGTTTACAATAAAAGAACAAGCGTTAAAATATCAGTGCAGTTTGATTATAACTTTAACTAAGATTGCAAGACATGAGCCAATTCACTAAGAAATTTACATAGGTGCGTCAATGTTATTACAATATTCGGGTTTAACATCTATAAGTCTAGGATAGAGAGAGGGTGCTTTTAAAATTACCGCCCCATTTTTCTTAGGTTAATGAATTATAAAGTGTTCCTCGATATATTTGTGGGCGTCTAACAAAAAAATGTATTGCAATAAAAGGAAAAATAGAAATTATTTTTTAAACATTTCATTACCTGTCGATTTCTATAAAATTCTAATAAACCTTTATGATTCTATAATAAAATTAAATTAGTTTAAGTACTTGTGTATTCGATTTTATAATATCATTATGAAGTTCTGTAAGTATGTATGTACACAATCGTATAACTAATCGAATTCGTGATTGTTGACCTTTCAAATATATTACAAAAATGTAAAATAATAGTGCCGTTTGTAAAAAGCTGCATTGTTAATGTATGGACGCAAGAAAATCCATCAAATAGCTAATATATCTACAGAATAATTGGTAAATACTTTGGCACGTATCTGTACATGAACACTCAAAATATCCCATTTCCACACATACCTTTATCGCATAAACTACCAGACGGTGTACATGTAATTACAAACACCAATAAAAATGTATCGAAAATGAATCGATGCGATAGAAGTATTCTCATGTTAAAAATTTGGTACAATCATCGGTTGCATTCCAGTCTCCACTTATCCTGCGAAAACCATTCGGTTAAATGTTAAAGCAATGCCAAACGGATTATGTCGCATCTCCTAATTGCACACGTGCTCTTCTCTCCTCGATCTACAGATATCACATACGACGTTACAACACCACACGAATCTACAGTTGCATTTTTCCTCCACCTCTTTAACGCGCGTTTGGTACCCTCTACCGCAGCAAAGCAGCCGGCACCCGTCCATTCCGTGGCTGGTTCTGTTACAGATCCTTCCGTGGGTTCCAAGAATATTCAGTCTATAAAGAAAATAAAGATTCAAACGGGTTGAAGAACGAGTTCGTGATAGCTTACGTTTCGTTCCTTTCGCAATAATCCGGAGAATCGTCCAAATACACCAAATCAGTTCTGATGGGTTTCTTCAAATCGGAGCTGATGGCTTTCAATTTTTTCCGTCGTCTCTCGACGAATTTGACGTGCGAAGCGCCTTCGTAGCGCTGGAACAAACCCTCGGCTACCTTCCGGAAAGGAGGCAGCCGCCTCCAGCAGATTTGCATGCTGCAGGATCCCGATACGCCGTGGCATTTGCACGTCTTCTGCATTCGCGAGCGGACGCTCTGGAAAAATTACACGAAAAGTAAATACAAAATGAAAATACGATAAAATAACTTACACGTCGACCAGCTTCGTTGTTGTGCAAGTTCATGAGCCCCAATGCGGTGTTCGGGTCCTCTCTTATATCGAGGAACTGCTTGCTGAAGTTCTCCCCGTACCGGATGTCGTCCGAGCAACCGCCCCATTTGAATTTCTGCGTTTTCCTTTTCTTCAGCCGGTTATCGCAGGAACAATATTCGGCTAGCTCGCCCTTCGAGCAGGCCCTGGTCACTGCGTAGGCTATACTGGCCGCTGATATCGCTGACAAATAGGCCGATTCTCTGCTTCCTACAAAAATATAGAATACAATTAACTATGTTTGTGCAGAAATTATACGAGGGATGTTTCCAAAGTGCCAATTAAGCTGAATTTATAGGCAATGTTATTGGTGAAAGATAAGTCTTGTTTATGCAACTGTCCAGTGCAATATTGTTCAGACTGATTTAAGTGTTCGACTGGTACAGATGTCTTTTCATAGCACTGTTTTGTTACCATGGAAGTCGCAGAAGATCTCAAAGATCAATAATTTTCTTTCTGTGAAAAAAAGTGTGAAAGCATTACAGAAACTATTCTATGACTGATTCTGTTCTAAAACAGTTCTATGAAAGCACATCAATATCAGTCGAACATCTGAACAGTGTTGCACTGGATAGTTACTTAAACATATCAAAACTTGTCTGTTACCAAAAACATTGCCTGGGTAATTTAATTGGAGCAAAACGTTGGAAACATCCCTCGTACATAATAAATTTTACTTACGAATTTTTGCGACGTTTCCGAAGGTGTTGTTCGTTTCCAAAAATGTTGTGCAGTTCCATCTGCTATATGAAAATATGTTCTGGCATTCTTCTATTGCAAAACGGGCGCCGTTGCCTAATATCTGGAAAAATGATCAGTTATAATGTATAAAATGGGGAGATAGGTATCACCTAAACTTCTACTTATCCTCATCCATTAAACACTTGTCCCTCGCTAAATTTTATTATACATAGGTACATTGGTGAAACCTTTGCATGAATAAATGTTAACTCACCGGTAATATTTTGTCATATTTTGAGCAAATCTGTTTCTGCGGCTCGTTGAAATAATCCAATTTCATGCATCTTTCTTTGTGTTCTACGGGCGTAAGCTCGACGGAGTTTGTCATAATATTCGGCAGACCAAGTTGCCTGAAACGGAAGAAAAACCATTATTTTCGGGGAATTTTCGCATGTACCAACAGCGATCCTCCAAATCAGCTACCCAATGAAGTGGATGGGATTTGTTTACGCTCTAATCCAGTTTAAAGTTCTCTTTACTAAGCTAATTTGAAAACAGTGGCGTGTTATAAACAAACCCGATTTTTTCAAAGGTACCTAATAAAATATTTATAGTTAAATTAAATTTAGTTAAATTATTTTACTCAAAAAAGCAATTAGCTAAAATTAATTAATGCCGTAATAAAGTGCACTGTAATTGTATTTTTGTTAAATATTCTAAACCTGCAGAAATTGATAAAGTGGACGAAGAAGATTAATAGGACATGGCAAAAATGATTTATCCGTCGAATTTCGTACCCCACGAGTATCCCTTCGGGTTCAGCCTATGCGTGGAGGTGTCTGAGATGGGAGCAATTCGAATTTTGTGAGAAGGGCTCGAAAACAGATGAGGTTGCCGCCTGGGGACGAGTTTAGTGCGACCATCCACCTGGGACCTTGCTAACAAACCGATATCTTTCACCATCGTCTGCAGACTCGTCTGCTTTTTCCACTCGATTCGATTTCGGCTTATTTCCCATTATTTACTTATTTATAGATTTAATCAGAATTACAACTATATTATTGCTTGCCGACGACGACTCGAAATGGTTCATTAATAATATATTATTATATCCCTTTTTGTCTTGTTCTGTGTTCTCTGTATATCTCTTCGCGTTGTTATTGAAATGCTATACTTGCATTTGAAACGTGTTAAAACAATGTAAGCAGGGTTTTTATTCTGTTAATCCGATTGCGTATCGGTTTCAAAGATTAAAAAAGAGCGTATACAAACTGAGCCAGCACCTATGTATAAGTTCCTCATTGCATAGGTGAAATTGGATTACCTTTCTCTACTTAACGATCAATTTTTACTGCTAGAAGAATTAAAAGTTTCAAACACGATTGAATTGTATGTCCTAGGCAATTTATTTTGCTCGATACAAGTGAATTTTCACGGTTGTTTCATTGGTGCCGTACGAAAATGGGATTCTTTCGAGCGGAAACGGTTGAAAGGAAACCGATCAGATATATAATTTTATGAGGAATAATCGGAGACATAAAACATAGGGCATTTTCAAAATGAGAATTCTAATGGACCATCAGGTCGGAGCAATCAACAGCAAATCGCTTTTTCTTTCAATAATGCAGGGCAATAAAAATGTTTACTTCATGGTATTCGATGTGTTAGTGTTACCCATAAAATGAGATACTTTTATCGTCTTTGTGCTTTTTATACTTTGGAATTATTACTTTCAGAAATTGCTCTTTTATTACATCGCATCAAAGATTTTATATTAACTATTACTTGTCGCGGTAGATTTACGATGAGAATCTTATAGGTAGACCGGATATTCGACCTCGCCGCCCGAACAAAGACTGTTTAAACAATATTTTTTTCATCGACACATTCGTAGTAATCGACGAATGACTATACCGGCAAAATCGTGAAGCCTCTGAAGAATATTTGTTAAAAAATTATCACCAACAGGGGTACTCATTTTATTGCAGCTATAAACCCAGGACATAAACTAAATATTGTTTTAAGAATGTTGACATTTCTTGAAGTAGCAAACTAAATATGTTGGGTTTCTGTCGTAAAGAACTCACCCCACCAAATCGCCCAAGTTTCTCAATAAACCTCTTGTAGTGATTAAAAAAGTCGAACAGACATGATGTTCGCGGAATTTGTTTCTAAAGAAGTCATGCAGATCACAGCGGATTCCCGATTTCGCTAAAGGGAAACACACGGCGAAAATGCAGGAGATCGCATTGTAGGAGTACCAGGAAGCAGTGAGTGAGCCTAATTAATTCGACGTAATTGGGGCTGTGCCTGAGGCATCCAATAGCGAAACATTTTCAAGGGTTACTTCATGCCCCATTGGCTTGAAACACAGCCATTGTTGGTTCTTTGTTGACTAACAATGAAGTCGTTATAGCAGAATTTGCATTCAACAACTAATCACGACAGAACTGCTCCTTTATACACGCAAAAACCAATCGTCTCGTTTTATCATGGCCGGTAATTTTTTCGAAATAATCATTACTTATTATTAAATTATGCCTAGTATGAAAAAATAGGAACCTTCAAACCTATAGGTATCTGGCGTCGATCCTCTATAATTAAATCCAATTTAAGTACTATTAACGAAAAAAAAAACTAGTTGAGTCAAGCTGTAAATAAAAAGATTTTAATCTCATGAATCTATAGTAGGATAATAGTAGCAGCGACCTCAAACCGCAATTTATTTGATACACGGTATAGTAGTTAATTTGTGGGGCTGAAGCCGCATACACGACAGGGGCGGTTTACAAATTATTTAATAAGAAACGTATTTGTACTTGAGAGAAACCGGTGACTGAATAAATTATTGCTCAAAGGTAGAATTAATCTTTATTACCTGTCGTACATTCAAACGTCAGGAGTTAATTAATTAAATGTGTAATCTAGAGAATGAGAATTGAATTGCGTACATTATAAGGTGAAATTTAATATCCATGCTACTTTGTATAAACAATTATAATTTGTTTTAATTTAAGGAAGGATTTTGTGGAGATTTTTATTTTGATCCGACTCTGTAAATTGTAATCTCAACTAGCGCTACACCCTATATACTATATGGTGTATAATGTAGCAAGCCCTCACCCTAAGCCCGTGCTTCTTTTCAAATAAAATGAGTACTAATTCAGCATTCCCTTCTGCCTTTTGCCCTCTTGTGCCAATTAAATTATTAACGTAACGGGCTCGTTTCCTGATCCAGATGCATTTACAAGAGAGAACTTATAAACTCAAACTTTCTGCATGTATCCTAGATATGAACTCACTCCCGCTGAGTATCTGAAACTAGTTCAATGTACTTGCTGTTTTTATCTAGGGATCCCATTAACCTGCTATACATGGAATCAGAAGGAACTAAATAAAAACAAATTTTCTTATCTAATGCCCTGGCACCAGTAACAAAATAATAAAGTTAATAAATCACAGTTTGTTGACTTAAAGCAAGCACTTTAACGTTTATGGGGCATTGTTGATATTTATTGAAGTGTCTTCTTGAGGGATATAATTCAAGACAACGGTAAAAAAATTATCATATTTTTACCTTTAATAATTAATATTTTATGCGCTGTATTAATTTTTCTCCTTGTATTACCTACATAAACGTACCCCCGTTGAATACCTTTCACATCCTTGTTTACTACCGTTGATTGACGTGGTGAAAAGCCCTTCAAAATGGCTTCCGCTCGAATATGCTCGAATCATATTCATAATTAGAGAATATTATATTGTTCCCGGTGGTTTTCTTTATACCATTGACCGATCTTCAATTAAAAAAACCGAACGCACGTTTTCGCCACGAGGAATAATGAATTACCTACCCGAGGTTTTTCGTTACGATTCTATGAAAAGGGCCCTCGTGGATCAACCGCGGATGTTTCGAAATTATTTTTTATCGAGCCTAGTCGTTGGTTTTTTCAATACTAATTTAACTTGGTTAAATTGAAACGTATTTATACGTAGTGATATACGCTTATTTATAAAGGTAAAACCATGATGGATGTTTGATTTAAACTTGGTAATTTTAATATATTTGTTAAGTAAGTTTGAATTAATAAACTGACGAGGAGTAGCAAGGCAAACGCTTTTCCGAAAGTCGTAAAACGTATTCTTCAAATAACTCCAACGTCTTTATGCAGTAGCAAAAATAACATTTAATGATTCTGCTTCGCTATGCCGGGCCATTATCGACATAAAATAATCAACTTTCATTAAGTCAATAAACGTCTGATAATCCTGTCGACAATTTAGCTCGATGTTTTGTTGTGTAAACTATTTTGTTTCAAAGTGTTTGGAAGCTAATTGGAATTTGCACCTGATCTGTAAGAAAAATGTACCGAGGAAAATAGGAAGATATATCCTCCATCCTCTAGAGTTTTCGAATTTTTTCTGAAATATTTTGGATATTTTCAATTATTTGCTAAACTAACATCCTATCTAATTAAATTTTTTGGGATTTGCTGCTTTAAATTTGGAAGCTTATCTAAATACGCTTCAGAGGAATATTTCGTGGTAAATCGCGTAAAAATGTAATAATAAATGAAATATAACAGTCTGGTTTTTCGGATATATCTTCTTTTATGGAACCACAATTTAAATATAGTGTACGTCTAGTGTAAATGATGAGTGAGTGATAGATAGCAGCTTCCAAATCATCGGTTATTTACAAACACGTCAATCCGCTAACATGAGGAGAACATCTTTCATTTGTATCTTAATTTTGTTATAGCTTTACCCGATAAAAAGGTTCGTTCGGTGTTAATTCCATTTTTTCTTATAATCATGCTAAGTGAATCCCATAGTGTCACATTAAAGGAGTAGTTGATACTTATAAACCAAAAAAATATGTTATACCTTAGTAGAATATCACATATTTTGTGTTCATTCAACATTTCGCTAGAAAGTTTATAAATAACAGTTGGGGACTTTGTCCAAAGTTTTGTCGCAGAAAACGCTCGAGCGAAATGAGAGAATCGGGATCTCGAATTATTTCCTTCACATTTTACGACCATCGTAAAAAGTAATGATCCTTCAATTGATGTCCGTTATTCTTGCAACTTTTATTTTCCTTACTTATACAGGGGAAATGTCGGTGGAAATCGAACAAGTTATCTTCGATTTTAACCATTAAAGTATTAGAATTTAATTGGAATAAAAATACAATATAAAATTTAGTATTTTCGATTAAGCGTAAAAGTATTAATGGTGGTAGGTATACAGCTTGGTAACATTGTGTCAATTTCAGGAGCAAAATTATTGCTACAGATATAATATTTGTACTCGTGGTGTATAATGGTGGAAAATTTATGTTTTCAGCTATAAACGTCGGTATCAGGATTAAGGTTAGTTGGTTGTAAAAGCGGAGGGTTTTAGGTCG